CGCTGTGCGCACGGCCTCCATCCAAGTGCGGCTATTGATTTCCTTGCCTACAGAGAGAAGGTGGATATCTCTTATGATGCCAATTTCAGGATCCAATGAGAGTATAGTACATATGGTGGCATACCTTGGCGCTGCAGGTTGGTTATTGTATTGCCTTCGGATGGTGTATTTGGTTGCAATTCCTTGTGATCACCATGGTTCAGGGCGTCGTGTACCTTCCTTACCGAGTTGTCCACAATGAGAGTTCTCAAGACGTCTTTACATTGCCTCTTTTGGGTATGCTGACAACAAAAGCGTGTGGGTTGGTTTTACTTGTTATCTCACATTGCATTTATGGTAGGTTGAACATGTTGGATGATAGTACCTCTGGCAGCAACAGGATACGGATCTCAAAGCAAGAATGCTGTATGGTTGGCTCAATGGTATGCATGGTATGAGATCTACAAAGCAAAACCTGTTAATTAACGAGCCTTACAATGAAACAGCAGCAGCATCTACTGGATGGCATGAATATACGGTTTCCATTTGAGGCAAAGACGCTATTGAGAATCACTACAAGGTAAGAGTGTTTATTATGATGGGATTGGTTGGATTCAAGTGGACTTACCACTCACCATATAGTGGCAGAGTCTCTTTCGGCGATACTATTATTATCACGGCTGCACGTCAAGGACATCATTGTACTACACTTTCCTGTGGAGCTCTACATGTTGTGCCCGGGGACAGTGCGACTCACGTTGCGGCCTCAGGGATTTAAAAATGCATCCTCTGTTCGCACGGCTCCATCGTTTTACGGCTATTGATCTCCTTGCCTTTAGAGAGAAGATGGTATCTCTATTGATGCACTTCATCGCGTCGATCCACAGGAGAGTACCGGTACAATGACGTTTCTTTGGCTGTGCGCTTTTATTATTACTTTACATCCTGATGGCCTATTTGGTTCCCAAGTCTGCGTGTGATGATTCCGTGATTCAGGTATGTATGACTCTCATGCTTTTTGGAGACCTTTGCTGAAACGCCTACCATTATTTAGAGGACCATTGCTGAGAGCTTCTTGTCTCTTGGTGCTTTGGAGTTTACAAGATCACAGCTATGATTGCTAAGTATTGTTGGATGAACTGGGACAATTGTTTATGGTGCATCTTTTATAGGTGAATCATGTCAGCCATGGGGAAGTGTTTATGTCTTTTGGTGGTGTCAACCTTTATTGCGTCTCGGGTGGTTGGTTACCAAGCAACGGGCGATTTCTCCAGGAGAGTGTCCGCCAATGCAAGTCTTTTGTGAGTGGATTGTATCAGCAACAAGTAACAGCATCCATATCGTTGGTGTGATATCAAGCTTTATCCCATCATCTGGTTCTTCTCGTTATCGGCAATTCGGTGGGCATCCTGAAATGAAGGTCTCTTATCGATTGATCACATCAGCAACAAGGAGCAGGTTATACCTTTGGCGTCAGCAAGCTTTCGATCTTCTGGTGGTTCTGATTATCGGCAATTCCTTTGATGGATCTCTACAACTATACGCGTCTTATGGATGGATTATGTCATCAACAAGCAATGAGAGTCCGCGTTGACATCTTTGGTGTTACCAAGGTCATTTATGCATCTCCTCAAGGCATTCATCGTCAAGCTGCATTCGATTTCCAATGAAAAACGATTGCCATTCACATCGCTCTTTAGCCATATGTACGTCACTCCGCAGCTAGGATCTGGTTTGGGCTTTTCGATGCACAATGCTTTCTCGATTTGCATGTGGTCTTGGGCAGCAAGGATTGTCGCGTTGTCTCTCTTTGTAAGGGCTCTTCGGCATCATGTAAGTATGCTCTCTTTGGTGGTATCAATATTACTCAACCTTCTCACCGCATATGCCCATAAAGTATCGTTCCATCGCTTTCAGCTTACAACCCGGGTGCCATCGTAGTGGGTCTTATCAACAAGCGGACGATTGCAAAGAATCGGTTTGATTTGGATATCAGCAGGATTGTGTGCATATGGCTATCATTGGTAAATAGTGGATGATCCGTCTTTTCTAATGCCTACCAACATCCTCTTTTATTATAGTGTGCGGACTATTCAGCAAGCTACTTGTCTCGTGGTCATTTGGGGTTTTCATGGATGCAGCTGTCATTGATGTCAACCTGTTCTCGTGCATGTGGCTATCATTGGTAAGTGATGATCCATTCGTTTCTACATACAACGCTTGCCAACCTCTTCGTTTATTATAGTATGTGGTCTATTCAGCAAGCTACTTGTCTTCTGGTTCTTTGGGTTTTCATTGAAGCTATCATCGAATGTCGACATGTTTTCGTGCGTATTGCTCTCATTGGTAAATAGTGGATGATCCGTGTTTTCTCTTCAATCCCAATCAACCTCATCTTTTATTATAGTATGTGGGATATCCAGCACGCTGCATGTCTTCTGGTGCATTGCGATTGCTATGGATGTAGCTGCCATTGGATGTCGAGTGTTTTCGGGCGTATGGCTGCCATTGGTAAATAGTGATCCATTCGTTTCTACAACGCCTGCCAACCTCCTCTTTTATTATAGTACGTGGGGTATTCAGGAAGCTACTTGTCTTCTGGTGCATTGGGATTTCTATGGATGCAGCTGTCATTGGATACCAACATGTTTTCGTGCATATGGCAATCATTGGTAAATGATGATCCGCTTTTTGCTACAACCCCAACCAACCTCCCCTCTTATTATAGTATGCGGGCTATTCAGCAAGCTACTTATCTTCTGGAGCATGGGGGTTTCTATGGGTGCAGCTGTCATTGGATGTCAACATGTTTTCGTGCGTATGGATATCATTGGTAAATGGTGATCCGTTTATTTCTTCAACGCCTGCCAACCTCCTCTTTTATTATAGTACGTTGGCTATTGAGGAAGCTACCTGTCTTCTGGCCCTTTGGAATTCTCATAGGTGAAGCTGTCATTGGTAAATAGTGATCCATTATTTCTTTCAACGCCTATTAATCTGCTATATTATATGGGCTATTCAGCGAGCTACTTGTTTTGTTCCCTTTGGATTCTTGATGGATGCAGCTATCGTTGGATGTCGACAGGGTTTTATTCATATGGCGTTCATTGGTAAATAGCGGATGATCGGTTTTTTTGGCTCCAATCCCAACCAACCCCCTCTTTTATTATAGTATGCGAACTATTCAGCAAGCTACTTGTCTTGTACCCTTTGGATTCTTGATGGGTGCAGCTATCATTGGGTGTCCACAGCGGTCGATTCATATGGCTACTATTGGTAATTGATGATCCATTCGTTTCTACAACACCTGCCAACCTCATCTTTTATCATAGCATGTGGGCTATTCAGCAAGCTACTTATCTTCTGGTCCTTTGGAATTCATGGATGCAGCTATCATCGCTAAGTATCGTTCTATGGATTTGGAAACCTGTTTACCGTGCATCTTTTATAGGTGGATCATACCAGGGTCAAGGAGCGACGTCTTTAGCATCTTCCAGTATCAGCTGGCCTTATTACATCGTGCGATGGTTCTCGTTACCGCTTAGTGGACACTTCCTTTTATTGGCATCTGCAACAACAAAGCAACATCTTCTATATCTTTTGGTGTCGCCAAGCTTTATCTCGTCTGATTGTGGTTCTAGTTGTCGACAATCCTTTCGATGGATATCCTCCTATATGCGTGCCTATTATCGGTGGATCATATCAGCAACCAAGCAACAGAGTCCCTATCTTTATTGTCAGCAACATTCACTCGATCCTCTCGTGGTTCTCGTTATTGGCCAATTGATTTCAAGAGCCCTCTTCAGTGGACGACTCTTATGGATGTGATCAAGCAGCAATGTTACATACGCGTCTTTTTGGTGTGATGAAGGTTTATCCATGGCTCAAGGCATTCGACGTCAGGTGTTCTTGTTATCGGCAATTCTTGCGTTGGTGGACATCTTCCAGCACACTTCTCTTATGGGTGGATCATATCAGCAACCGACAGCAATTCTTTCCTACATCCTCGGTGTCAGCAAGCTTTACTTTATCTTCTGGTGGTTCTTGTTATCGGCAATTCCTTTGACAGATATGCTTTGATACGCGTCTATGATCACGCCGGCAACATACAGCAGCGCCCATTGATTTTGGTGGTGTGGTCAACGTTGTTTATTCGTCCCTATGGCGGTTCTTTCTATCAAGCATCGGCCGTTCCCTTGGTGGTGGAAATTCCACAACGCACGGCCCTTATGGATTGATCCTGTCAGCCACAAGCAGCGACGCCTAGATTGTCTTTTGGCGGCAGCAACAGGCAACAATCTACATATCTTTTTGTGGCATCATGCGGATTCGATTTCGATATGGCTTTGGTTTCATCAAGCAATGTTCTGTTCTTTGAAAAGCGACACTCCACATATCATTTATATGGGATTCTCTGCAGTAAGGAAGCTAAATTTGGCTAGTGGGTGGCATCACGCTTATTCGATTTCGATATGGCTTTACATAGGGAATGTCGCTCCTTTCTTTGAGAATGACTTACAACACTTGCTTTTTGTTCGACTCCTGTGCATCAACCAGAAACCATGACGACTTTGATGGGCCCAGCATTACCTGTATTTATGGCACATGAAGATGTAAGTATCTCTTCATTGATCTTGAAAACATCCACTAACTAGTTTCGTTATGTACGTAGATGGATCACTACATACAGCTTGTCGTCCATTCCATTCTCCATATTCATTTGATTATCCTACGGCACATGACTACCAAGCATCATTCCATCGCTTGAAACCAAGGTGCCAACGCAGCATGTCTTTGTAAACGGGCCATGTCAGCAACAAGCACAATGGCTGCTGCGGCAGTGGAACATGATTAATCATGCAACAAGATGATTCTACAGTATTCCAGTGCCAAATTCAGCTGACGGTGGGTTGATGCCGATGTCGCAATTTGAAGTTCGGTAGTCGCTTAAAGTTGTCCCGCCAGCAGACCTTCTTTCTTCAACCTTTATACACACTCCTCTCTTTGCCTCAAGGACAACCATGAATTTCAGCTTTGAAGGCAACTACAAACCGAGACGCAACATCAACCTCGGTGGCATTCGCTCGCATGAAGACAAGAAAACACTCATGGCAAAGGCCCAAGCGGAGCGGCGAGCAAGGGAACACGAACGACAAAGACAACGTTGCGCTGTCAAGATTCAGGTAATGGACACTGACATGTTGCAATGTGGATATTTATTGTTAACTTGACGTGCTTCTTTGTATCAGTCGTTCTATCGTGCAAAGAGAGACGCTAGCAGATTACGGCGTGCTGAGCTCAATGCGTTACAAGCGAATCTCAAGCAGCTGACGCAAGTTGACGACGATCATCGTGACACTACCTTCAACACCACCATTGCTACTTGTATGCGACAGTGTTTGATATTATCTTACGGTCCACTGAATTATGGTGCTACTCTGAACGAGCTGTGTGCTATTTTACTATCATCATCGAACGAGAATCTCCTGGGATTTATGCATCTCTTTGCTGACAGCGATAAGGATCAGTTGGATGAGCGGACGTGGCTATTAGCACTATTTACTACCAACGTCATCCTTGCAGCAGTGACAAGGTAAGGGACATTTCAATTGGGATACAACATGATGATGCTGATTCTCTTTTCATAGCTTCAAGGACATTGCACCACTTGTACGCTTCATTTCGATTGTGATGGATCCCACAACATACAAGCGCATGGCACAATACAATGGTTCACTGGATACACATGACACATATATGAGAATATCGACACACACGCTTTTGCATGGCAAGATAACCGAGATTCTAAGGCGGCTTTTGGTGTATGAAATCAACAGCGTTTCGACCATCGATCACAACAATGAGCCTTCTATTCTCACCTATACACTGAACATTGTTCTCGACATTATCAAATGCAAGCCGCCCTATGATTATACCCCGTCCAGCATTTCAAAGTGGCGACCAACAGCTCCCCCTACAACATCCATGTTTGGCTTATTCAGCGGCAATGGACCATCGCCATCATCGTCATCCAACAACGCAGCATCTACACCAAAACTGCTCCATCGATCCTTGATATTACAGCGCTTATTGGTGGACGTGTTTTCAATTCCCTTCTTGGTGGACAATATACCCGATGACATCTTAAAGTCGTTCCTGGATGAGTTACCTTTGGAGAGCGCACTGGCCACCCTTAATCGCATGTACGAATCTGAAGAGTGGACGCATGAGCATACCCCCGAACGAGTGGTTGGACTTTTGATGAACATTACACAAATGGGAGGATTTCATAAAGGCGTGCATCTTGATAGAGCACTAGTAAGTAGATTCGAGGATCAGGTGGATTTTGGTTACTAATTGTGAGATTTTAGGAGCCATACTCGATTGCGATTCAAAACCTACTCTCCGATTTGCCATCCACATACTTGAACGAACCTGATGAAGATGAAGTAATGACTGATTCAGGTAATAACAGCAGCAGGAAACAAGAATACAACTCGCGAGCTCACCTATATCGTACATAGAAGACGACCTTAGCGGATCAGAGAATGAGGACGTTGTCATGACTGAAGCATCTCGAGCACAGCAACAACAACGATACGTGGATCCACTTATTCGAGAACGGCTCAAAATGTTGTATGACAAAGGAAATGTGGATGCGTTGGTGAAACGATTTATTGATCTTGCACAAACATCCGGTGGTGTGAATCAAGCGTTGGCGGGTCGACTTGCTGGACTCTTTGATATGTTGATGACTCGATGGCCTTTGCAAAGGGATCCTATATTGAATGCATTGTTGTATCATCGTTGGTGGGTGGATGGCAAACGGACCGAATCGGTTGATCTGGCACAAGTGTTTTGGAAGGCATGGTCCTCCCACGAATATGCTGCTGTGTTCGACAACGATGATACCATCATGAATCGATTAACAGAAGCAGTGTCTTGTATTATGGGTAAGTAAATGTATATACTTGTGCTCTGGAATGGAACGAAGGTACTTATAGTGGTCGTAGATGCAAAAAGCCCTGACATATGGGCAATTCTCTACCTGCTTTGCGAGATGTATACCAAGCTATTATTCACGATTGGTGATGATGAATTTTTTGATGATAATGCGCCAAGCAGCCACCTGAAGCTGGATCAAATCGTCGCTCTCAGCCGACAATTGAAGGTAATGTGATTTCTTTCTCCATGGCGACCCGCTCTAACATTAAGGATATCATAGAACATCTCATTCGTATTGTTTTGGAGAGCTGGATCAGTGGACGTGGAGAAAACATTGGGCCTCTCTGGAATCCGGATATCACAATTGCGTAGCACAGTGACTCAACTGCTTCGACAAATCCATACACGAGAGTAAGTCAATGATGCAAGGGATTGATCGCTCTATCATACTGATATTCACTCATTGAAAAGCTCTCGACGTGCATTTTGTCCCAAAGAACACTGGTTGATCAAGAAATTGGATACCGAAGGTTTCTCGAGTGAAGCTGTAGCAGAAGAATTCTCTTTGGAAAACGATCCTGAGCAACAATCACGTCAACCATCCAAGACCAAACTCGCCCTTATCAGTCCACGCCTTGGTGTATTGAACAATATCCCCTTCATCATTCCTTTCGAGCAACGTGTTGAGATTTTCCGAATGTTTGTACAAAATGATCGTCAACGCAACAACATTGATCAATTCATTGGTCCTTCGGTGAATGTGACAATTCGGCGCAACCATGTATTCGAGGATGGCTTCTCACAACTTTACACGCGTGGTAAGAAATAGTGTGCGGTGGATATTGATTATATGCTCATGCATATGTGTGCACGTTGTTAGGCAAGGACTTAAAAGGCAAGGTGGCCATTGGCTTTGTGGATGAATTTGGGCTGCATGAAGCTGGTATCGATGGCGGCGGTGTTTTCAAGGAGTTCTTAACAAGGCAAGTGCACAAAGTAAAATTAATGAAATTATTTTCATTGTACTCATACATACATGTTATGCATGTCTTTATACAGCTTGAGCCATGAAGCATTCGATACCAATTATGGGCTTTTCCAAACAACACCGGATCAATTGCTATATCCTAATCCTGGGCGGCATGCAACACAGCGTAAGTTAATAGGAAGTGAGAAAGGTAATGATGATACTAAGAGATCTTGGTTCCCTTTTTTAGCTACACAATTGGCCTTTTTTGAATTCATTGGTCTGATTATCGGCAAAGCGTTATATGAAGGCATCCTACTAGACGTTGCGTTTGCTGAATTCTTCCTCAAGAAATGTCTGGGTGGTATCAATTACCGTGAGTATGGGATAGTGGGGGATGGCTACTTGAAGTCGTATTATTAATGATCACCTTTATGGGAATGTAGTTGATGATTTACGCTCACTCGACCCGGAGCTGTATAATGGATTGATTGCTGTGAAGAACTTTCGAGGCAACGTAGAAGATCTCTCGCTTGATTTTACGCTAACTCAAGATGGTAAGTCTCTTTTATGCATGACACGTGAAATGAAACTGTCAGCTGCATTGTTTTTGGGGGGTGCATGGATTAGACAAGATGTACTAATGTTTATGGCTTGTAGAGTTTGGAAAAACCCGAACCGTGGAATTAATTCCGGGTGGAAGCAACATCCCAGTTACCAATGCCAATTGCATCCAATATGTTTATCGTGTGGCTAATTATCGTCTCAACACCCAAATCGCCAAACAATGCAAAGCCTTTTTCCGTGGATTATCAACTATCATCGACATCAAATGGCTACGTATGTTCAATCAGGTACGCGTCAAAGAATTATCCCCTTGTTGGGTGCAATCATACTCATGTATCTATAACACGTGGAACAACCTGACAGGCTGAACTTCAAGTGCTATTGGGCGGTGCTTCGGTTCCCATTGACCTCGATGACTTGCGAGCAAACACGGTTTATGCAGGGTACACAGAAGACGATTCAACGGTCCAGAATTTCTGGCGAGCACTTTGCAGCTTTGACAATGAGCAGCGTATGAAGTTTATCAAGTTTGTAACCTCTTGTTCAAGACCACCATTGCTTGGATTCAAAGAGCTACGACCCCAGCTGTGTATTCGTAATGCGGGATCATCCGATGACCGTTTGCCAACAAGCTCCACTTGTATCAATTTGTTAAAGTTACCATGCTTCAGCAACTATGAGATCTTACGACAGTAAGTGTCCCCCCCACCCCTCCTCATTCAGGCACTTTGGGAGAGAGAGAGAGAGAGATTGGATTTTAACCATGGTTTTTCTTCAATAGGAAATTGTTGTATGCCATCAATGCCGAAGCAGGATTTGACCTCTCTTAAGCCTCTTACATACGATTGCATTCTAGACCCCCCTTACTACTCATGCCACATTATTGATTACATGCATCGTCGTCTGCCAAGTATATAGTTTGCATTAAAAAGAACAAAAACGCCTTGTAGAGTATACTATTTACTACTATCTGCTTTGAGGGATGTGTAACGAGGCTGTATACGGGTATGTTGTGTGTGAGTGTGTGTGTGTATGGGTAAAAACATGTGTTGGATAACCTTTTTTCTTTGTCGATTGGATGATGGATGTTATATGGTGTGTACGTGATTGTGTGAGTGTGTATGTGAGAGTATACAATGGTGACATGATGAGCTTAAAACAACGTCAAAGGGAGGAGAAGAAAAAGTAAAACTTAAGGAAAACGAATGATACTTGGATATCGCTCAAGCCCTTGGTTGACGAGACGTGTGACAGATGCGGTCCAGACCTCATCACCGACACTGGCAAAAGAAGCTTCATCCCCTTGCAGACGATGATCCCTGAGGAAATTGGCAATGTCAGCTCGCCGCCTATGGATGTACTCTGTTGTGGATGGATCGACTGGGACATGTTCAGGAATCTTCTCCAAACGACGATATACAGTGTAAGCGTTGGGGCGTTTGCTAGGATCCTTTTGCAAGCAATCTGTATATAGGTCTTCCCATTCTTTGAGCACACCTGGGATAGGTTCGATCCGGTATATGAAAGGGTCGACCAATGCGTTATCGGGAAAAGTGACTCGAGACACCAACTGCCACAGGATGATGCCGAGTGCATAGATGTCAGCTGCTGTCGTGACCTGGTAACGGCTTCCATTCATCACCATGTCCTTGCATTCAGGTGCCAAATAAGGCCATCTACCATATCCTCGTCCACTATCATCCTCCTTGGTCTCCTGTTCACCATGGCTACCACTGTTGTTGTTGCTATGCATTCCTTCGCTCCATCGTCGTTTTTGTTGTTGTCGATGGGATTCATTGGCACGTTGCATAAAGGTAATATCCGCCAAATCACCGACATAGTCTGCAAAGTTGAGTAAAATGTTCCGCGGATGAACATTGCCGTGCACATATTCCCAATGTATGTCCTTAATCTTTTTGGTCACGCTGAGCGCCAATGCACGAGGTTTGTCGTAGGTCGTAGGGATCTCGCGTTCCAAACTATCCTCCAAGTTACCATAGGTTGCCTTTTTCATCACCATGGCTAGTTGACTATAACCTGTTCTTTCATCCTTCACCACTGTCAATCCATAGGCGGGTATCACGGCTGTTAACATGATAGGGTCCAGACTGGGCTATGGTGAAAAAGGTATGCAAGGGTAAGGAAGAAAGTTGTGTGTGTGTACACGCATACCGGATGATAAGCTCACCTGATTAGCAATATCCATCACTGTCAATCCCTTAAGAAATACAAGATCCCAACGTTCTGGCACATGAGTCAACCGATAGGGTGGTACGAAACGAGCAACAAAAGACGATGCCATTCCTTCAGTGCTGGGTCGTTGCGGCTGTTTGTCAACAAACCATGTTGGTGGGAAAAATGGCAATGTATTGATGTTGCCTGCACCCACCAAAGCAAGAGGGCGATTGGTCTGATTCAGTCGTAACAATTGATGATAGATACGTTCCAACAATAGCCTGTGATCGGGATGAATATGATGTCGTTGCGTAATATGATCAAGCCATGGTTGAAGGGTGGTGGATTGGAATGGTCGCTTTGTTGTTGTATCGTTATCCATCATCAATGCATCATCCACTTGCATCATGTCGTCTTCCGTAGTCGAACCATCTTTCTTTGGTATCCAATTCCACATATGATCCAAGGAGAAGATCACATTCCACTTTTGATACCATTGGTCTGCAAGATCCCACACCTAACAATAAACCCGTTCAGTCAGCGGAAACGTTATTGAAACATGGCTGCATTGTTATACTTGCATAGCGACCAAACTTTGGGTGCATTTCATACTGTGCATTGCTGTCATTCTCGAAATCGTGGAATGCTGTTTCGAAATCGTGGAAAGTGGGTTGCAAGTCGGTGTCGGTTGTTGTTGAAGCATCGTTTGCAAGACAAGCACGGAAGCCATCGAGGTCAAAATGTTCAGGGCATGTTTCTATTAAAGGAACAGCGTATTGACTATAAAATCGGGCATCACAAGGAATAAGATAACGTAGGAGCATTGTATATAGAAGAAGAAAAAAAAAGAATAAAGAACGAGAGGAAAGAAGACTACACCCACAAAGGCAGCACAACAAAGAAGAACAACAAAAAGAAAAGGGGCAAGAGAGGGAAAGAAAAAGTAGGCGCGTGGACTTTTTTTTTGCAGTTAAACTAATCCGGGAAGCGAACAGTGCGTGTGTCCAGAACACACAATGAGACCTTTCCGTTATTCTCTCTCTTTCCTTTTATCAGCCACCCCCATGAAAGAAAGAAAGAGGAGACACTTTCAAGTTCTGGACGCAAGCGGAGTTGATCATGAACATCTTCACCCACATTTGGGGGTGGATGTAATGGATGATGAGAGAGCAAAAAGTAATAATAACGTTAAGGTGGAATGACGCATTCTTAAAGTGGGAAAAAAGAAAAAGAGAAAAGAGAAAGAAGGAATGTGGCAACGATGATGACAATGATGGCCATGTGTCATGGGTGTGAAATGTGGGTACTTGCTTTCTCTCTCTCTCTCGCTCTCTCATTTACCCACATCAACAACAACAACACATACACACGCCCTCCCATCATTCAAATAACGTCATACAGGTACACGTCGATCGTATATCCCCCTCTTGACCTTTTCACTGTGACATGATATGTATGCCGTACTTTAGATAAATATTTTTCTCTTTTTCATAGAAACTTCCCCTTTCTTTCTTGCACTTACCCATCATCATAATTCACCTTGCCTTTTTCTTCATTCAACCTCATGCACAAGCTATTCGCTGCATTATTATCTTGATGCAAATATCTCAATGTACAACCATCATCCATCAACTTGTACACCATTACAAGCATACTCTTACACCATGATGAATGGCAAAGAATGGTACGTTGGTACCTCACGTGGTGCAAACAACTCTGCAACTGAAACGGCAATCTTTTGGGTCCCGGTCCAAAAACAGTAAACAGCACACACAGGCATACCTTGTTTTCTTCCACAGCATCAATCAACTTGGCACACAGACTCCCAGCTTGATACCATCAGCCAGCTATTAACATCTTATCGTGCAACAATTGTGGGTCTGGGCACCAAAGCGCGATACTTAGCAGCACATGCTCCATGCCGGCAAGCGTGCACACACGCAGACATATGCATGCGATGTGGCACGAAACAGTTTACGACCTAAGCTAATCATCCCTCGAATAACATCAACAAACAGTAAGCAAACGTCAAACTGGAGTATGAATAGTGAGTGTTTCAAGATCGCCATTACCCTTTATTATAAAAACGCGCATTCACTTTTCACCTTGGCGTTTAATTTCCCCCTTGGCTTTTTTTCCTTGTGTACAATAGTCTTGACCCTTCTTTTTTACTTCTACTTGTCACAAGATGAAGAAGGGGTACGTCTCGATTCCACAAGACGAGCAGCCTGTTGCACAGCAGCAGTACATGTCCGACCCATCTTTTAGAGAGAAGGCAACGGGCTTCGTCTCACCAAGCGAAATCCCTGGTTCCCATGATCCTGCCATCGTTTATCAACGTCTACGCCACTGGTGTAGTCAAATTTATTCGTCTGATCATAGCCGTGATCCTTTGTTGCCTGCTGAAAAACGTGCTACTGCTAGTCCTCGTCCCATCTCTCGCTTTCGTTCACGTCTCTTGAAGGTTTTCGCATGTGGTGCCTTATTTGCAGCCTCCTACTCTTTATTCAATTATGCCATGCCACACACCAACCAAATGGTGTATCAAGGTACATTTCTTCTCATGATATGGATATAGGCATGGTGACACTCACATTATCTATATACCCTAGATGCTAGTTTACCATGGGAAGATCCCACTTTTATGATCAAGACGATGCCATCTACAAAGAGCATTCACGACTTTTTCCATACACTTGCATCACAACCGCATTTGGCAGGTTCACACAACGACAAGCTTCAAGCTGAGTGGACACGCAGCAAATGGGAGGAGTTTGGTATCCCCAACAATACCATTGAGACTTATTACCCATGGATTAATACACCAAAGACACGTCGATTGGCCATTGTTAGTGGTCCTGAGGAATTCCTATATGAAGCCAAGTTGGAAGAAGAACCCGTACCTGAAGACCCAGCATCATCCCACCCCAATGCTCCACCCACTTTCCATGGTATGTGCTTCTACTACTACTACAAGTACAAAAATGACTCCTTTGACTCATATGCATCATCATCATCATTATAGGTTACTCTGCTGATGGCAACGTCACTGGCTCTGTGGTGTATGTCAACTATGGTCGTCTTACCGATTTCCAATTCCTTGCTGCTCGTGGCGTCAACTTTACTGGCACGGTCGCTTTAATGCGTCATGGTGTGATTGCACGTGGTCTTAAAGTACGCACAGCTGAAGAATTTGGCTGTGTAGCTGCATTACTTTATTCTGATCCCATGGGAGATGGCCCATTCAACAAGATGACTGAAGATGGCACACCCGCTAAATCGTATCCAGAAGGTCCTTGGAGGTCCCCCTCATCGGTTGAACGTGGCACGGTTCACTATTTGTCAATTTTACCTGGCGACATGTTAACCCCTGGTTACGCAGCAACCGAAAATGCTACGCGTTTGGATCCCAGTGATACGTATGCCATGCCTCGTATCCCATCATTGCCAATTTCATGGTCCGATGCCTTGCCCTTGTTCGTTGCCATGGAAGGTCTTGGTGTCAAAGGCGAAATCGATTGGCTTGGTGGCCTTTGTGAAGTCAACTATTATTCAGGTCCAAGTGTTGCTCAAGTCAACGTCGTCAACTTTAACAACTACGAAATCAAGCCTGTATGGAATGTCATTGGTCGCATCGAAGGTGCTGTTGATCCTCATCGCGCTATCATCCTTGGTAAGTGTATGCTGTTACTTTTATCCTATTCCCTCTAACCACCCTATTTTCTTCCTCCTTTTAGGTACCCATCGTGATGCTTTTGGTTTTGGTGGTGCTGATGCTGCCTCTGGTTCTGCTGTCTTGGTACGTTGTCATGCATAGTACATCCAACAATGAGCACTAATCCACTTTTTGTATATAGATGGAAGTAGCACGTGTGTTTGGAATGATGCTTGAACATGGATGGAGACCACGACGTACCATTATCCTCGCTTCGTGGGATGCTCAAATGTATGGCAGCATTGGCTCAACCGAATGGGTGGAAGATCACAAAGATTGGCTTGATGATGAAGCCGTTGCCTATATCAACGTGGATCAAGCAGTGACAGGACCCCACTTTGGCGCTCAAGCATCACCTTTACTCAACAACTTGTTATACGAAGTGACATCTGAACTTTTTGATCCCAAGACCAGTATGCCATTGTTTGATGCATGGAAGATGGATCGTGAAACACGCATCCCACATGATCCCATTGGTACCAAGGGTATTACTACTAAGATGGTGGATCCTTTGGGAGGCGGTTCTGATTACATGGCCTTCTTTGATCATCTTGGTATCACCAGCTTGTCTATGGGTTTCCATGGCGACTATGGTGTGAGCCATAGCAACTATGACAGGTAAACATCATCATCGTATATGCACTCCGCCTTTTTGAACAAAGCAGCTAACATGTCATCATTAGCATTTATTGGATGGAACACTTTGGTGATCCTACTTACGAATATCACCAGCTGATGGTCAAGGTCTGGGCACTGATTGCACACCGCCTTGCTGACGATGTATTGCTTCCATTTTCACCTCTCGAATACGCCAGCGAGCTTAATTTGCGAGTAGCACGCATGGCTGATGAACAAGGTTGTGCCACATTACCAGAGCTATCGGCAGCTGTCAATGCCTTGTATGAAACAAGCGTCAAGTTTGATCACAAATTGCACAAGTTGCGCAAGAAGCTACGCAAGAAGTTGCACACACGAGAGGTGATCGATATTCAAAAGCACAAGAAGAAGCACAAGAAGCTCTTGAAGAAGGTGCGCAAAGCCAACGAGCGTCTTGGCCAAATGGAACGTGCTTTCATTGATCCCGTGGGTCTTCCTGGTCGTGAATGGTTCAAGCACATTGTCTATGCCCCTGGTTTATGGTCTGGCTACGAAGCTGAAATGTTCCCCAGCATTGTTGAAGCCTTGGATCAAGGTGCTAGCCCAAGCTTTACCCGTGAAATGGAAGAACGTGCTGCTGGCATCATTGAAAGTGCACGTAGTTTACTCAAGGGCAAGCACGAACGATTAATGAAGCATCCCCAAAAGCATGACGACGTTGATGATGATGATGATGATGAACCTGCTGAGGATCCAGAACAAGATGTACCAGAAGATGACGACCAAGAGGACGATGAGGAGGAATCCACCATGTTTTAAAGTAACCTTCGTATGTAGTTCTCCCCAACAACTCAATCCCCTTTTCACCTTGTATTATTATCCCATTCTTCCCCTTTGATACTTTATCTCTGAATATAAATTGATGTGAACAAAAGAAAGTTGGATGTCATTCTTCAATAAGGCTGTGCCACAAATAGGTTAAATGTACCGCAGCTAGATGGCTTAGGGATAAAACGAGGATGTTTGTTAGTGATGCTTGTTGTCACAGTGCGAGCATGATGGTTGTTTATGGGGATTTTAGCAACAATGGAGGGAATGCATGATTCTGAAACGGTAGCTAAGCTCTGTGCTACTCGAAATCGTTGTCCGTAAACGCCAACAATTACCCGTCATCCACCCAACTTTATGCATCGTGGCGCAATTAACCATCTATGATAGTCTCTTATGATGCATGCAAGCATATATTTAACTTTCTCCCATAGTAGAAAACACCTTCTTTTCTCCATGACCATTTCTTCCCTTAAGCTCTACTATACGTTGCCATATGGTATGGTTATTAAAAAGGCCCTTACCATGGCTTTTTGTTCCTAATGGGTATATGCCAAACAACATCTAGGGCGCGGATTGGGTGCTGTCATTCAACTATTACTAGAAGACGCATGTATCCCATACGAGTTCATCTTCATCGATAAGGCAAACGAATGGCCACGTGTAAAAGCCAGCTTGCTTGCTTCAAATTATCATTTTGATTGCATGCCCATGATTGAACTTGAAGATGGTAAGCGCTACAGTGCCTGCCTCCCTATCATGCGCTTCTTGTCAAAAAAGATTGGTAAGTGTCACGTGTACTACTTTTAGTTTTTGGCAAGCCGATGTTGATAACAGCTGCTAATCCATGTTACTATCAGGCAAGTACTTGCCCTTGGACAACTTGGATGAGGAGCAGTTTCTAGATGCTATAGCGGATTATGCTTGCGATTGGTTCCAAGTTACTGCTCGTGTTGTGCTTCAACCGGTAAGCATTAGCCCGCTTCCACCGTTGGATGACTTTTTCTAAATAAGGATCCGAACATTAGGATAATAAGCAGCTTCAACAGCAATACATCCTAAAGGAGCGACAGGTGTTTTTTGATCGATTCAACAGACTTTATAGCATGCACAAAGGTCCATACGCTTTGGGATCAGAGGTAACCCCTTCGCTTGATCATAAGCAATGTACTAACATAAAATGACAGATATCTTATGTGGACTTTTATGTGTACAAGATTGCGGCTCGGCTACAACCCAACAAGGAATCGATCAAAGTAGGTCAAAAGAAGGCATGAGTTTAAAAGGCATATGCATGAACTGACTATCGATGAAGGATTACCCCAACATAGCATCGCTTGTTGAGGCGATCAATGCACGTCCAAACCTACAAAACTTTTTGCAACCTTGAATAAAGAAAGGCAGTCGATTAATGCCATTTATTATAAAGATGTCATAACAATACAATTGAGAGCGTGAAGCAACGATGCAAAAAAAAAGGAATCATGGGGACTTTACAGCATGTCTACATAGTGGGTATTGGGAGAGCATTGTCCTGACAATGAATTGTTTCTTTGTTTCGCCCGCTACACAACATGTCTCGAAACGTGCAACATACCCATTTCAGCATTGTGTTTTCAAATACTCAACGCGCGAGAAGCGATCAGCTATTTGCATCTGGTAGGTAGCTCAATGGAGGGTGGCCATGCCAGATCGAAGCGTTGACGGTGTCCATTTTCTGGAAGGATGTCTAACCAAGGTTGTTGTTCATTTTCCCGATCCTCGGCAGCCAACACGTTATTGCTCAACACTCGAACGACAATGGAAGACGACCGATAACGACCATGATGATACCCGGATAGTATTCAAAGGAACGATCCATTGCCTTGACTATCAAACGTTGGAGGCAATCCAGGCACGCTTATCCACCGATCTCACATTGTCAACCCACCTATTGTGCAGCACATTTGATCTATCACTGACAAAGACACCTTTTGCGATGGTAATTGATATGGCGCTCAGTGATGAATATTTGAATCGAGGATGTCGTCTCTCCAATCTATCATGGTCGCGAAGAATGTGGGCTGTGGCGTCGCGTGCCAATCTCCTTGCTTTTACAAGTGTCTTTTACAGCGTGTTGGGAGGAGCATACAGTTCATTAAGCAAAGCCAATGCAAACTATGTAAGTTGTGATCATATTGATTGGATTCATGTTGATATTGATGTTGGTGGATGTAGGCATACAAAGCTGGATCGCTGGCATATCAACAAATCAAGTTGGCTCAATGGCTCAAGGACCCTATTCTCGAATCCAAATGCTGGCTTTACTTTGCGGAGGACTTGATTCAATTGGGACGTTTCAGGAGAGCAGACAAGATTATAGCTCGACAGTGGCGGTTTGCACATGCCCTGAATGATCGTATTGTAAGTCATTCTACGTCATGTTCACGTGGTTAAAGGCAAGGAGGGGCTAATGGATTATGTATGTAGTTGTTAACCATGTGTGAATCGGTACAAGCAAAAAGGATAGCAGCAGTAGCAGCAGCATTGAATGACAGCTCATGTGTTGGATAATAAATTTACACCATACCATATATATCGATCCATAAGCAGGCGAGATGACAATGCGTAATTATTAGGCACCAGCGATATTGTTTAGCCACTTGAAGGAGAGAGTAAGAGATAAGGTCATACGCCCAATGCTATAATTTGATATATTGCGTGGTAGTTGTCAAAAAGAGCAAAATGGGATAGGAGACAGTGTCAAATGAATCCACTTAGCAACCGTCGCCCAGACCACGACGAGCGGAATTTGACTTTGGAGTCGTTGCCTCGCTTAATTGCCTTTGTCTCTCTCTTTTGTCCTCCTCTTGTTCTCTCTCACCCCTCTCTCTCTCTCTCTTCCTTTCTCATTCACTCTCACCCACTTTCTCACTCTCACGCCAAACCATGAGTTCTTGGAAAATACCCGGTACTAAAAGTGAGCATTCAATCCATCCAACAAGCATTCATTCTATGTAAAGGTGTATTGGCATATTCACTTTTGTATACTTGTAGAGCACAAGGAACAAACGTCCTCATCGCCTTCATCATCATCACCCGTTCCTTCGACATCGTCTTCACAACAAGTCGAACCCAAATCTGGTGTGCTTCTTATACGAGTATGCGATGCACGAGATCTCTCGCTTCCACCAGGTGTCGAAGTACCTACTGCACCACCCCAACAACCGCAACCACCCTCTCGCAACCGTGATTCTTTGACCCGCAAGCAAAACTGGTGGTTACCTTATGTTGTTCTTGAATTCGACAAGAACGAGATCCTTGTGGATGCCTTGGCAGGTGATGCCACCAATCCCATTTATCATTATCGAGCCAATTTGTAAGTGTGTTTATCATCCATCTACCTTCAAGATCACCCCTTTTTTTCTCACTTGCTCCTTGGCTTAATTAACGTGTCGCTTATTTTGCATTTCCATCAATCCCCTTCTATGATGATGTCTCCTTTTTAGTGATGTATCACGTACTTCGGATGTATCGATATCCATTTATCTACGTCAACCACCCAAGGCTCAGGGATCAACCGAGCGAACTACCAATGACTATTTCCTCGGTGCAGTCAAGCTTCAGCCTAACTTTGATACAACCAAAGTTGATGATCAAGTCCTCAAGATTACCGGTGGTACCGGTGTTATGCATGTCCAACTCTGCTATAAGCCCCAACAGGTAAGGAAAGGGGGATGAGGATGAATGAATCATGGTCATGCTTATACCTTTATATAATAGGCGAGCCAACCGATTGCTTTTGATTCATTTGAATTGCTTCGTGTGATTGGCAGAGGTAGCTTTGGCAAGGTAAGCAAGGATAATATAGTTCATATATATTACGGCTATGGAAAACGATCATCGGGGGGTGGAAGAGGGCTGGACTTTTGATCAAAAATGGAAACTCATACCAAACACATTACACATTTGCGGGGGTGGGAGAATAGGTCTATGTGGTGCGTAAAAAGGATACCAACCGTATCTATGCCATGAAGGTGTTGCGTAAATCACGTATCATTTCACGATCTGAAGTAACACACACCATGGCTGAAAAGACCGTGCTTGCCAAAGTCAGCAATCCTTTCATTGTTCCTCTCAAGTTTGCCTTCCAAAGTCCCGACAAGCTGTACCTCGTCTTGGCTTTTATCAATGGTGGCGAGTTGTTCCATCATCTTCAGGTCGAAGGCAAATTCAGTGAGGAAAGATCCCGATTTTATACGGCAGAGCTGTTGAGCGCACTTGAATGTCTTCATGGTTTCAATGTAATTTATCGGTAAGATCATTTGATTGCGGGGGATGAACAAAGAGCATGACAATAATGGTATGGTCTATTTATTTCTAGTGATTTGAAACCCGAGAATATCTTGATTGACTACAATGGCCACATTGCCCTTTGTGATTTTGGTCTGTGCAAGCTCAACATGACAGAGAATGAGCGGACAAACACCTTTTGTGGTACACCCGAATATTTGGCGCCAGAATTGTTGTTGGGTCAAGGTTACACGAAATCAGTGGATTGGTGGACGCTTGGTGTATTGCTATACGAGATGATGACAGGCCTTCCACCCTTCTATGATGAGAATACCAATGAAATGTATCGCAAGATTCTTCAAGATGAATTGCGTTTCCCTGACGACATGTCCGAAGATGCCAAGAGCTTGTTGCGTGGGGTAAGTGAAAAGGAAAAAAAAAGTGTATGGGATGATAATAATCGTAATCCTAATTGGTCACATTGCCATAGTTGTTAACACGTGATCCTAACGAGCGTTTGGGTAACAATGGACCTGAGCATATCAAGAACCATCCTTTCTTTGCCAGCATTGATTGGCGAAAGCTATTGCAAAAGAAGTTGCAGCCACCTTTCAAACCCACAGTGGAGAGTGCATATGATACGACGAACTTTGATGAAGAATTTACATCCGAGAGACCTCTTGAATCGGTTGTCGATGAATCGCAAATTTCAAAGACGATGCAGGAACAATTTGCTGGATTTACTTATAACCCAGCCAACGATGGTGTCATGAGTGAAAGCTTCAATGGCAGCGTCGGTGTCAGTGTCGGAAATTCCCATCCCAGTGGATCCAAATGGTAGACACACAAACTTACATCCACCACCCTTTTTCGCAACAATTATATATATACACGAAGCCACTCCATATCCCATCCACATTTTTCATTACACTTTCACCAACTATTTTGTTGTATGCGTACACACAAAGACTTCTCCTACCCAAACGCACATCCAATAAAGTCTTTTTTTACATCATCCATCAACATTTATGGAATCCAACAAACTAATCTGATTTGGCATGCTCCACTGGTAAAGGGCTAACATAGATACGCCACAATGCAGCAATAGCATCCACAACGGTCTTGAGCATACCTCCCCCTGTGGATCCTGTGGTATCAATTTCAGCCAAGGTTGTTTTTGCTTGTGTGTACGGCGGGTATACTGCTTGAAGTGCTGCTTCACCGCCACTCGAAGTGATCAAGACGCTGCGTTTGTGGGTTAACTCATGGAAGCCATGTTCGCCATGATACGATCCTATGCCTGAAGCACCTTGGCCACCAAATGGCAGACTTGCCCTGCTAGCATGCATCATGACATTGTTGACACAAGCACCTCCTGAAGGCAATTGATCAAGTACTAGTAGTAAGAAAGGTTAGATGTAGAACACATGATCATGTAATAAACGAGCCTTACATTTGTTGATGGTGTGCTTGTTTTCACCAAAGATGTAAAGAGCAAGCGGTGTGTCTCGGTTAACCAAGGATGATACAATGCTGTCAATTGTTGGTACAACGATGATTGGGAGAATAGGACCAAAGATTTCCTCATCCATTAGCTTGAAGCCTTCAATGTCTCCTGGCACTTTGACAAGTGTTGGTGCAATATACAAATCTTCTCGATCAGTGTCACCACCATGTACGATCCATTTCTCGGATACGGATTGTAGCACCTGTGTCAATCGATCAAAGTGGCGTGGATGGATGATGCGTGCAAGTGAATCCGATTTTTGGGGATTGGTGCCAAAGCGGGCGACAATGGTTGATTTCATCTTTTCAATCAATGCATCGGCATTGGCCTGGGTTACCACAACAAAATCAGGTGCAATGCATGTCTATATTGACACCATGAGTCTTTTGCTTGTTTTCACATACCCCTGTTGGATTGCATTGTGCTCCCTTTTTTTCTTACCTGCCCTGCATTGAAAAACTTGCCCCAAACGATACGTTGAGCTGCCACGTCAAGGTTGGCATCGGGCAAAACCAAGGTGGGGCTATGATATGACGTGTTAATTGGTTGTCTTCCTCCTATTTGCATATACATACGACTTGCCACCCAATTCCAAAGTTACTGATGCCAATTGTTTGGCAGCTGCTGTCATAATGATACGTCCCACAGTGCCGTTGCCAGTGTAAAATACATGATTGAGTGGATACTCCAAAAGGCGAGTTGTCTCATCGGCACCACCATTGATAACAGCCACCACACTAGGATCAACATAGTGCTTGAGTCGATCCGCAAATAGTTGTGCCACATGAGGTGCAAGTTCGGAAGGCTACATATATGGATGGATGCGAATTAAAAAACGCTCGAGCCAACAAGATGACTTTTTTTACTTGCCTTGAGAATCACAGTGTTGCCGGCTGCCAAAGCTGCCACCACTGGTGCGATTGATGTTTGTACCTGTGATTGGGATACCGTTATTGTCAACAAGGTGACTGGATGGCGAAATAAATAAAAAAGCTTACGGCATAGTTCCATGCACCTACACAAGAAAAAACCTGTTAAAGCTAGTTACACACACACCCACATGCACCTGTTGTCTCTTACCAATCACGAGTACCACTCCTTTGGGTTCCTTGCGGATGACAGCATTACCCTTGAAAAACCATCCTGCTTCGGGATAGCTGGGACTCGCTAATCGGTGGAGGTTTTTGAGGAAACCTTTGATGTCTTTTTTGATAATGCTGATATCGCTAATGAGTGTCTCAAAGGTGGGCCGATGAATGTCTTTGAAAGATGCCTCGCAAATAGCTTCTTTTTCCTCATCCAAGAATCGCAACATCCCTCGTAGCACGTTTTTCCTAAACTCCAATGACCGCGTTTGGCCTATAGTCATACTCTATCGTTTAGCTGGGAGGAGACAATCATAAAGAAGCCAAAGTCAACCTGAGAGGTACATGCGTCGAGTAGCAGTAACGGCTGTCTCGATCGTTTCAATAGTAGCAAAATCAAGGGCAGTCATTTTGGAGAAGAAGATGAAAAAGTAAAGGAAAAGGAAAAAGCAAGGTCGTGCGTAGTTTATGCTAGGTTTTTGTACCATGACGGCCATTCGGCGCCCTTTCCCCCCAATTTGAAGCTCATCCATTCGCTGTTGGTCATCGTTTTATGTAATGAGTTTATGTACAATTATATCTCTACCTACTACAACTAGAATGATCAAGCTGACGTGGTGGTGGTGGTAGTGGTGGTATCATCATCTGGTTTCTTTCCTTCTATCGTTCCTTGATGAACAAACTCCAAGGTTGCCATGATGGTCCGCATATCGTGCTCCATTGTTTCAGCCCAATTCCTTACATCTCCAAGTTCCTTCATAGATTCATCCAATAAGCACATCATCCTTCACAATGACAATGATACATAACATACCTTGAGTGCCGTATTGAAATCATCCACCAATGATAACCATTGCTTCGTTTGCTTGGTGTATTTTGCCGTTTGGTTTGCGAGCTTACGCGATTCACTCTCGAGTTCTTTTTGTCGAGTAAACACCTCGGATACCCTGTTTTATGTTTGCTCAGTGTATTGACCATGGCATACACATGCTGATGCTTACCCTTCATTGAGATGAGTATTGAGGCTATCGGTGAGCTCATTGACAGCGCCCACGGCGTCTTTACGAAGCTGATCTACCCAAGAATGAATGAGCTACTGGTTCTTGGTTGCCAATCTAGTTGCCGTACCGTTTTCACGTTTACGCTCTGATTGTCGTTGCTGGTGTGCTTTCAATAACTGTGCAAGCGATGCATCCGACATGGTTCTCGTTTGGTGTTGAAAGTGTTATGGTGCGAGGTCAAGAAGCGAGCGACAAGAATTGGGACCCGTCATGCAATGGCTCGCTGTGATAAAGATTTGATTCATTTCCCCACCCCAAGAGCACCTAATAAAAGGACCATTGTTTTAGGCGTTGATTATGCCACTGAATAAGATAGCTCGTTGATCACTTGAAAATAGACAATGTGGGTACACTCTTTATGGACGAGACAACAGGTTGCATTGTTAAAGTCGGAGCACAGCCTAAATGATGGATGGCACATGAAAGTTGGCAACATTGCCTGCTAGCCGACAAGCTTGGACTTTGATATTATCCATTCACTCTTGCAAGAAGAAGCATACACACTTGATGATTGAAGCTATCCCATCTCTACTTGGTTGTCTCCTTCCTTCAAGTCACTTGAGATCATGTATCCATGCACAATGATGAGAGGTGGATGATGGCAATAAGGAGGTAACCATGGCATTCTTTCTCGTGGTACAATCTCATCAACACAAAACGCCCCAATCGATTCTTCCCAGAATTCCATTCAAATCCTCTCTACCTGATCATATCCTTCTCTCGTTATTCCCTTTGCCTTCCTCCTATCCCACTACCAAAAGACTTGTGCAATTACAGACTAGCGTAAAAGATATATACTATTAGTTTGAACACGAAAAAGATAAACTATTGGATACTGCAACACGACAACAAGGGTGTTTCCCTCCTTCCTCGTCTTTACAAATGGTCATATGGGAGGAGAACGTAATAGGGATTGGTGTTGTTGAGGAGGCCAATCGAATGAATCTGATACAGAGTGATGCATCATTGGAGGAAAATGCGTATAGTCGTGGTGTTGTGGTTGTTTTTGTTGGGGTTTTGTCGCTTTCAAAACGGTGGTTGGTAGACGTTGACCCATCCACATGTGTGGCACTCGTAGAGTTGTTTGGTGGGACCACAAGGAATAAGAGGGATGAAGCTAGAAGGGAAAAAAAGGGTGTATATAGGTTATATATATGAACGTCCATGACTCATCATCCATATAGCAGCCTCCCTTACCAGAATGTAAAGCACTCGTTGGCCTTCACAAGGTAGACGTCTCGAGCAGAGCAGTTGGGGCAGGTCCACACGTTATGACCCGATCTGCGCTTGAACTGATCAAAACCAACTAGATTGCCGGCATTAGCTCTCTTTGAAGAATAAAGTGGATAGTAGACTTGGTAGCCATCACTTACATGTAAAGCAAAAGAACATAATGTCGCCTCTGCAACACCAAAAGAAATACGAAAAAGAGAAAGAGGGGGGTTAGATTGGTTGTGCGGAGATTGTCTTGGCAAGCCAGCCCATTCATGCTAACGCATTTCGTTTGTTTTGTCTTGCATTGCTGCAGGCACACACGTTACATGACGATCGCTATGCTCGTTGCAAAAGTTGACATTGTTGTGTCCTAGAGTACAAAATCTTCATGTTGTGCATAATACGGATAACTTCGATATTCCTAGTCATTTGTCATACGCGTTGCATGCATAAAGATGTGTGGTTTAGCGCTGTTTTTGCATTGTTTGCATATAGTCCTCAGGACGAGATACTCTCTTGACAACATAACGAGTGGCACAATGAATAGATGTAACTCCCACGGAGCAACTCAAACCCATCATGATAATGAACAATGGTTGAAGGCGTCTTATCATGTTGCGTTTGTTCTTCCTTTTCTTTGTAATAGCATGTAGTAGATGTGCAACACAACGAGAATGATCGTCGACGTTGTCTTTTTCTCTGGATGGCAGGGAAATGTCGACCTTGTTTAAATATGATAATATTCTCGCGTGTAACAATCGGGTGCACAGATTTCTACTATATTGCTTCCGCTATATTGAAATGACGTAAATGTGTTGTATATGTATCGCATGCTCCCATAGTCCACACATTTGTTGTTTTCACGCCCATGGTTGGCAGTCACCACCAAGTGATAGCTTTTTTTGTGCAGTCCAAGTGAAACAGCGTGACAACCTGCATAATGGGCCAATGCATGTGTTGCGGTGTGTGGTCACCGTGTGCCTGTTTGACGAATTCCAGAAATGTTTAATGTCGCCGCACTTAATTGGAAAGAGAGGTTCTGGATTGTGCCATTACGATTATGCAGCCGACATGGCAACCAATGTTGCCGAGTCTTGTATGCCATTGGTGTTTATGTATAGCAATGGCAACGATAATTAGAGATGGCACTTTTCTAAAAGGAGAAGTAAACAATCGAACATAAAGGGGGGGACAATGCATGATATCAAAGAGATATACCACTTGAATTGGGATCGACTATCCGAATCTGGTTATAAAAGTCTCCGACTCAAATGGCAATCCCAACATTATATTTTTGCCTCACATTTTCTGTGTAGAAACCATTTCTCTACTTTTATTTTCTTCACACTCTATATATGCATCAAGATTCCACGCCCTCCTCGTCTCGAACGACGAGCAGTAATGGGAGCAACAGTACACGTCCACCCTTTTACCATTCCAATTCCTGCCCCAATATACCCGAGCTAAAGTTTACTGCTGACGGTGACGATGATAACGTGAACGAGAAACGACCCTCCATATCGCATCATTCAGACTCGGAACATGAAAAGGCCGAAGATAACCACTCATCAGTGAGCAATACGGATACCTTACTAGAAGCGGCCCTGGAACGAGAAGAGGCACAGGATCGACATACACGATATCAAGAACATGTTGCCAGGTCGGCAGCACTTGTTGATCGCATGCTTAATGATACGCGTGGCAATGATGCAGCAACCAACTTGCAACGCTTTCGGTCATCGAATAGTATTGTGGATGAAGACCCTGGTGGTGAAGAATCCATTTCTGCAGGATTACCTTATTCCATGAATGGTGCAGCTATGGGTGCTGGTGGCAGTGTCTTATCATCCTTGATGAAGTTGGAAGCACAACGTCGCCAAAAGGAACAGCAAGAAAGAGAACGCAAAAAAACAAAAAAGGTTGGTGCTAACTTTTCGGGCAATCGGAACATCTTTTGCGCATTTAAATGCCTCATCTCACACACCTTGCATGTGAATACGTATCTAGAAGCAAGGTCGTAAGAAAAAGAAACGACCTGAATCGTTCCATCAAGAAGCCGAGACAACCGGTTATAACCAACGACCCAAACTTGCTCATCGACCTGCAAGTTGGCTCTCGAATGTGACAGCTTCCAAACATCTGGTCCCCAGCCTCGAAAAAAAGAAACTCATGTCGCCTTCAGTGTCACGCCGTTCATCCGTCGATAGCCTTTTTACCACAGCATCCCAATTTGAGCCCATCACACTCGAGGATCGTATTCGTATCACGTTTGAGATTGCCAACATCTTGCAAAAACAGGAATTCCTACGTAAATTGATCAAGTCACTCATGTTGTATGGTTGCCCAGCACATCGATTGGAATACATCATGCGACGTGTATCAGAAACCATTGGTGTCGACGCCGAATACGTATACATGCCCAATGTCATGTTCATGTCTGTTTTGGATCATGGTACACATACCACCGAAACCCACTTTATTCGACAGACACAAACATTTGAAATGCACAAATTGGGTGAGATTTATCGATTACAAAAGCTAGTGTGTCATGGTGAAGTCTCTGTGGATGAAGCACTTGAAATGCTGGATCGTGTGGCGAGTGAACCTTCTCCCTTTCCACGTTGGCTCAATCCATTTGTATACGCTCTTGCATCCTTTTGTGGTTGCTTGCTCTTTTTTGGTGGTGCTTGGATCGACGCGCTGGTGGCAGCTGCATTAGCAAGTAATGTACTCCGCCTCATCTCATATGCATTTTCACCTTGTTCATCCTTGCAATTTAGTGGTCTTTGCTGTTTATGAGCTCTTTTCCGTTCGCATCGAAGGCATTCAACCCATTTGGGAGATCACCGTCTGTATACTCATTGGCTTTGTTGCTCGAGGTAAAGGAAAAGTCCACACATTGCCACATTGGTTTAGCTCACCTATCCTTTCTTTGTTAGCCATTACAAAGTATGAATTCTGCTTTACACCCATCGCCTTTTCGTCGTTCATTGTCATTCTCCCTGGTTACCCCATGGCTTTAGCTATTGTCGAGCTTGTATCCAAGCAACTTGTCAGCGGTGTGGTGCGTATGGTGTATGCAATGGTGTACTCCTTTTTACTCGGCTACGGCATTCAAATGGGATCATCCATTTATATCTTGATTGATCCAAGTACGAGCACGACGACTTCCAGCTGCATGGCTGCAACCAACATTGGAACATGTGATCAGCAACGTATCGACCAAAAGTTCTTTATTTTACTGGTACCCCTCTTTGCAGTCGCCTATTGTGTCTTTGTACGTGCACGTGTGTTCCGTTGGCCCGTCATGATTATCGTTTCCGCCATTGGCTATGTCGTCAACTTTTGCTTGTCATGCTACGCCCAAGCACCTTCACAAGTGCTCCAAGTGGTGCCAGCCTTTACCATTGGATTGTTGAGTAATTTGTTGACCAAGGTTACGGGCAAAATGTCGTTCGATACGGTGTTGCTTGGCGTGTTTTATCTCGTGCCGGGAGGTTTGAGTATCAAGGCAGGATATGGTATCTTTGATAGCGGCCAGAATGATGCTGTATCGGATAATCTCGGTAACCAAGGAGCCAACTTTGCTCTTAGCATGATTGAAACGTCCATCGGTAAGTTGATTGGAACAGTGCCTACACCTCCCTTCTCATCTATTTTTGCTAGGTATCACAATTGGTCTCTTTGTGGCAACGCTCTTGGTCTATCCCAAAGGAAGCTCACATACACCGCTTATGAACTTTTAATTATTCCCACCTATATCACTATTTGTACATATGTATAAAAAATCGGAGAGCTTTATTATCGTGATGGATTGGATGCTGCTGACATGTGGACATGGTTTGTAAAAGAGTGTTGGATGAATAGCAATGGGTCTCTCAGGGCATATATAGCCTATGATAAACTCCTTTTCGAGATGGTGATGTTTGATGAAAGGTAAAGCGTTGTTGGTATCCATGGTGTGCGACATTCTTTTTATTCAAAACTATGATCGGATCAATGATGCCATGCTCTTCATCCACAATCAATGTTAGTCCTTCGTTTGTTGGTTTCTTTATTCACGATCCCCATTCTTTGTAATGCTCTTTTTGTAAACTAAAAGGGTTCTTTATTGTCCACAATGAAAAAGGTGATTGGAGGATGGTGCTAAACGCCCTTTATGCTTCCCACCGTCGCTATCGTTGCATCCCAAATGACTTCCTTGAACCTTCCTGCCACCACTACTACCATCATCATCATCACCATAATGTTCTGGTTCTTACCGGTCATTGATAGCCATCATCAATCTCATCCACAACTCGCTCGTATTCAAGGAAAGATAAACTGCTCTTCACCTTCTTCGTGCTAGCCATGCGTTTTCCGATGATCACTCGACGTGTTATTGACGCGCAAAGAGACGTTGAAGGTACTACCGATCAGCTTGTCATTGTCACCATGGCAACCTTTACGCCTCCCATTGCTCACGTTTCCTGATGGAGGGAGTAGGTTGGGTGTTCCTTTGCCCATTGATTTCAAAAGTAAAAGTCAACAGCGTTATACATGATCCTCGATCCATTTCTACCAATGTCGTTACTGGTTGCCATGGTCCCATTCAGGCTGTCGCCATAGGTTACAAAGATTACCAAGATAGACATAGATCATGTAGATGCATGCACACAATGATCGCAATAAACGTAGTATACATTGTAATAAGAACAAGTGGAGGATTTGATTTATTAGCGTACAAGAGGATACTATCATCATTATAGTAAACAAGGGCAAGTGGGTGATCTATTACTATTACTACGTATGTGGGGCCATGTTGTGGAAAGGGGGACTCCTAATACTATCACCACCTTCTAATACTATCGCCCCCTTCTAATACTACTATCATTATCATTTCATAATTTTGGTCGGCAACCAGAACTGCTGGTATAACGCAACACTCCAGCAGACGGCGCCTCATCTTTCCTCATTGCAGAAGGGGAACCGCTTCACGTCTGTAGCGCTAGCGTAACCTACACCCTGTCAACTGCGAGGTAAAGGAACTCTCATGCCAACCTCACAAGGAGCAAGGCATATACATACTCCACTCCTGCAACAATGACCAGAACACGCTTAGCGGATAACATCCAGTCATGCTACGACCCAAGAGCATCCATGAACACGACCAGCGCAACATGAATACTTTCAGGCGGAGGGGTAACGAAGAAGGGGGAAAAAACCTCGCTTTGTTACGCGGCAAAGGCTGAGGAAAAAAACCCCCTGTGCAGGCCACTCCAATCAACTTGTTCTAAAACAAACTTACATGAGTACACAGCACCAAGAGATGAATGAACAATAGAAAACTTACCGGGCAAGAGAAAGGAGGATACTGCGCCTCAAAGGAAAAGGGCTCTGTTTTATAAGAAAAAGAGCGCTCTTTCAAACGCGCAAATTTTTGAATCCCAGCGTGGTTTTTTTACGTGCTTTTTTTCGCGCTTTTTCGTCCAATTTCCTTTTATACTCAGCGCGTTTCGCGTCGCGCGTTTTACAGCCTAATCTCTGCCTAAAGACGCCGTTCTTTCTTGTACATGTGGGCAAGTAGAAGGGGAAGTAAAATTGTGTTGTCAATGACAATCATGCAAACTGACACCTCCTATTGTGGCACGAAGCTATCATGCCGACGCCGATCCGGAGAGATGCAGCTAACAGCGACGCCATGTACCACTGCACCTTCTATATACGTACATGTTGATCCACTACTTTAAAACAAAGCTTATTGATCCTATCATGCTGCATCAGAAAGAAAACATACGCGTTCTGTATCAAATTTCTGGCATAGCACACAAAAGTTACATGCATTTATTGGTAAGAAACAACATCTTATAGCGAGCTTTATATGTAATCGTCCTGTTACATCTTTTATGTGTCATTCTGAAGGAAGAGGAATGTTGCTTGAGAACGGTTGAATGATTCGTGTGCATGGAGACAGGTTGATAGGCAAGTATCCCAGCGGGTTTTATCCACCAACGTCAAAAAGTTTCAGCCATCTCACTCTGCATCCCCTTCTTCTCTTTTTCTTTGACGCCCGCCTACATACGAACGACTCAACTTGGAATTGCCGCCAGCATTGACCAAGCACGATCCAAGAGCTTCATTTCAAACGGTCCACCGCCACCCATTGTGAAACGACGACGTTTCTTTTGTCGACAAGATACGAATGGAATGAGGCATCTCTACTTTGGAAACGATGGCATCAGATCTGCTCAATGTTGGTAAGATGCTGGAAACCATGGGAAAGCGAAAGGTGTATCACAAGACGTCCCTGCAACAGCTGTAAGCATCTTCCCTATGCCAGCTATTCACCTCCTGTTATACTCACTTGCCAAGGAAGGTATCAGTAACGCTGTCGGATGGTTTTGGATCAGTATACTATTGTCGTATGCAATCTTGTGGTCTTGCATTGCCTTGGTATGTGGGTGTCGCGTTTTTTATCTATAGCACCGTTGGCTAATTATACACCACAGGATCTACGTGCACAAGCCATATGTCAATCGCCAATGATAACGCCACACACAAGCTGCATGAACAAAGTCAGCCATATCCATGTCTTATAACACCAACATTACGCTTATCGTACACGCCACGCCATAAGGAATGGTATACATGTCGACTGATGAGGAGCAAACGTTGCCTGAAGTATCTGGAGCTCGTTTTCTTCAAGAGACAACGCACCATCTGAATTCCGACAAGGCTGCAACTGCCACTTTACCGAATGCCTGGAGGTCATTGAAGCCTATCGTCCATCTACTGGAAAGAAGGTGCTGCCAAGAGATAACCATCATTGCAACTTTGTGGCCATGTTATCTATGCATCCATCTATGCTCTCTTTACTGCTTCTGAGGACCAGCTTTATAGCTATGACCTTGTTCGCTGCCAACATTGGGAACATGTATTCTGGTAGTGCCTCGACAACGATCAGCGTTAACTTTTGGCAAAGGCTATTCATGGTTAGGTGTCCAAGCTGCCATTGGAGCTGAATAGGTAATCCATTTTGCCATGTTTGGTTGAGACCTCAAGAGTTGTAGGATTTGCTTCAAGGACATGACCAGTGAATCGGTGAGTATTTTGAAGGAGCATTTCAAGAGTTTATCAACGAAGTGACTCGTCGTATTAAGGATGACCCGTTTTGTGCCCGATCTCTTTTGGCCCCTTGGATTATTGGTGGGATGGACACCGAGACTGGAAACATCAGCTGCTTGGCATGATACATAGTTTCAAAGGATACAATGATCAGTAGATGGGTCTATAGAAAGAATATACATGTCCATTGGATGCTGGAAATATACCATGTAATAGAAGATTACGGGTCTGCGGATGATAAAATAAATATACGCTATCCTTGTTTTCTTTTGTATCGAGCAGGGGAATGTTTGAGAATCCCTGGTTTTGGAATAAGATGCGTTAGCAATGGCACATCGGCTTTGGGATAATCTATCATAAAGAGACTTGTTGTTTCTCACAGCGAATTCCAAGGTGTTCTTTGTGGTATGGCTCTTTATGGCTGCATTGTGCTCATATCTGAATGACCACTATATAAATCACCCATTGTCTTTCACTTTTCTCCTTATATTGCTTCTTGCTCATAAACGATGCTATCCATTTCCCCATGTCGGATCCAGCTCTAGAGCACTTAATCTTTCTTTATGCATTGATTGTAGATTGACATTGCATTTTCTCATCACATAAATCAATATCATCGAATCGTCCACCATTTACTTTATTTCGCCTGTATAAGGTACCAAAAGTACCAGTGATAAGATTGCTACGAGTCTATTGTCAACGCGCGAGTCAATACGATTCTGAAACAATCTTGCATACTTTGATCCATCAATCAATGCTATTTTGCATACAATCTTACCGCAGCAACCATGTTCCTGTGCATCGTTTGCAGACAAATTTGGCGGAATTGGAGCTTCCAGATCGATCTTGTCATAGCAACCATCATCATCCTGTTATTCATTATCCTAGCTTCATTCAAAGGTGGGGCCTACTTGCATCCAGAGAACGCTTTGATCTGGTAGTACAACAACAGCGCGTATGGTACCTCGTCTTCCTTCAGCGATGTCTTGTAGTCTTTGTTGTGTTAGGGCGTCGTTGTGAGCGCGTTGGTTGTTCATGGATGGCGTCACCATATGAAAGCTGAAGTCTGTTGTTCAACATGTCGCTTTTACCTGTTCCAGTAGGTAGCACGACAATGCCATCGCGATTACCAAACATGGATAGCATCAAGGTGTCAGCATGATCTTTTGAACGTGGTGTAGCATTTGGACCATGCAATGCGGCCAAGCAAGTCATCATGATGTCGTAGTTTGACATTGTGGTGATTGGTGATGATGGTTGTGCGCGACTTGATGATACATGACGAGTTGATTGTGCATGTGGTGGTGATGAATAAGCATCGATATCGATGGGTTCCAATTGATCGAAAAAATCATCCGTATCCTCATGTCCAGGTGTGGTGACCATAGGTGGAGACATGGGCATATGGGTGGGCACAGAAAATGGTGTAGCCATGGAAACAGCGGGTTGTTGATGTTGATGATGATCTGACAACTGTCTCAGGGTATTCTCCATCTTGTTCACCACATCTTGGATAGCTTCAAGCTGGTCATGAAACTGCTCCTTCACCATGTCCAATGCAACGGCCAATGTCGCAATCTGGTTATTGAGATGGACTTGTTCCTTGCCACCATCTTCATGGTCGATGCAAAGGTTTGGTGTTGCTGTTGAAAGTAGCCCATACAATTCGGTGGACATGGAAACGCGGACTTTGCTATTTGCACCATGTCAAATGCACCACGTTAATTCCAGCAGAGATAGCTATATCGAAAGTGACAAGGTGGCGTGTATGAGTAATGACTCATCAAGCAACATTATCAGACTTTACCTCATTACAAGAATACAATACTGCAATACAACGACAATGAGAGTAGGATAAAAATAAAGCACTATGAATGACCACAAAGATAAACGCTTCTTCACAAAATTTGCAAGAAATGGGATACGTACAAAACCTTGGACGTTTGACCTTGTAAGCAATCAAAGATGACAGAGAAAAGAGACGTGTAGGAGTATGATGGGCGGCGACAACATCCTTTTATTGTGCACGGGTGGGCGTGGGTACTTGTATCTGTTGGGGATGATGCATTGGCAACCTGTCAACATGTGTTACTACAAACCCTGACACATTCATGCACGAACACGCCATCCAACATTAAGAACCACCACCGTCTATTCTCGGTACAATGGAAATCTCGGCGCCCTTTTCATACTTCTTCCATCCTAAAGCGATCATTCATGCACGACCACGTGTTGCTGTCATCTTTGACACCTTCCATTACACTCCTCTTACGCTTACGTCGTGGCACCAAGCTCCTCAATGTCTGTCGGGCCAAACGAGGCATTGATCTACTCATGTGGCTCCCAATGTCCCCTAGAGAACGTAGCCGCTGTATACGTTGGCGCTTAGGCTGGTTACCAGGTGGCAAACCACAAACATGTCCCAAGTGCAATACACCTCGTGGCACCACCAAATCACACTTGACTCATTGCCTTAATATGCATACACGTTTGCAAGTTCCCATACAAAGTATCTGGTGCTCACTACTCAACCTCTCTATAACCACGTTGTACCACTTGTGAACCCTCTACTCTCCTTCACCTATTATTGCACTCCCTCTCTCTCTATTCATATCATTGAACTTCCCTTCACCCTTTTTTCCCATCCATCACCTTACACAAACCTTTACCTTACACGTGGTACTCATTTCAAGGGCTACGTCCAAAACCCAACAACTTTCAAATCCCTATACAAAACCTTCCCCTTACACCTCTGTAGCATCCTCAATACGAAAAATGAAAAACAAGACAACGAATCACGTGACCACATACAAAATCAAAACAAAAGGTAATCGTCACCTGCAGGATTCGAACCTGCGCGTCCAAAGGACAATGCCTTAGCAGGGCACCGCGTTAACCACTCCGCCAAAGTGACGAACTACTTGCATTGTCGATGTGAAACATTTAGGTATACTTAAAAATTTCCTTTTGCAGAAAACAAAAAGAACGTCGTATCGTTATGAAATTACCACCATCATGCAGCGGAGAGAACGCTCTTTTGAATGGTAAAGATGGAATACATGTATGGGAGGTAAGTGTGCAGCAATTTGGGGTGAAAGATTTGGGTCAACGTTGATTGGTCAGGGGGGCAAGTTGAATGAGCTGGTCGCTTCTCCGATATGGTTGGTGTATAGGTGAGTACTTTATGCACCACCATTTACATAGCCACAAATAAAGTTTAAAGCTGTTAATGCCAAGTTGAGTAATATCAAGAGACATGCAAAGGAACAGGAAACGTGAATGTTTTCTTCAATGACGTTTATTCTGACAATTACTATTATCCCGTGCTAACATACGTAGATGGATTTCTATTAGAGCTGTATGCGACATTTGTAATGGATGCTAGTGAATCACAAGAGTTGCACTCATGTTGTCATGGAAACGAAAAGAGTGTTCGATGAACTTCTTGACAATATTGCTGCTACTGGCTGTTGGTTATCATCACCTCTTAAGAACGTATTCTCATCATGACCAAGCCGAATAAAACATGACATTATCCACTACCATGTTGTCAACTTGGGCTTCACATGCTGTTGCTCCATTGCGACATCAACAGGGTCTCCGATGGGTAATCGTTGCTTTTCAGAATGAGCTGGATTGCTTTCGGTAATCTAGGTGAAGGAGTTGGGTCAAGGCATCGCTTATTCGAGTTGTGTGAAAAGTGAGAGAAAGAGCGTTGGGTGGGGTGAAATTGGCATCCAGCGCCGGCTGCTGTCTTGTGGTATTCAATGAACAAAGGTCTCCGGGGACTTGAATCACACTTGCATATGCTCGAGACATGAATCAAACAAAACTCTAGAACATGTGTCTTTTAGCTGGTTGGAAATATAGGGGTATTGATTAGCAAAGCCATTCAACACAATGAGTCCATAAAAAAAGAGGCAAAGACCTACACCAATTTGGGAGATTGTTATTCCTGGAATCAGCAATGGATACTTGGTGATGATGATGGCATTGTTTAATTCAAAGGAACATGGCGATTGTAGAAAATCAACAGCTTTATTCTTTTGCAGCATCATAAAGGGGGTGCATCATTGTCCGTGTAGTAGTCATTAACGCTATCAAATGTTGGAATCATATTTACTTGCTTCTCTTTCAATCATTACATCACCTTCGCCAATCGCTGCTTTGTTCAAGCTTGCAAGCAATAAAAGGTTTGCCGCTACATGATTGATGATAGCACAAAGCTTACAACTGATTCCCTTTCAGCAATGGTATCTAATAAAAGTGCAATGGTCCGTATGGCTAGTGCGGATATTCTCAAGCGGTTGGCATCTTATGAAGCGGCGACACCTTCACAAGAAGAACTGGGAGATTGGATCAACTATAGTCTGCTACGACCTTCGTTGTCTGATGAAGAATTGGAACTTGCTCTTCAGGTTTTCAGGAACCATACTGCCATTAATGATGATCAGCTACAAGTAATATTCGACCTTGAGCCGTACGACATTGATTCGGGAGTACCACCATCATCAACAGAATTTGCATTCTACTTGGTCAGTGTCACGGTGCCTGTCAATATAGTCCAAGATTTCTTGCTTCAAGTCATACTCGCAAATGACAAAAATGGTGATTCGGAAGCAGTATTTGAAGATTGGGAAACCATGTTTGCTCTTCAAGCGGTTGATGGTGCGAATTGTCACGTGCGATACATTGGTCAATGCCGTCTTTCATGCAACACTCCTGAGCGGCGATTCAAAAACATCTTTGGCGAGGTTCCTTCGCGACCTGTCTCCTGGTTTGTCCACTTCCTTGAAACGCGCTTTTCCGCTGATGAGCTACATGACCGAATCAAGCTGTACGAATTTGCTGGAGCACGCTTACCATTAGGATCGACAAAGAGACAAGGCGATCAAGTGGAGAAGCAACTCATTGCTGCATTCGACATTCGACTCTTGCTCAATGCACAAACGGCTGGCTACAACCACTTTTATTGGCGACCCAACGACCATCAACGCCAAGTATTTGAGACCGTAAAGACTTGCTTCTACCAATCCATGGCAACATTGGCAAGGTTCCCTGAATGCGATATCAACAAATGGCTCGCATGCTTACGACATTTCCCAGGCGCGACCGACGACGTTATGAACATGCTTGTTCAACAAGCAAGGCATGAAACATTTGGCGACTCAACCATTGCAGTCATCATTGGAAGTGGTTTACACAAGGTAGCATTATCAAATCTTCAGCCATTCTTCCAAAGCAAGACACGACCGTCCATGGCAACTCGAATGATTCTCAACAGCTTGATTGATGTCGAAGAATGTCCTCGTAGTAATCCAACCGTGTTACGATCCGAATACTTTTTGCCGTTGGTGAACCTGATGCCATTTGGAGTTGATGTTGGTTCTTTCGATCAAAATCTCGGGCAATTGATTGAATACCTCCATATCACACGACCGCTTATTTGCATTACTATGTCTTCACAATCTTCTTCTTGTGCACGATCCAACTTTTGCCATCGATACGGGTTGCCAAGACAACACTACCTGGATCACGTGGGCGTTGCCACCTTACAGCATTATGCCGGCGAGATGTATTTCAATGATCCAGCATCTATCCATCCTCCAAAGGGATACAAGACTATCATCATTCCTCATCTGCATCCTGACGTTGAAAGATTTGACCGTCGCCCTCGTTCACTTTATACCGTATTTTACTACACTTGGGCAATCACGTTCTTTTGGATGCATACGGCTCAAAGACTGGTATTGGAATTGGGATCTGAATTGGATCACGATAGTCTCTGCGAGTTGTTATACCAGCATTGTGCTTATGATGCACCCAACCTACCAGAAGAAGCTCGAGAGCTTTATCACGAGTTGGAGCATGCCAAGAAGGAATTATCATCTCATTGGACTCGACGACGTCTCAAGGTACAGAATGAACCCATGGATCCACATGTTGCAACAGCATTGACTTTGGCAGGATCAGAAGCAAGATCACTTGGTGCTACTCAACGCATGGAAGCCATTGGTAGAGCTGTGGGTCGCCCTAGGAGCAAGGAACGGCAACATCAGGTGGCACTTTTATGGAAGAAGCAATATCCCGATTTATTTGTGCATATCCCATCAAGTGATCGTGATGCTTGGTTCAAATGGGCAAATGGTGTCCCTCAAGACCGCTTTTATTCGCTGAGTGCATTGGCCTGCAAGAGTCACATTGGCGCGGCTACTGGTGATGACCATCCACTTAAGAAGCTTATCAAAAACTTTGGGCCCGAAGGATGTGAAGATGACGATTGGATGGAAGACGAGGATCAAGTGCGTGAAGCTCTCTCACGACGTGGTCGTTATATGCTGGGTGGTTTGGAAGGCAATGCTTTGATCGATCGTATGCGGCAATTATCTGAATCACGTTGGATGCGAGATCGACTCCCTTTTCATCCACTTCTTGAAGGGTCTCAAGTCAAGATTACAAGAAATGGCTCACTGGTGTTACGATGGATGGATGATAGTATGCAAGGCGAGGAGGCACGTGAAATCGTTATCGAGATGCGTTGCTTTGAGTGGATCCCTTTGGAATTGCGAGGTGAAGAGGAGATGTTTACGCTTCGTTTCTTGTCGACTGGTCTTGGATTACAAGTGAACAAGGACTTTGGATCAGATGGCATGAGCGGTGATTTCATTACAAGACAAGGATTCTCCAGGTTCGAGGCACCAGCTTTGATACGCCAGCAAGCAGGTTTTGGTCTTCACCGATATGCTGTTGACTTGGATCGTCTTTGGAGAAGTGAACGAGCACGCATTGAAAATACAGCACCAATACAACCAATGATTGTACAACAACCTCAAGGAAGATCAGCTTTGATGTGTGGCGACAACCCCTCCAAATTTACCTTGCCATGCAATCCTCAAGATGCAGTGTACCTTTTGCAGCAATGGCTTCTCAATGATTATCCTGAACAGGGAGGAGAGGTGACAACGCTGAACCCTTACAAGATGTAAGTGTAGATGTTCATCGCCTTGAAAATTGCCCTTGATTAATAATCATTCTTGTAGCTATACGCTACGAACACCTTTGCCCGATACCAAACCTTTTGAGCAGTATATTGTCATGCATCATCGATCTCATTCTTTTGCGGATTTCTGGCTGGATTTGATCCACACTCTCGGGAACACCAAGAACGCTAGTGAGATACTACGTTTGAATATAGCAGCTATTCGTCAAGGTGTCACGGTGATAAGGAAGCAAACAAGATTGAGAGAAAGCAATGCAGGCATTGAATACAGGATTATCAAGTTCAGTCGCCCTAAATAGTATTAGATACTTGCATGCCTTTGCTTATTTAATCCATCACATACACCAGGTTGAATAAATTCACAAAACGTAATAAAGGGATCATCTTGTAACTTCAAGTTCCACCATAAAAACGATTTGGATTAAACATAATCTTTAGAGTATCGTGCTATCAACTCATATGTGCATGGCGTTGATCACTTGCCTGATTTCTGGATTGAAAGGGGAAATAGAAGTTGAAGGTCGGAAAGCAAGACGACTGGATCATTTATATCGTCGTACCTAGGTGGTTTTGTTCTGTTACCACAACATTACTACATTCACTAAAGATTCCTAGCTCACATGTTGATGGAGGCTGCCTAGTCAGTGTTAACGCTAACTTAGGTGGCCTTATAAAAGAACGAACCATTCCACACGGGCTATTACAAGCGGACCTTACCATAGGCTCGTACGGGAAGGATCCATCATCCATCACGCCGCCAATAGCATTGACCCTTGCAGCTCAACCCAGTCAGATGTGCTATACAAACACGCCTCTGCATCTTCGGCTCTCAAGGATGTAGCGGGCCACTTGACAATGAACAAAGACTACCCTTCATATAGCATCACGCTGCTTGCAACATAAAGACCCCACGCTTGATTTTAGAGTTTAGAGATACAGGCTCATTTATGTTTTACTTATGCCGTCAGCGTGATGGAGTTGCTTTTTCCTACTGGATGGTGTCGACTGCATGAACGGAAAGATGAGCTGAGCGAAATGGCACGTGGTTACACAGACACATCCTTGACAGGTTGCTGCACAAATGGATGATGACGATGATTGCCTTTTGTGAAGGTACGCAAGTAAACAGCATCAATAATGAAGGTGTGTCGTGACTATGATGATACCATATCACACTTGGATGTAGGAGAAGGTCGAGCTGCATAAACCAATTTGTACATGTAAACTCACCAGTAATCAACTCAGTGGAGGGATCACTTCACTTTTTCTCTTAAGGTCATTCCACTCCTCCTTATTGTATCGTAAAAGCCATATACTTCTTGCATGACCCATAATCGAACCACCTTTATTATTCCACCTTCGAAGCAATAGTATGTAATCCACAAGCTAGCAAAGTCCAAGCGTGTAATAAATAAACAATGCTTTATTTCACCTAGCTATCTTGCTACATTGCCACCACCACCCTCGTAGTCGTCGTCCGTCATCATTCGTACTCGTACTCGTACTCGTCAGCAGGCGTCAATCTCCTCGTCGCAAATATCAAAGACACACAAGTTGAAGTGAATGAGATCTTGCAGGCTTCCTTAATCTCGCTGTCGTTATCATCGTCGTTGTTGTGAATGAGGTGATCATCATAATCTTCATTATTGTGAATGTGGTAATCATCGTATTGGTCGTCTCTATAAGTAGAAAGCAGCCAAGTTAGACCATCTGATACCGGGAATGATGACGATTTGGTATACCGTTAGGCGATCCTCTCCAAGGAAGAAAGCAAATCAGAAGGAATTCACAAACCAAACCACCACCATACGAGCAACGTCGGGCGATCCCTTGTTCTTGAGAAAGCACTGCACGAATCACGCAAGGCCAGTTCGATCCATGGCAAGGAAGGACATCACTTACGTAGAGTCCAGGCTCATAGTTGTCCTCATTCATCCTCTCCAAAGAAAGAATGATCCCCAATCCTTCCAATCATTTCCCATCTCATGAAAAGAAATCCTCAAGGGAAAGAACGAGTCTATCACGAGAAGAGCGTGTTGGTTAAACACATTCACAAGCTGTTGTAAATCCCCTTTTACCTCAACACGGTGACCATGCTCTTCCAAAAACCCATCGTCATCGACCCATCCTCAACTCAACGCAGGCCTATAGAGCCCTGGACGCGTTCCAAGAAGCTTTTCCAGCACACTTGGCTAGTGCAGAGCGACGCAGCGGCCACTTGATACAGGCTGGGACTTGAACCCAAAGAGATGATGATGATGCCCCAAGTTGCATTGCCTGACCAAAGAAACCTATTCGATTCATTATTAGCACACACACACAATAAACACCCTTTTCATTGTTTGCTTCATTGCACTTGCCTTTTCCATAGACATAAAGTTCCTTTGCTGCTGGATGTTAGAAACCGAAAACCATGGTGTAGTGTTGTTGAGCCGAAACAAAGCGCCAAACCAGCCAACGTCTTGAAACCAAACTTGCCCCCTATATAAGCTAACACGTCAATGGAACAAGTTCAGCTGCAACATTGGACTCTGAATGTACCTGTTGACACCAAGCGTAAGGCGGGAATAGCAACGAACAAGAGGAAGCAACGATATCGCCATGGCTACCACACTCATTCCTATTTAGCACTTGGACACACTCACTCCCTGACAATGCATGTCCAGAACTATGTTAATGCCGCACTCTTTTATGGTACAATACCTTGATCGAGATGTCCTGAATGGGGATAAAAGCAGAGGAGGGAGAAAGAGAAGAGAAGCGTTGTCTCCAAGTCGTGGAGCTGCTGTCCCCCAAGTTTAACCTTACCCTACCTTACCCCACCTTACCTTACCTTACTTTACCCTCAGCCTTACCCCCTTACCCTTTCCCCAATACACACCATCCACCCATCATCATCATCACCCTCACGATAGGCAATAGGTACACGCAAATAAAAGAAATGATCCTCACGTATAGCAAAAGGGTGAGTGCCATTTTACACTTTACATGATAATGATGATCCAACAACAGCCATTGCCTTTACTACCAGGTTACCTCGAATCAAGAAAGTTAAATGATGGGAATGATGGGCTGGAGCAGGGCAATCGTTCGTATGCATTGGATTGGGCAACAAAGGTGAATGGGAGGAATGGGCTATTAGCCGGCAGGTTTACAAATAACTTACCAATTTGATTCTTCTGATATTGGATGATGTTTCTGTGTTTGAGCGTTTTTCAGTCAAATGTCATCGGATCAAGAAAGTTGAATGATGGGCATGCTAGGCTGGAGCAGGACAATCGTTCGTATGCATTGGATTGGACAACAATAGAGAATGGGAGGACTAAGGTTATTAGGTGGCATTTTGAACTATTCCTAAATAGTGTACAAGAATCATGCATCGCCTGTGCTGAACGACTCGAGTTACTCAAACACGCCCTCTGCATCTTTTGCTCTACTATAGTCATATACTTTACATTAAACAAAGACCACTCTTCATATAGCATCACGCTTACAAACATAAAGGTGCCTGTATCTCCAAACTTTACAATGAAACGTGGGGTTTTGAATAGAGCAATGGGCTCGGCTTGGCCAACAGCACCTTGTGTGAAAGTTTCATGATCAAGCTTGCCGATCCCAGATTTCGCAATGTCGCCACCAGCCAAACTGGATCTGGGGGTCGAACTCTTCGACGACGACGACGAAAAAATATTTTTTGGGCTGTTTGCGACATTGAACGCGAAACTTTCACACAAGGTGCTGTTGGTCAAGCCGAGTACATTGCTCTAATAAAAACCCCACGTTTAATTGTAAAGTTTGGAGATACAGGCGTCTTTATGTTTGTAAGCGTGAGGCTATATGAGAAGTGGTCTTTGTTCATTGTCAAGTAGGTGGACCCTGGCAGAGCCAAAGATGCAGGAGGATCTCTTTGGGTAACTCAGCTACTTTGCATGACTGCAAGGATGGAAGGATGATACTGTATACTATTGACAATAGCCCATACATTGCGAGCTAACAGCTACTTCCACCCAATACCAACTTTTGTCTACTCCATCATAATGGAACTATGCTCCTCCTCCAGACATTCATTTCCTTGATTCAATTATCTTGATTCGAACTGATTTGGCTGAGCTACGGTCAAAGAGAGATTACTCAACCCATACATCAGCATACATTCGAATGTCTCAGCTGTTAATCCTTGTTCGACCGTAACTCAACCAAATCAGCTCGGATCAAGCTACTTGAATCATGGAAATTCTCGGCTGGAGCACGAGCATCATTCCCATCACGTGGATTCGCAACAATGCTGATTGGATAAAAGTGGCTATTAGCTGCCAATGTATGAGGTTTGCGTACCTGTCATGCATTGTTCCTGAGGTCCGGACTTTTTAGCTCAGTTACACAAAGAAGTGGTCCTTCATTTCCATCCTTCAACTTTCTTGATCCGAGAGGATTTGCCTGAGATACTCTCAAACAATGAAACATCATCCAATTTCAGAAAGATCAATTTGCAAACTAATTTGTAAACTACCAGCTAATCGCCCCTTCCTCCCATTCACTTTTATCGACCAACCCAATGCATGTGACCGATTCCACTGCTTCAGCTCATCATCTCCATCCTTCAACTTTCTTGATCCGAGAATATTTGACTGAACGACGCTCAAACAATGAAACATCATCCAATTTCAGAAAGATCAATTTGCAAACTAATTTGTAAACTGCCAGCTAGCACCCCTTCCTCCCATTCACCTTTGTTGCCCTAAACAATGCATGTGACCGATTGTCCTGTTCCAGCCCATCATTCCCATCCTTCAACTTTCTTGATCCGAGAGGATTTGATTGAACAACGCTCAAACAAAGAAATGTCAATTCTACTTGCATTTAATTTCCACTTGTTCCACTCCCAGCATCTTCCCTCTTCCTCCCATTGCCAACTGTTGGTCCATTCAAGTACAACTACCGCCTGCGAACGATTGTCCTGCTTCAACCCATCTTGTCAATCCCACGCTTGCCTCGATCCGATTGTCTTTGACTGAATGGCAAGTCCATGGCGTGTACACACCACTACAACACTCCCCGCGTCTCTTGACACCACACATTGTCTTGCATGTTGCTCTACCACGACCCATCGTAACAGCGTTCATTACAGCGGCACTCATGCGCATGAAAGCAAGACTTTTGTTTCGTTCTTCCATTGTATATCAATAATCTGTCCATGTCTTTTGGCAAGCATCAATGGTAGTCTTTGTGATATTTGACACTATTCCCTGATGGATCCTTTGTGCTTGATGTACCTATGACGGGTGCGTACCATACTCCTCGCTGATTGTTGCTGCAAGTCCTCCAGGAGATACCTCAACACCCTATTGGATCCAAAGTGTTCTGCCAACAAGTATTGCAGCTATTGCATGATCGAGAAGAAGGAACACCATTGCGAAATCTGCTACGAGAAGCACGCAACGACGCCTGATGTCAGCTAGTGGAAGCAGCTGCTTTGAGACAACAAGGATCACCAGCATAATCTCAAACACCTATGTGTGGTGGCCGCGCTGGTCCAGCCTCGACGACACCAAATCGACGCCGTATCCTCAAGTATTGGTATCAAGACAAAGGCGTTATTCGACTTTTGAAGACCAACGAGGGCCTGCCATTGGGTGGTAACCGTACACGAGTTGAATCTTTTGCTATCAGCAAGGTCTTTACTCCATTGTCTCGAGTTACCTGCAGCAACTTGTCTTGCACACGTGAACAGCAGATAGCCATTGTATAGAAGCAGCTTTATTTTCGGATAGCAAGTTGCTTACAATACAAATGTCTTCTTATGGGTATGGATATGGATATGGATATTGCTTTGGGTATATGGGATGGGTGGAATTGGGTATATTAACCGAGTTGGGGGTCTTGGTTCACTTGGTTTCGATGGTGCAATATCAGCTATCAAACATTAGATGCATTCATGGCCTTGTAAAGCTGCTGTAGAAAATGACCAAGCCAGTGATTGTTGAACAGAGGGATGGAAAAGGAAGCATATCAGCAGCGATGAAAGGGGGTCTTTCTTATTGGGCTTGCAATGGATGGATGCTATCATGCGTAGTGATGCTTGATCTTGGGATCATGCCACGTGAATATGGCTGAGGATGATGATGGATGGGGCGAAGATGGTTTACAGCCATGGATGATATCGTTATACTTGAGTCAATGCATGTAGCAACTATTTTGCAATCATGGATGGGGGCGTTTATGAGAGCAACAATCAACAATACAATGACACAATGACACACGTTGACTCTATAAGTGATTCACTCGTACCTGATTCGATTTGTGAATACTTGATAAACATTCACACTACCGTGCCCTATTCTTTGAGATTCAATACACACTCTTCAACCCACCAATGATCCTTCGAGATGTGGAAACACAAAAGCCATTGACAACCATATCATCGTCGTCAAGCACATGTATTCGGCCCTTGCTTTGATGGTTCATTCACTCGATAGTGTGGTGGAGAAAAACATCACATAGAATTGGCCAATACAGCAAAAATGATCGACAAGCGTGGTTTCAACGGGCCAATGGAGTCACCAAAGGAAGGTACTACTCGTATAGTGTACTTGCTCATCAAAGTAATGCCCGCGCAGCAGACATTATTAACTATCCTTCGTCTAGGGTAATCAATGATTTGGGTTTGGAGATTTATGAAGGTGATAAAATGAGGATCAAGTACGTTCGGCTCTTTCGCGAAGGAATCGCTATATGCTAGGAAGTTTAGAAGGTAATGCTTTGACTGAGCATATGCGATGCGAGATCAACTCCCTTTTTATCCACTTCTTGGAGGGTCTCATGTCAAGTTTACAAGAAACGGCTCACTTGTATTACGATGGATGGATGATAATACGCAAGGCGATATCATTATTGAGATGATGAGTGGATCTCATTGGAGTTGCGAGGTGACGAGGTCGACTGGTCTTGGATTACAAGTGAACAAGGACTTGGGATCAGAATGTCATTCCTTTTAAATGAACGATACGGATTGAATAAATTACTTGGCGTATGATTGGAATCATCTTGTGCTTCCAATTTGAACCACATCTTAACACTACACCACTTTGTGCCGTAAACCCATACTACTTTGATCAATTTTGATCCTTGGAGATTTCTGAGAAGCATAGGAAACATTTATCTATGGGGTGTTACACAGCAAAGTAGTCCTTTGGATCGTCATTATCTTTTGCGTTATCGTTATGAGAAGAAATGGGCATTGTGCAACATTCAACAGCAGCAGCCATTGGAAGGTTGTCAAGATGTATTGCAATTTCAGGAGTTGTGAGGAGTTTAATTTTGAAATGACAGCATATCGAATATCCAATAGCTCCTATTTCGAACAAAGAAGGGCATCAAAGAGTGTCATCTCAGCACGTTTTGACAGTAATTGGTTGCCAAGCGTGTGTGTTATGTGGTTGTGTGTGATGTGTGTGGCACAATCATGATGCCCAAAAAAAGGTCAGTTACACAAATGCTTGTAGGTAAGAGACACATTCACTTTACATTATCCTCTCTCTTTTCACCTCCTCTTCCTCCTTGTTTCCACTACGCTCGTTTTCTCTTTTTCTTTTCCCGTCAAATGAACCACTCTCGTCATGGCGCAGCATCAGTCATCAGATTCCAGTAATAGCGATTCTCTCAACCAACCCCCTGCCCTCGAGGCCCTTTACAATGACTTGGACGCTTTCATTAACGAGCTTGGAGGAGATGAAGCCATGTCAGCTATTCAAGCGCGCCATTTCGCGACCCGAGGACAGCAACTGCAACGGGTAAACAATGATACTTGTGCTTAAAGGTAGATGCATATCTAACCTTGTACAATACGCGTGTTTTTATTTAGCAACAAGTCTCAACACTCACTAGCAGTATAAACGACAGCCGGGACTCGTTATGCCCGGATGAAGATTCATCTTATTCGGGGTATTCGCCTCTACTTGAAAATTACAAGCGGCCGTTTAGCCAATTCAGGGACAAAGAGCCAGCTCCAACATCATCAACACCACCACCAGTACCACCATCATCCGAACAAGAGGAGGAGCAACAATCAAAGGATCATCATCAAGAACAAGCAACTGATAGCAGCAGTAGTAGCGATGACGAAGATGAAAAACCTTTATCACAATTGATGCCAACAACAGCAAAGAAAGACAGCCTCTTATCACCACCCGTATCTCCTTCTCTTCTCGGCATTTCACCCGCGCCATCATCATCATCACCATCAGCATCTGCTGCAGCTGGAGCTGCTGTATCTCAATCAAAAGGATTGGATTCACCTACCGCTCCATTTCTTATGCCTCGTACAAGTTCATTAACCCATCAACAACAACAACAGCAACAGCAACAACGTTCTTTACCGACATCTCCCACCGGTGCTGCAGTCCCATCCTCAGCTACATCTGCCACTTTTACTCAACCACCTTTGTCTTCTACTTCCATCGCTACCAATGCTGTCATCCCTTCATTATCATTTCCTGAACATTATCGTCTTTCCGAGCTTGGTGAAAAATTCATCATTGAAATACGACAATTGAATGAGCATCGTCGCATGTTTTGTACAGCCGAATATCCATTGAGCTTTACTGGTGAAGAGGCTGTGGTATGTATACGCATCTATTTAGGAGACAAAAGACTCACCTCACATGACTCTATAGCAAATCATTGAATCGATTCTTCCAGCGGGTGTACCAACAGGAACAGCATTACAAGTGGCTCGAGCGTTTATGCGTACATCTCCACCTTTGGTGGGTCCTATCTCCTATTCAGAAAAGTCACTCAAACGCAATACGCTCTATGAATCAGCCAACGAGATTTATACACTTATTGATGACACGATCGATACCAGAACCCTACCCCAGAGCGTGCTTACGCCGTTGACCAGCTGCTATACCCAGTTTTGTTTACCAGGTCAAGGTGGTTGTTATGCACCATGTTGTCCCAATCGACTAGAAGAAGATGATGAGGATGATGAGAATGCACAGGTAAAATGTTGGCGGGGGAATGATTGTGAACGCCAATACTCATTTGGGCTATATTATAGGGTGAACGAAGAGCCAAGCTTGGACGACAAACATCACTCAAATCGGTGACTTCTTCGCATGATACGGTAAGTTGATCAAAACTGGAGATAGGCAACATGGAATTAAACATGAACGTGTAGAGTTTTTCACGAGCATGGTCAGCCAATATGCCTCGAGATATATTGCAAAACACACCCGAGCCAGAGATCAAGCGCCAAGAAGCTATTCATGAAATCATTTACACCGAAGAGGATTATGTACGCGATTTGAATCTGCTTGAAGAGGTAAGCATGGATGATGATGACGAGATAAGGGAGAGAAGGTTGTGCTAAAACGAGGTATGATCGATAGCTTTTTGCAACACCATTGTTAACAGCACAATGCTTGGAACCAGAGCGACGAGATGAATTTTGTGAGCATGTATTCAACAATTACAAGGAGATCCTTGATATCCATCGAGATTTATGCCGCGATCTACGGGACCGACAGAATGCTTGTATTGCTGGATCGATGGGTGGTTTTGTTGATCAAGTGGGCGACATTTTCCAAATGTATCTCCCTCGATTTATGGCTGCCTATGAACAATATGGCCCTCATGTGGTGCTCGCTGAATACGCTGTCAAAAAGGAAGCACAACAAAACATGCTGTTTGCCAACTTTGTTCACGACACTGAAAAGCAAGCCGAATGCCGCAAGTTGCCATTCCGCCATTTTCTGATTCTGCCAGTAACACGATTACAACGATACCCTTTGTTGATGGGTGCCATTCTGAAAAAGACACCTGATGATCATCCGGACAAGGCGTTCCTCACATCATGTTGCGACATGTTACGAGAGGTGGCGAGTTGCATGGATCAAAAGACTGAGGAGACTAAAAAGGTGCTTCGATTACATCAAATCAATGATGCCATCCGATACAAACCAGGCGAGGAGCCCTTGTATCAACAATTGCAATTATTGAATCCTGCAAGACGACTCTTGCATGAAGGTCCTCTCACGCGTCGTTCACACATGGGTGTGGAAACCATTGATTTGCATGTCTTTTTATTCGATCACTTGCTCCTCATGACAAAGCCAAAAAAGAACAGCAGCACTGGAGAGGTTGAATATCACATGTCCAAAAAGCCTATTCCATTACCACTCTTGCAAGTGCATGAAGCAACAGAAGGTTTTGCTATTGGTTTACGATCCATGTCAAGTACACTTTCATCAACTGGAACATCAACATTGCAACATTCGACTACCACTACCACAGGGCTCACTTCACCAACAGGAGGACTTGTCAGCACTAGCAGCAACAACAGCAGCAGTCCAATGCTCATCCATCATCTCGGTAGACATGGTGGTGATTATCTTTTGTTTGCTGAAAGCTCAGAGGTGCGAATGACATGGAGAGAGAAAATGGTCGAAGCCAAAGCTGCATTGGAGCAAGCATATCCTGACAATCAAGTATTTGAAATTCGGACTCTGAGTGATACTACATTTGCGGGATCTGGTGCACATAATCAAGCGTTCAATCACGGCAAGGTCACTTGTTCCATTCCCTTTGGTAGGTTCTTATTGTTACATGTTCATATCAAGTACGTGTAATCGCTAATGTTGTTGTATGTTGTAGAGGGCGCCAATGGTATTCGCATGATTGCAATTGGTACCAACTTGGGTGTGTGGATGGGAATGGAAGGAGATACAACAAGTATGCGTCATGTTTTGTCACTATCGGATATCACTCAAATGGCTGTGCTGGAACACGAGCATATTTTGGTCATCTTGGCAGGTATGTTCGCATGTCACGGGATCATGGTCTTGGTGCTTATCATTGTGTCATTAGATAAAACACTCTATGCATATGCATTGCAAGGACTGGATCCTAATGCTACTCCGCCCAATCAATCCAACAACAATAATCAGCGCCCAAGTCAGAAAATTGCTCAACACATTTCCTATTTCCATGCTGGTGTTTGCAACAATCGTACCCTTGTGGTGGCCATGAAGAAACGTGGAATGGATAGTCATTTTCGAGCTTATGAGCCTGTGTGTGGTGATTTACGCGGCCCGCAAAACCTGAAATACCTCACTGTAAAGTCCGGTCTCTTTGGTTCCAAACAACCACCACCATGGTTCCATATCTACAAGGTAAATAGAAAGGTTACATATACTACTTGAGCATGCTTATTTACTCTCTCTCTTTTTTTTACAAACTAGGAATTCTATATTGGCGCTGATTCGAGAGATGTCCATTTGCTAAAGGCGCGTGTGGTGGTGGTGTGCTCACGTGGTTTTGAAATCATTGATCCTGAACACTTGAATATGAACCGCAACCTACCAGACATGACGCATCCTGATTTTGCATCAATCTTTAAAAGTAATGCGGGCAACGACGACAATATTCGCCCACTTGGTATGTTCCGATGCAATGGACGCTATCTGTTATGTTACGATACGTTCGCTTTTCTTGTCGACAATCATGGTGGGCTGGTCAAGAACTCGTGGATCGAGTGGGAGGGCAATCCTCAATCCATTGCCTTTTGCTACCCATACGTTGTTGCTTTTGATCCAAGGTTTATTGAAGTGCGACATGCTGAAACTGTAAGTATTAGCAAGCAGCAGGGTACTATTTACACACTCCTTTTATTAACATGCATTTGCAGGGCCAATTAATACAGATCCTTGCTGGTGAACATATGCGCTGCCTTCAATTCACTACCCAATCTGGAATGCTGGCACCCGTCATTCATGGCTGCATGGGGCATCCTTTCAAACCTGGTTATCAATACGTCTTTCAACTTGCCGCCACATTTCAACCTATACTCTAATCACATCACTTGCATGTATACAAGCATTCCCCCATTTAATCCTTCTACCCTTTTTAATATCGCTCACATTCCATTATAAATATACAACGCAACTTTTGGCTTGCATAGCAAACTCATCTTGAAAACTAGTAGTCTCTCTCTTTATATGAGATGGTGATGTGTATGAGAGTGAGTGGAGGGTGTTCTTTTTTTATAATAATAATGGCTTTGGAGAATAAAGAAAAGATATTACAATGAAAATGGTGATGGAGGGGGGGGAATGTGATGTGCATGAAAAAAAAGTGTTACATAAACAACACGTCTTTACAACCGTGACAACTCAAACACCAATTCAGATCCAAGTACAGGATCGTCCATGGCACAATAAATGGTATCCATAGCATCTGGTTTCAGACACCGTACGTTCTTGCCGGGAATCACTTGGACAAGGTCGCCCGAGTCCATATGTCGCACTTCGATGAACGTGGGGTCAAAGGCAACAATGTATGGGAAGCTCACTGCAAATGCAGTTGGTTGACCCTCCCATCGAATCATCCAATCGGGTCGCATCCTTCGTCCTTTCTTGTCAATGTAGAATGCCATTTCTACAATCAAATGTTAACCTCACTATCCACAGCAACAATGAAACATGCACACACATACCATTATAACAAAGAAGGATGGAGCTATTTTGATGTCGAAACATGGAAATCGGTTTGAGATTTTCCTTGTGTAGCATGGCATGATGGCTTTCATCTCCAGGATCCAATACACCTAATCATCACCAACAATAATGGTGAGATGTCTTCAACAATGAACAAACAATAGGATACTTACTCTGTACTTCAGCTGATGACAAATCGACCATTTGGAATCCTTTGGGGCTGCCGACACAGATGATGTTTTTAAAGTATTGAATCGATGATGCTTCTCCAGGTAGGTATAAATCCTTGTAAATCTTGAGACCTTCGCTGGTACCCGCACCATTAGCGCCACGCATGAGACGACCCAATTTGCTACGGGACTTTTTCTTGTCGGTGCTCATGTGTGGTTCAAGGGCACGGATGGTGGATTGGATGGTATTGTGGCGCACATAGCACACCAATGTCTTTTCAGAAGGGGTATCTTGGAAAATGGTGCCCACCTTGAAAAAGGACACATGGCTACTCAACTTGCGGCCACGTTTGGCAGAGTCTTCAGCAAGCAAACTTTCGAGAGAGTATGTGTAGAGCACCTTTTCAGCTAGCACAAGGATCAAGCCTGATGGCTCAAGCACATCAATTTGCGACACCTTATCCATGGGTAGCAACCGACGGAGATTTTCATTGGTGTTGCTATAGCTACCACCAGCAGCAATGGTTGCCGCACTCGATGCAACAGGGGTTGGCTCCTTAATATACACGCCCTGATCACTGCCAAGCACCACTGTATCACCATACGATGCAGCACACGTAACACGATTGAATGCATTAAAGAAACGCGCGTCAATCGTACGAATGTCAAACACCTTTTGCTTTTCCATAAGGGCTTGTCGTTGTCCTTGAATCTTGTCGACCCATTGCCTTCGACCCAAAAGCGTAGGAGCATACAAGGTGATTGGATTGGCACCACTGCGACCAAGATAGTTGAATGTAATGGGGTATCCTTTGCTGCTAGCATTGCCGAGATTGGTGGATGAAGCAGCAGCTGCAGCCGTAATGGCATCAATGTTGTTGAGAGAAGAAATGGAGTTGTTGGAAAGGCTGGGGCGTCCATAAGGTAAAATGGTGCTTCCACGTCGTGATTGATCTGGTAATGTGATGGATAATAGAGCAAGTGGAATGGGCTAATGTGTGCGAAAATATGAATGAGATGATCTACTACTACAATATTGAATTGACGTTTTTACCTTTTTGTAAATCTTGTACCTCTCGAGATTGTTGACGCATTTGGGTTTGACAAACAACAGGCAGTGGTCAAGCAGATACACTTGCACATCAGCTGATTCAGTAGGTCCAGACCCTTTCCGTTTCAGTGGCCCTTTCATGATCACCTTGCGTGTCTCAACATCCAGGCCCAAGTTCTAGCCCATCGCCCCTTGTTGATCAGAATACAAGATCTCCATTTCTTCTTTTCATCCCTCCCCCATGTCGCACATACACACACACACATACCATGAATCGCTCATCCACCATGATGGGTGCTTTGTAGGAGAGTTTTTCTGCTAGGAGTTGCAAGGAGAATTTGCTTTCCATTTTGCCCGTCTCATGATTGACATCGCTTAGAAACTCGGAAATGACATTCATGGCTTTGGGAATCAACTCCTGATCTGGATGGTCGGCAGGGGTATGCTTGAGGATCTCTCGAAGTAGCAAATTGTATCGGCCCAAACGCGTGGTTGGCTTTGTCAAGTAAGCATTCAATTCCAGCTTGCGTGATTGTGGTAATCTTTCTGTAGTCTAAAATGCTGCATGAATTTCTTCTTGTTGTAGTTGTGTGCCATGCATGAAATGAAAAAAGTACCTCGACAAATTCCATAAAGGCTGGATTGGTTGATTTCTCGGTCTCCAAAACATAGCGGCTCACCATTTGATGCGCACCGTATTGTACAAAGGGGCCAAATGAGGCAACATGCTGCAGCATAATGTCGCCAATCTGATCAACAATAGGAGACGATGCCTTTTGTCGGGATTCAAGAGCCTTGGCAAGCTCCGCATTCACATCATGTACTTCTCGCATATTCCAGAATAGATCTTGGATAAACTGCTCTCGGTTCTCTTCAGGAATCACTTGGCTTTCAAGCAACGGTTCAATCCAGTACTATGTATGTGTTATAATAAGTGCCCATGTTGTTCAATGGATTGGTAAAGCTCCATCATACCTTGATAACGTAGGCAAGATCATTCACAAAATCACGCTCCGTATATATCAACTCGAATATGTTTTCCTGCCGCTTCTTTTCAGCACTCGACAACTTGCTCAAAATCTGCTTGGGTACAGTGCTTGCCCATAAACGATCATCATCCTAACAATAAAATGAATATCCCAAGCCTGATAATTGAGGATGATCACATTGTAGTACCTTTTCCATGAGCGAAGACTTGCTACTTGTTCGATGTAACGTCTTTTGCTTTGCCTGCTGTATCATATTTCCTCAATTAGGATCCTGTAAATCCCCATGATCCATCTTGTCCCTCACCTGTTCAATGCGCCGAGGGCAGAATAAGCTGTAGCAAAGATTGTCACGTGAACAAGTAGGCGAATAACAATCCGTCAATAATGTAAAGACACCATTGGGTAGCCGATCCGAAGCATCATTTGCCTTTTCAGCCGTTGTCATGTTGTCCATAAAGTTGAATTCAGACTTTTCATCCTCTTCATCTTCATCCTCTTGATCAGCACCACTGCCACCAGTGAATCGTTTTTGTCCCATGTTGATATGCTGCTTGAATTGATATAGCTCGTTGACTGAATCACGTAGTCGATGTTCATAGTTGACGTCATGGAAAAGCTTTTGGGCATCCAAGGCACGACCCAATAACAATGCAAGGTTACGATCCTTTGTACCAATGTAATGGCAAAGTTTGTCCTACCCCTTGAACGTCAATGTGGAACCTTGGTTACACATAGCCCGTTTCTCAACTTACCACAGCCTGTTTTCCATCAAATGCATCCTTGTATTCAATGCTATCTTTGATCTTGGTACTAAGGGTGACACGTTCTTGAAGCATTTGACCCGTGTTGGATAATAGAGCTGGATATCTGCCTCGAGAAAATGACTCGTGGGGACGTAGCACTTTTTGTTGGTCGGCAGTACTACCACCAGCACTCTTCTCGTCGGGCTGTTCAGTGTGTGAAAAAGATTGAGATCTCTCGCCCTTGGATCGTAATAACGTCTTCCTTGGCGTGATGGGCATATTGAGCATGCTTTCTGCTGATCGTCGAAGAGGTGTTGGTGTGTATTCATGTGATCGTAGATTGAAACCTAAAACAAGAAGCATGTCAATATTGCATAAACACACACGCGTGGATCATGATCACTTACTGCTTCCGCTACGCGACATGGCTGATAATTTGGCACGCATAGGTGCAGTTGTTTTTGAGAGACGCGATAAAAGACTTGCAGCACCTCTGCTTTTGCTACGCTTCAGCTGCTCGGTGCTGCCATCGAGTACTATTTTTGGCTCAGCACCCGTTTTAGATCTGAAGAGAGTGTTGGATCGGGATGGTTTGCCATTTGCTGCTGCTGCTGCTGCTGCTGCTGCTGCTTTGTAAAAGGCACTGTCGGTGGTACGTAAACTTGACAAGGACACAGTATCATCGGTTCCCAATATCTCGGTGCGAAGTGACATGATGGATCCAGCGTCGCTACTCATAAAGCTGCGGATACTTTTTGGTGATTCCACAGGCGATTTCAATGGTGCATAATAAGAGTGCATAGCCCATCCCACTTGTTCCTCATTCAAAACGGTGTCCTGTTGTTGCTCGTCTTCTTCTTTATCATCGTTGTGCTCGTCTTCTTCTTTGGATTGTTCTTCGCGGCATTTCTGATAATAGCGATTGCGAATAGTGGCAGAGGGTGTGAGTGTCACAGTTGGAAGCTTTTCACTGGTTGCACGAGGGTGGTGGACGGCGTCATTCTTGTTGCTGTGGGTAGCATTGGGTGAAATGGAGATGGAGGTAGCAGAATGCATTTATGCAAGGTACATTAAAGGAAAGGGAAGGAAAGGCTAGAGTAAGAAAAGAGAGGGTTGCCTATGTGAGAGTTGTCTGTGTGTGTGTGTGTGTGTGTGTGTATATATGGAGAAAGAGAAAGAGAGAGAGAAAAGGAAAAGAAAAAGAAAGAGAGTAATAATATTATAAAGGTGGGGTAAAAGATAACAAGCAACGAATGCCAAAAAAAGTTCTGGACGCAGGGCAGTGGGTGTGCAAAGTGAGCAGTAATACGTTGAGCATTAGGATGACACGTTGTTGCACGACGAAAACGGTAACCATAAAGAAGGAGCTCTCAAGAGATTTGATGGGCCGCACATAAAAAGTGTATCCTAGACTACACACAAAGCCATTTGATGATGTGCCTTTTCACATAGCACAGCAGCAGCAATACACACATATAGATAGCCAGCTCTATTAAAAGCATCATCTGCCCATCTTGTATCTTTGTCCCCCAAATGTGTGTACAAGGAAGAAGGGGTTAAAGGGGTCGCCGCAAAGGAAAACAGCACATCACTAACAATCATCAACACGCACCCGATGCATAACAAAGATCATCAACAATTGCCATGGACTTGTCTAGATGCCCTGTGCCGCCCTCCGGAAGAGTGACCCGGTCTTTTAACGTTTGGGAGTAACCGTTTATGCGCTACACCCAATGTCACCATAACAACAACAACGATACACCACCACATGGCACACAAATAATAGAGAGAGAATCTCATTGTGATACCACAGGGGATATTGTCAACCTTCATAAGGCCCCAGTACATTGAAATTCGTTTGCCACTTTTGGTCATTCATCAATTATTATAATATTGATCGTGCATTATTCTATATAAACAGTATGTAGATACACGAACATGGGCATTGCTTCTTGACAAGAAGATACAACTTGAAACTCCTCTTTACTTTTTCTCGATCTTCGTCGTTTGACACGTCGCACATGATAATGTCGATCCTGTTGTACCATCGATGAGCGGAAGAAGGGTCGGGAGAGAAGCTTGTTAACCCGCCCATTTTCGTAACCGCGCCCATTGTTTGTTACTTCTTTTTCACTTTTTTGCCATCAAAGCTTATGAATTGGACTGGAGGACAACGGTAGGTTAAACAAGCTGCGTGTGTGAGGGTCACTACTCCCTTTCATACCGCCTCCTCCTTTTTTTCTACCTCTCTCATTCTTCCCTGTGCATTCTTGTAGTAATAACAATCTTGGTTGCCGTGAGGGGAATCGGGTGGCAAACCCTATCAAACAACGTCTTCAGCGGCTCAAACAGCTTCGTCTTGGTAGTAACCTATATTGTTTAGTGCATTCATGGTTACACTAATATCATGCAGATCTAGCTTGTTCCAAAGTTCACGCTGTAAAAACACAAGCAACGCGTAGCAAAGCACCACCATACAATCCTTCTTGTTTATTCAATCTCACTGGAAATGTCCAACACTTTAAGCACCTTTCTATAATATCCACCCACCTTCAAAGAAGAGTGAAAGATCCGTTGCCAAGACAACAACAACAACAATAAAAGTATCGAAAAGAGGGAGGTTTCTTTATACATTGATATAAATGATGGCATATAGATCCATTAGCGGGAATAGAGTAAATAGGGAAAGGAATCGTGCATTGAGGAAAGGAGGAGGAGACAAGGCGTATATATAGACGTGCGATGAAATAGATGAGGTTGGGTAATTACAAAAAGGGGAGCAAGATAACAACAACAATTACAATTTCGTGTCCTGTCTCATATTGGGTGCATCTAAGTAGATGATGATGCAATGCATGTTAGTATGAAAAAAAGAGCTCATTTCATTATCTTTACTTTCTTACCTAGCCACGATCGCATCTTGTTCAATACAGGTACGGATCCAGCCGTTGCATTATTATCACTTCCAGCAGCCGCATTGCTTGATGACGCTCTTGGTTCATGATGATGGGCACCAGCAGCAGAAGTTGCAGTTGCAGCAGCACCTCTTCGATCCATCATTAAATAGTGCATTTGCATCCGCATGCCGTGACAAATGGTTCTCAAGCTTTGCATTTCTTCTTGCAATCGGAACGTTTCAGTCATGAGTGTCATGTTTTGTTTGAGCTCGAGATTCTGAAGATTGGTGGATATGGTTTCAATTTCATTCTTGAGACGTTGTGTTTCAGTCAAGGGAGGAGGAGAGCCGCTCTCACCACCCGTTGGACCACCCTCAGGTACGAAATGCGATGGAAACATGAGTGCAAGTTGATCAGAAAGAGAGTGGAATTGTTGGTATAGGTCGTCATGTTGTCGTTTGAGCATTTCATTCTCTTTGGACATCGCCTTGATTTGATCACGTAATTGCTGCTCGCTTTGTTGCTGTTGATGCAAATAATCCTTGATCCCTTCATAGGCACATTCATTGACATGTTTGGTCTCCAGCGCTTCTCGATCCCCTTGCCATGGACAACCGAAATCAGCATGCGTACAAGTAACAGGATGGCGTGGACAAGTCAACAAATGGGATGGATGCTCGGATCGAGGTCGAGATGTGTCACAGTGTGGGCATTGGATAATCTCAGCAGGGCATAATCGATGATGATCCTAACAAGTTGAATGAATGAATGAATGAATGAGTGATGATGAACATGCAGCTATAGCCATATCCATATCCATACCTCTAACTCAATCGCTCTCATTTTGCGTTTACACATCTTGCATTCGGCTGGTCGATATTTACATGTGGATACGTGCATCGTAAGATCCTTCTTGAGTACCAATGCTTTACACTCTTCCAGATCGCATGATGTAAACGTATACTGACAGTCGCTCTTGACGTGGCTCTCAATGTATTGTCGTTGACCAACGTGCGTACAGCCTTCCTCCGATCGTGGGCATTCCACCAGAAGCTCATTCACCATATTGCTGATAATCTTGACTGCAGGCTGAATGTCGTCTGTCGATACTGGAGACCGATCTATCGGACACACTGGTGACGCATCACACGCTTGGTAGATACATGTTGAGCAGAATGTATGCCTGAACAAAAGAGTGGGACACCCATTGTAAGTGACTCATGGGGAGTTGTATAGCGAGCTCACTCTCTTTTACTTACCCGCATACTAGCACAACAGGGTCGATGAAGGGTGCTTGACAAATGCAGCAAATGAGATTGGCGTTGATAGTCTCGGTGTAATTGAGTGCTCGTAGGTCAACTTCGTCGTCGTTGTTGGATGTCATTAGTGAGAGAACAAGCAGCGGATATAATAAATTCCCCACGTTTTTGCCTCGCATTAAATTGGTAATCACATGAAAGATGGATGACTCGGTGCAACCTGTTTCACCAGCCCCCACACTAAGTGATGGTTGTATCTTCTATTGTCATATAAATGGTCCCCATGTCTTCATTCAAAATCATCCATATTATGCTGTCGATGATGCTGGTCGTGGTTTCTTTAGCGTTCTTTCATCCAACAATGGCGATCTTTTATTATGGTCTCATCAACGTAGGGAACACAAGCTTGAATTCCGTATAGTTGGTATATTTGCTGGTACCACCCTAGCTCTATTTACTTTTCAAATCCATATGTCTATAGTGCCCAAGGTAGTCTTTGTAGAGATCATAGCCATAGTTCATTGTTCATCAGCCTTTCATGCAATAAATGATGGAAAGATCCACGCTCAATGTTCGTCAACAGTAATGTCATCCCTTGTGTGCTTGCTTGACTCAAAAGACTATGGCAACAATATTACTGATCCGAATGCTTTTGTGTATAAGCTCCCCGAAGTTGCCATGGATGAACCATGAATCTATTGCTCATGTTGGAGAATCATGGTCAAGGATGCTTTTATACTTACGCTCCTTACACCGTATCCTTGGCAACGGTAAGTAATGTATTCACAGCCCAAGAGTGAGCAGCAGTTACCAATTTCATCAGCTTCACCAGCATTTTGAAGCGTCTCCAAGGCAATGACCCATCTTTTTTCAAGATGTCGAATAGCAACAACGTGCGTAAAACCTACAAATTTGATTTTCCACCTAGTAGAGAGGACTTTGGATGACAATGAGCTTGCAGCAGGTATATTAGTGCTGTGTCATTGTCGTCATTTGCACCACCAAGGAGAATAAGCAAAATGGATGCAAGCCGAAACAAAGAATTCTTTGATCTGGGGGATGCTTTTGCCATTCCTTGGTTAGCCATGATGGACCTCCATTCTCAGCTTGTTATCGTCAAAGCCAAACATCCTATCTATTATGCTAAACTTTTATAGGTCATGATACTACTTGATAGCATCCTTGTGCTTTTTACAGCAAGATAGGTGAGCCCTATAAGAGTGCATCATTGCTTGTTTACGTGCTCAAAGAACATTTTCAGATCTATGCATCATCCATTTGCCATATACTATCAATGGTAAATTAAGCTCTATGACGCTGTCATATCTTTTGGATGATGGTGAAAAGAAAATTTTCGGATCGAGGGCCAAGCCGAGTGTGAGAGTTTCGGGGAGAAAACTGAGTTGTAGGAGGGAGAAAAAAGGTTCATGCAGCCTTCCATCTGGGAAAATGTGGAAGGGCCGTGCATAAAAGTGGCGACATTGCTTGTACAACTTTGAACTCAAAGAGAATGGCAAATCTATTTCGTTCATTGAATAGATCAATGTTGACTTTTAGGTCACGAGGAGGAAGAACGACTCTTGTAACATGACAAAATGGTCTTTAGGTAGCACCCGATGTATCGGAAAATGCATCATCCAGAGGAAATGGAACAGCATACTCATATACGGGTGGATCAAACGGCTTTATTCACAATGTGGGAACAGGATCAAGGTCACCGCTGACCTCATTGTTTCCATAAAAAAAGGTACAATGGCGTGTGTGCACATGGGCCTTGACTATACCAGCAACGATCGTTATCTTGTGAACCAAAAAGATAATACATTTTATTTTTGGCAAGCGAATGCTGGGGTAGTAATGTTATATGCACGAGTGTTCCGGTCGATCACTGGTATGGAAAAGTAGCGGGTGAATGATCGAGTTTAAAAGGTGTGTGTAACGGGAGCAGGCAGCTGAGTGGTTTCATGGTGTCGTGCAAGCGCATAATCATTGCTTTATACAATCGATACCAACACTATAACAGGCTATAAGACATTGAGAAGAAAGGGGGGAGAGAGATGAACCAAGAGCGAGTGAGAAAGAGAGAGAAGGAGCCAAGGGGGGTCCTACATGATGGATCACCTATATAAACCACAAGGTGTATGAGCTGCTGCTTCCGGGATCGTAAATCTCAAAGCATGTCATACTATACAGCACCCAAGCCAGGATCCAAAATTATCATTGTGGGAGGAGGCGCTTTTGGGTTATCAACCGCCTACGCACTTGCACTAAAGAAGAAATACGATATCTGGGTATTTGAGCGAGCAGCTTCTATACCTGCTCCTGATGCTGCATCTACAGGTAAAGATAACACGTATATGAATCATATCCCCAATACGGTAATTCACGCATTAGGTATTCCCTTTTGATGATAGATATCAGCAAGGCCGTGCGTATGGATTATGGTAACCAGGCATTGTACTTGCGATTAATGTTGGAGGCTCTACCCTTATGGGATCAATGGAACAAGGAACGTGCTACTCAAGGACAAATACCCGTATACCATGAGACTGGTGTTCTTATCTTTGGGCGACATGGCCAATTTTCACAATATGAGCAAGAGAGCATGCGCCTTATCCGTGAAGCAGGCTATGGCCATGTGCTACAAACCTTTGATAACCCACAAAGCATTATCAAGCGGTTCCCTTATTTCAAGGATGCCGTGGCTAATGGATACGACACAGCCTACCTAAACACACGTGGAGGTAAAGTGACCTTTTATTATGTACGTATTGGCTATAGCATCCCATTCATATTGTTGCTTTGGGTGTATAGGATGGTGCAACTCAAGTGAAGCGATCAAGCACGTGTACCAAAAATGCTTGGATTTGGGTGTACAATTTGTGCTAGGACCTCAAGAAGGTAGTCTTAATAAGTTGGAAATGACCACTGATAACAAGAAGGTGGTGGGAATTCGTACCAAGAGTGGTCAAGTGCATTTAGCTGACAAGGTGGTTCTTGCCACTGGAGCATGGACTTCAAGTCTTTTGGCGTTTGGTACAAGACATCATCATCCTGCTGAGCAACAACAACAATCAACAAGCAGCGGCTTAACAGCCACCGGCCAAATAGTGGTTCAATTTAAACCTGCCAAAGATGACCCTGCCTTTACACAAAGATCATCCCAACAAGAAGCTATGCCTGTATGGCTTGCCGATTCTTCCCGTACAGGGTTCTATGGCTTTCCGATGCATCCAGAAAATGGTCTTCTCAAAGTTGCTTTACATGGTCTCGGGTATTTGAATCCTGCTGCTGGTGATGAAAATGTGAAACCGGCAACCGCAGTACAACAACAACCAGTGTCCGTGCCTCGAACACAGCTGACTCATCCAACAGATACCATTCCTGTCAAAGCGTTGCATCAGTTTCGTTCCTTTTTAGCCGATTTTTTCCCAGCCACCTCCGCTATGGACGTGCATTATGCACGTGTGTGTTGGTATGTTCGCCATGTGTGTGTGTGTGTGTGTGTGTGTAAGACGTATGGATCAAATAGGGATTAAAATGACTCATCTCGATGATGGTGCCTGTTATAGGTATTCTGATTCTACCGATTCAAGCTTTTTGGTAGCACCTCACCCAAGCTATGAGGATTTAGTGATTGCTTCAGGTGATTCTGGCCATGGAATGAAGTTCCTTCCTATCATTGGATTCAAGATTTGTCAAGTGATTGAAGGGCAAGAGAATGATTACACTCGTGCATGGCAATGGCGTGATTCATCAAGCACAACCGGTTTAAATTTTGATGGCATGCGACCCACCAACCACCAGGGTACCCCGGCGATCTCTATCATGGATGATCCTAATGACACTACCACTCACATGGCTACATCGAATGATCTCAAAGCACCAAAGGCACGATTATAAATGGATGATGTTATATATTTGGGTACAATAGGTACATATAATGAAGAGAAGAAAGAGATTCATGCATGATATTGTAAACAAATGCTAAAAAAGGGGACAAGCTAAGAGAAGAAAAGAAAGAGAGAGAAAGAGTGAGGAGAAGGGATAGAATGCAAATAGAGTTGTATATACTGGGATGTGGGTTGAAAGAGGTGGAGGGGTGTCTTTTCAATAGTAGCAATGCTGTAATGGTTTTTGGATACAAAGAAGGAAAAGGGATATGTTGTTGATTGTTGAATGCTATGATGGGGTGTGTTTTGTTCAATCGTAAGAAGCGTAGGTTGTTGGATACTGATGAGAAGCTACATTGGCCAAATGTCTGAGGGAGTCATGATAAAGCGGGGCACCTCGGAATTGAGCAAGGGCTTCCAAAGCTTCAAGTTCATCCATAGTCAAATGGACGATTTCGGATGAGGGTGAAGAAGAAGATTCATGGTTGCACAGATCGGCTACGGGTAAACGTCGTGGCTGTGGCACGCTTGCCTTCCTTTGTAATGATGGTGACACATCCTGCCCCTGATGCTTTGGTGATGCTGCTGCTGACGTTGTTGAAGAAGCTGATGAAGAAGCTGTCTCACCCCACATATCCGATAGCTGCGACTGCTCTGGTGAACCAAGTGAAACAGGGGACATGAGACCACCGCAGTTGTATGTTCCTTCTACCGCAGCAGCATTAACACTCGTATCCACCCTTGGTACTGAAGATGTTGATTGCTGTTGCTGTTGTTGTTGTTGTGATGATGGTGTTGTTGCATAGTCGAATTGTGCATTGCGTTGATGGGTTTGTGTATGTTGCTTCATATTATCGAATCGACTAAACATGCGATTGCATCCTGGTACTACGCATTTGAAAGGTTTCTGGATAAACCATGTTAGCGTCAATGCTGCGCAACTATACCATTCCCATCACTCTTCTCAAATACTTACTTCACCCGTGTGCTTCCTAATACATGAAAAATGACAATACGAAACGAGATCAGTCAACATGACCATGAATCAAAGCAATGCTACTCTTGACATTTACCGAATGTGTCGAGCCAAATGCTCACTACGAGTAAAGACCATGTTGCAATCGCCAAAGCCAGTGCACTGAAAAAGCTTACGCTTCCTTTCGATAACAGAAGTGAAGGTTGGCAGTGTGGTTTTCTGTTTGACAGGTGGCATCGAATATGAGTTGTGTGTGTGTGTGTGTGGTGAAAGTGAGAGAGAGAGAGAGAGATAAGAAGGTGGTGAAGAAATAAAAGAGAAAGAAAGAGAATAATGGGACATTACGGGTCGTGTCTCTTTTTTTTCTTTTGGCGCGTGTGTGTGGTGTGTTGGGTTGAATGAATGGGCCAAGCAAAAATCAGGCACCACCCAAAAACAGGGCGGCTGAACACGGACCAACACCGACAAGGCCGCCAGTTGTCTTTGTTCTTGTTACCCCCCCAATTTTCATCCTTTTTGCTCCTTTTCATACTCTGTGCGGAATAATATATCACTGAATGATCCAAAAGAAAATTTTCTCAATGATGTATGTATAAACTACAGCACAGCTAGTAATAGACAAACATCACCTGTTCTCCCCACTGAGTCGCACAATGCAAAACCAATCCTACGAGATAGGGGTGAATATAAGAGTCTTACCTTCATTGTCGCACATAGGGCCTATACAAAGAAAGTTGGGCCGAGGGGGATAATAGTCCATGTCACTAAAGCAAATCCATACGCACACATACACACATAAACGTATCCAATCATCAAAACAACAAAACTCTGGTACCATTATTACGACTCGTCCCGATAGGATTTCACAACCCGCCAGGGGTAAAGAGAAAAAAAGAGAACAGCACTTGTCATGACACAAAAGGAACATACACGTAATGCACATGATTTTCTCTTTCTGCAATGAGCGCCTCTTCATTACTTCATGTCATTATCATTAATGCTTGTTACTACCATGATCAATCAAAATACAATGGGTCTTACCTTCAACTTATGACAAATCTAATATCACCACGTTTCTTTCAGTTTCCGCACGCACGGTAACACATGCCTGTAAAAGAATGGGATGCTTTCTTTAGCTTTTTTTCTTTTTACCGTCATTCGCCGTCTTTCTCCTCGATCATAGTTATACGTCATGCTGTCGTAATCTTGACACTTGTGGACGTGAACGTCAAAGCGTATTACACCCATTCTCTTGGTTGCTAGCACGATTATACCAAGTTACCCAAAAGCTTTAGTGTGAGAATCCATGTATCGCCCTGCATGAGGTGCTGCAACAACGCCAAGAGAGGAAAACCAGAGGCAAGCAGGGTTGTGTGTGTGTGTGTGTGTGCGTGTGTCATCATGCGTTCATCTCTTTTTGCACACACTTTTGAGAGGTGGTATGAAAAGTGGGGGGAGAGTGCGAAAGGTTTTGGATGGCCCATTGTTGTGTGCCGATCGTTGCACAAACGTGTAACTGGTTCCTGAACCTTCCTCAGCTTTCGGGAAAACACCATTTGCGGATTTTTGCTTTCCTCACTCTTCCTCGCTAATGCGTGAGTCATCCATCCATCCCTCGCATGTATTGTGTGTGTTCCTCCCTTCTCCCTATACTACCAGCAAAATGAAGCAGAATAGGAACGTAGCACGTATTATTATCTCACAAAAGTATCTCACAAAGCCATAATGAATGGCTCAGGAACAAAGACGCCTGACCATTTCTTCACACACACACACACATACATACACACACGCCAAAAAGTGTGCCACATTCTACCACAAGGGAAAAAAAGAGGGAGAAAAGTATGAACCATGCCATTGTTGGGAACCCGATTCTCTTTTTCTTCTTCTTCAACCATCCAAGTTTACATTGTAACTGGACCTGCAACCCTAAAATCAGGTCCTTTTTCGCAAACAATATTGACTTTTTTCTTCTGCATGTATCAACAACAGTAGTAGTTACCCTCCTTCTAAGATCAAAGTGATGATACATTTGTACTCCCACGGTCATGTCTTGCTTGACATTTATGGTCATGTTCATCGACGCCCACATCTCATGCGTGTGTGCGTGTGTGTGTATGTGTGTGTACAACAACTATCATCATACGTGTCAAAATTCGTACCTATAATTTTTTTGCGGGGGCGATTACTGTACCGACATACGGGCCTAGATCATCGTAAAAGGTGTACGTACGTGCACATTCCCTTTTTTTTTTCTGAATAGATTTTTCTAGAGAGTCCAAGAATGGATGCTTTATTATGGTACAGCCATTAATGATGACGAATAATGATCATTGTAATTGAGTCGTGTGGATAAGGAGCGAAGATCTTCGTCATGGTATGATTGTAGTACGCTTAAAAACTCTAATGCTTGTGCCTACCAATCCAAAAACAGCCCGCATGATGAGTTACACCTGACCTTTTCTCTCACATTGCCCTTCTCCTCCCACCTCCACCATGGGCGTTGACGCCGCCGTCGACGCCGCCATCCCCTTCGTCACACCACCGGCTTGGCGTTTCTCTTACCTCAAACTTCTTTTCAGTGTCTGTGCGCTTTACACGGATCTTATCCAGCTTTCCCATATCGCGTGAAGCTCGAGATATCTCTGAATCGCCAAAGTTGTGTAAATGATCCTATATTGAATACAATGTTAGCTCCTCCTCCAAAGTCTATATACTCAAACCACGTCATACCATGATAGTCTTGTAATTGAGGATAGTATCAAAGATGGCGGCGAGATGCATGGAGAGAGCTTGATTCTTTGCACCGCTCAAGAATCCTTTTTCGGTGATCTGATTGAGATATCGTGCATGCGCCTCGATTACTGCATCCAAATCGATACTCTTGTTTTCGATATCATCTGCCAGTTTTTCCCATGAGCATTCAAGCACCTAAACAAAAGATTAGCATGTGATGGACAAAGACGCGCGAGTATATAGGTTGCCTCTTTCTTACCTCGAACAAGTAATAGTGCTGTAGCTGGTAGATAAAATGGATCATGTGGCTGATAGCCATTTGTGCCTGATGGAGATCGTGCCTGATTTCATCCACGTCGGCAAATGTCCGTGCAGCAATACTACTCCGTCGCCAAATGGCTGTCAAGGTGTATTCAACGCGTTTCAGTTGCCATAAAAAGTTGAAGATCCGAAGATACTGATGCATGGCCTGGGGAGTAAACACCGTGTTGATAGGCGGGTCCAAATGATAATCCAAAGTAAATACATCCCATCCGAGATCTTCGGGCGATATCTAGATGGATGATGATGTTAGATATCACATCACACTTTTGTCATTCGTCATTCATCCCTTACCTCCATCAATCGCACATCGAGTCGGTTCAACACCTCTGGATCATCGTATTGGGCATTGGATGAACGCACAGCTGTTTCCAAAATACCAGTCAAGTTGTGTCGAAAGAGTGTTTTGGCGGGTCGGTTCAAATTAGGCCTAATGTCATAATCATGTTAGATAGAAATGTATAGCGTGGCATAGTAAAATGAAATTTACCCAAGGTTGTCCATCAGCTGCTGAATAAAGTCGCCTTGTCCCAATAAGAGATATCGCTTGAGAGCTCGCAAATGATCCATCAACTTGTATTTGGTCTTTAAAAGATCCAAAAGCCTTCTGCTGGTTTCTCTGTAGGTAGCATCAATCGAGCGTTCCACCTCGGGTATATCACCATATCGAAATGGTTGGACGGCTAAGGCTTGAAGTGTTAGCAAAATGGTGCCTTCCATATCGTGTGTTATTTACCTTGAGGAGATGCTAGACCAAATGCGTCTTCTTGACAGCTATAGCGCATAAAGTTCAAAGATTTGCCGATCAAAAAGATCTATACGATCATTGTCAATAAACCCTTCAGTGCGACGCTGTAGAGAGAGAGATAATCACCTTTTGCGCTAATTCACCGGAAATGAAACTAGGGATCATGTCTTCATGTATGGAGTATTTGCTTTGCCATAGCTCATCTTCAGGTACAGTTGGATCACACGCCACAAAGAATTCTCGGTAGGGATCATCAAGCTCGCCTTCATAAATCCATCGCTGCAGCATTTCATAAAATGGCTTTGAAACCTTTTCAAACCCACTGATGAGTATACCCAATTTTCTTTTTCCTTGTACTCCTTCCTTCCTCACCTCTTGCAACATTGATTTGATATATTTCTTGATGAATGGATCACCATGGATGGTATAATTGTGCATTGTTGATACGAGCGCTCCACCCTTTTGTTCTAATCCATGATGCTGGGTCATTACCATGGTCCATTTGGATCCTTATCCTTACTTACCTTTACAAACATCCACCATCACACTCATGAGTCGAAGTCGTTGAGAGCTCTCCCGAGTCCATAACAAAAGTCGTCGAAGCGTCAATGTTTGGTCTGTGGGGACGGAGTGGCCTTCGCTATCAGCTGCCATTTGTTTGTCGATCTGGGCTTCGAGGACAGCAATGAGCTTGTAATAGTCAACCAATTCACGTTGCAGCGCATAGCAAAATGCCTATGATGATAGCGTTAGTTGAATATGCTTATCAGCAACAAAAAGAGACCTGATACATACTTGTCCCACCAACCCCGCTTGAGGATTGTTGAACCGAGCTTTGAGAAATGATTGCACATTCTTGTAAAGCCATCCCAATTCTGTCACTCGATAGATCAAATCTCTCGTTGGTTGTGAAATAGAAACCTGTGCGCTGAAGATATCAGTATCCATACCATCCATGCCCACTCATCCATGATAGATTACCTTTTGATCAATAGCGTATTCATTGATGGTTGGATCAAACTTGATGTATTGGCCATCAATGCCTTGAAGGATGAAAATAAGATCACGTAAAATGGCTGACTCTGATAATGTCTCATTCGAATAGCCGAGTTGTTCACGAGCTTTGGCTAATTGGATTGCTGGCGGAAGAGGTTGTCCATCATGCAACGGCACTTGTTCACTTGCCAATCGTCGCCGGATATTTCGTTCCTCGTAAGGCCGTCTCATGCTGTGTTGTGGCGCGGATGCTGATACATTTGCGAGACCCACTGGGCTAGATGGCTTCATGCAATGATTAGCTTTTTTCTCATAGCAACTTGCGTCTCTCACTCATAAACATACCGATGATTCCCTTAAATTGGTTCCCTCTTCTTGATTGCTGAGCTGTGAAAGTAGGTACAGGATAGCCCATTTGTTGCGTAATACAGTCTACCAATGTCATTTTCCCCATCAATCCTTTGTTGCTTCTCGCTTGATGATCCTACTTACCTGTGAGGATAGCTTGTTGTATAAATGTCCAAATCGTGATGCTTTGCTTGTATCACGTGGATCTTGCGACACTTTGCAATGAGAAATTGGACGTTAGCTATCGTTCATGATCCAACCCTTCAAAGTAGACATACGTTTTCGGCGTAGATTGTTGGCGATACTATTTTCATCTTGTAGAATGGAGGGTGAAGGATTACTATGCATAGATAAACGCATCCTTAAGTAGAGTGTCCTGACACATGTCCTTTGAGTCGTACTTGTTCAATATCCTTGCACATTCCTCATATGCCTGGTTGAATTCCTCGTCATTGGTGGGATCGTCAGCTGGAATGAATTGCTGTGTCAATTTGTAAAGCGTGCGTGCCGTTTGTCGATCAAGATCTGCCGACGGTGAATGGGGTGTTGGCGTTGTTGTTGCATGTGGTAACGAGGGTGACCCAAAGCGGGATGGTCTGCTAGTGGAAGCCGATGAAGCCGAATCCCCGTATCGACCTTCTTGTAATAGTGCGCGTAACGAATCGGGCATGCTCATGTTGAGAGAGGGGGAGGTTCAAATGGTGAAGGAGGAGAAATATGCAGAGGTCCAAGTCGCCCTTTTTACGCGTGATGGTGTCACACAATGAAATCCCATTTCTTATTGTATCTACGCGTTTCGCGTCATCATTTTTATGAGTGGATACAATGGATATTGTCATTGTTTATTAACATGAATGAAATAAGGAGGGAGGGCGACTACACTTTCTTGTCTAAAACTTCTTTCATCTTTGGCAAGACACCGGTTTGGAAGAAGTCCTGCAAGACACGCTGTAATTCATTGACTGGACTAGCATTTTCTCGAGAACGTGGAATAAGTGGTAAGATGTCATCCAGAATCAATCGCAACACCTTCATTGTTTGGCGTGGATACTCTTGTAAAAGTCGTTGCCCGGCGACATGCAAAAAGTGGTAAAGTAGACCCGCTGTAATATCTCGTGGTGGAATGTTACATATACGTGCAAGCCATATCCAGCCATGTTCGATGCCGTATGGATTGGGTGGATCGCTTCTTTGTGGTGTCATTTGTACAAGGGCTGCATAAAACATAATGTATGAATACTGGTAGAGATAGTACATATCGGTCGGCTGGAACTCGGTCTTCTCCTCATTGACGTATTCATAGCGTTGGAGCTTTTGCATCTCTGTGACAGATAAGGCCTGATTTTATCAAAGTGAGTTTTCATCTCCAAGGCAACGGCGTCATTGTACTTACCGGATCATCGTGGTATTGGGGTATCATGTATGGACAACGTTTAAAGAGCCGGACCATCAAGTAATCCTTGAATTCAGGTAACGAAGACATCAAAAGCATCGCTAGTCGTGCGTAAAAGTAAGCACCCCAACTAATGGATGACACCTCTGTACGAACTTGAAGCTAATAGAGCCAAGAGTCAACTTCATATCCTTGTACCCTTTCCCATCAATCCTTACCAAAAAGTCCTTTGCCATCTGGTTTAATAAGCAGTGATAAGCATCGGTTGATTGTTGTTTGACAGCTAATAAACGATCCCTGATCGCAACATGCTATACAATACGCTCGATGATCAATAGCCGATCCTCATGTATGATAAAAATATCGGTACTCACACGTTGCTCCACCACTTCAGGCTTGAATTGCAATTGTTTGATGAATCGTTTGAGTGGCATCTTTTCTTTGAAAACGGTGGATCGAAAAGTCTTGTCCTCCAACCTTGGGCGATAATGTTGTTTGTAATACTATAAAGAGACATGTATGAGCCCATTGTCTTTTCCATAACCCTTCATTACTACTTACATCCAATACGGCTGTATACTTTTTGTAATCCTCCAAACCACCAGTTGAACATGATGTTGATGCTGCCTATTGAATGAACATGTGAGTAATTGTATGATGCCCGTAAAGGAAATGTAAAGTCGTACCGCTCGTTTAGCTGCTTCTTCTTTTGCTTTGGCCTCATCCTCAGCCTTCTTTTTCGCCTCCTGCTCCCTTTTGTCCTTTTCTTCCTTGGCTTTGCGTTCGGCTTCCTTGCGTGCAGCTTCTTTTTGAAGCTTATCCTTGTCGAGCTTGATAGCACTTTCGATACGCTATATGGATCACATCAATACAAGGGATGTTTCGAATGATGCAAGAATACATACTGCACGACGTTCCTTTAATAGGGATTCAAATTCTTTATCCAGCTCATTTTCATCTAAGTCACTTGATCCATATATCAGCTTTACTGTGACACCCTCTACATGGCTATGACTTACGCTGCAGATTTGATGCTGGCTACTTCTTGTTGGTATTTCCGGGATTGCTCTCTGTATTGCCGTTTTGATTCCTCCATTGTCAACTGCTTCATCGCTTTGAGGTTATCAAGGTGCTGTTGTCGACCGGCGATATCATCCTGAGACACACGGGGCTGTAACGCGTCAACATCAATCCATTGGATCACATCACACACATCACCTACTTTGGTCTTTTGCCGTAAACTTTCTTGATATGCATAGAGTATGTCCATGGGCTGTGCCAGAAAATCAAGCTCGGGAACGCGCTGATAATGCGGATTGCTACAATATCAAAGAATAAGGGTCGTGTTGATATAGTTTGCATACACCTATCCATGGAAACATACCGTTGGGGATTGGAGAATGCAATGTCGTTGTCGTCAATATCGGATTCTTCAGAATCGGAAGGAGCCGAGTATACCACAGGATTGGTAATGCGAACCGGTACACTGTCAAGTGGACATGCCGTAGTCAGTACAACAGGGATGAGGACATGCGATGCGCTATTACCGGCTGCTGGTTACTACGGGTTGTTGCACCATGATTGGTAAGGCGAGAACAGAATAACAGCCGTATAGGTGATAGAGTAGGAAGAGACAACTGATAATTGACGCCTGTTTTCCTTGCCTATTTTTCGTTGCCGGAGTTGGACCTTTTGAGGGGAGTCGATGATGGAGGTGCGTCGTGGGTTATTCAACATCATCATCATCCACCGATGACAGGAGACATCAAGTACCCTACATAACCATAATCCTTGTTCAGCTCCTAGTTGATTTATCATCCATCATCAATAAAGCCATCATCAAATTGCTAGGGTCTCCCAACCTCTTAAACTACAAGTTTCCCACTTGATTAACGAATCATGGACGATTTACTATTACCCAAGCATGATGAGGAGATGTTTTCCAATTGATAGATCCCTTTAACATTCATCACCATAGCTATCATAAAAGGTATCATAGCAGCTTTAAATAGGATGTCTTGGTAAATAGAATGGGAGAGCTGTGCCCCACCACAAAGTCTACATTATTATCATCATGTGTATGATAGAAAGAGGGATTGGATAGCTGAGCAGCATGTTGTTGTCTCGGACTTGCTTCAAGCTTGTATGTAATTATGGTTGTCATCGCTCTTTTACCATATGAAGCTCACCATGCTCGAAGAAAAATTATGGGCACCGGCAGTCTCCCGAAATAATGCCGGCAAGAATATGCGCATATATAGTAGCCCACCATCAGCTACCGGCATGATTGAGCAAACGTCATCTTTAACATCCTTTTTCAAAAAGGGTGGTTTGTGTATTGATCACCATCCATGAGACTCGTGATAACCCACGCATGCATGTAGCAGGGCCACATACACTATATGACCACTGTAACATGCAGTGACCTGATAAGGAAAAGGTATAATCACCACCCACATGTAGTAGCTTATATCCAATGAAATGCATGTTTCACCACCGCTGGGTTAATTGTGATAATTATGGAAGAACTATCTTAAGGTGATGATATGAGGGATTACTGACATCGGGGTAAAGAAATGAGTTATCTTTGGTATTGGAATTCAGTGGGGGATTGTTTTGTCCAGCTCAGTAATAATGCAGCGTCTTTGTGTATATTTGCATGCAGTATCCTTTTATAATTTGGTGCACAACATGCAACAATGAATATGATATTGAATATCTCCTTGCATAGAAAATGACTTGATTCAACGGCAGCGCAGCAGCATTGGGGAAGAATAAGAAGAGTGTGTGTGGAGGAGGAGAGTTAATATACTGAAAAGTGGAATATGAAAATAGACAACTGCAACGTGGATTGAGCTCAGAATGAATGATCGACGAAATGGACAGCATTTCAAAGAGAGTGTGGCTTCGAGAATAGCTCTTGTACTACTACACACCCCTTCCTTTCTTTTGCTTATTACTTTCTTTCTTACTTTCTTTTTCTCTTTTTACTTTTTTTATAACTCGCCTGGTGCGAAACTCGTTTATTCTATTCTTGTTATCACCTCTTCATAACGTTTATTCTTGTTCCAACTTATGGCGAATCCCTCGTCATTGCCGTCTTCCAGTCATCATCGACCGCCATCTGCTTTCCAATGGCCTCTTCCTCCGCAGTCAGAGTTGGAACTCACTATCAAGGAAATTCTAGATGTGTATCAACATGATCCCGAGTTATTAAAACTGGTGCTTTCGGCCAAAGCGGAAGAAGACAAGGTGTGTTTGTGGGGAGATACAGGGATGATGTGGATGCATTGCAAGGGGAAACGAGACCATGTTTCAACGTATATACTAAACATAACAACAACGGCTAAACATAGAAACTAGCAGCGCGTAACACGCTTCAAGTAGAACAGGCACGCATTCAACAAAGAGTGATGGATTTGGATATGCTTCGAGTGTATCATCGATTACCATCTAGCATGATTGAGAATGGCATTCAACAACAGCAACAACAACATGCAACAGCAACGACAACGACAACAACAGCACATCCACATCCACCGCCTGGTGCGGTGGTCTATGCACCATTGCAGCAGCAGGTGATTGCTCGTATTACCGAAGCTCATTCCCCCGTGGGTGCTTATCCACATTCGGCCCATCCGCTGTGTTCCGATTATGCACGTTACCCACAGCAACCACCTCCTCCGCAACAACAACCACCCACCACCGCCACCTCCCAACAACAACAACAACAGCACAGAGCACCACCACAACAACAATCATCATCCACATCAAGATTACTCTCAAAGGATAACTTATCTACTACCACTACAACAACAACAACATCATCACCTCCATCCAAGAAACGACCTCGATCGAGTAATGAAAAGATGTCTCATGACATGGTGATGGAAGCTCTCAAGGCTAAATTACAGCGTACTCAACAAGCCGAGGCTGCCGAAAAGAAAAAACGAGCACGGACGTTACCTAAACCTTTGGTTACGGTTGTCAAGCAACAACAACAACAGCAACAACAGCAATCGGATAGTGCAAGTGAATCTCCTATCATGCCATCTCCTCGATCTGCCAAGCCGGTCTTGCCTCCAATCGACACCAGTGTTGGTCGACTTCAAGCTTCACGTGGCCCAATGTCATCACCCTATATTCAACGTCTCCCACCTTTTTCTGCTGCCATTGCTCAAAAGAATAATCATCATCACTATCACCCATCCCATTCTGATACCACAAAGCGTCGCGTCCGTTCCTTATCACCACCACCCTTTGCTAATGCTCATTAAAAACACACACACCTAGTATACAATTTCTCTCTATACATATGTAAGATGCGCATTTTAATCATCACGAGGCCCTTGTTGTTTGACGGGCAACAAATGAGATCTACGTGGGGAAACAAGATGCATTCGTTTCGCAAAGATGTATAATAAAGCGGATAATGCCGCTCCTGTAAGCAACCAATGGGCACGCAATAGTCCAACGCCATGCTGTAATGTTTGGCCCATACGTTCATGCAATGGTAAGGTCGATACACCCACAAGTTTTTGTTCAGGAATATCCTCCTTCACAGCTTGCAAGATAGCATCAGGCTCAGTCAACGAAAACAGTTGGCCTTGACGATCATGGTTGTAAAAACGGTAGTGTACAGGGTCGACAATAACAATGGCTGGGAGTCGATTTGGATGAACACGATAAGCGGATCGTGCATAATCACTCCACATGTTGCCCTCCAAAGTTGCAAACAGGACACGATTATCGGAAGATGATGAAGAAGAAGCCTTTTGTTGCTTGGCATGTCGTTCGGCGATGCTGCGGAATTGGTCAAGACTTGCTTGATCTTGTTGCTTGATAACACCCAACACCACCATGCGTTCTCCTTGTAAAATCTCAGGTGCATTACCAGGGCCAACTTCGCTCACGAGTGGGAAACGCTCATCGCCAATCCATTTGGTCAATGCTCGCTGCACTGTATCCGTATTGGCAAACGTATGAGATGGATACATGACATGCTTGCCATCCTTGACAATAAGTACGGTGGGTAAATCAGCAGGTGCCAAGCTAAATTGTCGAATGGCTTGTGGATCGTTGGTAACATAAAACGATGGGTCATCTGGGAAACCTTCGGCAACACGTTCCAATAGTGCCTGTCAAGGTGTGGATGATGACAATGACATGTTAGCTGGCTTAAAGTAAGATTCCCCATCTCCATACTACTAACCGTGGCATCCTCCTCCTTTTTGTCATACAAGTACACCAGCGATACAGTCTCGTCTTGAATATAGCGCTCTAATTGAGCCCCGTTCACATGTTTCACCGATGGCCTAAATGCCATAAATATTTTTAGTTTGCATAGATAAATATATACCAAGAACTCACCCTGCAAACTTGCGAGCAAAGTTCACCAAACTAACAAGGGATCGATCATCACGGTAGTCGTTTACGGATCCACTAGCAAATCTAAAGGGGGGAGGGAAGGTTGTTCAATATCACATGATGATGATGATGGGTCATTGTTCACTTACAGCTTCAAAGTGGGATATCCTTGAACGCCATTCTCATCACAAATATCTACGATAACAGTGAGTCATTGCAACGATAACAAAAATCCCATCCCCTTATACATTACCTCGATGTTCATCACAATTGACTTCACCGACATCCACTTGATGCTTCAAATCCTTTGCCATTTCCACCCATGCTGGTGCCAGCTTTTTGCAAAATCCACACCACGGCGCATAAAATTTGATAAACCAAGGACGACCTGATGCTTTGGCGGCATCAATAGCGGCTCTATCCAAATCCACCGAAATGCCATCTGCATTGGCAATCGTCATACTTGTGCTGATGGATTCTTCTTCATCTTCTTTTTCCATGCCGTTGCCAGGGATACCACTCCCACCTGTGCCATACGTGTCGGCTTGTTGTGGAATGTAGATGCTTAATTTGTCGTAAGTGCGTTCCTTGTGTGGCAGCATCTCAATAAGGTTGCCTTGGGCATACAAATGAAGGGTGGGGAATGCACGGATGCCTTGAGCTTTGCAAATGTCACCGGATAAAGTGCAATCGACCTTGGCAAAGTGGAAATCCCTTGTGGTTGCTAATGCTTCATGCTCGTCGGCTAGTTGTTGCCATGTTGGTGCTAATCATCATCATCCATATCAAGTGTTAGCCGCACCGTCCCAAAAGAGAGATAGATAGAGCTCGTAATATACCAAAGGCACGACAATGAGGACAATACGGAGAGAAAAACTCGACAAACCTAGCCGTGTAGAGATAATGAGATGTCGGCCATCCAGCTGCATTGGCAATAAATGAGAGAGCTTACCAGACGCCTTGACTTGTAGTTGACTCAAAGTCGCTGGAGGACAATTCTGGGATGGTGACGGCATGCGCAACTTGTAACACCAATGCCGTCAAAGCTGTCCATAGGAGACGATGCATTTGACAATGGAATGGAGAAAGAAAAGTGGGGTCGGTGTTGGTTGGATGTGTGTGGGTGGTTCCGGAAAGAAAAGCAACCTTTATAGCAGAAATGCATCATCTGCAAGTTTGAGACTAGGGCCAACTAGGGCATTGGTTGTTGTCTCTAGGGTGACACACACCTATATACATATACATGCACGCCACAAATCACATTTGTTATCTATCTTGTTACAAACAAAAGGAGATTCGTTTCTTTATTTCTTTACAAAAGTACGATTGGATATGCACAAAATGAGAAAAAAAAGGAATCAACAATGTGATGAAAAAGGGTAGCTGTGAGCTATTGTGCGTAGAATGGTTGTTGGAATGATGATTACAGAATTGAAAAGAGTTACGGAAAGAAAAGAGAAAAGGGATTGCTTTAAGCGTCGTAGGTGGAAGCAGAGACGTTACCACCACGGCCGGTCCAGTTGGTGTGGATCCACTTGCCGGGGGCATCAAGAAGTTCATAGGTGTGAGCACCAAAGTAATCACGTTGAGCTTGAAGCAAGTTGGCGGGGAGCTTTTCATGACGAAGACCATCATAAAAGTTCAAGGCTGTGGAGAGAGCAGGGGTAGGGATACCCATAAGCACAGCTTGAGCAATCACATTGCGCCAAGCATCTTGTGCCTTAGCAGTGGCCTCCTGGAAGAAGGGATCAAAGAGCAAGTTCTCGAGTTGAGGGTTCTTGGTATAAGCCTCCTTGATCTTGCCCAAAAACACAGAGCGAATGATACAACCACCACGCCACATAAGAGCAATACCAGCATTGTTAAGATCCCAGTTGTTTTCCTTTGCAGCTTGACGCATCAACATGAAGCCTTGGGCATAAGACACAATCTTGGAGGCATACAAAGCTTGACCAAGTTGGGCAAGGAATTCCTTCTTGTCACCAGTGTACTTTTTGTCCTTGGGGCCATCAAGGATCTTGGAGGCACGAACACGCTCATCCTTAAGAGCAGACAAGCAGCGAGCATAAACAGCCTCACCAATGAGAGTAACAGGAATACCACGATCCAAGGAATCAATACCAGTCCACTTGCCAGTACCCTTTTGACCAGCGGTATCTCTAATCTTCTCAACAAGAGGAGAGCCATCAGTGTCCTTGAACTTGAGAATGTCACGGGTGATTTCAATCAAGAAGGAATCCAACTCGCCCTTGTTCCATTCGGTAAAGACCTCGGCCATCTCATCATGGCTCATGCCAAGACCCTCCTTCATGATTTGGTAGACTTCACAAATCAATTGCATGTCACCATACTCTGCATAACAATAAACAACCATCATCATCAGTCATGTTGCTGCTGTTTACCAAAACCCAATATCCCCTTTACATACCAATGCCGTTGTGAACCATCTTGACATAATGACCGGCACCAGTGCCACCAACCCAATCGCAGCAGGGCTCATCACCAGCCTTAGCAGCAATAGCTTGGAAGATAGGCTTGATGTGTTGCCAAGCATCAGGGTGACCACCAGGCATAAGAGAAGGACCATAACGAGCACCTTCTTCACCACCAGAGACACCAGAGCCAACAAAGAGGATACCCTTCTTCTCAAGCTCATCGCAGCGGCGAATGGAATCGGGGAAATGGGAGTTACCACCATCAATGATAATATCACCCTCTTCAAGGAAAGGCAAAAGTTGATCAATGAAAGCATCAACAGCAGCACCAGCCTTGACAAGGAGAACGATCTTGCGTGGGCGCTTCAATTTGGCGCAAAGTTCCTCAACCGAGTGAGCACCGACAATGTTAGTACCTAAACAACAATACAGGGTCAGTTGACAGAAAGCAAAAACGTTGCATGGTTGTGTTCAACTCCACTCAATTCCCACCCATCCACCCCAAAATAAGCCGCCTCTTTGCCAACCATTTTGCTCAACTCCCCAAAAACCTATGCAGCACACACACAACCATACACAAGAAAAAAACATACCCTTGGCCTCGTTTTCCAAAAAGTGGTCGACCTTGGAAGTGGTACGGTTGTAAGCGCACACGGTGAAGCCGTGGTCGTTCATGTTAAGAATGAGGTTTTGACCCTATTGATAATGTCGTTTTGTGTCAGCAAGCCACCAAAAAGTCGTATATAGAATAAGCAACGCGTAGGCGTATGCAGCGCATATAATTACCATGACGGCCAAACCAATGAGACCAATATCAGCACTGCATAACCAAAACAAAAGATACAACGCGTGTAAGTAAATGTATGCTATGCTATGATAACAAGACGTGTTTGTGATAAAAAAAGTGATAGGCAACTTACACAGCTTGAGACATTTTGTTGAATAGGATAAAAAGAGTAAAGAAGAAAGCAGGAAAGAAGAAGACAGGACCAAGCAATTTGTAGGGGAAGGGGGCCAGGACCAGCCAATGGTGATGTAAGCGTTGACTGATGAATAAGCAGTAGCCTGATCTATCGGAGCTCTATCGATAAAATCGAGTCAAGGATGTTTGCCCGGCGTTTTCCCTCTCTGGATCCCTGTGGAAAAGGAAAGGGCATGAGACGCGTGCGTGTGTGCGTGTGTTCCCGACCAAGAAATTTTCCGCTTTCCATGACATTTCCCGCCGTCTGGTGTCGACAACGGGGATCCTCGGGAAAATTTGGGGTAATAACAACATTGTCCTTCTCCAACTTTACCACTCAATTTTTATCCATTTCATCTTCAATCATGCCGATTGGTCATCTCATTTGCTTATAAAGAGTCCGAGTGAGTCGTGCATCATCTTCGTACAAGGTAAAACACCCGATGCTTTCCATCCCTACCAGATCATCTTGTCAATGACTTTTTGACGCTTCTTTCAAGCATGTGAATGGATGTTCATGGCAAGTACACGCGTTTCTCAGGGACCAATCCCATTCTTATTAGACGCACTATCGCTCAACAATCAACAACCTGAGTCGATGCAATCGTCAACCCCGCTTTCAGAGTGACATCACTTTGCAGAGATCTGGCACTGATCAACAATCACGACATCGACAACGAATCATTATTGTAGCAAATCGTTGCTAGGAAACGGTTGCATGGAAACAAAAAAAAAACAACATCAAGGCTATGGTGTCAATAGGTCAAGGGGTTGGATTTTAGTAATGGCAGCTGGATGCATCCATATGTATTGGGAGTAAACATGATATCATGCTTTGATCAGTAGCCATCGTCGTTTCATCATGCTTAAGAGATAAGAGATCTCTTGTGGAACCGTATATAAATTATCTCGTTGTTATCATGATTTAGTGATTCGGATGTGGCCAAAGTCGTTTACTAAAAGTCATTGGATTGGCTCATAGAGTAAAGAGAAAAGAGGTGGGGGTCCATGTTAGATCATGGATGCATACATCATGGTAGTGGAGAGAGGAGTAGTGGAATTACCCCACCAGTCAAGCACCGTGCACGATGACACTGACCGGCGTATCGGGACAAGTCGGATTTTTACCCCGCCAACGATCAGCCGCTTTTGAGAATCCATTTACAGTATAAACATGGTCACTTGAACATGATGCATAATAGATGACACATCATCCATGATCCACTACACCTACACACCATGAACAAGGTCATCGTGGGCGTTACCATGGGCGTTATTGAGTATTAGCATTGACACTTGTACCCGTGCCATCGTGGCTCGGCACATGCTTTGTTGGTTTCCCGCTTAATCCCGATATTGCTCGTGAAAGGCTTTTATAGTATATGCAGTGGGCGGTTGGTTTATTGATGTCTTAGCTTAATGCTGGGATTGGATCATCGATAGGTGCTTGATGATAAGTAAACCATTCTCCAGATTTGGATTGCAGGAATAAAGTGGGTGGTTGTGCAACTGTTGGGGGATCTGGGGATGGATGTGGATGGATGTTGACTCAGCGCTTACTACTACTTGTGTTATATAAGGTGGAATGAGATGGAAAGCAACAAACATGGTACGAGTGACTAAGCAAGTAGTCATAGGGCTCTTGCAGGATTTAGCTGTCAATGGAACCTCTTGTTTCCGCATGGATCATTGAGACAACAACTATGGAGGGCGAGAGAATTGTGTATTATTGAAGCACACTTCTAATGCATAAATAGCCATAACGAGGTAAAATAGAATGACATTCTCACGGACAAATCGTAGGTGAGCGCCACCCATGGCGATCCAGTTCTTTGGATTTGCTAAATGCTGATGTCGAAACAAGGTTCAAGTGGTGGTAGTAGTGTTATCTCCTTCATCAATCATCCATTGTGGGAAACATGCCAAGTACACATTAACGGATATTGCTTTATGTATAAGAATGAGAGATAATGATAATGATGATGATGGTATATGGAGTTGTTGGGAGAAGATGGTGTATAGGCTAAAATGCTGGTCGATTGGTGCTATGTTTATCTACATGGTCTTGATCATGCTTGCGTCCATACCAAGATGTCTGGAAGGATGTACTGACCAAGCTCATTTTCCTTTCTACACTTAGTAGCTTGTCGAATAGCGGTTTGACTTGATCATCGTTGGTGGAAGCCACAAGCGCGTTTAGCTGATATCATCCATATCCCAAGCAACTGATTAGCTGATGCAATTGGCAGGCACAATGAAGTCTTCAACTCACCCTGGCAATGTTGTCTACGAATCGCTGTGTCTCGCTGATAATGGCATCCTCCAGAGTGCGCATGGGGGGAAGATTGGGTGTTGGAAAAGGTGGGAGCAGAAGAAGCGGGCCTTAATGTACACACACCACACGCGTCAGGTGATCAGCCAATCAATTCTTGTTAGCCACTAGCTATAACATGTATCATCAATCATCTTTGAATAACATTCACCAATACCAACGTTGTCTAATAAAAGCATGCTACCATGTCGTGCGTGGTCCATAGCCTGTTGTAAATGAAATTTGCTCTGTGGTGCCTGGCATTTTACCCTCCTTTGTATTTACAGTATCCCTTTCACGTGATTTGGCTAAAGTGTATCCCGATTATAGCTTGACTACTTTTCATTTTGGTTCGTTTCTAATAAACAAATAGACTCTTCTTGCTAACATACGATGAGCACCTAGAACAATAATCGTAATAGGGGTCATCCTAGGAATAAGCAATGCTACCTAATGATGGCCGTGGATGGTTTGAGGTATCCATAGATCTGACGACTTGAAGCTAGATATACAGTAAAAGGATGATACCGACTACATGATGTCACATGCTTGGTAATGAAAAAAGAAGCGTACTACATTATTGGCGATGATGATACCACTACTGATTCGAAAAAAAGGTCAACAAAAGGAGGCTTTATTTATGATGATGATACCACCACTATCACGTGGGAATGCATGGTTTGTTTCCTACTTTCATCAGTACTCTATTGTGGAAGATGAGATGAAATCGCCTTTGAGCCTGGTGATGATAATGGACAACAATAGAGTGATAACGTCATGTCCCACTATGAATTCCAGCCGATTAACCAAAAGTAGTCTGGAAACGCGATCTTGTGCAACAGCTAGCAGCGATGGCCAATGGAATGAAGAAAGAACAAGCCCAGTGCGTATGCTGTTGTTTCATTGGGAAAAACTACGCTTGGATCATCCTTTTGTCCACTTTAATGTACAAAGGAAATGAAGGAAATGGGATGCTTTATTCTTTGAATGGGATACTATAACAAAAATAGGGCTGTTGGTATGTGGTAGATGGGTGCTAAATGTATTCACACACATGCTAACCGCTGAGACACAGGCGTGCGTTTTGTGGCGAGCGGAGAGGGGAGGGCGCAACAACGCTCACCCAAAAGGACCCCGTTTCAAGCTTTTTTTCTTTTACGAACTTTTCCATCTTGTCTTCCATTGTACCATGGCTGAATTCGTCAAACTCTCCATTTTCGGTACCGTCTTTGAAGTGACCACTAGGTAAGATGCTCATAATGCCTTATTGACGCGTATCCGTGGACTCCATTCTCATTCGACCGCCCATTTTCTTCTACATAGATATGTTGATTTGCAGCCTGTTGGCATGGGTGCCTTTGGCCTTGTCTGGTAAGAAATGCAAAGCCCTGTTCAACGAAATAGGGGAAACTACAGTCATGGATGAAAAAAGGAACTCACGGTTGATATGCTTAGCTCTGCAAAGGACCAGCTCACTGGCATGAATGTTGCCGTCAAAAAGATCATGAAGCCATTCTCTGCCCCTGTGCTCGCCAAGCGTACCTATCGTGAACTCAAGCTTTTGAAGGCATTGCGACATGAAAATGTAAGGCGATTGGATGTGATTGGATAGCTATGGATACGGGGTCGACCTGACAACTGTAATCGGTAGATCATTAGCTTGAGCGACATTTTCATTTCTCCTTTGGAAGACATGTAATGGTTGACGAATCATGACAATGCATCAGGGACTAACATGGATTACAACAGCTACTTTGTCACTGAGCTTTTGGGCACTGATCTCCATCGTCTGCTTCAATCTCGACCTCTTGAAAAGCAATTCATCCAATACTTTTTGTATCAGATCTTGGCAAGTCATCATCAATCAGGTTTTACTTGTCGACATGTCTTGGCTCATTCATTGTTTTGTGTGTTTAATAGAGAGGTCTCAAGTATGTGCATTCAGCTGGCGTCATCCATCGTGATTTGGTAAGTGACAACATGGTGTGAAGATACATACCTATCATGTGGCTACCCACTCACACACGCACAATCTTTTGTTTGCAATGATAGAAACCAAGCAACATTTTGATCAATGAAAATTGCGACTTGAAGATTTGTGATTTTGGTCTCGCCCGTATCCAAGATCCTCAGATGACTGGCTATGTATCCACGCGCTACTACCGTGCACCCGAAATCATGTTGACATGGCAAAAGTATGATGTAGCAGGTAAGTGATTTACAAAAGAGTGGGATACCACGGCCAAGGATTGACAATGTGCATCATTTAGTTGATATCTGGAGTGCTGGATGTATCTTTGCTGAGATGCTCGAGGGCAAACCTTTGTTCCCTGGAAAGGATCGTAAGTAAAAAGATCAAGGTCATCAGAGCATGCACGTGATAACATGGCATCATGCGTCAATGTAGACGTCCACCAATTCTCGATCATTACCGAATTGTTGGGTACTCCTCCCGATGATGTGATTTCCACCATTTGCAGTGAAAATGTAAGTAAAAAAGTTGACATTTCAAATGTACAGTAGCTTATAATTGCAACCTTGTTAGACGCTTCGATTTGTGAAGAACCTTCCCAAGCGTGATCCCATTCCTTTCAGCCAACGTTTTGCTGGCCAAGATCCACAGGCTATTGACTTGTTGGAAAAGATGCTTACCTTTGATCCTCGCAAACGTATCAATGCTGCTGATGCTCTGGCACATCCTTATCTTGCGCCTTACCACGACCCTTCAGATGAACCCACTGCTCCTGAAAAGTTCGATTGGTCATTCAATGAAGCTGATTTACCAGTAGATACCTGGAAGGGTAAGTTGTTTGGAGTGGGGAAACGAGGAAACAAAGGAGAACATGAGACTAATGATTTCATTGTTGCAGTCATGATGTATTCTGAGATTTTGGACTTTCACAATGTGGATAATGTGGATGGTGCACAATTCCTTGGCACGCCACTTACTGGACCCGGTTTGGATGGACAAGTTTTCCAGCAGCAGCAGCAACAGTAATCTCTGGATTCCAATACGATATGTTGCGTAGCAAGTATTTTCTTTTATTCTTTCTAGTTTTTGTTATTCCCCCTTTCATTGATGATCTCCCCATTTATAAATGTACAAGAGTTTTGCTCGATATGAGAAGATGAGACTATGAGTGTATACAAGCGTAACAAAGTAAACAGAGGTGGGCGGTTGAATGTATGATACAAAGGGTTGTCGTGCGTGTGTGTGCGTGTGTGTGCGTCTATTATGACATGCTGAGCTTGGTATTCAATGCTTCGGCCAAGTTTTGGATATCGTCGTCTTCATCTTCGTATTCGTCTCTTTCCTCTTGAATATAAGATACCAACCTGCACATGGATTGACCTAAACCTTGAGCTAATAAAGGACCTGGTGGTGGTACAAAGATATGCATGATGTGAGAAGTCATGTACAAATGACAATGTCAATAACTTACCACACTCGGAAGGACTAACAAGGCCGTAGGCTGTCAACGCCCATAGGAGATGCATGACATTCTTTGCCACGAGGCGATTGAAGCCCATGCCGATACCAACACCTCGACCTTCTTCATCAAGTCTTTCAGCCCCCCAATTCATCAATGCCAATGTATCTTGTTTGACGATATACTTGTCACGGTCCTGCCGTTGAGTGAGGCTGTGTGTGATAGCGTTGATGTAGACGACTGCTCGTGTAGCGAATTCGAGAGCTTTGAGTAATAATTCAGCGTGAAGAGTGTTGCAAATGATTTGGGTATACTGATGGAATACAAGCGGTGACATGGGTTGTGGTTCAAAAAACAAAGTGAGATTCTCATGCTCAATGACAATCTGTTCGCTGGAGGAGTGTACAAGCATGGTATTAAGAAGTCTATGATAATCTTGGATCAGTCTAATGTGGAAATTACAAGGGGGGCAATCACTTACCTTGTCGTTTCTAATAAAACACGGGCATCATTTTCATTCCACAAGATAGATCGACATAGCCGTAATACATCCAAGTCATCCAATAGTCGTATTCCCACTCGTTCCCAGTGACATGCCATGTTTGCTAGTGCACCCATTGCCAGCTCACGCGTTCGGGGCCTCTTTGTCATGGTAACGATCTATCATCACATTGCCTTTTAGATATACCATCCCATTCCCCACACCCTCGGCTCTATTGAACTTACCTTGAGGAACACACGGTGGAAATCAGACGTCGATTCAATGGCATGAGCATAGTCGGCAACTGTACACACATCCCATGCGGCGCATAACACACGCTCGTAAGGTGAATCGTCGAATACATCGTCGCCTGTAGCTTGATCAAGGGATTCCGAGACGACGCCATCGATGAGTTTTTGCAGAATGGGAGCGACGAGAGTGACATGCTCACCACTGGGTTCATTGTTGGTAGCCATTGGGGTTTGGGGGGTTGGTTGGTTGTTGTAATAGTAAAAGTGGAGGAAAAGGCTGAGATTCAAGTAGTTATAGTAGCAGACGAGAGTTAAGCGAAACTAATCCGGATGATGACTCTTTCGTTTGAGCTTCTGGACCTGGCCGATGATGTTGTCTCACCTTTTTTCGTGCAACCATGCAACCATGCGAATTTCCCCACCCTCATCTTTGTATTGCATCATAGCAACCGACATGCACCACCCTACAAACACACTACTCTTTTACATCTCTCCCAGCTATTTGGTACCCAATCATGTAAATCTATCAAATACAATAAACATTTGATTATGTAATAAAAGGGACTAGACTGTTCGATTACAATGAAAAAAGGGGGTATAATGGAATCAACACATGTACTATTATCCATATCAGTCACTTGGAGAAAACTGTACCATGTGCTTTCCTAATTGGGTTTGGAATTCTGCAATTGCGCAACGAGTGATCAATGCGCAGTTGTTTACCGAGATGGACCGCACATTATTAAGCAGCTGCAAGAGCCCTGCGTTCGTCACCAAGTTGCATCCCGTCAGGTCCACATGCTTCAAATGCTGTTGCTTTTGCACCAGTTGACCCAAGACCTTATCCGAGAGAGCGCTCATATCCGCCAATTGCAAATACTCAAGACGCGTCGTTTGCAAGTGGGTTGCAAAATGCATCATGCCATCATCTGAAAGGTCATCTTCATCACCAGCAGCAGCGTACCACAATCCAAGTTTCTTCAATGTGGAGATAGTGGCTATCCGTTCCAACATGCGATCCGTTACTAGGCCACGACCCATCAAGCCAAGCACTTGTAGCCTGCTATTGTTGACCTTGTTGTTGGTGCCCAAGCATTCAAAAAGTCGTTCAAACCCATCGACACCAGCAATGCTTCTACCATCATCGCAGCTAATACCACCACCGTTACCAGGACAATAGCCAATATGGAGACAACGTAATTGATCGAGCTCACAAAGTGCATCAGCGACATCATTGGTCATGCGATCTGCCCTGGGTGTCACCCATAAGAATTCTTCCACTTGACGAGTTTGCTTCAAAAGTGCTGCCACAGTATGTCCCTTGATGTTGATATTGTCAAGTGATAGCACACGTAGTGCAGAGCCATTCATCCAAGCATCCAAGTTTCTCCATTCAGTTTGCAGTCCACAGAGTCGATCATCACGGCTCAACGAGAGCACTTGTAGCGTGTGTCCATGTTGCATTAATGTTGGTGCCATTTGATCTGATCCATATCCTTTTTGTTCAAGAGCCACAAATCGCCTCAAGCCAACTGACGATTCCTTGCTATTGTCATATTCTTGCCAGCTGGAAAGAAATCCACCACCTCCACAATCAATGTTGCATTCCAATGATGTAAGCTTTGGACACATTTGCTGAATCGTCTCCAGGTCAAATGGTTGTCGTCGTCTATCACAACCTCGCATATCGCAACACAAGCAAAGGCTTTCAAGGGAAGGGCAATGATGAAGGATCCGTGAAATATCATCCCCCGCTTGTTGTAAAATGCCACCATGCAAATGGAGATGCGTGACTTTGGAAGATGATACCCTCTCGGCTTGATCCATTGGAATACCAAATGAAGACTTGTTGTTGTTGTTGCCATGGAAATTCGTCATGTATGAAAGGCGTTGAAGATGTGGACACGCTTCAATTAATTGTATCACGTCGACATTGGATTGGTAAGCTTCATGAAGGAAGAGTGTTGTCACTGTTGAATAACATGCAAGCTGTCCCAAAAGACGTAAAAAAGTATATACATCCATGATGCTGCATCCAATGAATTCTATAAAAGACGCGTTATTATCATTCCCTTTGCCTATAATTTCGCTCCCCCCCACCTTATTACCTAGTTGCTGTAGACCTGTGCATTGCTGATTGATCAGCATACGCATCGCTTGGATCAATCGATGATTCGACAACTCGCGAAATGATACTTTCTTCACATGGGATCCCAGGCACTGCAGCATGTGTTTTTGGTGGAGGTTGGTGTGGTTGGTGATTTCAATATCTCGCCAGACACGGGTGGCGTATTGAGGCGTCATGGCGACCCACCATGGCGAGGCATCCATGCATTGCAAGCAATCCGATTGGCTTAGATGGGAGAAAATGGAGTTGGCTACGTCGTAAGGGAGTACATCCATGGTTGTCAAACAAAGAAAAAAAGGGAGGTCGTTACTTTAAAAGGGGGATTTTGGTTGCCTTGGTATTGCACCTGAATATCATGCGCATTTCTGTTACACAATGCGGGATCAATACGGACGACATCCGGATTCATTCCTCGGAACACATTTTACAAAAGGCCAATACCGCGGTTGAATGGTTCTTGATGACATGAAAAAGCTCATTCTATGACTGGTATCTTTATGATCCTTGTATCCATGGAAATTGACCATCCACAATCATGCATCCTACCACACAGAATGGCATTACGCATAATAATCACATGTCACGAGCACGTGATTCGTCCACATATTTCCTACCCTTCTTGACAGGTAAATTGTCGATTTGTAAATGGATAACAAGTGTTGCTTGGCAGTGCCGATGAGAAGTAAAACAATTTGATAGCTCCAGCAGCAAGAAGGCCTTTTTTCACCAACATTGTCCATGAAGCCTCACCTTAGACACTAAGCTTTTCCTTCACTTTCTCTCAACCAACGTATATGCTCCATAGCTAGAAGAGTTGATCCAATCCCCTTTTTAAAGAAATTTAGTTGTACTTATCACAAGCTTTAATAAAAAGACTACTAGCCGGTCAACTACGTGGTGGATAACATATGCTGAATGATGATATTTGGTGGAGGTGTTGGTGCAGCTGGCGATGGGGGTATGGATGGAGATGATGTTCAAGATGAAAATGAAAGACGTCGTAATGATTAGGGTGGTGGTGATATGATTCGATCAATGCTTCTTGCTGAACCCATTCCATGTAGATGTTCATATACGATTGCTGTTATCGGTGGTGGTGTCATTCAATGAAAGCATGTATGATACAGTATTAGATTCTTCAATTTCAACCACGCCGTTCACTTCTGCTTCCAATTCCTCGGTGACAAGAGCCTGCTCAAGCACAAGAGACTACGGATACGATATTAGCACATGCTTTCGTCAAAACCAAAGGAACTCACATGCAGCGTGGCGATCAACTCAAAGAGCTTGACCATCTGATATCGGTATTTTTGATGCTAAACTGCTAGGGGGATGTAGCGCCCCCGATGTCGAAAAATGTCGCGCACCTAGTAATCCCCGGTTGGTATGGTAGCAGAGCGTATCTGTATGAACCGCCATTTGGTGGGGCTGATGATGCTGGTCTCCGTTAGAGTGATGGTGTCCTGGATGACTTGTATGCCGTAAGTTTTGCGCTTCTTCATTGTTGTATATGATGCGGCTTTATATGTATTGATCTGCTGCTTCAAATTATTGACTACATTCGTAATATCGTTTCCCTAGGTTGTTCGCCGATGACTGCAAGCTCAACTAATGATCTTTTCTTTTAATAGCTTGATGCCACCCTCTTTGGTAGAGCCCGAAGGCTGCTTGTCATCCTCTACTCTTGTTGCGGATACAATTTTTGGAGGGGCATGGCTAGCATAGGATGTTTTGCGTACGCCGAATGCGGGCTATATTAGAGTGTAACCCCACCTAATCCAAACTTTGCATGCACACCTTGGGAGGTCACTACATTGAATTGAAATATGAGTATGAGGTTCAACGAATGAGAAGAGAAGATCATTGGATTCTACCTTGTTAACAGAGCCAAATATCATAATGACAATGGAAGTAGGATAACAATGAATAGCTAATGGTCATCATGAAGGTGAATACACATCTCGCTCACAAAGAGAGCCACCCACGGCATACTCAAAACAACTCGAGCTTTGCATTATCAGCAATCAAAGGGTGATGATGGAAAAAAAGAGATGCGTAGGAGTACAATGATGGGCGACAACATCTTTTATGTGCGCGGTAGGCGTGGGTATTTCTGTGATTACAAAAGGAGGAATGAGTGATAGATAAGGTGGGCGTCTCTACCAGTGGTATGTCTTAAGAGCTTTGGCGTGATTGATTGTTCATGTGTGGAATCCATCATCTAACGGTGCCATCCATCTGCTATCACAAATCACCTGCTGTGCCCAAATTATGTGAGATGATGAGACGTTGCTTGCGTGAGTGCCCGTTACAGGAAATACAAAGTCGTTGGCATCCTTATTGATAAGCATAAAGCGCATCTGTAAACGTTTTTGGCCACCACAGCCATATAGTAGCGGCTTCCCTAAACCACACAATCCACGACGAGTGGTACTACTACTATGATGATGATAGCTATATTCTTTGCTGCGCATTGTTTTTTTTTTACATAGCCGTTTTCCCTTATCGCATTGTAGATGTGATGCCGCATACGTAAATCAAAATGAGTATGATTGTATCCACTTGCATCCATTGTATGTGAAGGTGAAATCAATGGGTTGTTATCAGTGCTTTATTGAAGAAGCATGATGGATGGGCTTGGATTCATTGAAAACTCCGGTATTGAACGACAACAACTACGCGCGGCCTTGACCCATTCACTTGCACTCTTCTCCCCTGAACAGACCCCATTCCGCTATACCAAAATGTCAACTCCCATGGATGTAGATGAAGTACCACCTGCACAGCAAGAGCAAGCTGACGTCAAGGGCAAAACAAAAGACGTAGCTGAAAAGAAGCGATTTGAAGTCAAGAAGGTAAATGCGGCTGGGCATGGCGTCAAGATCACAAAGAACTCACTCCTTTTATTTATCTCGTGTGTGCTCTCTCTCTCTAAAGTGGAACGCTGTTGCTCTATGGGCTTGGGGTAAATAGCAAGATGATATCCATACATGCAAAGGGGCTAATAATGAAATGATAGATATCGTCGTCGACAACTGTGCCATTTGCCGAAATCACATTATGGATCTTTGTGAGTGGAATTCCGCTGCATAGCATACACGCACCCACCACCAACATGATACTGATATATACGATTAGGTATTGAATGCCAAGCCAATCAAGCATCTGCTACTTCAGAGGAATGCACAGTAGCCTGGGGTGTTTGTAACGTAAGTGAACAAAGAAAACGGCGTTCCACATTGGATTATGAATCATTGATGATATGATCATAGCATGCTTTCCACTTCCATTGTATATCCCGCTGGCTCAAGAGTCGTCAAGTATGTCCTCTAGACAATCGCGACTGGGAATGGCAAAAGTAAGGGCATTGTGTTGTTTGATTTTGGGGATACGTTGGGATTAACAATGACATTCACGTAGATATGGACGATAAAGGAATCAGATAGCAATCTTGATTGGCGTGTTTTCAATTTTTACCCTTCTTCAACAAAGCAATGCAGTACAATCAAAGTCATCTTTCTATCCTATCTTGTGTTGGGGTGTTGTTCCTTGGAGGGTGTGGGCAAGGTCCCTATCGTTGAAGTTGTCGTCTTGTCGATTAGGCATCATACACACACACATACATACGTAGGAAAGAAAAGGGGAATCCTATCCATGGTGATGCATGTGGAAAGTCGTCGTCGGCTTATCAACCACCGGGAGTGTGCTTTCTTATGCAACCCTATCTATTGGCTCATGTATAGAATCCAACACTCGCACACTCTAAAGCATATCTCCAATGAAAGAAAGGCAAAAACTTTATTTAGAATACCATCTTGTCGATGACAGGTTAGGGATCAAAGGCTGAAACTGGGTGTGAATAAAGCATGATGCAAGCTTTTCAAGGAGAGATGAACGGTTATTGTTGTTGCACAAGCCGCGTTTTTTTCCTGCATATTCAACCATGAGTGATAGTGAACGAACCGGTGTACCTACAGGCGACGATGAGCTTTCTCTACCCAAAGGTGAGTGCCGTTGCTTATCCTTCCCTTTGGTGAGATGCCCCCCATTGACTCAACTGTGTCTTTTTACAGCCACTGTTCAAAAGCTCATCAACGAAATGATGCCGAGCGACGTTGCATGCACTAAGGAAGCTCGCGATGTACTGATAGATTGCTGCGTCGGTAGGTATTGAATCGAGATACGGCTTGTATCCTTGGCAACGGAGACTCATCATTATCCATGGATACAGAATTTATACATTTGATAGCCTCGGAGGCCAATGACATATGCGACAAGGAAGCAAAAAAGACCATTGCAGGCGAACACATTGTCTCTGCCTTACGTGAGCTCGGCTTCGAGGAATACATTGAAGATGTGGAAGAGGTTTACAAGGAACATCGACAACAGCAAAAGGTAAAATGAGAATAGAGGATAGCGATTGTTTTATTAATCTTTGATATTTAGGATCGTGAAAGGCGCAGCTCAAGATTGGAGAAGACGGGGATCTCAGAGGAAGAATTGCTGCGACAACAAGAGCTATTGTTTGAACAATCTCGCCTAAAATTCGAGGGACAACAATAACAAGCAAGCACGCCATGGATATACCCGGTCTTTTCTTTTTTAGCACAAAAAAGAGAGAGAGAAATGATGTAACCAGAAATCAATGCTGTTGTATATTGAAGATATACAGAGAGAGGAAAGAAAGCAAATAATGGGGGTGGAATCATTAACATAAGTACATCAAGGTAGATTGCTATAAACACAAAGTGGGCGGGATTGTTGGATGGGAACTACAAGAGAGAGAGAGTGAGAGGGATCAAGCGAAGGACGAGGATGATGATAAATAAGGGTAAGAGAGAGAGGGCGAGAGAGGGAGTGTGTATATATACGTTGGGATGATGAATGATGGGGGTGATGTGATATACTTCATGGCTGTTGTGGTGATGGTGGATGGTCGGCAAGCATTTGCTCAAAGGTATCAATCAATGTCCGCAGCCCTAATAGGTACCCATGATCTGGTTCTTCGGGACATTCCGGAGGCCAACTCATGGTCGTCATTTTCTCCTGCATTTCTCTGGCCGTGACACAGTGCGCAAAGTCAATAATTCGTACGTCAATGCTGCTGGTCTCATCCATTCCATCATAGATAACAAGTAAGCTTGATCCAAAGAACCGATAGCCACGTAGTGATCGAATCAAGAGCTCCAATTGCTTCAACTTGAATAAAAGCTGAGATACGTGCCGTGTCAATAATCGCTTGCCATCATGTAAGAAATCATAGAGCACTTGTTTGAAAGTGAGTGGTGATAATCCTCGTCCAACATACTTGTCTTGTACTTCATACGTGCGACGATTGACTTTGTAAACCTATAACGGATCAACGATGAATTAGGAATCCATCATCATATAAAAGCGGGGGAAAACGAAAAGGGCGGTGATTGGATAAAAGGAGAAGGAATATAGGGCGTAAAATAGAGAACAGATCAATTACCTGCATTCCACACATGCGTACGCCTAATCGCCGGCTGGTCGATCGTTCACACTTTGCCGTTTGGCTCATCTTTTTCGCCTGTGAAGCATAGACACCATGTTGGCGAGTTCCCATTTTTAGATCAAGGACACAGGGCTTCTTCATGTTGACCGTCAAATCTTCAATCACAATAAACTCCTGACCCTCCTTGTTGCCAACGTGTCGCACCATTAATGTTGCCAGGTCATTGTTATCCACCACAATGTTGGCTGGTTGCTCATCATCATCGTCGTCTTCTTCATATTCAGTGTGATGATAAAGGTGGTGTCGATATCGTTGTCGATCCCATGCCAATTCAGGTCGTCGTTGCTTGGTACTATCATACGATAAGCGAATACAGCCCATGTAGCGAGGGACAAAAGGTTGGAAATGGGGGAATTGTTGTAAATCCTTGTAGAATGAGCGTTCTTTGGTTGCAGTGACATCTTTGCAAATGGCCCCATTGGAAGCAAGTCGAAACATGGCCACATGACCCCCGACCTTGTGGTTGAAAGGCGCCACTTCACATTGGGTTTTCAACATGGTCATTTGTTTATTGGCGCTATCTTCTTCTCTTTTTTATACAAATTGGGTTGGTTGGAATGGGGTTGTTGGTGACCAAAGAGTGTGAGTGTGTGAAAGTAGAAGAGAAAAAGAGAGAGAGAGAGAGAGAGAGAGAGGAGAAAGAAAGCCCGCTCAAGAAGTGGAATTGGGCCTTTTACCTGTTAGGAACTGCTACCAGCGGGGCATGGATGCTTAAAGCTAATTCGATTGGCCAATCCGCGAGAAAATGGTTTCAATCACTTACTCTCCTTGAAACAAACGACAAAAGCCTTTTTCATCCGCCACAACGTGATGCCTGCCATTCATTCATACTGGCTGAACACAAGGTCATGCCCCCTTGCATTTTGATTGCCATTGGTGACAAAGAGCCCATTCAAAGCATTCATGTTTGTCCCACGTGTTTACAAGGCACCCATTCTTTCATTTGCATTGCAATCATCCATGATTCGGTAGATTCATTCCGATCCGTGGATCCATGTTGGATATTTCCGAGGGATGTCCAATCATCAAATTCATACCTGTCATTCATGATGGACATCCAAACAAAACTTCTTTCTTCTCTTTTCACTGTTTCATTTCTTCATTTCCCACTTTTCTCGTTTCCAATGATAAACAAATACTGCAACATGGCATGTATACAAATCAAACGATTCGTATCGATCACGTAGTCTTCAGCTGGGTTGTTGCCATGGTAATTACGTCGTCAAGGAAACGACGCATAAATGTATCACTATGCTGTACGGCTGACATCAGCGAATGCGTTCTTCTAAATGCCCCCCTCCACATTCATGCATATTTATGTTGCATAATCCGACATCCACCTTGCATTGGGAAACGCCTTCTTTACTACCGCCGATGATGATATTAGAATTACATGTAGATGACATACACCTGTGCCTAATCACAATGACGGTGTGTAGCAAAATAGGCGCACACCCCATCATCCGACCTGACACAAACTAATTTGAGTGCGTGTCATCCTTGACCTATCAATATACGTCTCTATTCCACGCCGCCAAGCAAAGGCGTGTGGTGCGCGTGCGTGTGTGTGTGTGTGCATGTGTGTGAATAACAATGTGATGGGAATGGGTTTTTGTTTTGTAGTTACCAGCAGGAGCCCCCTTTTTCAATTCCCTATTTTGTATAGGATGCATTAAAGGTGATAATTGAAGCAAAAGCAAACAAGGAGTAGAGGATGTGATTCGATGGCAACAGAGCCTTGTTATTATCTTTAAGCAAATGAAATCGAAAGAAGCCATCACATGTATCCAATGTCGCGTTTGCCCTTCTAATGTTGGGTGGATCAGATGACACACACGTACACACACAATGCTCGGGGCAAATAGAGATCACGAGGCTTCCTCAAAAGGGCCCAACCCTTTTCCCAATGAGCGATGTTATCAACATACCAAAAGTAACCAACACGTGTATACACATCTACCATTCAATAGTGAGTGGGATACAAGACACTCTCCCACCATCTTACCCCCAACGACATGACGCGATTTTCATCTAGAAAAGGGTGGATCATCCAAATAGAACAACCGTGGGGAATGCACATTGTACCACAAACTGTCATCTGCTGGTGTTAATGGATCGACCGGGTTTCCCGCCCGATTGTGTTTTTTTTCTTATCCATTCCTTTCACATGTCATGTTCCTTCCTTTCCCCTTCCTTCCACTTGAAGACGCTTGTAATAAACATCAAAAGCAGCTTTATGTAATCCTGCCAATGTCTACGAAATGGCGGGCTCTATCAACAAAAGATCTATCATTCTCTTTTCTTGGAGGAGGCGATGCGTGTTGCTTATTTTTGGCCCTAAAAGATCATAAGAATAGATGTGAATAGAATGAAAAGAGAGAGTACAATCATGATTATCAACATACACGAGCCATCTTGATGGTACCCCAGAGAGAACCGAGAAGACCAGTGCCAAGGACAAGGAAGGTGGTGTAGACGAAAAGCTTATCTCTGGGACCACGAATGTAGAGAAGCTCGTTGGAGGGAGCCTATAGCGCGCGTAGACATTGTTGGTGAGACAATTGAGTTCAATGGAGGATCGTCCACGTCGGGCAATGAGGTCATGCTGGTGGTCGTAGTAGTTGTAATTACCTGCCAGAAACGTTGTTGTTGGATGATACGGTTGGGTCTGTTGACGAGCGACATTGCAAGAAGTGTTGTTTGGAAGAAAGGGAATTTTTTCTGGCGTGGTGTCTAAAATTGTTGTGTCTGTGGCGGGCTGGGCTGGGGGTTGTCTTCTTTTTTGCTGCTCAGCCATTGGTTGTTAATTGATGACGTTTACCTTCATGTCTCTCCTGCATCATTTCACTTGTCCATCACAACCACCACCACATCCAGTATTCATGGATCACGAAGGACGTAGAAAAGGGAACATGAATAGAAGATGTATCAAAGCCAAAAGATGTGTACCGATGTTAGCACAAAGCTTAATGCATACACAGAGGTCAACAATCAACACAACAGCCACAGGGCTCTTGCATTTTCCTGGTTGGATCTTGTGCCACGCGACACTTTTAGGTATTAGAATGAACGCACATACATGGATGGATGTGTCAAAGGAACAAGAATCTTATGCCGTACATATAGCTTGGAGCTATTCCATTTTGTAGAGCCGCTTATCTGATATTTCAGTGGGTGGATGGTAGAATGAACCAAGTCCTTTCTTTTTTATGTAGCTGCATTGATGGGTCCACAACAAATCGGTGTACTTTCCAATAAAGGATAGGCTCATCCAAATTACAGACTTTTGCTTTTCTTTGATCATGATCGCATTATATGAGATGAATGCCATCCAGCTATCTATAAGGTGGAGGAGGAGTATGAAAGCCTTTGTCATCACAAAAGCCATGAGGGCTGGTGGTATAATGATTATCGGGGATCGTAGTTTGAATAGATATAGGGTGGTGTCCGTTCTCAGTCGTGAATGTAGCATGTTGTTTGTATACGGGGGTTGGGGAGATGCACGTTGAAAAAGTAGGGGATCGTTCTCATTTGATCTGGTATTGCTCAACCGAGCTTTACGATTGGAAGAAGGAACAACATGCGTAAGTAGACGAATGAAAGTGATCTGCGTTAGCATCCGTATAGCTCATCTGAAACCCGTGTCAGTTGTTGGATAGACCAAAAAAAGAAAAGCGTAGTATAGATTTTTGTTCAGCCCAATGATGATGAGTTGTGTGTGTCAGATCAAGAAATGGGGGGAAAACATATATACATCGATTATAGTGCAACATTAAGCTATCGAATCCAAGCAAGAGAGATAAAAGGAAAACATCAAGAGTGCGGCGAAAAGAAAAAGAGATCATAAGAGTGAGGAGAGTGGGAGAGAGAGAGAGTAGGCGGGTTCGAGGAAGGGAACAACAACCAAAAAGTAAAACTCGAAGGTATCGTAGGTGTGTCTAATAAGCTGTGAGCTTGTTCACCAGCATGGGGGTATACTGGAAAATCGTCAAAGCAGAGAGTGTGATAATACCAAGGAAGATGAAGTCTATGATCTATGGTTAGATACACTGCAAAAGTGTGGTGGTAAAGGGTATCCCAAAAGACCCCAGGGGTAACGGTTAGCTTACTGAACAAGCATTTTTCCCAAGGTTCCAACATGTATAACGCCGTTTGCAGCTCATATTTGTAAATCAGCGTTGAAATGGTGCCGCGATGAGAAGGTACAGAAGACATTGCAGTCGAAAAGGAGCAAGAGAAACTGAGGAAAGAAACAACAGGCTTAAAGAAAGAAAGCGTGGAACTATTTTTCAAGGCGACTGATTGCCACGACGCCCGCAGGTTGCCAAGCTTTTTTTGGCACTTGCCCAATCACTGCAATTTGCTTCCCAATTATTGTCTCTAGTGCTTTTGCTCAACACCCAACCTACTATTCCCTCATAAAAATAGAGTCATGCTATTATTATTACTACCTTGATGTCAATTCTTGTCACTCAAATACCCTCAATGGATCATGCATCTTTGAATTAAAACATATACATTCATACACAGCCATTCTTTCTTTGAATCACCTTGTACCATGTTACCGAGATGTTACCATGCCACGGCTTACCATTTCTGCAACCTTCTCATCAAAGCCATTTATTGAAGATTATGTTCTATTCGTGGGAACATTTATCCTAATCGCCTTTGTTGTAGCACGTATCTCCAATAGCAGCGATACCAAGGTGGCGTTGGACAAGGTCAACAAAGGATGGGTTCATTGTCATCTACTTTAGGCTATTCCTACTGATTGTAGTACGTGCATAGCTCAGCATATTGATGATCGAGACAAGTGCTTGCACCGTGCACTTTTGTAATATGGATGCATGATTGTAAAGGGCAGCAGGATTGGGGTGGGGCTTGACAAGATACGAATGATAAGAAGAAGGGTTTATACACTTTCAATGTCAAGGATTATCTTTTTCAACAACAATGATCATTGAAGCATGCCACGCCTTCTCACTTTATTCAACAAGATAAGCCGTAATTGTGATCTGCTGGGTGAGGAGGAGGATACATAGGGCAAAAGAAGAAGCCAGCGGAGTATGTGATGTGTGGGAGGGTGGGGGCCACTCACTCAAGGATGGCCATCAGGCAATCTTGGCTCGTCCTTTTCCTTTTGCACAATGGTAAGGATCATTCATAGGAGATGGAAAGAGCAATGGAGAGATGGATTGGATGGATGAATGAGTAGATGGATAGATGAATCAATAGATTGACTGATTGATGGTGTTCTTTATAGGCTGACCAGGCGCAACAGACTACCAGAAAGAGAACCTTCCGCAAGTTTAGCTACCGTGGTGTCGACCTCGACCAATTGCTCGACTTGAGCAGCGAGCAATTCATGGAGCTCGTTCACGCCCGTGCCCGTAGAAGATTCCAACGTGGCTTGAAGCGTAAGCCTATGGGTCTTATCAAGAAGTTGCGTAAGGCCAAGAAGGAGGCTGCTGCTGATGAGAAGCCTGCTGTCGTCAAGACTCACCTCCGTGACATGATCATTGTCCCCGAAATGATTGGCTCTGTTGTTGGTATCTACAACGGTAAGACCTTCAACCAGGTTGAAATCAAGCCTGAGATGGTTGGTCACTACCTTGCCGAATTCTCGTAAGTGTCAATATGGGATAATTGTATATACATCATGGTTTATTGATATGATTTCCTCCCCTCAAAAACAGCATCTCCTACAAGCCCGTTCGTCACGGTCGTCCTGGTATTGGTGCCACCCACTCTTCCAGATTCGTTCCCCTCAAGTAAATTACACAGTATTTACATGCCATCAAACAACGATCTGGTTATTCTCTTCCGCAAACTACTTGTTTATAATGATTGATCTTGGTATTGGGTGGATGATGACAAGCTATTACAATGAGTGATCGGCCAAAATGCAACATGACGGATCTTGCATGGTTACGTTATGGGAGGAAAGGGGTATCTTCTTTTGCATGGGCATGGTCAGTGACGATGTGGTGGAGTGACCATACCCTTAGCAACCTTTTATGCAGGGCCCCCCTATCATGTATTTTTGTGATCAAACAAATCATCCTTGCAAAAATGAAAGAGAGTATATGGAACGATGGGCTTTTTCATTAGATATTCATAAAGTCATACTATGTCTAGGCAGATTAGATATAAGCCATGGCCTTATTTGGATGATGGTGGAGAAACATATCATTAAGCTCTGGCACATCACCACCTGTGGAAAAGAATGATGCATGATTAGTATGTAAGAATGCCATACTTGAAAGAGTGGTCGCTTACCACCAGCATTGGCATCCAGTTGTTGACCACCACCGGCTGCCATGGAAACCTTGTTGGGATGGTGATGGAGATACATATCATTCATCATAGTATCAGGTTCGCCTACATACAAGGAAGAATGCCATGGTGAGTCTCATATCCAAGTGCTGCTCCTTTTTATCGCTTACCAGCATCGGCAGCCAAACGTGGAGTACCAGCTGCCATAGAAACTTTGTTTGGATGGTGGTGAAGATACATGTCATTCATCATAGCGTCGGGCTCGCCTTTTAAAGAATGAAAGACGTTGAGACTTTAAGCGTGCATGCATGCATCTATTACGTATTCACATACCTTGTCCTTGCCTTAGCTCTGGTCCACCATTAGAAATTGGGGCTGATTGATGATCACCTGCTAGCGCAAATGCCATTGCCTTGGATGGATGATGGTGGAAAAACATATCGGAAGGGAAGACGTTGCCATCTACTTTACACAGTAAGAGATTGACCCTCTATGTATACGACAATGATCATACCTTCATCTCCATTTGCAGCAAAGTTCATGCTTCCTGCACCTATTTATAATGTTAAAAGTACAAAGAAATTGGGTTATGATTTGACTACTTACCAATAGGAGATGTTTGACGATCATTGGCAGCAGCAAATGCTAATCCTCCGGGTTCTTTGTTTGATACAAAATGAATAATCATTATCATGTGGCATCATTGATGGTGCAATGTACTTACGTGCCGGAGAAGTTTGGCGATCTGTCATTTGAGCACTCACTGCGATAGCACCCAAGAGGAATGGTAGAGTGTACAGGCTGGATTTCATGATAGGAAATGAGGAAGAAAAGTACGAGTATGAAGGATACCCATGAATTGAATTGTAAGAAAAGGTCAATCTACCCTACCCTTGATTAGATACACTAAACCCTTACGGTTAAGCTACGCCGTCTATGTGTGTGTGTGTGCGTGTGTGCGTGTGTGGAGTCACCGTTGCATGACAGATGAAAATGATCAGATCCCTGGTGATCGTTATTCCCGCCACCCCTTCTTGCACACATACCCCTACCTTTTTCCCTTCCTCAACTACTCTCGCGTCTTCATGGCAAATGCCTCAGGCAATGCGGCTCCTGATATGCGTCCCTCGCCGTCATCCACATCGGCTCAGTCATTGAACTCTTCTACATCAAGGACACCACTTAATAACAATCCTCCACCACCCACAAACGACTCTGCTGCTACTGAAGAGGATCACACAACTTACTTTTTGCTCGACATTGAAGACGCCCCACCTGAAGACCATGTCAGCCATACTAGTTCAAAGCATTCCACGTCTCGTCGTTCTAGCACAACTTCCGATTCTTCAGACTCGAGTGTGTCAGCGCAAGTGGTGATCGATCACGGATCTTCAGTGCCACGCCGATTCGAAAAGCATATTGCTGGCCACGTCTTCCGATCCGATAACGAGGAATCAGAAAGCGACTATGCATACAGTTATCGTACGTCACCACCGGGCAGGGCAGATCATTCACATCATCATCATCATCATCATCATCATGACGACGACGAAGTGGATATAAAAGACAATAGACCATCATCATCGTCAGCAGCAGCAGCAGCAACAGCTTCACCACTCAAAGACATTGGATTCAGTAACCATGACGCCGACACAGCACGCAAAAGTGATGTTTCGATGGATGAGACACCGGCATCACCCTCAACGACATGTCCTGGTGGTGGCGGTGGACTTACAGTATACACAGAGGAAGAGGAGGATTTGATGGAACAAGTACCAAGTTGGGATCATGAGAGAATACGGCATGAAACGGAGAATGATAATAGTCCTTATGATGCTGGCGATGAGAGTGTCGATCCTTCTCGAATCACCCACCGTGAAAATCGCAAACCACGCAAAAGACCCCATCATCATCGTTTATTACAAGAAGATCTTCATTCTCATTCTTGGAGTCGGCGAGAAAGTACACATGATCAACGAAAAACGGGTTTATCAAGTGATGAGGCATTACGGTAAGAGTCGTCATATTATCCATCTACAAAGAAGCTCATCATGTGATTTTATTTATATAGCAAGTTGCTTGTGGTGGCAAATCAGATTTTGGATGAGGAGCGTGCAAGGATAGCAAAGACCATATGTAAGTAAAAAACAAGCGAATTGCAAATGGCAACAAGGTTTACTAATATACATAATATAGCAATCAGCGATTGGGCCCTTCGACCATGGTCACTCCTTGGCATTATCACCGGCTTTTCATTACTTGTATTTTACCTTGTGGGCTACTTTCTCAGTGATCCATACCAATATCGGGTGACAGGTGTGCTGGTGGAAGCACTATTGATATTTGCGATGGTTGCTTGGAACGGATACCTATATCGCAGAGAACAACGCATGACGCTTTTCGAGATGACCAACAGGGCGTCCACGATTATCGAATCATTAGAGCGCAGTGGAATGAACATGGTTCAAGTAAGTATTTGACAATCCATTCTCTCATTTAAAACGACTCATTGTTTTAACATTTGAATCACTCTCAGGATACCAGGATACCCTTTATTCCATGCATGTCGGTGGCACGTGTTGTGCGTGATGGCGTTGTACGAATATTCCCTGTCAATCTGCTTGTGGAAGGCGATATCGTAGAGATGTTATATGGCGACGTATCACCAGGGCGAATGAAGTATATCCATACCCCTCCATCAGCAACCGATCCAGCCTTTTTCACTGAACAGCAACAACAACAACCAATATCATCATCATCGCCACATCTCCCTGATGAACATGAGCAGACCGGTGATACGCATTCATTACAGACCAGAGAATATTATCTTGCCAGAGATCAAGTGTTTAAGCCCTCCTTTTTTGGTGTACCTCCGCCCAATGGATTAATGGAAGAATATCTTCGTGCAAGAGGGCGCTATCATTTCGTGCTGCTTGAGACACCCCTTGAAAGGAATATGCGTAAAGCACTCACACAAAAACGACCCAACACAGTGCTGGCTACTGAAGCTCAAAAACTTGAACATGTTTTTTATCATTACTTGATATGGATCGTTCTCGGCATTTCTATGGTCATCAATTTGCTTCGATTTGGCTTACGTGACATGCTTCTCCTTGGTACGCATGTTGATCAGCTGGCAGAATTGTTTTGCGCTCTCCCATTCTACGTTACGCTACCATTATTGCCTCTTTGTTTGCCAAGCCTATGGCTCATTGCACGGAGCTTTGGAAATGCGCAGCTGCTTATTCTATTCGAGGCATTGCAAATATCCAAGACCGAATACGAAGATGATGATGAAGTGGATGAATTTGATACCGAGGCACCTCCACCCACCAAAGATGTCGAATTGAGCCCAAGTAAGTATCAGCCTTTGCATTAAAGAGAGACACACACATGCTGATGATTGTTACCCATAGAGGTGGTATGGGATCGATTCTGTGCTTTATTATTGAAATGGGATAATTTGTCCTTGACAAGGTCCACCAACTTGCTCGAGTCGCTTGGCAGCACTACCGTCATATGTTGCTTGGATAGGGAAGGCACGATTGCCAATGTAGGTGTATAGTGGGATGTGATGAATGAAACATGGGTTTTTAACCTTTCTCTATAGCCATTCCCAACCGTTGAGCAGCTCATGTTTCCCGAAAAGGAGGATGTGCGTTATGTGGATGTTACCGAGGATTCGGATGAAGAGCTTGGTATAAAGTTTGAAGATCAAGATTGGGAACACTATTTACCGTAAGTGCTTTTTGACCGGTCAATGAAAGAAAGCAAGCTTATATATCCATTTCATAGATCTCTCAAACCTGTCGGCCTAAACTTTATGCTCAACACAAATTGTGGTGTCCTCCAAGGTAGAAAGCGGTCCGATTATCATCGTCGTCGATCCAAGCTCCATGTTTACGTCCGTACAGCTCCTGCTAGGCAAAGTAAGTACTTTTATTGCATATCTTTTGAACCCCATGGTTATCTTACACTCGTCCATAGCATGTTTGTGTCGGCTTGGAAAATGCATTGGTTTTAAGGAAGAAGCCTTGCGTTCGTTTGCTCAACGAGCCGAGATTTATGCGTTTGCACCTTATCATGATATTCTTGACACGCCACGATACAAGTACAGCCAATATTTCCAATTCGAAGTTCCCAATGCACTATCTACCGTTTTCGAAGAAAGAGAATCGGGTATGTTGTTAGACACTCTACTATGAATATGGAAAATGCCTTCTTACATGCTACTTTATTATAGGGAGTTATCAATTGTTAACGGATGGTCATCCTTCCCTTGTGCTTGACAAGTGCTCGGATTATTGGGATGGCGTTGGGTTACGAACAATGAGTGGAACAGTAAGTATATTATGTGTGGAAGAGGGTTACTTGATATTCAATCTATCTATGCGTATAGATGGAAAAGAAGATCAGCGACTTTTTCCAGAATGCCATGGTCCATGATATGCAATGCATTGCTTATGCTTATCGACCCATCAATACGATCAATGGACAAAGAATCCCATTTCTCAACCCTGATAGTGAGGATCATGAAGAACCAGGATGTGCGTTTGTGGTGCACCCATACAAGCAACCCAGCTCAGATAGTTCATCCTCTTCCAGCAGCAGCGGCAGCAGCAGTAGCACTACCAGCAACTTGCCATCCCTTTCTTATCCCGAGTTACCTATTTCCTTGGACGACAATCAGCAAGCAGCAGCACCCGTTGAAGAAGAAAGCTCATCATCCAAAGCTGTGACTCAACAGAGACGATCATCAAGAGATAGTCAATGGTCGACTAGCAGTGATAGCACCAGCGATTATTCTTTCGAAGAGGACGAGCCTGTGAATGAAGAAGAAGAGGAGACATTTTACAAGGAAGTTGTCAAGGGCCAAATCTTTTTGGGAATGACGGCTATGTGTCATCAGCCAAAACCGGTAGGATTTGTGATCTCATTTTCTTGGATCTACATGTACTCATGATAGACTATGTTAGAATGTTGTTGATTGTATCGAAGATCTTGGATTGGCTGGTATTCGTTTTGTCAATTTCTCACCCACAGCCGAACGTGAATCCAAAGGTAACATGATTACAAGCAGCAATAGCTTTGTACTGACGCTATCGTTTTATAGCGTTTGCTGAAAGATTGGGTTTGGAGACGGATTGGAACAGCTGCATTTTATTGTCAAGCCCGGATGATGAAAATTGTGGAAATGGTTATCTGCAATCGCACGACATTAAGGCTCAACTTCCTCGAGGCATTGATCAAATCCGACGCCATTTGGAAGATGTGGATGATATTCCCTTGCATGTTTCTTTATTTGCCGAATGCACACCACGTGCCATCAAAGAGATGATCCGCATTTTCCAAGAGTACGGTGAAGTAGTATGCTGCATCGGCAACGCTCTCAACACGAGAAACACAGAGTCATTTGCATTAGCGGACATGAGCATTGCCATGGAACCCATGCACACACGAGCCCAAACCAAAGGACGTCTCTCACTTGGCAGCAAACAGCCGCCTTTGGCTGTGGGTGCATCCCTTGTCAGTCTACCATGTGGTCTATTTATGCAATACGAGACGAGCTTGTACGCTGTGACACAAATGATACGAGATGCACGACGACTTTTGAGCTGTATTCGTATGGTAAGAGGCTTGGCATGGCATCAGGAAAGGCATAATGGGGTTAACATGGATATATATGAAATAGGGATTCGCATTCTATGCTGGTGCATGCATGTCACTTTCCTTAATGCAATTGCTCACTTCTTGCATGCTTCTTCCGCCCGTGCTCACCGGTTACCAAATTTTGTGGATCATATGGATCATTCTCCCCATCCTGAGCCTATCAATGTTGTTTACGCCCCACGATGACAATATTATGCTACTCATGCCAGGTAAGCCTATGCTCATTCGCTATCATGAAACATTAATGTGTGCTGATCCATCATGTCTAGGCAAAAACATTGAGCATTTGACGGGTCTCATGCGATTCATGATGTACTTTGTTCTACGATTTCTCCCGCTCATCATCATGTGTATCATTGTGTATGCCCTGTAAGTATTACATGTGACATGAAGACGTGGAATAGGCTTATCTAACATCTGTATTCATTTTAGGACGCTCGTTCACGCATTGCATATTCCTGCTTCAGCAGCGTTTGGAGGATTTGGACAACATGGATGGTTGCATTGGAGCCACGAGCAACAGTGGGGTGTTTTATATGCCCAAAACTTCATGCTTATTTGCTTTGTGTGGTGCCTGGCATGGATGTCGCCATCCTTTTTGCACCGGACATTCTCGATCATTCATTCGATTCCATTCAAGAATAAGGTGTGGATGGGTGCCTTTGTCTTAAGCATTGTATTACAATTTTGCTTTTGCGCTGTTTCGCTTGCACACGGTCCATTCCGATTAGACAGCATTCCTTGGTATGTCTACTTTTTGGGTTTCATTTGGCCTTTGGTGTTGTTGCCGATCCAAGAAGTTGTCAAAATGCACGATAACAAGGAGTTTACCCGATTCCAAAAACGATCCAAGCTCGAATTTAGTACCAAGGTACGTGCTCGCAATCAATCCAAAATACCTTTGCTCATTCTCTATTTTTCTATAGCTTGGAATGCATTCACCCTTGTAGAACTTTTTCTTGTTACATATACTACTACTTGCGTAATTTTCATTCAACTTAATATACAGTTTCATGCACACAATCCAAATCACGGGTATCATACGCGAGGAGAATAGATTCAGGGTCCCACATGCAGTGTGTGATTGGTGGATGGCATCGGAGCCGATCATTAAATGATATATCCGACAAGTGCACGTCACTTTTGCAGCTATAAAAGTGAGGGTCAGCCGAGCGAAATTTTTTTTCTTTACGTCTCTGCCTTAGATCCTTTGTCAGGAAAGGGGGATTGGTTCTCCTCTCTCTTTTTCTGGGTAGCATCTTGTGTGCTGTGTGGTTGACAGAGCTTGAGTCATTCAGAGACAAGAATACCTATACCTCCATTCACGATCCCATTTGCGTTTGAACGTTCTTTGGTCTCTCGGGGCCATGGAATTTAACGATCATTCGTTGGATTCATTTGGGGACATTTTTATCCACATTACAAAGAAAATGATATACGTATATGAGTTTATTTATAATAAGCTAAGCAACAGGCTTGCCACTATGAGCAGCTGAAGCAGTGATGAATGCAGCATAGGACCAAGTCAAGTCCTTGGCACCTGTAGGTTCACCCGAATCACGGTTGTATTGTTCACTAAGAGAGCCATCGGATGTTTGCTTTTGAACACGTGCAAAATAAGAGTCGGCCTCTGCTGTCACTGCCTTGATGATATTATCGAATTCGTCTGTACCGCTCTTGTAGGTAGTACCAGATGCAGCAGCATCATCAAATTGCTTGAAAAACTCGGCACTGGTATCAGTCACCTTGATAGAGCCGGCATCCTTCCACTCGCCAATAGCACGGTAATAGAGTTCGGCAAATGCGAGTGTGCACAAATACCAGGGGTTGCCTTCAGAAGTACCTACACCATCGTACTTGTCCTCGGGATAACGACCAATGGCAGGGGAGATGCTGGATGAGTTGGAGTCCTTGTTGATACCATACAAGCTTGCAAAGCTCTTTTTGATCGCAAGAGAAGTAGCAAGGATCTATTCATAAATAACTGTCAGTGAGCTGCTGCGGCATACTTTTATGGTCATGTAGTAACCAACCTCGTCAGAAGCGGGAGTAAAGAATCCATCACCCAAGCTAGCAACATTGGCAGCGATCAAAGTGGATGTATCCAAACCAGAGTCCTTATAGTCAACACCACCAGCAAGTTGATCGGTCACCTTGATATAGCCATCATCCGAGGAATAGAATGACTTGAGCTTGGATTCAATATCACTGGCGGTGGTCGCGTAGCTATCGTTACCAAGGAACTTTGCACCATCGTTAAGTGCACGACGCATTACCATCAACCTGTAAAAAAGCATGAGTCATCCTATCTCCATCATCCTATTGCATTTGTAGTAATACTTGCGTGAAAAAGTGAAGGCCTTGGACTTCCTCCCTATTGGGACATTTAGTAACGTGAATGCATGAATGCAATGATTACTTTGCTTACCAAAGGTCGAAACATGTCTCCGACCAAAGGCTTGAGACATAGTCGAGATCACGTTGAATGGCAGGCTTGAGAGTATCATCAACAAAGCTACTATTGTCCTTGAGTGCTTCAGCAATTTGGATGAAGGTACTGGCACGTTCAGCAGGACCATCATTTTGAGGACGACCCCAGGCTCCGGTGTAACTGGATCCATCCTTGTTGAACCTAAAATGTAATTCTGGATCAGTAAACGATACAATCATGTGATTTCTTTATCGACATGATATACATACTTTGGCTCACCCAAGCAATCGCAAACGGTATCTTCGTTCATGGAATTGATTTGGAAGCCGACATAATCTTGCATGATAGTGGCCAAGTCATCGGAAGGCTCGGTGTTGTAATTGTGCACCACAGCACGCATCACCAATGCTGCATCACGCGTCCAGCAATAAAAGTAATCCTAGTAGTATACATATAAGTATCCTCATAATTACGTACACATAAAGAAATGAATGATTCTTACAGGGTTGGATGTGGAAGGAGATGCGGCAACGAAACCTTTTACTGCTCCTTCAGGATTGATGTTGGCCAACAATGCCTTCTCGCTGTAGGTGGTTTCACCATCGATCCATGATCCAAGGTCGTCACTTGATTGACGAGCAAAGAGAGTTGGCACACCTTGGCTGACATTCACCAGTGAGACCAAAAGCAGAGCTGCTGTAGAGAAAAGGCTTTTCATCTTGAAGAAAGATTGTTGATTGTAGATCTTTGGCACCAGTAAATTGGATCTCTTTTATATCCGTTGTTGTCTATGCATCATCACCGTTCATGGAAACGTGGGACATTGGGTTGCGGCGGGAAGGCTGCTGATCCTGCAGAATTTCTTTTGTGCAAGTACACACATGTTGTGCATCATTCAGCGTGGGAGGACTGAAAATCAACATCAACACGTCTTTGTATCTCCAAGGTAACGGGAAGACTAGCGGGATGAGATCTGGATCCATGCGGGAAGAAAAGCTGATTGCTTTACTGAAAACCTTGTGCATGATGTACTTTGACCCGTCATTAATTTGGTACAACGATGGATGATCTGTGGGGTCATAATATCAGATGAGGGGTTTCTTTTATCCATTCTTGGGATTGATTTACCTTCTAGAAGCATTGGGAAGGGCTTTTAAATAAAGGTTGCTAGACGACACGTCGCTATGGGGATATACAAAAGGGTATCATAGCAACGCCTTACTTTTGAAAATGCGATGTTTCCAATGAGAGATGACAAGAGGAGTTGACGCTAAACCAAAGTTGGGATATCCCACACCAATTCAGTATAGTCTATCTTGAAGGATAAGTTACAATAACAATCATATGGAAATGGACGTGAGTAAAGATGTTCCATCTTCTTGTATTCTTCCCGCTGGCAACCGCCGGGCAAGTTGGTTGGGAACGATGCCTCTTACATCATGAGAATTATCCGCGTCGACAGCAATTCATTTGGATGTTGTAGTCAGCACTCAGCAGCAGCAACCATTGATTGGCGACATAGCAACACCACCACCACCACCACCACCAGGGACCACAGACTCTGACTCCGCATACTCGACTTGTCGACACTTTTGTCTACACCCATGATCTACTCACTCTACATCATTAACAAGGCCGGTGGTCTCGTATACCAAAAGGACTTTACCAACAACTTGGAGAAGTTATCAAGCAATGAATATTTGGTGCTAGCTGGCACTTTTCACGGGTAGGGTTCATCTTGTTTTACACGTCCATGCTCGGCAATCTAATACAATGCCTTGTCAGTGTTCACGCCATCACGTCCAAGATCTCTCCAGTACACAACTCTTCAGGTGTTGAAATGCTCGAGGCAGGCAACTTTCGATTGTATTGCTTTCAAACATTAACAGGTGGGGTTTGGATATCAAGGAAGGGAAGGGAGGGGGGAATCATCATGTTGCATGATTTCGCTGATACACACTACCACTAGGCACCAAGTTTCTATTGTTGACATCACCGCAGCAGAGCAATGTGGATCCATACATGAAAAAGATCTATGATATCTATAGCGATTTCGTGATGAAGAACCCATTTCATACCCCAGAGATGCCCATCCGCTCTGATCAATTTGATCAATCCCTCGTCAAGTTTATTCAAACGATCAATGGTTCTTAAAAGCATTCGTATCAATCACGTGAAGGTTTCATTGGGTCATGGTTTGCATTTATGGTGTTGTTATGGAAATGGCAATATGTGTTGATTGGGATTCACAAATGTAATCAAAGGCTGGGCGAGGTGGATGGATTAGTAGTAGTCAATGCAACGAGATATCCAATCATTTGAGATCCAATCAATCAATACAAGTACACAAAAAGTTGATCAAATTGAGTAAATAGCGTCAAATGAGAAAGAAGAAAATGTATACAGTCGAAGAAAAAAGGGAGACAAAGGATGCAGGATAATCTAGATGGAGTGAGGATTGGTGTGGAAAGGTGACCAGATGCCACGGACACTCTCGGTAGTGGAGATGACAGGCTTTTTGGTGAGATTCTTCATCTTGGCACCACTCGAATCACGTAACAATTGGACCTTTTGGCTGATCTCAGAGGGAGTCATGTTGCGTGTGCATACCACTTTATCACGGCCATTCACTAGAAAGAAGGACATGTCAACAATATGGCTTCTTCCTTTCGTCTCATCACGTGCACATCACGATCGAGTACTTACAGTAGTTTCCTCGGATGATAGGATGATGGTGAGGTCTAGGTTGAACAATGATTTCGATCTGTGGGTTCTCACGAGCGAATGCGGCAAGATCTTTCTTAATGTAGTCACTGGTAGATCGTCGTTCATGTCAGGGTCGAGTAGGGTAGCGTTGTCAATTCAATAAACTCTTACATCATGCCCTTGTTGGATCCCCATCGTTCGCAATAGTTGAAGACGAGACTCTTGCATTGAAGCACAAACGCACCAGTGCCGTTGTTGGTTCGTGGGATAGCTTTGGTTGCGAGGGAGGCCATTATTGTTTACAAGAAGAGAGAAACAGCAGCGGACCCGTATCCACCCAAATCCGACCCACCAAAATAAGCCGCGAAGTGCATAGTTTTTTTTCTCCCTTTCAGTTCTTTTCTGATCTCGGTATCCGATCCTCCTGCAACATGTAAGATCGACCCTGTTTACGTCCATTCAACTCGTACAGTTCCATTCACCCGAGTCAATTAGGTCTCGTCTCATTGTAAAGAACTTGCCAAAGTTGCTTTCTGAGGAAGACTTTCGTGAGCACTTTGCTGCCAAGGGCCAGGTAACCGATGCCAAGCTCATGAAGACGGCGTAAGTAATGGGTACATGGGAGAGAGAGAGAACACAAGGCTTACTCATTGTCCATAGCCAAGGTGTATCACGTCGTTTTGGATTTATCGGCTATCGCACTGAGAGCGAGGCACAGGCAGCTTTGGAATACTTTAACAACACCTACATCAACACATCTCGTATCGTTGTCGAAAAGGCTCTTCCTGTAAGTGGATTGGATATATCAAACGAAGCCATCAACCGAGTCATTAAACCAAATGTGATATTAGTATCGATCCGAAGCTCTACCACGTCCCTGGAGTAGACACACAGAAGGTTCATCCGCCTATGAACGTAAACATGGTGCATCAGCCAAGAATAAGGATGATTATCAAGTTGAGGAAACGGATGCCTTCAAGGAGCAACAACGACTCAAAGACCAGCATGTCAATAAGCTTGCAGCAGCTGAAAACGATCCCAAGTTGCAGGAGTTTTTGGATGTCATGACATCTCGATCCAAAGGAAAGACGTGGGCTAATGACGATACCGGTGTGCTTAAAGGTGGAAAGGATGGCAATGCAGAAGAGAATATCAAAATTGCTGCCGATTCGGATGATGACTTGTATGAGGATCTTCCTGCAAAGAAACCAAAGGACGAGGATGATGGTGATGAAGGATCAGATGATGATGATGAGCAACTTGGCGATGATGGTGTTTCCATGGGAGGACAAAGATCACATGGCAGATCCAGCAAATCAACACACGAGCCTGAAGCCATGGATGTCGATTATGACAATGAACATCGCAACAACAATGAACAAGACAAGGATGCAGCCATTGATCAAATTGAAGATACGGGTCGTCTCTTTGTTCGCAACCTTACTTATACCTGCACCGAAGCTGATCTTAAGGATCTCTTTTCTCAATATGGTCCATTGTCTGAAGTAAGTTGAATTGGCAGGATGAACATGGTAAAAAAAAGGTGATGTGATAATAACAATGGATTGCTTTAGGTCAATCTCCCTGTTTCCAAGGATACAAAGAGACCCAAGGGTTATGCATACATTGGTTTCCTTCTCCCGGAGCATGCTATTAAAGCGTATCAGGAACAAGATATGAAGTTCTTCCAAGGACGTCTTATGCACATCATCCCGGCCAAAGAGAAACCTCAGGCACCAGAACAGGAAATTCTTGGTCCCAATGGTGCTAAGCTTAGCAAAGTCAAGCGAGAAAAAGAGGCCAAGCGTAAGAATCTTGCTGGTAGTGATTTCAATTGGAGTACGCTTTACATGAGTGTAAGTTTATTTTTGGGAAAATGGATGATGAAGATTTAATGGAAATGGTTACAATAGAGCGATGCTGTTACTGGAGCTATTGCCGATCGTCTTGGTTTGAGCAAGGGAGAGGTGTTGGATCCTAATTCGAGCAACATGGCTGTTCGCTTAGCATTGGCTGAAACCAACTTGGTGAACGAGACAAAGGAGTTCTTTGAAAAGCATGGCATTGTGTTGGATTCATTTGGAAAGAAAGAACGCAGCGACACCATTATCCTTGTCAAGAACACGCCCTTTGGTACATCCGAAGATGATTTGCGCGAGCTGTTTGGCAAATATGGCGATTTGGGTCGGGTAGGTGCATGGTTGTACGGGGTTCTTTTTCATTTTAGCATGTATTCATTTCATTGTATAGGTTTTGGTGCCACCAGCACAGACCATGGGTGTGGTAGAATTCATTGAACCAAGTGAAGCACGCGCTGCATTCAAGGCATTAGCATACCGAAGATATAAGGACACGCTCATTTATCTCGAGAAGGCACCTGTTGGCTTGTTCAAGGAGAAGACTTCAGAAGTTACAGTGGCAGGCGATAAGAAAGACAAGTCCACAGCCAAAACGACAATAAGCGGTGCCGACTTGATTGAAAGCACACCTGATACCGATGACTCCGATGTGGCTACTTTGTTCGTCAAGAATTTGAACTTTAGCACTACGCCTGAAGCATTGCGCAAGGTGTTCTCTGGACTCGAGGGATACCGGTCATCTCGTATCAATGTCAAGAATGATTTCGCTAATCCAGGCAAAACGCTGAGCATGGGTTATGGTTTTGTGGAATTTGATAGCAAAGCGAGTGCACAAAAAGCATTGAATGCCATGCAGGTATGTAAAGCTTATGGGAAGGGGGAAGGGATATGCATGAACAAGTATTAAAGTTTCATTGTTGTAGGGTTATAATCTCGATGATCATGCGTTGCAGCTCAAGTTCTCTCATAGCAACCCCTCGGGATCCACCAAGAAGAACATCAAAAAAGCCGAATCTACGAAGCTTGTGGTACACAACGTTCCATTTGAAGCAACAGAAAAAGAATTGCGTGAATTATTTAGGTAAGCCTATTATTCTCTTGTACTCCGTTGTTATGCATATGGCAGCTAACGCACCGCTTTGTAGTGCATATGGTCAACTCAAATCGCTTCGTGCGCCAAAGAAATTCAATGGTGGTCATCGTGGTTTTGCATTTATGGAATTCACAACCAAGCAAGAAGCGAAGAACGTATTTGAATCTATGGGCAACATTCACTTGTACGGCCGTCACTTGGTGCTTGATTGGGCTAAGGATGATGAAGGTGTGGATGCATTAAGAGAAAAGACGGGTCGAAGCTACGCAAAAGAAGAACGCTTGGGTGGACGAGTCAACAAGAAGCGGAAGGTGGATCTGGATGGCGATAATGACCATGAGATGTTAGAGTAGATTCCCCCTTGATCGTTTTTCATTGAAGCATATGTACATAATTCTTACATGAACGTTAATTGTTATTCCTTGAAGTAAAAATGCCCTCCATCAATCATCATTTTAGGACATACTTATGTCACCTACAAATTTATCAACCATTACTTTTCCATCACTTTGACTCAGTGCTCCATGGTGCTTGACCACTTTATCAGTTCGATCCATCATGGCAGCAATTCCCACGCCCAATCACATATAAGCAAGGCTGCTGTCATCAATGCTATCGTACGCCCTTTCTTCCTACTTGTACGCACATCATCATCAATGGCCTTTGGTAAGTGTCAAGGATAGTCCTTAGGTAATCCCCAAAATGATGGTACTCATGATGCATTCATCTATTATGTAGCCCACTTCATTGCTTTACTATTTGAAGTGCTCATCCATTCGGCTGTGCTCCTTGATGGATCCTTTGGGGTAGGTTTTATCATCGTTTATATGTTGATAAACGTTATTAAAAGGATGCCTTGTACATTTGTAGGCAAAAGGCAACCTCAGTCTGTTGGGAAAATTGAGACTCCTTTGTAGGTGACATAAGTACATGCTTCATCAGAGCTAGAGTTTTCGGAGAAGTCAAACCTTGCAATGTGGATAACCGAAGTGCTGCGATCGACTTGGTGCGCTTATGCGTCTTCGGCAAAGATAACATTGATGTGCATAAAGCGGACAAAATTTTATTATTTCATGTCATTGGTAAGGAATTTAACGATATGGTGTTGTCGTATACATATTAATATGACATCTGCTTTTAGGGTGCAAGGTGACATTTTATGTTGAAACACTCTATGATGAAGGGCTTTATGTAGTAGCTGAGCTGTGTACTGTTACTTTGCCATCTTCATTGAAGGAATTCGCCGCACTGACTGAGAATGTGGACAACCTGCTTGACGTATACTTGACAATGAAGACTGTGAGCTGCAACTTGGATCAATGCAAATGGGAAGCAAACCGACGAGACACATTGGATACACCAAGTTTCCGTGCTGCTATGAGCAAGTCAAAACATCACCAAACATGCCTTGTTCTTATGTAGAATGTCATTTTCAAATATAAGAACCATGAATGAATGCTATGTTGTGATTTACCAGTGAGGATTGATGTGATGATAAAAGTGTAGTAATGTCAACGAGTGATTCAAAATGATTGGCAAAAGCTTATTGTTGACCTAATGAAGGAGGTTGATGGATATCGGTCATCTCGTATCGATGTCAAGGATGATTTCGCTAATCCAGGCAAAACGCTGAGCATGGGTTACTATTCCTTGAAGTAAAAAAGACCTCCCTCAATCATCATGTTGTACAACCACATTTCGTGTCGGTCGATCTTGAGTACCAATATGTACGACGACATGGGGTTCTGTGTCCTGGAAATCTTTTATCTTTTAGGAACGAGATGCAGGTTCGTTAGTAGAAGTAGATCCTTGATCCGTTAGCTAGATCATCACTGATACTTTCAAAAATTTTTGAACGTATCCAGAGTCAAAGATCTTTCGACTTGTTGCCTACATGTGCGTAACCGAGGGTGCTTACTATTAGCGTAGATAAAGGGTGAGAGCCGAATCATGTACTTTTTGCTTATTGAGTAACGTGCTAAACTTTGTATATGAAAAGATGCGCGATAAGGACAATGGCCTTCGAACATCGCATCTCCAAGTGCAACGGAGATGTTTTATATCGCGTATTGATCCCCGCGAACAACCTGTATCACCCAAGTACCATTGTGTATGACTTGGATTACATCATCGTAGTAATACAAGAGCCAAAAAATGTGCAACGTGTGCTTATTCTTAATCTCATCCCCAGATGACAAAATTCCGGTTTGCCAGATCGGAGCCAAGAAGTCTTAATGATGTTTCTTTGACAGGATTATCGTGGGATGGTCTTGTCGGCATAGATGTTGAAACGCTCTCCGCATTAAATTACTCATACAACAATAAGCAGCGACCACAAAATGTCAGATAAGGTGTGAGAATGGGAGATAAGAATGAATTGCACTATCCTTTATTATGCTTATCCGATAAACAGGAGATGTGGGGGATAGAGAGAAAGAGAGAGCAAGAGTACATAATGAATAACGTCAGCGGAATACAAAACAGGAAGATCCTTGCCTTGTGTCTACTCCCCCCTTTAAGATTGGCTCTCTCTTTTCTCTCTCTTAAGGCTTCCTTTTCCTCTGCTCTTTTCTTTCTTATTTTTCTCCTCACCTCCTCGCGAAGGTGAATGTTCCATTGACAATCCCATCACTCTCTCCTTTTATTAGCCATTGGCTACATGAAGCTTTACTTGCGACCATAATACTATCAACGACCGTATCCAGTCATCAGCTATTATGCGCTCCAATACCAAACTCATCCTCAGCTTAATCAATCGTGTCGCTGTGCGAGTACGTTGGCGTTTCTCGGGACGTTTTCTGTTGCCATTGACATTGAATTAACGCATGCCGTTCTAGCTACCGATCAACAGTGGAAGGAAGATAGAAAGCTTGGAACATAATCCTATTGTTCAGCAAACAGGTACAGCACATACACTTCTTTGACGATCATCAATCTCATCCACATGTCTCTATGCTGCTTCGATAAAAAGTCGCTGCTATCATTGAACTCTCTCAATATAAGCTTTCCACGATTGCCAATGCTCTTGCTACTGTGCTTGAAAACGTATCCAAGGTAACAATCTGGATGATGAATTATAAAGGAACACCATCCCTCTAATTCTCCTTTTTCGGGTAGAACTATCAATCACCCTCGCCGACGTTTGAACAACACGTTCCTCTTGATGTACTACAATCGCAATTGTTTGTCCTTCGATTATTATCAGCTTGCATGCAACATCATTGGAAAACACATCGATTCGCGTCCAAACGAAAAATGATGGCTGCAACACAATCAATTGAGGCACTGGTTGCGGCGAATGCTACGGGAGCCGTGGATTCTACTGAAACAGAGTTTTTACAAGCACCTGTGACACCAAGTTATACACGACCCAATCATTCATCAGGCAATGTAGCAGCAGCATCACGTATCGAGGAGAGCAGCGAGGATGATAATGAAGAAGATGATGAAGATGGAGAACAAGCGAAAGAGGGTCAAGATGATACGGCAACAACAAAATCAGGTGAATTGATGGATCCACCTCCATTGGATGAAGCTTTGGTCACCTTTCTTTTGGCGCTCGTGGGACGTTTTCTGAATCAAGCACATTTGGTGGAAGAGCATATAGATCAGCAAACTTCAACACCTTCCGATTACCCTCTCGATATCCTTATCAGCACATTCAATGTCGATCCCAAGGTGCTATCGCTGACGATGGACATTTACAAAACGGCTGGCCGCGTCCTCTATTATGTCAGTGCTAGCAATTGGTCTATTTATTACGCCAAAATTAAGAATGCCGTGCACATCTTGGGTGCCATGGGCGAAGGCTCCGAGATTAATCCTCCAGAGATCCGTTTACTCGAATGCAGTTGCCTAACAAGACAACGTGTGCATACCGTACTGTCAGGTAATAATAACGCTTCGAAAAGGCCATCATCATCATCATCATCATACTCATCCCAATTCTTTTATATATAGAATTGAGCCCCTACTTTTTGCACATGAAACGACAAGGCAAATTGCTGTTTGCAAAGATGATGCGACGAGCTATTTGGAGATGGATCGAGACATACCCTAATCAGTTTGCAGAAGTGTGCACCAGCGACAATCGTTTATTGAGCGGATCCGAGAATCTATTTGACATGTGCAGCTCCAATGCCAACAACCCAAGAGAGAAAGCTATCCTATGGCCTTTGCAAACAATCCTTTTGGTGCTCTCCCAGGATCTCTTATTACAAGCCTACCTTGATAATTCATCATCACAAAATCGAAGAGTAAGTTTAGAGAGAGGGAAACATGGAAAGCAATTGTATTGAATGGCGTTTTTTTGGTATAGACGACCTTTTTGGGCACGCTTCGCAAATCATTACGCACGTCAAAGACAGCGGACATTGCAGCCATGTGCTACGTGGATTTATGCAAGGCAGCAACCTATGTTCCACCAACGGATGACAGCGTGTTACGCCATATCGCTGCTGATATTGAGGATGATTTGCAAGAAAAAGTATGGGATATTACCCGTAGCAGCACCATGGCTACCGACGCTTCGGCATCCACAGCAAGCCATGGTTACGTGATCAACCGCTTGGTCTTGGTTACCGATTACCTCTTGGCACGTTTAAGATTGGATCCTGATAACACGCTGCAGCAGCTGGTCCCTCAGTGTCTCGATGACAATTCCCCACTTGATTATAAGCTTGCTCTTGTCAAAGCATGTCTTGATATCGCTCGTGAAGAGAATCGACTCCCTTGGAATCCATCACTACCATCCATGTACAAGTCGATTTGTTCATACTTGAGGAAGCTGTCCTTGCAAACAATGACATCGGAATTTGTGGAAGATGTTGGCAGCGCATCACCATGGCTGACACCTTCTATGGGATCAAGAAAGATTGGGATGGATAAGCGTAAGAATATCACAACGCAAGGTCGATTGGAATTACTGGAAGATTTGCTTCGCTTATTCCGTGCGGATCCACTTTTGGCATTGTTGGGTAACGACACTGATCCAGCTGAGGATAATGGTGCTATCATGACAAGTATGGCAAACTTGTTTCAACATTCCGATCAAGGCATTCGACAATTGGCGGGAGAATGCTTAGCAAAGCTACATCTGGCAGAGAATATCATTCATTGGGGATCCGAGCAACGCATCATGATCAATTTTTGGCGTATCTCATCCAAAGTGGTGTTTATTTTGGCCAAGCAGATATTGGATATCAAGAATGATGAGGATGGATTACACTCGATACTTGATTTGTTGATGAGATTGTTCTTAACAAGGAACGACTTTTTACGTGAAAATCAGGTAAGATGAATTGAAAGTAGTGAGATGAAAAGACTTAGAGTGAGTGAATAATGGATATTGGGTATACATGTAGGAGCGTGCTTCGGAAGGCTCGGATGCGCGTGAACGATTACAAGCTTCGGTGGCATTGGAGATCGCATTGCTGGTGTCTCTATGTTGGGCCAAGCCTGACATATGCTCCGATTCTATCAAGACGCTTGGATACCTTTGCGATGAAGCACGGCTTGTGGATGATGAGGAGGAACCACAACAAAATCACATTACGCTTATATCAAACCTGCCAGTGTATACCGATTTGGCATTGGAGGATTCCGTATTCCTTGGACGTAAAGTGCAGCAAAAACGTATCAGAAAATACATGCGTTTAATCACCCATCATACACCTGGAAACCTGGCAGCATGGGAAGAAGTTTGGAAACGATGGAAGGTCTTGACCCAATTGATGAATCGATTGAGCGATGAAACAGCGAGCGAGGACACGAGCGTTGATCTTGTATCACCCGTTAGCAAAAAGGCCGGCAAAAGTAAGCTCTCAGCACCGACAACAGCAAGTACATCTTCCGCATCAATGAAACCTATCACTCCTACTGTCAATCGCATTGAATTCGATGATGAAAAGCAGACCTTGTGGCAAAACTATACGGGATTCTTGGCTGCGTTGGGTGGTTGCTGCTTGACATCAGATATACCCGAAAACAAAGGTGATCCACGACGCGTATCTGCACCTAGTGAGCCAGCTGCTTTAGTTGAAGCCTTTATTGCTGAAATGGTCAGCCTTGTGATATCCGACAATGTATTCATACGAGAAGGTGTCAAGGAGATTCTCGGCGCCGACCTATCACCTACACTTTATGCTATTCTCTTTCAATACCTCGAGCAACAAATGATCCGATGTTTTGATTCCAATGGTGAAGCTTTATGCAATCCACGCAGCACGCTCTTTGTGGAACAAACGGTGTTGATTCTCAAGCTTATTTTGGATCGACTCGTTGACCCTGGAGATTGTTTACTCAACATCGATTTCAGCACGCTTATCGATCAATTTGCACGCTACATCAACAAGTTACCGAGCAATTACAGTACCTTGCGGATAAAGATTAAGATGTGCCATCTTGTGGAAGCATTGATGCAAAAGAAGGAGCAGATTGTTATACGAGATGAGATGCGATTAAGGAACAAGCTCTTGGAGCAAATAGTCGAATGGACGAGTGATTTTTCATTGGTATGTTATCATTTGCTCTCATGCACTCCTCTTCGTTACCTTTCTAATGCGTGAGATAGAAGACGAATGCCAAGGCAGGCTATTATGGATTATCCGATATCGGTCAAAGCGATAAGGCACACAAGGATTTGGACCAAGCATGCATGAAAGCAATCGTGGCAATATTGCATCAGCTTCCCCTACAGAGTACACAGCCTGTGCGTGATGCAGATAGCAATCAAAACAAGAGCCGGCTCTTTTACAAGTACTTCACCTTCTTTTTGAAACTACTGAATCGGTGTCGTATGAGCGAGGTACGCTTTTTCAATGTGGGATGATATCGGTTGTTGCGTTTAACATTTGCTTACTTTTGATTTAGATGGAATTGACGAGTGCCGCAGTGGTGAAGAATAACAAGGAGGTCTTGACGCCTGCCAAAGTGACCGAGAGCTATCAAGATTGGGCACCATTGAAAGATCTTACCATTTTGGCCATGTCCAATCTTCTCAGTGCAAATGTTGATGCTGGCTTGAAGTACTCGCTTGCTATGGGATACCATGAAGATTCGCGCACCCGTACAGCATTCATGCAAGTGCTTACCAATATCCTGAACCAAGGCACAGAGTTTGAGACATTAGCAGAGAATGTGATGACCGATCGCTATGAGAAGCTGGTGGATGTATGTTTATTATATATCGAGTGAAGATTTGATGTCTAACGATGTGCTATTTTATAGGTGCTTGTTGATGCGGATATTGATGTGGTGATGGTTTTATGCGATGTGTGCCCATCTACGGATTCTGCAAGCGTGGCAGAGACGTTGCTTACTGCTTTTGAGTCTCGTAACAAGGTGACACCTCTTCTCAAGGCTGCCATTGATAAAGAGATAATGTCGACTGAGCAAGAAGCCACTCTCTTCCGAAGCACGACCATGGCAACAAGATTGTTGTCAGCATTTGCCAAATCTGTTTGTGTCGATTACGTGCGTCTCACGTTGCAACCAGCCATGGAAGCGATCAACGCATTACCTGACGACCAGATTACTTGGGAGCTTGATCCTCAAAAGATGGGACCTGATGAAAGCTTATCAAAGAACAAGCAAAATGTTATCCGTGCGACTGAGATTTTACTCAATGCCATTTGTTCCTCGGCTGATAATGCACCTCCGTAAGTCAACAGCATGCAATTATTCTTCAACAATGATACTAATTTAAAGGTATAGAGCATTCCGGGAAGAACTTGCCATGATTGGTGATGCCGTTTTCAAGCGCTATGCTGAGTCAAAGAATACGGCTGTTGGTGGATTTGTTTTCTTGCGTCTTTTTGGACCTGCCGTTGTCACGCCTGAAAATTCGGGATTCTCAAAGCAGGCTACGCCACGTAACAAGAACGTACGAAAGCTACAGCTACAAGCAACACGTGTCATGCAAAACCTCGCCAACAATGTTTTATTTGGTGCCAAGGAGACGCATATGATTGTGCTGAATGACTTTTTGACCGACAACATTTACAAGGTGACCAACTTTTTGCGTGAGATTTCGACCGTCGCACGTGAAGCGGATCAAAAGATCACTGGTGCTGTTCGCATGGATCAAAAAGGATACATGAAGTTGCATCGCTATCTTTACGAGAATATGGAGCGTATGAGCAGAGAGTTGGCAGCACGAAAGTCCAAGGGTGGTTCCAATGATACCCAATCCTTATTGGAGTGGAAAAAGACTATTGATCGACTATCGACAATCATTGCACAACTTGGTCGACCCAATGACTTGAATGAGACTGATTTGACATTATCACGCAACTATGCTATCGGCAAAAGCAATCATCATTACAACGAGTTCATTCGACGTAATAGCCACCGAGACGTATCATCCATCAGCTCGAGGAATATCTTTTACCAGGCTGGAACATCACGTGGCGGACGGCCTGTGTTTTATTACATCACTCGCAATATCGACAGTGAGAAAACGGATTCCGAGCTTCTCGTCTACTACATGCTCAGAGTGAGTTTTTATATCGAATTACATGTATGACAAGTATACTTAAGGTATAATGATAGGTGATGGAGCCTTACCTAAACCGCCCATTCGAATTTGTGTTTGATTGCACGCGCTTCAGCCCTACATGTGAACTCCAACCACACTGGCTCACGCAGTTCTTTCAGCTCATATTCAGCGAGATGAATGATTATCTGGTTGCCCTTCACTTTTACAATCCAAATACGTTCCTGCAACGCCACGTTTCCAAATTTCCACGACAGCTGATCAACAAACTCATCAAGAGAGCACAATTTTATGTTACGTTGTCAGAGCTCTATGAGAATATTGCTCCATCGGAGGTCCACTTGCCAAAAGAGACCATTGATCTTGAAAAGGCACCAAGCACGACTTTCTTTCCAGTGACACGCTTGAGCCTGAAAGCATCATCGATACCCGTGACACTCAAGATTGGACAAGAGCATATACAAATCATCACTGTTCGCAAGCAAGAGCTGTACAACAACTTTCACACGATTTACAATGACGTATATCATGTCTCTGAAATTGATGATATGATGACCCTTGCCAACTCTAAACAAGACCATGGTGGTGAACTCGTCATTAAATACGATCGTGGAAAATCCACAATGGTGCTATCAGCTTCCAAACGCGATGCTATCCTTGCTCTCTTGAGATACAACAAGAATCGATATGAAGCATCAAAACCAGGAGGTTTGAATGAGCGCGCACTACGTCCCAATGATGTCCCTGGTCGTCTTCTCAACATGTCGTTACTCAACATTGGAAGCGAGGATCCAAGCTTGCGCTTAGCAGCTTACAATTTATTGTATGCACTAAGCTTGACATTTCGATTTGATATTGGGAACCAGCTTTTGAATGCAAAAGGTAACTTGGGAATGCGTTTGGATATGCAAAAGTACTAACGCTATCATACAAGATTTGTGTATTCCTGCAAACAGCACCGATTTTATTGTCAACATTAGCGAAAGCCTATCAACGACCGAGCAACACCTCACACTCGAGTTTTTGAACGAATGCCTTGTTGGTTTCAGCAAGTCCAATGAACTGATGCGTCACTTGTGTTTGGATTACATGGCACCTTGGCTACGCAACTTGGCACTGTATACCCGAAGCACTCCCGATGACAACAACAAGCAGCTTTCAAAGACCAAGGACGTTCTTCGACTGCTAATTGAGCTCACAACTTCAAGAGCAGATGTAAGTTGTATACCCCCTTTCCATACACGTTCATGAGGTAACAATAGTATCCTCGCATAGATATACAAGCACGTACAAGCCAAGATTTGGAAAACGCTTGGTGAAGTGGACGAGATGGTCAACCCTATTATCGATGCGTTTATTCAGTACTCCGTTGAGCATGGCATTGGCTCTCCTCAAGCTGAAGTGATGGCAGATACGATTGTGACAATGTCAAGCATTTCTGTAAGAGGCAAAGTGATCAGTCGATTACGGCGAGTGATACAACATACTTCTTTACGTCCATGCCGCAGCTTGACAGAACATCCATCATGGACCGATATTGCTGTTATTCTTCGTTTTGTGCTGATGCTCTCATTCAACAACATTGGTCCAGGGAAGCCATATTTACCAGAGATCTTCCATGTTGTTTCTCTTTTGGTTGGCACTGGTCCTACGCTTGTACGCGCTTCAGTCCATGAGCTCGTTGTGAACATGATCCATACCTTATGCACTAGCATGCCACAATCGGATGACAACATCAAAAAGCTTCATTTTGTCTTGAATGACGTGTGCGACAGCAAGAATAGGGTGTATTTCGGTCTTACCAAGCCGCATGCTAATGCATTCACTATCACTCAAGAGACCATGACCGATGTTGCAGATACTGTCAACCTATCATCACTTGAAAGCATTGTTCGACTCTTATTGGATGCTCTTAGCATTGGAGCCCCTTCAATAGGTAAGATGGAAAGGAATGGTTTTGGCAACAACGTGTCTAACAAATCATTGCATGTAGATGTTGCCAACATGTGGCGAGCTCGATGGATGGGGTTAGTTGCAAGCACGGCTTTCCAATTCAATCCCGCAATACAACCTCGATCGTTTGTTGTACTTGGATGCCTCGCACAAGATGAAGTGGATGATGACCTTATATACCAAATCCTCGTAGCCTTACGTGGTGCATTAGCCATCTTCAACGAGAGCGACTCGAATTTGATTGTGAGCATCATGATGTGTCTCAGCAATGTGATTGACAACCTGCCTGCGGATTCTCGATATCTACGATCTCTCTTTTGGCTCGCCATTGCATTGGTGCATATGCGGCATCCAGCTATATTTTCTCCAGCTGTCGAATTTTTACAATCCGTACTACGTGCACTGGATGCACACAAGCTATTCGCAAAGAGAGCCTTGGTGGATGTATTGATGGATGCTCGACACCCACTTGGAGATGTTGCCAAAGAGCTCGATAATGCATGTGGCGTCAGCTTTGACACTCATTTCTCGTTTGCCGTGGCAGGTGTATTATTGAAGGGTATTCAACATAGCAACTCCAAGGATGTGGTATTCCAATGTTTGACAGCCTTTTTGGAAATTGATTGCAAGCGATCGGTGGAACAAAATGTGGTCGAGGCACGCACGCTTGGTTACTTGGCAGGCTTATTACCACTAGCAGCAAAGAACAACGCTCTACGTGAATTACTACGTCTTGCAGGCATCAATGATATCGATTTGGACACGATTGAATTTGGCTCTACCTATGTGCGTATCTTTGATACACTCGAGATCCCCGATAATACGACCGCTCTGCTATTGGTATCGTTACTCGTCACATTGCTCAACTCGGCAGAAAACGAATCCGAACGTTTATTCTTATACAGCTTTTTGGCTGAAGCTGCTGTCTCCATTCCCGAAGTCTTTGCTCTTGTGTAAGTACTCACTATGATATTCAAGGATCGAGCTCCCCTTGCTAACGTAAATGTGTCGTTTCAGCTATGAGTCCCTCTTACCAAAGATGAACCAAATTGTTGTCAGCGGCCAAAATTATGCTGTGATCGATGCAGTCAAGAATATCCTTGTAACGGCGTGTTCAGAGCCTGCCTTCACCTATTCGTCCAATCGAAGAACTCAAAAAGCATACCTAGAGGAGCTAGGTTTTCCAGCACTAGCAGATCCCACTTTTGGTGCAGCCAGGGGTAACACTGTTGTCAGCGCCCAATTAGCTAGTAGATTGCTCGAGAAAATTACAGAGTAGTTTACATTTCATCCACAATCCATTAATCATTCTCTCTTCTTGCATTAAAGTATATTTGTACTAATGAATAATATACAAAGAGGATGTATCTATACATGCGGAATCGGGGACGGTGACAAAAAAGGATTATAAAGAGTATCATCATCAAGCAATACGTGATGTGGATTGGAGGTGGTAAATGAACCACACGTCAAACAAAATACTTTCGGGTGCAGTGATCAATTTTGGCTTTAAACATACCATGGTCAACTTGAAAGGTGCCTAAGTACAATCATAATCCACAAGCAAGCAAGAAAGGGATAAGCTAGCAAAGCCCATGCGTGTAAGAAACAATGCCTCTACCTACTCTGCAACCATCGTCTTCACATTTGCTGCCATAGAAACAACCAGCAGACCTGTGCCACTATATCTTTTGACAGCATTCTTCTCGAGCTTCCATGATCAAAGGTGCTGCTGATCGGTGCCTCCATGTCAGTAGGATCCTTGCAACCTTGATTGTGTACTCCCATTCCTCACTGTGCTTGTACTTGTGTCCTTGAAAACCACGTCAGCATTCTGGTTCGAGAGGTGAGGTGAGGTTGAATGCCCATGTGCTCATCGTGCAATAGGATCGTTAACACCTGTTCCCATCAACTTAGTTATTGGTTGCCATGGCTTCATTCACGCTGTCTCCATAGGTTACCAAGATTACCAAGATAGACATAGATCATCGAGATGCATGCATACAATGATAGCAATAAACGTAGAATACATTGTAATAAGAACAAGTGGAGGGGTACATTTATTAGCATACAAGAGGATGTTATCTTCATTACAGTAAACAAGGGAAAGTGGGTGATCTATTACTAAGGGACACCTTCTAATACTATCACCACCTTCTAATACTAGTACCCCCTTCTAATACTACTATCATTATCATTTCATAATTTTGGTCGGCAACCAGAACTGCTGGTATAACGCAACACTCCAGCAGACGGCGCCTCATCTTTCCTCATTGCAGAAGGGGAACCGCTTCACGTCTGTTGCGCTAGCGTAACCTTACACCCTGTCAACTGCGAGGTAAAGGAACTCTCATGCCAACCTCACAAGGAGCAAGGCATATACATACTCCACTCCTGCAACAATGACCAGAACACGCTTAGCGGATAACATCCAGTCATGCTACGACCCAAGAGCATCCATGAACACGACCAGCGCAACATGAATACTTTCAGGCGGAGGGGTAACGAAGAAGGGGGAAAAAACCTCGCTTTGTTACGCGGCAAAGGCTGAGGAAAAAAACCCCCTGTGCAGGCCACTCCAATCAACTTGTTCTAAAACAAACTTACATGAGTACACAGCACCAAGAGATGAATGAACAAAAGAAAACTTACCGGGCAAGAGAAAGGAGGATACTGCGCCTCAGAGGAAAAGGGCTCTGTTTTATAAGAAAAAGAGCGCTCTTTCAAACGCGCAAATTTTTGAATCCCAGCGTGGTTTTTTTTACGTGCTTTTTTTCGCGCTTTTTCGTCCAATTTCCTTTTATACTCAGCGCGTTTCGCGTCGCGCGTTTTACAGCCTAATCTCTGCCTAAAGACGCCGTTCTTTCTTGTACATGTGGGCAAGTAGAAGGGGAAGTAAAATTGTGTTGTCAATGACAATCATGCAAACTGACACCTCCTAATGTGGCACGAAGCTATCATGCCGACGCCGATGCGGAGAGATGTGCAGCTAACAGCGACGCCATGTACCACTGCACCTTCTATATACGTACATGTTGATCCATTACTGTTTTACAAGCTATGTTGGATCAAAAGGATTTACCACACCTTCAATGCCTAAATGCTGATACAGAGCACTCATATATCTGGACACGTTTAGCAATATGGCATCGACAAGCAAATACCAAAAGAGATTCGACACTCTCGGCTAATGTTGCAAAAACAAGTCGTCGTTCTGCATCTTTAGCTACTTGGCAATGGACAAAGACATCTTTCATATAGCATCACGATTGAAGCATAGTATGTGGTCATGTATCTCATAATTTTACAATCAAGCGCGAGGGACTATTGTTGGGTATCATTGCTATGGGTTTATTATCTTTGAAAGCAAAAGCGTCTATTTAAACCTGTGTACAGCCCGCTGAGAAATGCCACAAAAGGAACAACGCACCATGATACAATGCTTTGATAATCCAATCTCGCTCTCCACATTCAAAATCCTTCCTCCCTTTCATTCAAGAAACCAGCCAAGTGGATCACATAGAATCAGCGGGTATCATTGTTGTATCATTGTATCCTTGGTTGCTGTCGTCATAAACATCGTCATCCATGGTTGCAAACTGATTGCTGTGCGTGCCTTGACTCCATATTCCAATATCATCCATACCAGCAAACCGCCTTCCGTCAAAGATAGAAGCCCTCTGATCCATGCCATCCAATCCATCCTCCTCCTCAGCCGTACGTATCCACGCAACGTGATCCTTCCTTCCTGCTGACGACATTTCAAGATCCCCTATCACTGCGAATGATTGCATCCATCCATCCATTCATCCATAGCCATTGCTATTCAACATGCTGATAGAAAGAACTCCTTTGATCGCTCGCTGACATACTTCCTTTTGCATCCGGCTGTTGGTCAACCACTTCGTTGGTCATTTCCTATCACAACTCAACCAGGAGAAGAATGATCGTATGGCGCACAATAGTTGATAGCTGGTATGGCACCATCCATAGGGATCCGCATATGTCGAAGCAAGTTGCCACACGTAAATAAAGTTACTTCTATACACATGGCTGCCAGTTGGTCACATAAAGAAGGCTGCAAGGCAGGCTGGTGCAAGTAAAGAACGCTGTTTGAGACGATGGAGTGAAGATCCTTGCTAGTAGCAATTGCTGGAATGAATGCTGTTACGTACGATTGGTTGTGTTCGAGTATAGTACAAGAGAAGTTGAAGTGTCAAGAAACGCGAGTGTTGGAGTGGGATGCACACGCCATGGACATGCCATTCAGCCAAAGACAAATGAATCAAGGTAGTTGTAGGATTGACATGATGGGTTGAAGCAGGACAATCGTTCGCAGGTTGTAGTTGTATACTTGAATGGGGAAACAGTTGAGAATGGGAGGAAGAGACAAGAAGTTGTGTGAGTGGAAGGAGTGGAAATTAATAGGTCGGATACCACTTGTATAAATGCATGAACACTATACATCCAAACCGTGATATTGAGATTGCCCATCTCGCGCCTGAAACTTTCACACAAGGTGATCTGGGACATGCTGATCACGTTGATCTAAAAAAGACCTCATGTGTCATTTGAAAATGTGGAATGGGTGGGTGCAATGTGGGATTTACTATGGAGGTCGGAAAGGAGGTCAGCCCCAGATTCATGATTTATCGAAACAATATACATTACCTTGGGGTTCCCCATTTCGAACGTGAAACTTTGTCAGAAGGTTCGCTGGGACATGCTGATCAACTTCATTCATTTAAAAGTCGCAGGCTTCATTGTGAAGATTTAAAATGCGGGGTTGTCCAAAGTGATGACGGGAACAACAAAAGAGCGGACGGCCCACCACCCCGAAGTTGCCCACCTCCAACTTGAAAATTGGTCAGAAGGGTGCTCTCGAGCATGCTAATCAACTTTTTCTAATAAAGACATCACGCTTCATTTGAAAATTTTGTGTGGGAGCGTCCAAAAGTTTGAAAGACGGAGACATTCGCAGGGTCTGCGATTCATTAATTTTCGTATTTGCTGTTCAAGCGTAGCTCAGCCAAATCAGCTCGGATCAAGAAAGTTGAATGATGGAAATGTTGGGCTGTTTAAAATCGTTTACATGCAACGTATTTTGGCAACAAAAGAGGCAATTGAAATTGGCTGCATTGCCTTTTTTAAGTTTTATAATAACCATCATAGTATGTATTGCTCATGCATTGATCTGACTTCCAAATGCCCAATGACACAAGAATTTTCAAAGTCTGCATCTTACCTTTCACTCTTTCTGCCCCAGGAATCCACCTACTTGACAATGAGCAAAAGACATTCTTCTTACTTTAGCATCAAAAAAAAAAGCTTACAACATAAAAATTTTGTATCTTAAACTTTACAATGAAACGTGAAAAGGAAAAAAAAACTGAACCATGTAACAGCAATGTGTAACTACACACAGCAGATTTCACACTTTCAATATCACCTTCTTAAAATATTTTTGATAATCTCATCTAATGCAGAGGGTCGTGTTGTGTAACACAGCTGCGTTTGCATGAATGAAAGGGTCAATGTATAATTACTTTACGGATCATCTAGGAACAGGCATGTATTGCTAGCTAACGGCCACTTTTATCCAATCACCATTGTTGCGAGATCCACTGCATGGGAACGATGCCCCTGCTCTAGACATTCATTTCCATGATTAAAGTAGGTTGATCCGAGCTGATTTGACTGAGCTACGGTCAAAGAGATATTACATCACTCTGGACATAGAGCACGCTCGATGTAGCTCAACCGATGTAATCTTGTGTGAGCGTAACTCAACCAAATCAGCTCGGATCAACCTACTTTAATCATGGAAATGAATGTCTAGAGCAGGAGCATCGTCCACCTACAATAGAATGCAAAAAAGTTGGGAATGCACAAAAGTGGCTATTAGCTGCCAATGTATGACATAAAAGTGAGGGTTGCGTACCTGTCATGCATTGTCCCTGAAGTCCTGACTTTTTAGCTGAGTTACCCAAAGAGGTCCTTCTGCATCTTTGGCTCTCCAGGGTCTAGCTACTTGGCAATGAACAAAGACCACTTTTCATATAGCATCACGCTTACAAACGTAAAGGCGCCTGTATCTCCGAACTTTACAATCAAACGTGAGGTTTTTATTAGAGCAATGTGCCCGGCTTGGTCAACTGCACCTTGGGTGCAAGGTTCACGATCAAGCTTGCCAATCCCAGATTTCACAATGTCGCCACCAGCCAAACTGGATCTGGGGGTCGACCTTTTCGACGACGACGACCAAAAAATATTTTTTGGGCTAGTTGCGACATTGAACGCGAAACTTTCACACAAGGTGCTGTTGGCCAAGCCGAGCACATTGCTCTATTCAAAACCCCACGTTTCATTGTAAAGTTTGGAGATATGGCTGTCTTCATGTTTTCACTATGCTGTAAGCGTGATGGAGTTGCTTTTTCCTAGTGGACGGTGTCGGCTGCATTAACGGAAAGATGAAGAGCTGAGTGAAACGGCACGTGATGGTTACACAGACACGTCCTTGACAGGTTGCTACACAAATGGATGATGATGATTGCCTTTTGTGAAGATACGTAAGTAAACAGCATCCAATAATGAAGGTGTGTCAAGGTATGCATCACATTTGCATGTAGAAGAAAGTCGAGCTGCATAAACTAATTTGTATATGTAAAAAGATACGTATACATATTGAATGAGTCACTCATCCTGAAGCTCAATGGAGGGATCTCTTCACCTTTTCTCTTCTCAAGCTCATCCCACTTCCCACTCCTCCTTATTGTATTACAAAAGCCATGTACTTCTTGCATGATCGATAACCGGACCACCTTTATTATTCCATCTTGGAAGCAATAGTATGTAATCCACAAGCTAGCAACCTCAACAACAAGCGTGTAATAAATAAACAATGCTTTATTCCATCTAGCTATCTTGCTATGTACTGTACATTGCCACCACCATCGTCGTAGTCGTCCTCCGTCATCATTCGTACTCGTACTCGTCACCAGCAGTCGTCAACCTCATCCGTCACACCAACATCCAAAAACACACAAGTTGAAAAGAATGGGATCTTGCAGGCTTCCTTTTGAATCTCGTTGTCGTCATCATTGTCATTGTTGTAGATGGGGTGATCATCGTAATCGTCATTGTTGTGAATGTGGTAATCATCGTAATCGTCGTCTCTACAAATAAGAAAGCAGGCAAGTTAGACGATTTGGTATACCGTTAGGCGATCCTCTCTAAGGAAGAAAGCAAATCAGAAGGAATTCACAAACCAAATCACCACCATACGAGCAACGTCGGGCGATCCCTTGTTCTTGAGAAAGCACTGCACGAATCACGCAAGGCCAGTTCGATCCATGGCAAGGAAGGACATCACTTACGTAGAGTCAAGGCTCATCGTTGTCCTCATTCATCCTCTCCAAAGAAAGAATGATCCCCAATCCTTCCAATCATTTTCCCACCTCATGAAAAGAAATCCTCAAAGGGAAAGAACGAGCCTATCACGAGAAGAGCGTGTTGGTTCAACACATTCACAGGCTGTTGCAAATCCCCTTTTACCTCAACACGATGACCGTGCTCTTCCAAAAACCCATCGTCATCGACCACTCGATACAGGCTGGGACTTGAACCCAAAGAGATGATGATGATGCCCCAAGTTGCATTGCCTGACCAAAGAAATCTATTCAATTCATTATTAGCACACACACAATAAACACCCATTTCATTGTTTGTTTCATTGTACTTGCCTTTTCCATATACACAAAGACCCGTTGTTGTTGGTTACTGGAAACCGAAAACCATGGTGTAGTATAGTTCAGCCGAAACAAAACGCCAAACCAGCCAACGTCTTGAGACCAAACTTGCCCTCTATACAAGCTAACACGTCAATGGAACAAGTTCAGCTGCAACATTGGGCTCTGAATGTACCTGTTGACACCAAGCGTAAAGGGGAATAGCAACGAACAAGAGGAAGCAACCATGTCGCCCATGGCAACAATCAACCACCAACCACGCTCATTCCTCAGCACTTGGACACACTCACTCTCCCTGACAATGCATGTTCAGAACTACATTAACACCTCACAGCCAACAAGAGCACTCTTCTATAATACATTACCTTGATCGAGATGTCGTGAATGGGGTAAAAGTAGAGGAGGGAGAAAGAGAAGAGAAAGCGTTGTCTCAAGTCGTGGAGCTACAGTCCCCCAAGTTTAAATCCCCTTACTGCTATTACACTGAGGCCACTCAATGACCCCCCCCCACACACACACCATCCACCCATCGTCATCATCACCCTCATGATAGACAATAGGTACACGTAAATAAAAGAAATGATCCTCACGTATAGCAAAAGGGTGTGTGCCATTTTACACTTTACATGATAATGATGATCCAACTACAGCCATTGCCTTACTACCACCGGGTCCCCAGCATCAGCCTTTTACTCATCAATCCATTCCGAAGCAACCTTTTTTCTTGTATGCTTGATGTTGTCCTTAACAAAAAGGCCCTCCACTTTGCATACCTACTCCCACCCAATAAGAAGATCACCCAAGATTGCTCAATCAAACTTGGCATGGTTGATATTCCAGCAATGATCACCGCTTCCAAAAGCATCTTGTGATCCCAAAAGGCTATCAGGCTTGACGTCGATGGTCATTCTCTGCTGCTGTCAACACGGTTCGACCTTCTTGCAATACAAGAAACCCAATTTTATATCTAACGCTTCATGCAGTCTTATATCGTCATTGGATTTGATGTTATTGTTGTTGAATCATGAATCTCACATTAGGAGAAGTAGCAATCTCGTGTACCACCACTACTTGATTTTGTTGTCAATCCATGCCAGAGTACGATCTAGGTAACGTCAAGCTGGATGAAAAGAGGACACACGATGCTGGGCTCATTTGTAAAGCGTTGAGACTTATAACACGGGTGTATAATATGTAAATAAACATTGATAACAGGCGTTGCATGGTGCACATTAAGTACTAGGCAGACCAAAACACATTTCCAAGAATGGCAATGAGGAGTCATTATTCGAATGAACATCAGACCGATTTCCAAAGCGTACTAGAGCAATTCTCTTTCATCCTCTTTCCACTCCATCTCTTTATTATATAATAGAACGACGTCTGATTACACTTCTTGTAAAAGTGCTTACTCGATAACCGATGGGAGATGCTGCCAATAACTCGATTGGCTTTGCCACATACCAGCTCCAAGATAATTCCGATCGACAATCAAACGATCTTGCATCCATTATCCTTTTCTTTTCTGTCATTTTCATTATTGTTGCTTCCTTCATCTTTTATTTTTGGATTACTCGATGGCACAAGGTTCCTCCACAACAAAGACGTGATAAAGAACTCGAAGACCAAAAGGAGATTGATCAGCTGGTCGAGAATTTCAGACAGCAGGTCGCCACTGTATTTCATCTTCCTCTCTTGACACTCGCCATCGCCTTATGGAGACGCCATCGACAACCCATTTCTCACGAACATCGTCGCATTCTTACATACAAGCTCTATCACTTGCTCTCCTTTGCATTCCTGGTTGCCATCGTCGTTGCTCTCGCCATTCTCATTGGAACCACCACGAACGCTGCATCCTCCAACGACACCAACACTAGTCGCATTCTACAAGCTGCCCTTTTCGTCTTTGTTCTCAGTATCAATTTGTATCTCATCACTCGCCAAAGATGCTACTACAAGGAACGCAAGGAACTCTTTGGCAGCACTGACGCCCATATGCATGCTGTATACAAGACGCGCTTCGACGATTGGAATGCACGAATGTGGTCCAACTGGGTCCAGATTGCTATCCTCATCATTGAGTTCTTTCAACTGTTGGCGTTTCCGTTACGTGACCTTATCACTGTCAATTCGTTCAGCAATGAGGGAGCAGGGAGCGACGACGAGCAACAAAGGAATAATCAGCTACGCTTTTTCGAGTTTGTCAGCATCATCATGAACGTGGGTGGATTTATGCCTGATATGCGAACGCCTACATGGTATACATACTCGTTGTGGACCGTATACGCTGTTGTTATCCTCGGGTTGATCATTGCTGTGTTTGTGAATGGCATCAATGCATGGCGACCTTATAAGATCCCGAATCGCTGGGTTTATTGGTGTATTCCTGTTACGGTAATTGAAAACATGTCGCTGCATGAATCATCATCACCATGGAAACTGACAATCCCATTTTTCTCCCACTAGACTCTGCTCTATATCCCTTTACTCGTAAGTCATTGTGGATGTCATTGAAGGAATAGCCAAAGTACTAGGTAACTAAGCACTTTGATGTAGACCACCTTTGTCAGCTCGGCAGCATGTCAATCCCTCAATGTCAGCACCAACGATTTTGCAACGTCATTACGATGCTATTCTCCAAGTATATCTCAACAGCTGTATCTGTGGATGTCGCTTGCTGGATATGTGGTGGCCTATTTTCTCTTGACAATCTTTGTTTCAAGCTACGAGCGTGTTCCAGAGCACAATGAAATTGCCTTCAAGTCTATTAGTGTGGCATTTATAAAGAACATGGGTACGTAAACAATCGAAGGAATCATGAGTGGACACCTTTAACACGACATTATAGGCCTCTTGTTGACAATTGTATATCTACTTGTGGAAACGACCACCAACAGAAACCGGATGCGGGCAATCCTATCTATTACAATATTGCTGACGATGATATGTTACAACATCAAAACTCGGCCTTGCTATGTGGATAAGGTAATAATACTACATGCCCTTTCAACCCACCTGCTTACAATTACGCCAATAGATTAACTTTTTCCGGACGGCATCGTTCAGCTGCATCCTGTGGACATCGGTGCTTGTGGCCATCTTGAGTGATACGAATGCAGCAGGTTTACTGGGACCTTTGGCAGTATTATGTATCATTGTGGGCGGCTGGGGAATGATCATTGCCTTATATTTGCTGGTCTACTTTGCCTATTACAAGCAGCCAATTGAGTATTATTACGAAGAGGAGCAACGCAGCATACGCCAAGCTCGGCAACATTCAACGTTTACCGGCTCTATATCAATGAGATCAGCACATATGGTGGACATGGGCTCTTCGAATGGCAGCATCAGGAGTGGGAATACCAAGACGCCGCAGGACACGACTCTCACAAGGATATCAAAATGGCTGTGGCAAAGATAGCAGCATTTTCTTACATACATCTCCACCTTTTTTCCGCATACCATCATCCGTCACTTGTATATACGCCTTTGTTCATTTGCATGAAGCAGCAAAAATTGTATTATATAACAACACATTGCACCATTTCATCATGCATCATACGTCCATCTACAACATATGCAAATCATCCCCCCTTGTACTGTGATCAGGGGTAGTAGACTATCGTACTCGGTTTAAAACACAATGCTGCACTTTTTCTATTGTTGATCCCTGTTACACACCATGTTTAATCAACTATCAGGAGGATTGTGACATCATCTACTGCCATCATGATATTGTTACATACTATATGCACCACCACGCGATAACTTGAGAATACGCAGGCAGCATCCATCAACATTCGTTTCAGCCTATGGCGGCTTGCATGCATTATGCACATCAGGGCCACATTTTCATGCAATGCTATGCACCTCACAACATCCACCTCCTTACTTTTGGCAAGAAAGCACTCTGGTTGATCGCTAACAACTCCTTCCATTTATGCATGTATGCTCTGCATATGGCGACCGACTTGATACCCGAACCTTTGAAAGCAATAGAGGTATGCAAATCAACTTTTCGGCTCTTTTCTTTCATTTTTCTAACAATCAGCTCAACATGACGGATAAGGAAAAAGGAACTCCAGCATCAAATATGGAAAAAGATACGGGCGACATTGTTGTCAGTGAGTCCCAGAACAGCAAGTGCGAAGAAGAGCCTTGTTCGAACGACGACGTGGAACAGCAACGAAAGAAGAATTTGTTCACTACAAGGATCCTTCCATTCTTTGGATTGCAACTTGCGCTGTTCATTGCGGTACTCGACATGTACGTTGATGCTTGAAGGAAGCCATCAAATTTATAGTAATCGGCTATTGTAGAACTATTCTGGCAACGTCCCTTCCACGGATAGCATCCGAGTTTCAAGCAATGACCCTATCGGTTTGGGTAGCTAGTGCGTAAGTAATACCATATACGATTGGATGGCTAGAACATACAAACTTATTAATGGGGAACATGTGTAGCTATATGTTGACGCAGACTGCTTTCCGTATGATGTTACGCCCTTGATTCCCCATTTCCGGTTATAGCTAATACGTAGGTTTTCGACTGATAGAGCCACTGCTTGCAAAGTTTTCTGATATCTTTGGTCGCAAACCAATCCTGATCATTTCTACCACTTTATTTATCTTGGCATCCATCTTGTGCGGTACAGCCCAGGTATGTCGCTTGTTGACAACATTCTTCATTGCTAGCTTACCAGCATCGATCATCCAACATAGTCAATGGTTTGGCTAATCGTGTCCAGAGCATTCCAAGGAATCGGAGCTTCAGGGGTAAGCATCATGTAGCCGAGAAATAAGCTCTATGCACCTTATTCACATCCTGCTATAGATCAATTCGATGGTATGATGGATACGCAGTATAGTGATGGAACTATTGGGCTTATCGTACCTTCAGGTGATGATCATTATAGCCGACATAATACCTTTGGAAAAACGGGGCAATTATCAAGCGTAAGATTAATGTACGATTTGTGCATTGATTAGGTAGCTGATTTCATTCTCTGTAGGTTGGTCAATGTTGTCTTCACTTCAGCAAGCGTAATTGGTCCGCTCATGGGAGTAAGTATGATGCTTAGCGTTAAAAACAACGAGTATGCTAATAATGGCACATCTATTAGGGAACCTTTACTGATCATGTGTCTTGGCGATGGAATTTCTTCATAAAGTGTGTTGCGTACCTGGCAAATCGATTATAAGGATTATTCTCACCTTTGAATCCCATGCTACTAGTATTCCCATTGGAGTTGCAGCAATAGCACTCGTCCTCATTTTCTTATCTTTGGCGACCGAAAAGCAAGATATCAAGACACGGATCAAGCGGATTGATTTTGCTGGTATGTCATTACAATGCCATAGCTTCATCAAGAGTTTCACTAAGCCCAGGATGTGTAGGATGTGCCTTGGTTTTGGGTGCCGCCACATTACTTTTACTCGCCATTGATTTTGGTGGCCAAATACGTACATGGGGTTTGGTTGCTGTTATTGTGAGTATACGTTACAAGAACTACTAGAGGGAAGGAGAACAGCAATCTTATTCTTCATAATGTAAATAGGTACCACTAGTAGCAGCAGGCGTCTTGATTGCGCTGTTGGTGTTTGTGGAAATCAAAGTTGCTCGCGAACCTGTGCTTCCACCACGCCTCTTCAAGGATCGCACAATAGTTGTACTGTTGCTGTTTACCTTCTTCGTAGCCTTGTGCTATCAATCAATGAACTTCCATATGGCTATCTACTTTCAAGTGGTGCGCGATAATTCGGCGACCATGTCAGGCGTACGGATGCTGCCTATGCAATTGACGTTATCAATTTCCTCCATTTCTTCGGGAAGGTTCATTGCAATGACTGGAAAATACAAGATACTGTTATCTCTTGGATCTGCATTGATCGCCACGTGCATGGGGTTGTTGAGTATATTAGATATCAATACCATTTGGGGTCGTAAGTTATTGTACCATCAAAAACAAACTCGCCAAGCTATCATGCTCATCATGTTTTTATTATTGTCATTAGAGATCTATGGAACCGTGGCCATTGGAGGTGCTGGATTTGGATGCATATTTGTATCAACGAACATTTCAGCTCAAGCGTCGGTTGAGAAGCGAGATATCGGTAACTAACTTCTTCTTTATGAAACGTTATTATTGTTGGTAGCTTACATACCTGCTATGCTGCTAGCTGTCATAGTTGGCTTGAACACTTTTATGCGTTTGGTTGGAAGTACTTTGGGTATTGCTGTTGCTGATGCACTTCTCAAGATGGGACTTGAGAAACGGCTCCCGCTTGCTATTCCTCTCGACTATGTCAGCGATATACTTAATTCCCCTGAAACAATCCATGGGACTCTCCCGGTCGAGTACATCGAGGCAGCAAAACAAGCTTATGCGGATTCCTTGAAGGACGTATGGCATGTCAGCTCTGGATTTGTTGGATTAGGTTTGTCACCCATGATTACAAGGATGATGATCTTTTGCAAAATACTGACTTGATGTCAAGCATTTTTACTTTCATGGTTTACAAAGCAGCGTTCCATACTCAGCTCAAAGAAACAAGCTCCATCTCGTAGTGATAAAGAGCCAGACATGCAAAAACAAGAAAACGCCGTAATTGTTGTTGATGCTTCATCCATGAACAGTGAGGATTCTGCTTATACATCAAGGCCTAAATTGGGCGAGGACAACCAACAAGCCATCGATACGCGAGAACGTCGTAAGGATACTCCCCCATCATGATGTATTTACTACCACTCCTCCTACGTTATATAATTCTTTTGTTACGTGTATGTTGTACTTCCAGCATTGTTATACATAAAAACCGTTAAACCTGCCTAGATGATAGGATAACCTGCAGAAGACAACAATGAGTAGCTTTTGGGGTCATTTTTGGATGTGTAATGCTCGCAACGAAATCGTTAACAACAATGACACAGTATACAGCTTCCTCTTAAAAAGTTGATTCTTACTTGATGAATTCCCCACTGCCTGGTGACATCTCCCAGGATTTAAGGTTCTCATCAATTTATCAGGTGCGGCTTCCATATTCCATCAGCGCCACCAACATCATGCATACATTATGACTTTTTTCTTTTTCTACCTCTACTACCATTTTCTTTCCTGTGCTATAAACACCCTATCCCTGATAGGATCGTTGATGTGTCTTGACCTGCTTGAGGATATTACCAAGCCTAAAAGTCGATGCAAACGAAGAACAATGAAGACGTGTGTTATATGTTTTGATCAATTCGGCAGTGAGGCAGTCTTTAGGACTATGCTATGCACCCACTACAGCTGCCATTCATGCTTAGCACGCTACTTTATCGCCTATCAGGAGCATCCCAGAGATGACTATACTGTCATTGCTTGCCCCGTACCTGAATGTCCCCATAATTACGAAGCTGCTGGTGTTGTTCATCGGGTGCTGAACTATCAACAAACCCAGATTTGGTGGCATCATGCTATTGCGCATAGTAGGGGTAGGATTGTAAGCTTCACCTCGTACACTCGATGTACTATCTCAGAGCTAATGAAAATGATGCATGTTGCTATAGGGATATTGCCCTCATCAAAATTGCAGAGGAATCTATGAGGTCCCTCCACCAAAACCATGTTCATGGTGGGATGTTTTTTGTCGCCTTTTTATCCCGTGGTATAAAAAACAAGACGACCACCATGCACGATGCTTCAAATGTCGCCGTGGTGTCTGTGTGAAATGTGCTCGACCATGGCACTCGAAAGGTAAGTCAAAGTGCACAAGAATACCATGGTAAACAACTCTTACACCATGACGTGATAGGTGAAAAATGTCCCGGAACATCTCGTGCGCGTTCGAAAAGGGCTTGTAACCAAGATACACCACCCATGGATGGACATTTGGCAGACGCCAAGCTCCAACAATTGGCACAAAGACAAGGCTGGACAAGATGCCCCTCTTGTGGGTATGTCGTTTGGAAAATGGTAAGATTGTATACCTTCTCCACTATCACATTCACTTGTCTTATGCATCATGATTCCTTCGTGTAGGGTGGATGTAACATAGTAAGATGCCGATGCGGAAAAGAGTTGTGAGTAGGCTTCCACAGCGCAACATGTGGTCGTATTAGCATTGCTAAAACTCTTGATGATAGCTGCTATCGATGTGGATCGAACGCACGCAAACATGCATGTTCAAGCCATTGCAAGAACCTGAATACCACCGAGCTGAAAAGGCGTCGTTGCATAAACATGTATCGCTTTCAACAATAACTCAACGCCACTTTCTTATCAAGATATGGATCGATTTGCACAATAAAAAAAAGATCGATGGCGAGATAGCTTCTTCAAATACTGTAACAGTATGTATCATGTTTTAATGGTGTTATATCATAAGCGGTGTGTGTAGTGAGTGATTGTAGTTATGTTTGATATGATATCTATAAATGGTGGTGGTGTAATAATGTAACAAAGGGATCGGTGGAGGATGAAGCGTGGGTGAGCTAATTAAGGGGGAAACAAAGAAAGCAAGTGAATGTGTATACCAAATGAATGCAAATAACAAGTACTGAAAACCAAAACAATAAAAAGAGAGAGATCACGGTGCGCACTGCCCGAGTTGATGTGCCAATTTGAGATTCCTGCTATAGAGCTGCAAGGCATCTTGTTCAAGTCGAGATACTTTTTGTTCCAATCCAACAATGGTCATCCTGAGTTTCTTTTCCTCGTCTTCCCATGCAACCCGTTTCTCGTTGCATCTTGCTTCAATAGCACGTCGCATGGATTCAGCTGTAGCAACGGCCTTGGCATCTTGTTGCTGTCGACGTTCCATACTCTCGAGATCAGCCTCTTGTTCCGCAACCTTGTTGGCCAACATACGCATCTCACGAGAGACTTGCACCTTGTATGCTTCTTTTTCATGATAATACAAGGCTGAGAATTCTTCACGTAATTTTTGTTCCCAAGCACCACGTTCACGTTGTTGTTGTTCAGATAATTGCTGAAGTGATTGCTGAAGATGGGCGATTTCAGTCCTTTGAGCGGCTATTTCACGTTGATGTTGTTCTGATAATTGCTGCAGGGATCGTTCAAGTCGGCTCACTTCAGCTTGCTGAGCAGCAATCTCACGTTGCAAATTCATTTCATTTTGACGACACGATGTATGATCAGCCTCCATCATCTTGGCTTGTTGCTCTTCTTGTTGCTTCTTGGCCATCGATTTGGCTACTTCCAGTTTGAGCTCGAGTTCAGCGACCGTTTTTTCAGCAGCACTGAGACTTGTCTTTAATCCTTGCACAGCATACTCGGCTTGTGTTTGGCGATCGGTTGCATTATCCACTGCACGTTGTAATCGAAGTCGTTCTTGATCATGATTCTTTTGTATGCGATTGCAACGGCTTTCCAATTCAATCACTTGGAGTCGTAAACCATCCGTATCATTTGATGGCGTTGTTGATGGATCATCAATAGCATGATATTGTTGTTGTCGCATTTGATCCAAAGTACGTTGCTCAATCGTATCACGATCACGTTGCACCGTTGCCAATGCTTGTTCAAGATAGGCCATTTGAATACGTAATGTTGCTTGAGATTGTTGTATCTTTTCATGCATATCAGCTTGAACAAGTCGAGTTGCTTGTTGAGCAGCACGGGTCTCAGCTTCAGCTTTATCCACTCGTTGTTGCAATTGAGCCACTTGTTCATGATGTCCATCATCCTCATTTTTATCATCATCATCATCGTTGTCATGGTGATTCACTCGTTGTTGACGTCGTTGCCGTACACGTTGACGTAGAATGGAAGTTTGCTGTCGTCGTAATCTTCGTCGTCGATAATAATGAGCATGTCGGACATTGTAGTACAACAATGTGCCGCCGACAGTAGCAGCATTTGCTGCCATATTTGTTCTGGTGGCCACGTTGTGGTTGTCTCGTTTGAGTCGACGTGCAGCCATGCTACCCACTGCCGTTGTTGGTTGCTCAGCCCAATCCTCAAGAAGCTGTCTGAGATGGCCACAAAAATCCTGCACTTGTTGTGGCTCCTGATGCATCTGTGGCCTGTTTTCAAACTCGTATACAGCCGATAATAACTTTGCCACACGCACCATCTCATGATCACAAGCACGCTTACTACTACTGCTGCTACGAGTCGACTCGGTTGAATGTGTAATTGGACTATTGGTGGTTCCACTGCTGCTGTTGGTGCTGCTGATATTACTAACACTGCTGCCATTGGGATGTTGTAATAAAAAGCTACTGCGGCTGTTATGATAATCATGGTTGTCTTCGTGTAATAATTGTCGCAAGTCCGAGCCTGACCATGATGCACCTTCAAATGGATCCTCAACAACATGTAAATAAGAATCGTGGTGATGGTGAGGAGGTGGATGATCATCATGATGTCGTGGTGGTGTGGGCGGTCGACCATCGTGTTTGGGTAATGGCGGAGGTGCTGTTGTGGTGGCTGCTGCATTCACTGACAAGTAGCCGTTGTTGTTGTTGTTGCTGTGATGATGATCATCATCAAGAGCTAATTTCAATGACCCATCCGAAGCTGCTGATGATAATGTTCTTGGTGCCCAACTTGCTCGATACGTGTATGATGGTAGTGGTGGGGATGATGATTTGTGAGAAATGGAGGTAGAAGAAGAAGGGATATGATATGTGGAAACGGGACGTGGGGGTAAAGTAGGTGGTGATGATGATGTTGTTGTAGATTGATGATGGATATCATTGCTGCGTTTCTTCTTGTGATGGATAAAGCTATGGCGAGAGAAGGCTGTTGACATGGCCGAAGCGAGTGACCAACGATTGCTATGGTCCGTAGTCCAACTTGTAGGGGTGTTTAAAGCAGTATCGGCTTCAGAACCGTCGGTGTCTTCGTTGTAAGATGATGATGTATGCGGTGGAGGTAAAGGAGGAGGAGGTATTTTGGGTCTACTAAGGATATCAGTCATCTCACTCGGCCATGAAGGAAAAGAGAAGGAAGGAATAACGAGAAAAAGAGCAAGGAACAGGATTATGTCTTTGTACCTTGGAGCTGAGTAGCAAATAAAAAGGCGATGCTTATCCAGCGGGTAACGTTTCCCTTTCAGGTACCTGGGGTAGCTTGTGCTTCCATTCGTTATTCCTCATTAATCGCTCTCTCTCTATTTTATTCTTGTTAGGCTTGGCATCTTACTCATCGCCAGGTAATCCCCCATTTCGCATCCCAATGGATCCCATATTTACCTTGCAATATATCTGGTAAATGCTAGTATTGGTGGAACTACAATGTGTCGTGTCACGCTTGTCACACCACCCTTGAGTAGACCAGCGCCATGTATTTTTATACGTCGTGAGGATGCATCTTCTTGTGGAGCATGATTGGAGACAAGATGTGGCAAAAATAGGTGCTACATGAAGGAAATGAATATCACAAGGAGTCAATGTTAAGGGTGCTACTTATGATACCATATTTGATACTTACTATTTTATCATGGATATGGGTTGATTGTAGCACAATGATGGATGGATGTGGTATAGAGAGCAGTGAGAGAGAGTGAGAGAGAGAGAGCCATTCAGGACGAGATGGGAAATGGATGATGATGACGGTGACAGTCTCATATTTCAGAGTCCTCGACGCGACCTAACACACAACGCGCATTTTGCTCTTTTCAGCTTGCTTCGCCAACAACTCCACTCTCCACCACCACCACCCTTTTACCATTCTTCTTTTACATACCCATATCATCAGTATATAACAATGCTCACTCGTACACGATCACGGTCAAGATTGGAATGTTTGTATCCTCCTCCCTTTCAATGCTGCTGCTGTCTCCCCCTTCATGGACGCTGACAATGCGACTTGTTTAGCCTCTTCAAAGCGCAGTACACCTGATGCCACATTAGACGACACAAAGGAAAACGTATTGCCATCACCACCATCCACACCTAAGCGACGACGATTGCGTGCTTCTCCACCACCATCGAACAATCAGACCTTGAAGGCAAAAGAGAATGTTACAGGTACAAGCAATAGACACGCACTTATCCAGCAAATTTTTCTTACGCATTACATGACCTATAGCACCACCATCAGCACCAGCAACCAAATCAAAGGATACAAAGTCAACATCAACATCATCAAAAGCAACAGCAACAGCAGCAACACCAACATCAAAAGCAAAGGGCCACGATGGAGATGAAAAGAGCAACCAATACGATACCATTTATCAGGCAGCCAAAGCAACATTTCGTCGATCAGCTATGCCTTCACGACTTGTAGGCCGTGTTCAAGAACGCAACAACATGATCAAGTTTTGGGATGAGCATGTCATGACCAATAAGCCCGGCTGCTTGTACATCTCTGGTTCACCAGGCACAGGCAAAACCGCCATGTTGAATGAAATCATTCGAGACTTTGAAGATCGTGAATACTCTCACAACGTGCGTCAAGTCGTCGTCAATTGCATGAGCATCCGTGAACCCAAAGGCATCTACACACGTCTCGTCACAGAACTCAAATCGCCTCGTACAGCATTCAAGAATGATCTTGTCAAACAAGCTGGAGAACTTATCAATGGCAACAAGGATACCTTAACGTAAGTCAACATCCCCAATAACAAGTATGTTTACCTTTTCCTTTAACATGATGATCCACAATTTAGTGTTGTCATTCTTGATGAGATTGATCAGCTGGCGACAAAGGATCAAGATGTGCTATACAAGATTTTCGAGTGGGCCACTTCAGCATCATCACGTCTTGTTCTCATTGGTATTGCCAACGCATTGGATATGACCGATCGATTATTACCACGTCTACGAGCCAAGAATTGTAAGTGATTTAAGAGATAGAGAGCGACACATCAATGACAAGTAACTTACACATTTGTCATATAGGTGAACCCCAACTACTCAACTTTAACCCATACCAAGTCGCTGAGATCAGTGCCATCATCAAAGATCGCCTCTATTCCCTCGACCCCAACAGCAAACCTGGATCATCACCATTGCCACTTATGCAACCACCAGCAGTTGAATTGTGTGCACGAAAGGTGGCTGCTGCTATGGGTGATTTACGTACAGCATTGGATGTATGTCGTCAAGCCGTTGAACTCGCTGAGACAGAACACAAGCGTAAGACTGTTCTTGCCGATCAAAAGCAACCGGGTGCAACGACTGAGATTGTCAAGGTGTCCATTGGCCATGTCATGAAGGTGCTGCAAACGGTGTTTGGTAGCCCTGTGGTGCAAAAGCTCAAACAACTTGGCTTGCAACAAAAGGTGGTGATTTGTGTATTGATGGCCATGTCCTGCTCTTCTTCATCCTCCTCATCGCATAAAAAGGAGCATATTACACTTGGAAGGGTAAGTCCATATTCGCTTAAAAGAGAAGCAAAGGAGCTAACCTACATACATGCGTGCATATCTAGTTCCGGGAAGAATATGCAACACTCTGCTCCAAATCGGATGGCATGATCAAACCCGTTTCCAGCACTGAACTCACCGATGTTCTTTCGATCATTGAGACATCCGGCATTGTTACTATTGGCAAACACAAGGAAGAGCGATCACGTCGTCTTACGGTCAATATCCAAGAAAGCGAAGTTAGACAAATGGCCAAAGATGTAGCACTACTCAACACATGGCTTGAAACAATCCTCCCATCTTCAAAGTAGTGGTTGCAAACACGTTTATGAAATATAATGAAAAAACCAAATGATGATGCTGCTCATGATTGCTATTGGAATGGATCGTTGAAGGAAGAGTCCTGCTTGAATCAACTCTTCTGGTGTGGGTTCATGGAACCATGGTGGCGGTGGTGGCACCCAAGTAGGATAAAAACCACCTGGGGGACGTGTAGTGGGTCTAGTGGTGGTGGTGGCGGCGGGAGGAGGAGGAGAGAGTGTGGGTGGTGTAGGAGGAGTTGGAGGAGTTGGTGTGTGGGCCAACAAGTCAAGTATGGCGTGTGGAGGGATGGGCGTGAGCTCCTCAAGTGAGATGCTTTGATATTCATCTGGTGATGGCCGCTCAAATGCACCGCTTGACAATGTGGATTGGGAGTCTGCAATACAACAAAAAAAATAAACATCATCAATGCACAAGGTTGCATTATGGATTAATGATTGCGAGCTTACACGTGCGATCGTGTTGGTCACCAAGCCAAAGACGAAGACGCCTATCTGACATGATAAAGTCTTGGGCATGATTATCCACCTCTTGCCAACCAGCAAGTCGAAGCCCTGCTCTTGGTGGTTCCCCAGTATCCATGGAAAGGTAGACGCGTGCTTGTCGTAATTCATTCGTTATGATATCCAGCACCTCGTCAAAATTGCCTGCATCGTCATGCAATAAACTCTATGTACGCACATAATACACATGTATCCTCATCCCCGGTACTTACCTTCTTGTAGAGCATGTCGAAGGACTTGTTGTAGGTTTTCATACAGGTTTTCATTGTTCATTGTTATCGTTATTGTGAAAAGAGAAAAAGAAGAGAAGCGAAAAGAAACAAAGGGTAATGAGAACCATTGTAGAAGATAATTTTTTTATCATGCTGTGGGAGGCGGAATAGAAAATGATGCATGGCTTGACTACATTAACAATGAGGCACACTGATTGTGCTGGGGTTGATGAAAAGGAAAGAGGTCAGCTGCTACTGCTAATGCTTGAAAATGTCGCTCTTGGTTGTTGTATTCTGCATTGTTCAGGCATGTCGGTGTCTCATTTCATTCAAATTGGCAAAGGATCTCTCACATGACCACTATGAAAGGACATCAACTTTACATGTATTAGCACTCCAATTTTGGGGGTCAATGATGATGCTATTATTGAGAATTTTGGTTTGTGTACAACATGCTAATCGCATCTTGGGCTAATGCGGGTTCAAAATCATCGCTCTATTGGTCACGGGTATTTGGTGGTGTGGGGATACGTGGGCAAAAAGCAAAAACAAAAGAAGGGGAATGCTTTATTTTGCTTGGCGGATGAGTAGTTGTTGACGAATATCAGCGTATGGCTATAATGATGGTGATGGGCAAAGGACGATTGACATGAGTGATATATGGGAGTGAGTCTGCATACTGTATGGCATTGAAAAAATAATGTTGTAAAAGGACGACGAGATAATACACGTTGAGTATACGGGTGGTCATTTGGGATGTAGTAGGTGGGGTGGGAGGAGGCGTGGCATACCAGGTTTCATTCGTACCAACCAAGAGTGGCTGTAGATGGTTGTGTAAGGTTGGCCATTAAAGGCATCGAAAGCCATGAATCAAAACCCGGGTACAAGGAATGCGTTTGTGATGGTGCTGAAGTTGAAATAGATGCAGGATCATAATCCATGATGGATACATCAAATAGAGTTGATGATGGCGGCATGAATGCACGATCCATAATTACAGCAGACGTTGCTGGTGGTGTTTGTATCGATGATGAAGATGTTGATATTGACGTTTGCAAGTTTCCATATGACTGCTGAAGCTGCAAATGGCTCGTATCCAACGGCTGCGGATCGATGAAGGACCAGCTTTCAAAGCTGTTACTGACGGATAAAGAAGGAGACAATGATTTGACATTGTTTGTTGTAGATGATGATGATGATAATTGTCGTTGCTTTTGCTGCTGTCGTTGATGATGCATGGATGTTGTTGTAGGTGGAGAACAAGCCAAAGGACGAAGACATGCACTTGCGTTTGAGGCGGCTGTTGCTGCAGCTTTCCGACCATGAACTTTGAAATGGCGGCGTAGATTACTAACCACAGAAAATCGGCGATTGCATCCTGGTCTACAGGAAAATGTGCAACGTAACAAGGTACGTGACATTGTATTTTGTATCAGCTTTCAACATTCTTTTTTTTTACAACAACAACATCACGCATTATTGAAACTAACATGTGGCACGCGTAGGGTCTTTCCCCTGTGTGCGTGTAAATGTGAGGTTGTAGGGCACTCGGCTTGGCAAATGCTTTGTTGCAGAATTTACATTGGTATATCCTCTTATTGGGACGACTTTCAGGTAGCTGAATCGGTTGCTGGTTGTCCATTACCGGGGTGTGATCCCGAGGGATATGCCAAAAAAAAGCAAGTATCTAGAAGAAAAAAGAGGGTTGCTGCTTGTGCAGCATCATTTAAATATTCTCAGACTAACAGGTACGTCGCTTGACCTATGTATGCATGGACAAATAGGGAGGTCTCCACGAAACGAAACAACCAAAAAGGAGACCCCATTAGACATTGTCGAGTCTTTGTGAGACGCACACGTATCACAAGGGGCGTTGTCCTATCGGAAAACGTATCAATGTAGTCCGGCATGTTCAGTGTGAATGTACACCCATCAAGCCACGATGATGTATTTCGGTATGTCAATGCTTGTATGCACGCGTCTTCTCATCTTGTGTGTGCGTGTGCGTGTGTGTGAGTAAGTGTATGTGTATAACCATGGTCTCCAGGTGAATGATTTTCTTATGGCGTTGTATCCTTTCATTCATTCTTCTCTTTCTCCCCTACTTTGGTTGGTGGTTGCAGGAGTGGAGCATTTCAAGTATGTAAAATGTATCAACAAGTACACAAAGAATCCTTGATGAAGGTGGTTGCAGTGGAGATCCCCTCCCCTCAACTGCATGTGGATTACTGTTTTAGTCGATGTATTCCAAAATCAATCAGAAAAAAACTTTAGCTTTCCCTTTGTTCTCCTAGACTAAAACCCCTTCTTCTAATTTGCTCTCACACAAAGTCTAACTTTGTTGTGGACGCGTATGTAACAAATAAGTCGCCCACCTCGTCAGTGCTCTCCTTGTGGCACGTCTAAAACATTCAATCCACAAAAGACCACCACAGCAGCTGGAGCGTAGTAAGATCAAGTATGTGATATGGCATGTATCGGGAGCCTTTCTACGGCTGATTAAAAGGCTACATAGTACGTGTAAAAGGGCGGCAAGATGTTGTGAAATTGAAATCATAGGGATGGCATGAACGTATATAGCTCATTAGAGATGACACCATGAATCTGTTGCCAATCCTCATGTTTATTATTTGTTTGGTCAATTGAATAAAGAGAGTGAGGAGATCACCGCATGTCAATGCCCAGTGCTCATCAAGTTTTGCTGGACTCTCTCCCCCGGCATGAAACCTTATTTTACAATAAAGCTGTTCTAGAGCGCGTCGATTCTTTTTTACACCACCTCCGTGATGGAACAAACAAAAGGTGTCAAGGTATATCAATAAGGATATATGATATGTATGCGCGCAGTATATAGAAATTCCATGTGCTGCCCCGAGCTTTTGCGCTCTTTTTCTCTCCCCATATCCCTGTCTTTGTTGCACATCCCTTATAGCTTTTTTTTGTCAGGATTGCCTGATATGGCTCAAAGTCGACGTGCACTGCTCCTCTCCTGTCGTCAATGCATATCCCTCTGTTGTTGTGGCGGAGTATCACTTCAATGTTACAAGGAAAGAATATTCTTAGATGATGATCATAATATATGTGTGTATTAGGTTGAATGATGATAAAGAAAAAACAGGGCTACTATGTCAACGTTGGGAATGTCAAATTGGCAAGTGTCATGAGCTTGGCGATATCTACATGTCGATATCCAGATCGATCGAGATAGCCATCTGCCACCGCTTTTAGTCGATGGAATGTGTTGTGATGCAGGTTGATCAATGAGTTGATTTGAACTGATTGAGGTTGATTAAGTTAGCAAATCGTATATGCAATTTCCCTTCTTGCACTCCCCCAGTCCTCAAAAACGCCAACCCCTCTTGCTTGCATGCATCACCCTTCCCCTTGTGAACAAAGAAACATTGTCTTACCGGTTGCTGATCCTGAGCTCAATGCATTTTCCTTGGCCCTTTCGGCATCAAACATGTTGCTAAAATAAAGTAGTTGTGTATAGAGCTGCTTGTCCGTGTACTATAAACCATCGCTATTAATATCATCCCCAATGACGCTGTTGGCTCTACCACCACCGCCATCCATCATCATCCACTACCCAAAAGATGAATTACCTCGCGCTTAACACTGCCATGGCATCCCTCTCGTAAGCACCTGCGGCCAAATACAGACATCATTCGAGTACGGCTACCACATGTGGCGTCGTCGCACACAAGCCATCCCTCATAGTATTTCCGGATATAGGAACGCATGCATCGGATCAGGGCGCTGCGCACAACAGCTTCACTAATTGTGCCATGACAGCCTTCACATTGGAGTCCAGACACAATTTCATTGTCATTTGCTTTGCGTGTCATGCCTTCAAAGACTTGTTCATGGCTGCACAAGTTGCATCGTATCCTTAATCGTTCAGCATCCTTGAAGCGTTCAGCATCACTGATTTGCGATTCGAGTGTCGTAAATTCCTCATCCTGGTCATCATCATAGATACGTCCCACGTTGTACTTTGAACCATCAAGACCTAATAATAATGAACACATAGACCATCAGCCAACAAGTTCATGCAAATGAATGAGGAGTAGGGATTTGCGTATATTAAGCAAGGGATCGGGGGGGGGTGTCATAAACCACTTTTTCGAAAAAGAAAGATTGTCCACTCACCAAGGCATTCTGCAAGTCTTGCAATATCGGTTCCATCGATGGGCGAGCACAGACGTGCAATAGGAGGATGAACTTGTTGATGCAAATACCACTCAATATCTATTATTAGGTCACCATGTGTAAGAAAGAGAGAGATGTCATAGACCGATGTCTTCATTGTTATTACCTAAACTCTTTTCGCCATGGACAACATCATCAGGATGAAAAGCTTTCTCGGCAAATCCAGTCTTTGAGCCGTTGGGAATATGGTCCACCTGACAAATGACGTATGGAATAGTGTCGCCTGCTCGAACGCTGATACCAGCAGCTCGCATCCGCAATGCCACCTGCACATGTGGTTGGTTCTTGGCATCAGCATATTCATGGGGGTTCTTGGTCAATTGCTATAATGATACATCTAATAAGTAACTTGAATTGTTTGCATCATGACCCTTCATTTACCTTGTTGATAATGAATTTCTCCAGGGATACTTCGCCCTTCCGGATCTCCTCACCGACTTGTCGCAGGTATTCATGAATTTCATTTACAACTTCTTCACGATCCTTGTCCGATAAGATGAAGGATAAAACTCGTCTATCAACAAACATAAGCATGCATGTAAAACATCTCAAATAAACATGTCACTTACGATGATACATCATGTGATAAATCACACCAATCTCTGCGTACAAGATCAAGACCTTTGGTTTCCACAGTCTCCTTTAAAGTGCCATCGGGATTCTCTTCCACGAGCAATGCAGCGTATTTTTTCTTCTTGAGCAATAGCATATGCTTGAAGAGACCATCAATATCAATCTCCAGCAAGTTGTACATTTCATTGACACGGCGCTTGAACATGTTGCCGATCTCTTTGACCTTTTGCACTTCACTCTCGTTGGTATACACCATGATGGAATCAGTATCACCATAGATGACGTTCAAGTCCAAGTTGCCAGCAAGGTCCACAGTGTTTTGTAAAATCTCACGACCCTTGTAGGTAATCAACATGGCAAGAGGCTTGGCATAGAACCGGGAATGTGTAAAACCAAGACAACCGTACATACTGTTGGCCGTTAACTTGAGAGCCATTTGTCGGATATCATACTTTATGGAAATAAATACATGACGTGAGACCCAAGAACATATGCACCACCAGCGATAACAAAAACCTTACCTGCATCTTCTCGGTGTTGGATAATTTAGGATCTTTCATGAGCTTTTTGACCTGTCGTCGACGCTCCACCAACGTCTTGAGCAATCGAGGAAGTAAACCTTGTGCCACATTGGTATCAGGTACGTCCGGTACATTGTCCTCGCCTTCATTGTCGGCATTCTCTGGCAGGTTGTGTCGTTGGACTGTGGTGAAGCATACGTTGTACTCTTGAATAATGGATGGATACAAGCTGTTGAAATCGAGCAAGAGCACATATTTGTCATAGAAGCCTTTCTTGGGTTCCAACACAAGACCACCGGTATATGCAGGTTTCCTTCGTCCCTTTGATTTCTTGGTTTGGAGTTGTTCATTGACTACAAGAGGAGAAATGATCCATTTTAGACCACCATTACTAGTAAAACAATGATTGTTATCTTACCTTCATCCTGATCCATATCTCCTTGCTCAATCACCACAGCCTTGTTATTCTTAGGGAATGTCTTGTCGGGGCAAATGTACTTGTGACGATGGAATTCATGCAAAAGCAAAAACTCGTTTCGCTCAGCTCTGGCGCCTGTCATGGAACGTGACCTACGTAGATAATAGCGGTTACTACCCATGTTGCCTAGTGATGCTCTTCCTTATACATACCACATATTGCCAGCGAGATTGGTTAACTGCTTTGTCAATGGCAGGATTTGAAGCTTGAACATGAGGGACGTTGATAAGAAGGCATCAAATGCACAATGTTTGACGAGATGAATCAAGGACTGGGATTCTTCATAGTACTTGTTGATCTTGTCGAATTCAATATCTTCACGAGCAATCTTGAGCTGAGATTGCGCCAAATCGGTCAAGCGGTAGGATTTACTGCGAATCAAGTCCTTGGATGCAAGGTAGGTATCACACACAAGGCGGCCACTCATGATCATACGTTCTTGATATGTTGATTCACCCGTACCACCAGCACCAGATTGCAACTTGGGCCAACTAATAAAAGTGTATCCAGTGAGTGGTTTGCTCCTCTCTTTCGTTATTCCAAACAATCCCATACATACTTTTTGCGTCGAATTCTGCCAAGTTTGTGCCAATGTTGTGTATTGAGCTTCTTCATACGGTGGAGCATGACGTCGAGATCAAAGCCAGCAAAGTTGTGTCCAACCACCACATCCGGATCAGTGATGTGGATTTTGGCTTTGGTGCATGATTGAGTAACCATGTATAGTAGACATGAGAAAAAGTATTACTTACCAATCAGGCAATTGAGAAGGGCATTTTCGGTACGTTCAACTTGAATGGGGAATCCTAGCTTCTTCTCGCGTGCAGCTGCTTCATTGAAACCGGCAGGATAAGGCGTATTAGCCAATTGGCGTACAATGGTGAATCTTGACTTTGATTGTGCCTCAAGAGGGGTTGGCTCATCAATTTGAACTAGATGGATCATTATTAAAAATGCCGTTTCTCAACCATATCTTGCATTTGAATAAACATACCTTGATTGCACACAAGACCACTGGCTGCAACAATCTCATTCTCGTTCTTTTGATGATTCATCACGGTACGTAAGCTGAGAGCGAGCACCACGAGAGGGGGCATGTGAGTTGGCGCGTTTCCATCTTGATCCTTGAGAGGATTCACCAGCTTGGGGTCGTTCACTCCAATCTCGATCTTGCACCATGTTTCCTATCAATGGATATAGAGTCAATAACTCGATCATTCTTATGATGGTGATAACGTACATTGGTATTCGAGATCTGTGCCTGATCAATCTTAAGCCAAGATGGGCCCATGATGTCTCGTTTGACCAGCAAATGTTCCAAGGGACCAGTGTTGACACCAAAGAGACGACTATAGGTTGTGCCGCTGGATTCTTCGGGTAATTGGGGCACTACAATGTAAAACCAACCTATTAACCCTTGACTCCTTTTGATGATAATTTCTACTTACATTCATAGCTGTAATGTAATTTGAGGTATTCGGATTCCCGTGGGACATCAGGTAGCTCAAAGGCGTACTTTCGAGTCACCGGCTTTGCGAGGAACTTTGTAATGTTGTGTCTTGCACATACGGATGAGATCTCTTCGTGTACATCGGTCATGGCTACCTCTTGAGTAGTAGGATTGCCTTGATCTATTACATGTTGTCAATTGTCGCTCTTTACGGATACCATATCACATGATCACGTTACCATCCAATTTATGTTGTCGTGGCAACACGAAGATACTACGCTCGATATTGCGCACAGCCACCGAACAACTGATGTAACGATTGGTACTCTTGTTCAAAACCTATATAGTTTACCCTCGTCAACACATATGCCATCTCTCATGTTATCCTCATACTTGCCTTGCCAAAGAAGTACACTGCACCCTTTTCACGTCGTTCATATGCATCATACCACCAGAAATGCAAGCTGCCATCCTCTTCCAAAACATCCATCGAGCGACTTAAATCTTGTGTTGTTGCTTCAGTAACACCCATAGGTCCCATAGCAGCATGTGCCTTTTCCCAGGTCTCCAAATCAGGCCGTTCTTCCTTGTACTTCATATTGGGTCTCTTCACCTCTTCCACCACTTCCATGCTGGTATCTGCCGATAAGCTGGGTTCTTTCTCTTCTTGTTTCACAGTGACTCGACTTGGTGATCCTTTTTCCATATCATCAATCACATCCATCATGCCAGTGCTGAAAGAATCATATGCATCAAAGAATTCATCGTTCGTATCAGGTTGAGAGAAAGGCTTATTGTTGGTCGTTTTGTCGTTATCTTCACCGACAGCAAGCGAGTTTGTTGTCTCAATCACGTCGACATCATCATCATTGTTGTTGTTGTTGGTCGATGGTGGAGGCATATCCAATCGTACTTGAGATGTTGTTGTGCGGCGAGAAGGAGTGGGTTGAACACGCGAAATGTATGATGTGCCATTACCAAATCGTGATGAAGAAGGCTTTGGGCGTTGAGATGGTGCTGGCTTTGCAGGTGCTGGGGATTCAAGATTTGCGAATAGATCATCCATAAAGCTGGCATCGTCTTTTGTCTATTGCATACACACAAACTTGCATATGAGAACCTATCACTCAATGGAGATGAACCCTTTACATACCTCTTCCTTTTTGACTGCAGGTGCGGATGGTGCAGGCTTTCTTGACGCAGACTTGGAAAACATACTTGCAATATCCCTGCTCTTTTTTGCTTGCTTGTCCTTTCCATCGGCAGCCTTTCCATTCTTACGCTTTCTCTTGCCTAGTAAGTGTGTATATATTAGCACTTGCCATGAAGCTTCTATACCAGTATAATACTCACTGGACTTTTGATCAGCTTGATCGTACTCGTCCGAGAATTCCTCTTCGTCATTCCCCATGCCGTCGTCAATGTAGCCTGCGTTATCATCGTCTTCCACGAAATCGGCATCGTCGTTCAGGGCATGGTAGTCATGTTCTTCGACTTCGACATAAACGTCGTCGACCTGAAGAAAAACAAGGCATGAGAATACGACACATTGCAAGCTCGTAATGTTGGACATACGTTGCGTTGACTCTTGCGGTCCTTTGCAATGCGTTGTTGCTGTAATTTCAAGAGCCTTTCTTTACGACTGTCGCTCATAAGGCGTGTATGGTGTGGTGAGTATGTTGAAGGAAGAAGAGCGTGGATTGGCCAGGAACACGCGACAACTGAAATTTTGCGTTCGCGTTGTTTCGCAGCGCGTATCTCAATAGCCCGCACCAAATCCCAGCCAAGCGTACGCATGACTGGCAACAAGTACCTATCACTGCTAGTTGCATAGGATGGCAATGTAAGTTTACAAGTACTCACTACAATCGAATACCATGATTCTGATAATCAATTTTAGCATCTTCACTTTCGCTGATGAAAAGAACGGTGGTATTGTATGATACATCTCATTATCAAGACGAGGTCGTCATGGCATCCTTAGATACTCAGGCCGGTGTCATCTTGCTGCAACAATGATCAACATTACCTTCTCAGTGAGACATTGTACAACTTCGGCAACATGTATAATAAACGTTTGCACCATTCTTCAAAGACAAGTTGCTGTGAGTGATGTACCATCCTTGTGAAAAGTCATGGCCATACTATGAACATAATATTGCTTCATTGTCTTGCTATGTATGTGGTCCTTTGAATCTTTGTCTTCACTGGTATTGAAGCCTAAATAACAATGAGCAATACCAAGAATGTGGTTTTACCCTAATGAACGTATAAAGAACACGCTACCATTATCATTTGTTGCTCGAAAGCTCCTTTATTCTTTTGCAGTATATATAAATAGCTGAAGATTTACCTTCGTTGCTATCAATCCAGTGTTTTCAATGAGCCATCCAGAACCATCAACCTCCCAAGCACACCATGTACCCCCACCTTTCAAATCACAAATGCCAAAAACCAAGTATTCCAAGTCATCGAATGCTCAACTTGTCACCGCTCGAGACCAACTAATCGACATTATGGCTATTCAAGTAAACCATCAAGCAAATGTTACCCGGCATATGCAAGCTTTTCAGGAAGAAATCTCCCGTCTTTGGGGCCACATGATTGAAATGCATGATAAACCACGTCGGCTACAAGACATTATTATGGATTTTGTAATGATGGTGTCAAGTTTTATCCAACTACTCTTGGAGCATATCAAGGATCGATTGGGATTGAAGCACATGGTGGGAGCACACAAGGACGATGTTCAGCGTGTCGCACTGCTGATTTTGCAGGATGCGGAAGAGTTGCTTGATATGATTAAGGATTTCCGAATGGCTGAAGACAACGATTTGGGTTACAAGCTCGATATGTACCTCGACAACAAAGCATCCAGTGACATGAAGCAATTTGCTATACCACCAATGTCAGAAAAGAAAAAAGGAAAACAGCCGGCTAAACCACCCAGGGCAAAATCGGCAAAGAAAACAGGGAGTAGTACTTCATCCACGTCCATGTTGGAAAAAGAAAAATGGAAGCAGCCGACTATGCCACCTCTTCCTTCGAACGTCTTTTTGGAGTGCAAGTCATCCAAGATGCCTACGAACCAGCAGGAGCTCAAGGAATACCTAAGGCAGAAACTTGAACCTTTACCTGCAGAGGAACGAGTCATGGCCATTCTCGAACTACCATTGAAAGCGATTGATATTTTACTTTCCAAAGATGACAATGCCTCGGCTGACGGCGGCAGCAAACCTGAAAATAAGAACACTCAAACGCAAGTATATGTATTCTTATCCAAATGAATCGCCCTCACTCAAACATAATGTTTTTTTTTGTGCCATACAGCGAGCAGGATACATCTACTACCACTAGCCAAGAACAACCAGGCAACGAGTCCCATGAGCTTGGATCCCAGCCTTCGTCACAAGTCATGTCGCAAAGTGCAAGTGCAAGTCAAGCTGCTGGCAATGATCATGAACAAGACCCGATCCCAGAAGATTTCAAGGGCGAGTGATAACAAAGAAGCCTTTAATTTCCATGGAGACAAAGGAGATGTTGTTGTTGGCGTAAAAGAACAAAGAATGTATAGCACAATGACCAATCCAACATATCCAAATGAGCAATATTTGCTATTAGAAAACTTTTGTATTGATGCCCAAATAAATTGAGCCAATTTTAGAAAGGCAAGACCAATCACTAATATGAAGGGAGGGGAATTCTTCATTGCAATGTAGCGTTTATTCTGCTTCAGCACATTCATAATATGGTTCATAGTAACCAAGGAAGCAAGCATTCATAGTACAACAAGCATTGGGAGTAAGTATAAAAGGTCTTGACCACATTCGTGATGAATGATGATGATGGCATTGTTAACGGTTGCTGAAACTGCATAAAGTGTGAGCTGATTATTGCCTAGCCATCTCCTCCATCATCCCTTCTCTTTGCTGCAAGCAAGTACCTGTTTGAGTTTCAATACATACGAGGATACGTCGATGGGTGTGCATGAAGCGACTGATACAAAGAAGATGCCAATAGCTGAGGCGGGCTGATGGGAAGGGATCATCCTTGAAATTTTGTATCGCTTCTCTCACAAGTTCGTCGTTCCTTGTTGATCACCACCTCTACCGACACCAACACATTGCTTGTCTCCCATTTCCTTGTCATTGTTTCATGTGCGGCATACTCTTCTCATTGACGTCCCGGGACGATCCGATCGACTCGAGCGTGTGGCAATCGTTGATCGATCTCAACACCAAACGAGGTACAGCCAACACGACCCCCCGTCATAGTGTATCGACAAGTTGACCTTTTTAAAACAAAGGGCCCGATTCTCAAACGACACGAGAGGCAAACGTTGGTCAAGGGCAGAACCTTGTGGCTCAGTTTTTTTCATCTGTACTTCATCTTCGTGGAACAAGCAAGGTTGTGCAGCCATTGGAATCAACAACTTCGGGTGATATCTTGTGCTGGAATGGTGAAGTCTTTGATGGATTGCCGGTAGGGAAAAAGACAAGAGATCAAGGGAGAGAAGAAGTAGGCTCATATGATGTGTCAATAAATGTAGATGTCAACAGAAGAAAATGATACTCAAGTCTTATTTGGCCAATTGGGGGAGGCAGATGATATCCTTAAAGTAATCTCACGCATTGAAGGTCCATTTGCATTTGTGTTTTGGCAGGTAAACAACAATCAGCGGAAGAGAGCATAAAAGGAAACATGGGTTGATATAAAATCTATAGCAACGTACCAATACGATATGGTTTGGCCGTGATTGCTTGGGACGTCGATCGCTTTTATGGAGAAGAACCGATACCTCGTTGCTCATTTGTTCGACTGCTAAGCGTTGGGAATCTGAAGAAGAACGATCCATGTGGGAAGAAATACCTGCCAACGGGGTTTACGGGATTCATTTGGATGGGTCATCCATATCATCATCATTACGCAAAGAGGAGGTGTTCAATATCGATAATCATCCAGTCTATCTGTATCCATGGATTTCACCTGATGATGACCATGACAATCTCGATCGTGATTCCTCATTAGTAAGTGGATGTGGATGTGTGGATGTGTGTGTTCATGTGCTGAAGCTCATCAAAATGCTTTATTGTTTTTCTTTCGTATTAAGGTTCTTGCCTTTCCCAAATTGAATCGGGCGATACCATCCAAACCAATGGCAGAGCAACTCCTGGAACCCGTTTTGGAAGATGTAGCTATGATGCACGATCATGTGAAAGCATTTCAAAAAGTGCTCGATGAGGCTGTCAGGGTGCGTGTTGCGGATATCCCGTTTCACAGGTATATAAACAAAAAGGATGGATGTTAACACATGATGCTTCGAGAAACTCATGGGTGTGTGTTCCTATAGTGCAGACCACGACCAACCACGCGTGGCCATTTTGTTTTCGGGTGGGCTCGACTGCATTTGTCTTGCAGCATTAGCCGATAAGCATTTACCCATCCATGAGCCCATCGACTTGCTGAACGTTGCCTTTGAAAACCCACGATCCCAGAACGCAAAAAAGAACAAGCAAAACAACCCACCATCTGCTGCTGCTGATGCTACTGCTACCTATGATACCCCTGACCGCATTACTGGAAGAGAGGGTGTGCAGGAATTAAGGTTTGTATCTATGCATGCATTGTGGGAATAAGGGTTGATTGATTGTTCTCTCTCTCATCTCTTTCTTTGGGATACATAGGTTGATCTCACCCAAACGACAATGGAACTTTGTTGAAATCAATGTCCCTTATCATGAAGCAATGGCCCATCGTCAAGAAATTATCGATCGCATGTTCCCGTTGGACACGGTGATGGATTTGGTAAAAAGTGGGGTTTATCGGAATGCGTTTGTGTTTGTGCATGTGTGACACAAGAATTCATGCGTTGCTTAGAGTATTGCTATGGCGTTGTGGTTTGCTGCACGAGGAAAAGGTAATGGATTCAATCTTTTACGCGTCGTTTCTTGCTCATGATATTATTACAGGAGAGATCAATGATGATGACAACATAAAGGTATGTAAAATGGGATGGTTTACGGATCACGGTTGTTGTTGGTTACACGATCGGATGATGGCACATGCACACACAGACATTGACAGCCAATGTTTTTCTGTAGCCGTACCACAGTCATGCACGTGTCTTGATTTCTGGTCTTGGTGCCGATGAGCAATTAGGAGGGTATTCGCGTCACCGAGAAGCATTTCGACGTGGTGGTTGGGAGCAGTTGATTGATGAGGCAAGTTGAATGGTGCATAGTGGGGTATCGATTACACAGCGCTCATTGATTGACTGCTGCGCTTCCTTTGTTATTTCCTAATATAGACACAACTCGACGTTGATCGTATCTCCACACGAAACTTGGGTAAAACTTCCTTTAGTGTCTCAAAAGTATGCCTTCACTCACCCTCACGTGCACTTTTTGTAGGTCGTGATGATCGCATCATTTCGGATCATGGAAAGGAAGCAAGATTCCCGTATTTGAGCACACACGTCGTTAATCATCTTTGTCAACTCCCGATTGATATCAAAATGGACATGCGATATGGTCGTGGCTTTGGTGAAAAGTTGTTGCTGCGGCAAGTGGCGGTTGATCTAGGTCTCTCCAAAGCTAGTCGCAATTGGAAACGTGCTATACAATTCGGTGCAAAGACCGCCAAGATGACAGGCGATCGTAGATCAGAAAAGGGACAACACAAGTTGGAAAGTTAAAAGTAGTCATGAGATAATCACATAATAAAGCCTTTTCGTGCACAATAAAAAAGCCGTATTAAAAGACTTTGATTCTGTTGTAAAGAGACCGTGTTCACTTGGTAACAAAATTTGGGGGGTCCAAAAGAAGACCCGCTCATTAATGTGGTCCCTTTACAGCTTTTTATGCTGCACGACGGGCACATGTTTTGAAAACACATTGTGAACAATAAACACGCCTTGTATAACACCTATTGAATTTTGCTCGCAGTATACAGCTTACAGCTAACAGTGGAGGGGAGCGTCATTATATAAAGTAGAATTTTGTTCGTACCCCCGACGTTGCCTTTCTTTCCTTTTTCCGTTTCTCGTTCCCTGGTGAGCACACAGCACACTTAACGACCCTACTTTTTTCTTTCACAACACCACTAACGTTACAAACTTTCAGCACCACTGATTGTTTCCCGTTGTCTGCGTAAAAAGCAAGAGAAAGGATAAAATCGTAAGTACATAGCTTGATTTCTTTTTTGTCGCTTTGGCCTTTTAACGTTTGCATGGTGACACTTTGTTCACCTTTCTCGTACTTTAGTCAAACACGCGTGTATTCGGTAGCGAGTATACTTTAAAATGATGGTGCCTCACCAAGAAGCAATGGCAGCCTCTTTCAAGAACAAGGCAACAATGCGAGTTCCAGGTAACCAAAACGGCGTTTGTATCATAGCTTCCAACTAACATACCTTTTGCTCGATTTAGGCCACAACAACCAATCCACCATGGGATCTCTTCGAGGTCTTGTCGCCAGCGATACCAATAGGTTGACTGAAAGCGACATGTATGCAAGTTTCCCCAAAGGTAAGTTTTCATGTTGTTGTTTTATACCTCGTGTGCTCATACGCGTTTCTTTTTCAATAGTGGAATCAACAGCCCTACATTCACCCAGAATGGTATACGCAGCACCCATTGTTGTCGCTCCCAACATTCGTGAATATCGTGTAGCTGATGTGCACAACCCCGTATCATCGCGTCAGTACGAGTTGCCATACCACAATGATCATCATCATACCCAACAACAACCAGAGCAGGTGTCACAACAACAACAGCAACGATATCGAGATGTGGCTAGATCCATTGGATTGGCACGACCTGAAGGATGGGGTGTGGCTATGGAACATATTTGGTCTCGGCGATCACCTCCAACTTTGCCTCCGTTGATGTGTTCTAATAGCCACCTTCCTCTAGCAACGACAAGCTCACCTCCTCCTGCTTCACAGCAACATCATCATCATCATCCACAGCAACCCATCGTGGCCCCACAACAACAATCACCAGTGCCATTTTATACCAACGATCACCAACCATCTTCATCTGTGGAGAGTATTACAGGCACCTTGGCAACATCAACGCACGAAATACAGGCACCTCTTCCCCAACAACCCACTACGAGTGTGGCTTCTTCATTCTCCTCTTCAGTGATTACGCCTCGTAAAGATGTTGGTGTGATAGCACGTCCCACTTGGTCACAAATCACCTCTGGTGTCAAAGCCTTATCAACCAATGACGCTGCTACTACAACTACCAGTCGCCCTATTGCTCCTATTCCAGCAACTTCCCATTCCTTGAAGCCTGCATCTGTTGTACGTCGCAAATTCAATCGCCCTTCTTTGGTTCCAAAGGATTCATCTGCAACAACGACAACAACAACACCAGTGCCAAGTCAAAGCGACAAGACGAATGGCACTGAACGTGGCTCTCAACTTGTATCGAAAGGACCCAGAGTGGACAATAGCATGAAATTGTTATCTGAATCATTATCCTACTTGTGCGACAATCCTCTTTCGTATACAACGTCAAACCGTTATCCAGTGATTCGATTGTCCAATGTAAGTGTACTCCCACTTGTTTTCTTTCATCTTTGTTCTAATATCCATGATAGATCCCTTGGACCATCTCCATTAAAGAGATTGAGGCAATCTTCAAGAACGTCAAGTTCCCTGATCCCAAGGATCATGCACAAAGCATCCACGTAAGTGTATCTTTTATTATTGCTACTTTTGGATGGCAACGGGCTAATCATGGTTTCCATCGTTACGTAGATCATCATTAACAAGACTACGGGCAAAACCCAATCCGATGCCTTTGTGGAAGTGGCAACAGAAAAGGAAGCTGAAAGAGCTGTGAAGCATTATCGCAACTTGCCTGTCAAGGGTCGTAAGCTCTTTATTGAGCACAGCAGCTATGAAGAAATGATGAAGAAGCTTTTCCCTGATTGGCCAGGAACATTTGTGGATGGCAAAGCAGTGTACGATCCTTCAGATATGGCGAGTGTCACATCGTCGTCGTCAAACCAATCCCCACCTTTACTTCTTCCACGTCGTGAAATCGAAAACTTGTTGGGTGTTTGTAAGAATTTCAAGGTAGGTTCATGATCATCCATATTGTAAGCAAGTCGTCTAATAGCCATATCCTATTATAGGTCCACTTTTCTCGCAAATGTGGCGAGCGTCCCTTTGAGAACTTCATTTCCATCCTCGTCAGATTCCCTTGGGACCAACCTAATCTCATTACTACCATGCAACGGGACCATCTCTACGAGTACTACAAGCTGGCAACCAGTAAGTATATATATATAAATGATAAAACAAAATGACAATGTCCATTAATGTAAATCGTGTAGGCGTATTGAAAACGCATATGGAGAAGCCATATGTAAACCTTGATCGTGATTTGGTTTTCCGCATGATTCGTGCAGCTCTCCAATGTCCAGGTTTCACAGTGCCTCAAAAGCGGGGTATCCTTGCTGCAGCGTAAGTGATTCGATCATATCCTAGCAACATCCTCTAACGTCTTTTTTATTATAGAAACGTGCCATGCCCTCCTCAATTGCAAGCCTATATCGAAATGCCTTCCACTCCCACTCCACCAGAAGAGGCTTAAGAAACAGACCCCATTTGCTTCAGTGATAACAACAATACAATTATCCTTTCCATCTAACTAGCGGCAGTGCACAAAATAAAAAATCCAATGTAATCCAATTTCTATCCCTTGATCTAAAACAACAATTTATGTAATCAAAAACTTCATATTTTCATAATAAGTGAGCATGGGGTTGTCTCCACTACGAGTCGTTGTCCTCTCAATGTCACCGTATCGTTCACAGAATTCACGATGGGTGAGCACCTTGACGGCCTTATCATTGCCAGCACGAGCGCCACGACATACGAGAAGATACATGTCCCGGAGTAATTCAAAGTTGGTTGGGAAGAAGATATCGAACCAGCCAGGCTGAACCATATACGTAGAACAAGGAACCATGGTGCCTTTGTATCTCGTTTGTACCACAGGTCCATCCACGCCTTCAACGGCATCAGGCAATTGTGAGAAATCAGAGAGCACCAGTCGATGTCGAGGGAAATGATGCTTGAGTGTTTCCAGAAACATGAACAATTTGGTGGGAATGTATTCAGGAGCTGTCAAATTGGGTGCCACAGGCATCATCTTGAGAAGCTTGTGCCAAACACGTCGTGCCAAGATGGGACTACGATAGCGTGCTTGTTTCCGCATAGCCAAATAACGTGATATCAGTGCATCGTTGCCAACAGGTTCATACAATTCGGTATAATCGCCATTTTCATCAATGCTGACAAGTCCTTGATAAGGTTGTAACGTCTCAAGATCATATCGGATCACGTCATGTGCAAAGTTGTCCTACCAAAAAAAAGCCACGTGGTTCAATACAATGCTTGCCTTCTCTCTCTCTTTCTCTCAGGGGGGGGGCCTTTGAACTTACAATGACTTCCATTCCCAAAAAGAAACATTCATCAGGCACGTGGATATCCCAATCAAAGATGCTTTTGTTGATAATCTTAACGTTGGTATGCTGTTCGGTGACATCTCTCACTTCTTGTCGTTCTGATTGTCGTTCAGCAAGCTTGCCCGAGATCTCAATAATGTTGTATTGCGTGCGTTTATAGACCGATGGTTCATACTTTTGGATATAGTCGAGGATGTTCATCATCAAGGTACCATTGCCTGCACCCATCTCGTAAATGATAAGGTCCTTGTGGGGGTACAGGTTCAACTTGTATTCTGACACCATATACTTTGCAATTGCATAACCATACCAGGGCTAATCAATAGAGAGATGGGTTAGGTCACATGTACGCATAGATATCCTCCTTACCAACAATAGCCTTACCTTGAACAATTCAGTAGGTGTGTGCCAGACCTGCCGAGCAACTTCATCCACTTCATCCACTTCGCCTTCAATCTCTCTATACATGTTGGCCAATAGCTTTTGAAACTCGAGATTGTCGCGTAGCTCCGTAAAGTCAATGTCCACCTCGGGCGAGAAAATAACAGCTTGCTTGGAAAAGTAGCCATAGTTGGGATTGTACAGCGAGTCGTCAATATAATCGCGTGCAAGCATACGCGCACATGTCGGTGGTGTTTTGAGGGATGCTGTTTGCTCTGCCGTCTTTACAGGATAATGGCGATGCTTCTCGTAGTTGATCTCACGTTCGCCCCCAGTGAAGAAAGGAGCCAAAATGTTGGTGCGTGAAATGAGGTCGTTTTCTCGTTGTTGATTGTCATGTTGTCGCGATGCGAGTGTTGAGGAGAGGAGCCGTCGTTGTTGATAATGGAGGAAGCGTGTTCGTATTGCTGTTGACTTTGTAGCGGTGTGAACAGCGTGGCAACAACTTGACCACCGTTGCATACTTGAAAGAGGAGAAAGGGCGAAGGAGGAGGAGGGATGAAAGGCGGCGGGTAAAAACAAAGCTGACACACACACACCTCTTTGAATTGCCACTCGTTCTGGAATTGCGCACACACACGCACCTGTCAATATCCCCTACATACAACAAGACATAATTACATCTCCATATGAAATCATATCATCCTATGCATACATCTTATCCACAACATCTAAAACGGCTCAAGCATGGGCTGTGTGAACTTGATGCATGTAAATCTTTTTCGAATGTGCCTAGCTTGGGCATAAGGATATCATGGTTCTATCAAAGTATGATGAGTTTTTATTGTCGAGGATACTTATGGTGGTTCATTGTTACTCAATCAACACAGGGGTCGAATGCAAAGCACGTAGTTTGTGCCCCATAATGTCGTCCAACTTTCATCGGGGTTTGTCATCCCAGGGGATTAAAATGGTGGAGAGCGTGAATTCAAGACCTGCTTTTCTTTACTTTCTTTCTTTCTTATTACATCATGGTAAGCTTTCTCACAAACCTATGATAAACAAGTTATTTATACTTTTAACATTGCATTGGTTTCTAGGCTCTCAAAGTTGGTGACACTGTAAGTAATCCAAAGGAAGCACATTGCCCGGGAACTAGTGGTGGAAGATGATTATCCGAAAAAAAGATGAATAATCGCCATTCACCCCTTGCTACCTTATACTCATTATGCGTGTGCACCTATTGTAGATCCCTGACGGCATCCTCCAATACGTCCCCTACGACCCTAACGAGTCGCTTGAAGCTTGCCCTCGGTAAGTTTTCTTTTTTCATTGATTCAAAGGGCATAATAATAACTCACTTTGCATAGTCCTTTGCAATACAAGATCCACGAGAAGCTCAAGGGCAAGAAGGCTGTCATCTTTGCTATTCCTGGTAAGAGAGAGAGAGAGAGGAAAGAGAGGCATCTATACCATTGAGAAAGAGAAAGAGAGAGAGATGCTGAACGCTATTGCATTAAAACCCACTAGGTCCCTTCACTCCTGCCTGCTCTGAAAACCACGTTCCCGGTTTCTTGCGTGCTGCCGACTCGCTTCAAGCCAAGGGTGTCAATGAGATTGTGTGCATGTCCTTGATTGACGGTTTCGTTATGAATGCTTTCGGCAAGGTTAGCGGCAACAAGGGCAAGATCATTATGGCTGGTGATGGCAACGGTACTTTCACTAAGGCCCTCGGTCTGACCATGGACGCCACCAAGGGTGGTCTCGGCATTCGATCCAAGCGTTTCGCCATGGTGGTCGACGATCTCAAGATCACTTATATTGGTGTCGAGCCTGCACCTGGTGTCACTGTCTCTAGTGCTGATGCCGTTTTGGCCAAGTTGTAGAGTAGCTGCTGAAATATACCTTTCCTTTTCCGCAGAGCTATATTTGTTGATGGAATGTTGATGCCGAAAAAAACGTGTGTAACACCATGAGAGATATACTGTGGAGAGAGACATGTGCATGAACAAATGCGTTGATTGTGGATGACAGTATTAACGTCTATCATTGGATCTTTCTTACATTGTCTGGATGCAAGCTAAGGGTGCGTCTCTTGGACACAAGGATGTCGTTGCTATGGGAACCGGATCACAACCAAGTACCATATCACGACCGCTAAAAGCTATCCAAAGTCATCTACCCCACTTGTCTCATTCATGAGAAGGTGTCCATTGTTCACAGCTTTTTGTTGTTTTGCATGAATTAGGAAAATGTAACACAAGGTGTAGTATATTAAGAGGTTAAGATTACAAAGGGTACAAAGTAAGAATAAGGCAAATGCTGCTACTACAACAAGGTATCCAAACGTCTCGCTCGATCTGCATACTTGCTTTCACCAACAATAAAGCGCACCAAATCATTCATATGCTCCAGCTCCTCGATGATTTCTTGTACACAACATGCCATAGCAAACCAACAAATGTTTCGATATCGTACCCATCGATAACCATTTTTGCTCAACTTGTGTCGATATCGCATGAGTCGTGATCGTGCTGATCTTGCAGATGGCATATAAGCTGGTAATGGAATCTTGGATCGCAACGATGACTGCAAGGTATAAAAATGAAGAAGCATAGCAGCCGTCTACGGATACCCTATTAGCTACTACTAATCAACCCATCATGTTGATAATAACTTACCATATCACGGCGGTATACGTTGAGTTCACGTTTGCATATGTCATTCTTCACCTCCAGGGGCATATTTGTCAGTGCAATTCGTATCGACATGAGTCTGTCAAGAAGGTTTCTTGTTGATACAATCATCTCCTTGTAAAAATCCTTGGGAAAGGGCCCTTTTAATCTTTGCGACAAGATCTTGATTAGGACGATGTTTAGAACATGGCAACCAAAGTTTACCTTGGCTCATGGTCTGTCAGCTCCAGCAGTACATTGCAAGCGTTGATAGACTTTTGGATGGATCCTTCCAATTTTTGTGCTCGCTTGATATCTTCCTCTGCAGGTTTGGCATGGCAACCAAAGAGAAACGTTCCCATCAGATAGGTATAGTAATCACCCAATTCACCAATCACGTTGGCAATAGACTTGCGTACAGCATGCCGAGCCACAAACGGCCACACCGCCCTAATTCATCAACCCGATATTAGTTGACACACGTCATCAAAAAATAGGTAAGGGTAGTGGTAGTACTTACCAATTCAAACACACTGCAACTACAATACCAATGATGACTGTAATCGTTCGCTTCCATACAGTGGCTGAAATAGGCTCTGGAGGGCTAGTAACGTATCTGCTAAGTGCAACAGCGACATAGGTCATGAGGACGACAGTGCCAATCTTGTTGTAAGTGCTTGCCAAATGAAGGTAGAAAAAGGGTATCGCTAACATGACATTTAGCATATCCATCATCATCATCCATATCATCTTTCTTGAACTTACATAGGAGCACGCCAAATAAAGCTAATAGGTAAGCACTACCACCATCCGATTCCAATGCTCCCCATCCAACAAAGGCACCAACAAGCGTGCCAATGATTCTCCAAAAGCTTGCATGAAATGTTCCACCGCTAAAAGAAAATGCCCATATGAGTATGGTTATAGCTATCATAGCTGCATTCCCGTATTACCTTGTAGGATTCATAATAGCAATAATAGTCATACATGTCCATTGGCCACGCACGCTTTGATACCACGCTGTTGATGATGGTACATAGGCTGGGATTGTCAAGCTAAGTACGGCAGCAGCCATCTTGAGAGCAAACTTGAACTCGTATTTCTTGATAAACTGGTATCCTTCCCAAATAGCGTAACGTACACGTAGAGACAAAGGCGCCTTCTCTTCTGGTTGCTGATTCTCAGTATCCTCCCCCTTGCCTTCTTCCAAATCTTCCTCTTTGGATGGTGTTTTTTCAGTGGGGGATAATTGATCCGAAGGAACAGAATGTGAAGAACCTTTGGTGACGGAACGCTTTCGAAGGCTCGTAAGTGTTGATTTGGTTGATAATCGTTCGATGGGTGAAAGTGCATTGCTGCTTTGTGAAACCACTGAAGACATGCGACGCATTTTTCTAGAATTGGTGTCTGTCGTTTTCATCCGCGTAAGGCGATATTCTTCTTGTACATCCGTTTTGCGTACTTGCTCAGCCATTGCTGGTTTCAGGGCAGCTATGTATATAAAAGTGGTCAATATCTTGATAAATGCATGCATGATATCCAATTGACTTACCTAAAGAATAGCCACCTCTATCCCGTACACTTTGATGATTGGTAGTGCTGGCCCATTTGCGCCACCACTTTTGAGTCAATTGCGGCATGTATAAATGCTTGCGAGGTCGACGGCCATGACGTGAAGATCGTAATTCATCCATCGTATCAGCCATGCTTCCCAATTCTTTGGCCACTTCACGCAATGAGAATATGAAAAAGAACACCAAAAAGAGCTCTTCACGCATGCCAAGATCCAAATCTTCGCTTCCTTTGATATCATAAAGTCGTTGCATACGCTCACTCTCAGCCTTGTCAAATCGTCTTATCGCTTGCTCCATTTTCTTTGAACAATCGCACTGGCTTGGATCATGGGGTAAGGATTTCTTCTTTCCTTCGCTCGTTTCAGTCTTTGCCTTCCATCTCAAGATGTGTCGGATATACGACTTCCACGTTTTCCAAATGGACTTGTCATCCTCATCATCCATATCAAGCTCGCTGCATATGCTGTATGAGACACAATCAAGCACCGAAACACATTCCATTGAAAGTCGCATCAATGGATCACGAAGACTTTCCAAATACGTGACCAACAACTCGCCATCACCATGACCCATGGGCCGATTGGGTTTTGGAGGTGGTTTGGGTGCATGGGAACCGCCAAGTTTGGCCATATTGAGAAATGACCGTATCGATGATACTGATTTTTGATTCTGCTCATTGTAATCTTCATCAAGCGAGTTGCGTCGGGAGCCTGCACGTGATCCAGGGCGCGATCCAGCCCGGGATCCAGCACGTGATCCCATGTGAGAATTGGGTCGAGAATGTTGTGGACTTGTGTTACCAGCCGCTAGCATAGCAGCACGCCGCAAATTGAGTTCATCCTCTTGATTCAACCATCGCAAAGTCGACTTTTTTGGTACTTCTTCTTGATCGCTGTCGATATCAGTAGGGTGTAATTCAGATGGCTGCTGCTGCTGTTGTTGCGTATCATTATCCTCCTCTTGCTGATTCAATGATGCAATGGCGTTTTCAAACAATACACGTTCGGTTTTGAGACTGCCACCCAAGATATTCAAATGCTTGGTCAATCGATCCAGCGACTTTTGAATGTTTCCAAGCTTGTAGGGTCGAATATAGGTATATGAAATCTCGTATTTGGCCTCGTGATAAGCTGTTTTCACCTTCACCATGGAAGCTCGCATCTTTTCAGCTGTTTCATCCACCACCTCGCCTGCAACCATGTCTGAATCTGGATCAAGAAAGAATTGCTTGGTGATCATGTCGAGCATGTCTCTGCTGCTGGAAAACGATTCTTGCAATGCACGTCCTAAAGTAGATGACGAAGAATACATGAATCACGAGATGTCCCCAACAATCAATAAAGACCCTTGGACTTACCTAATCCATCCACTGCTGTCTCTGGCCATACAAAGAGATTGACTACTTGAGAAATGGCAGCACCGCACAACAAGGGGATACCATAGCTTAGGGGTAAAGACGTAGGCAAGGTCGTTTGCATCAATCCAGGGGTGGTAGTGAAACAAAAGATAAATACGGTCATTGCTTGCAAAGAAAAGAAAAAGAAGCGAGGCAAGAATTGTCGTAACGTTTGAGCCAAAAAGATGCCCAAGAAGAGGAATAGCGCATTGATGATTGTGCCATATTGAATGGTATCTGGATGTCTCACGTTGTATGCCACCGAACATGCGAGACCTGCATATGAGAATGCTAATGCACTACAAATTCCGAGTGCAGAGGTAATCGTCGTATCAAATTGAGCTCCCATGGTGCGCCCTGGATGATTGAATATGACACCAGCTGCTGTTAAAACACATGCAGGACCAATTGCATCAGCCACTGGATTGATCAAAGCAAACAATGTCGATATAAAGTAGGCGATGGTGCATTTGATGATGCGTCGTACGATACGAGAAGGGAATCGTCGATGTAAAAAGGCAATCAAACGTTCCTTTCTTGAGCGGGGTTCGTCGTCAAATGTATTGATACTCCATGCTGCCGAGTAAACTCTTCCGATGTATTCGAGTTTGGGTCGAAAAGATACACCTCGTTGTTGTTGTTGTTGTTGAGGAGGAGGAGAAGATGGTGGTGGTGGTGGTGGTGTATCCTGCTTTTCTGTTGGGTTGGCAATAGGGTCATTGTGTTGCGTCTTGTCGTCTTCGTCGTCCATACTTGACAAGCTCGGTTCGATTGTAAAGATGCGTGGCACTGTAGATCCCTGCTCATTATGGTTGTTGTGTTGTTGGTGTTGGTGTTGTTGTTGTTGTTCACTTAAAGAGAAATCAAAGTAGCTACAATGGTGTTAGCCAATCCTTGATTACAGCTTCGCAGGAACCCAATGGTAGTTTACCCATGACGTTTTTCCATAGGCGTGGGAGGAATAGTGTCGTTGTCTGAAGTATGAGAAGGGTTTCTTCCAAAGCGAAAATGGGCCCATTGTTGATGGTCTTTGATGTCCCTTGTCATGGGAAGGGGTATATTGTGAGTGAAAGAACAATGAAAGGATGCAGCTGTTGTAGAATGTATAAAAGAGCGGGAAACTGCAGGTGATCCATGGAAACGAATTAAGTTGGTGTTGTTTTACTTCCGCCATTTGACACCCACGGATCGCACATTATCTTTTTTTGTCGGAAGCCATTCCATCGCCCATTTGCGTAACATTCATTATCCTTATACTTTACTTTGACAGCACACCAAGCCACACATCATATCGCATCCACCTCGTTCATGCATCGGAATATCAATGCTTTGGCATGCACAATTACCAATCTCTGCATAATTCAAAAAGCGGCATGATTTTACATAGGGGCCCCCCTTCTATAGTTCGTCAAACATTTCAGGGACATTCTTATATTACGCCCAATAAAAACTCAGTCCACGCATTGACAAGGCGGCTATTCTCTATTACAACATGTGCTTTTTATATGAATGTAAATTACTAATGGTACAAATGCTTAAATAGTGTACAGATGCTGTAGGTATATGATACGTGGTGCATGTTGCTTGTCATTAACCCCGACACGACGCCTGGGGCACTGATTCAGGCTTGTTATTAATCTCCACAGCAACGTGATGTTCTGAAGATGTGTCATTGTTGGCGACGTTTTCAGCGTCGGTATCAGTAGCGGTATTGCTATTGCCATTGTCGCTGCTATGGTTGTCGTTGCCATGGTTGCCGTTGCCATGGCTACCGTTAGCTGCATTATCAGCAGCAGGCTGTGGAGGTGGAGGACGACGCAATGGATGATGCTTGGTGAAAAAGGAGCTCAACAAACCTAAAAGGAGAACATGATCCATACTCCGTTAATGATCCAAAGAACAAAGAGTCTAGCACACTTTCTCGGATGTTCGGGACACGTACCAACACTGGACATGGCAATCAAGATGTACCACACATATCGAAGCGACTCGACATACACCTCCGTTGCAAGATGTATGTATTCTTCTGGAAGACCATTGCGTATATACTCTGGCGAATTAAACACCTCTAGCACATACTGCTCAGGTAGCACCCCAGGCAAGTTCTTTTGCAGAAAAGAGTTTAAAACAGCGGATGCGATGGCTACACCAAGTGCACCACCAAGGACCCGTGAAAAATTGTTCAAACCCGTTACCACGGCTAAGCACATGTTCCTTAGTAAAATCCATTATCATTTAGAATGAGCACTTACCAATGTCCTTTGTCTCCACTGCTGCTTGCAACGCAATGATGGTTGACGAAAACATTAATCCCATTCCGGTACCACCAATAACGGTAATACCATAGATCACTATAGAATCAAAAGAAAATCCATTGTCACCATTACCATTCTTGGCCCAATTCTTTCCCCACACCATGCACGCAATACTTACTCGACCAATTTGTGTCCACGTCAAATAGCGAAATCAATCCAATGCATAGCGTGAGCAATGTCATGCCAATGGTGATAAGAGGTCGATAGATCCCAAACTTTGAAATAAAGAAACCAGCAGCGGTAGAGAAGACGCAAATCATCATCTGCATAGGGATCAGCCGAATGCCGCTCCTACAATAGTGAAAGCAATGTTTAAAATACAAATAAACTTGCTGAATTAAAACTTGAAAATCTTACCACATTGCCGTATCACCGCGTACGATTTGGAAATAGATTGGCAAGTAGTATACAGCTGCAAAGAATGTGAGGCCAAAGAACACATTCGCTATCAAGACGCTGACAACAGAGCGGTTCTTGAATAGTCTTGGGGGCAACAATGGCTCTCTTGCATACTTGATTTCCACCACAACCAGCAGTGCAACCAAGACACCCACCAAAACGAAAGGCACCTGCGTCACATACCAATCAGTAATCTTGAAATCATGATGAAGATAATGGTGGTACATACAATCACGGCTGCCGATTTCCATGGGAATGTTTGACCACCAAAGTTCATGGCCAGTAAGAGTAGCGTGGCTGCTGCCAAGACCAGGAAATTGCCTTTTTCGCATTGCCATGTTAGTATACAGCCATGCATACCCCACACAACTCCATCATCATATGTACCTGCATAATCCACACGCTTGAGTTTTGTTTTTAGATCTTGCTTTTCCATAGGTAGATGCAAAAAGATCACAAGGATAACGACGGCAACACCACCAATGGGAAGGCTATGATTCATGATCGTATGTAAGCGTCATTGCTGATTTGAGTAAAAGGCACACGTACTTGATGTAAAAGTTCCAACGCCATGAAACGTAATCGGTTAAACTACCCTAATCGGCATCAACGAGAACATGTTACACACTGCGGTGGGGATTTGTGTCCTGGTATTATTTTCACACTTACTCCAATCAGTGGGCCGAATACACTTGCAACGGCAAAAACAGCATTGACGATGCTGAAATAGTAGAAAGCATCCCGTTAGTGGTGTGAAATATAGACCTATAGGCAACATGGGCTGATCATTGAACATCCTTACCCTTGATAACTTCCTCGTTTCTCCAAAGGAACAAGATCAGAGATAATAACAAAAACCTACTCTAGCGGTCAGCTTGATTCGCCTCGTAATACGATTGGGTTGGTCTTTTTACCATTGAGAAGATCTATAACAAGAGGGTGTGTGAGCAACCTTCCTTCCTTGTCATAAACCAAGAACCACATCACTACTTACACTGGCAGCACCAATGCCCTGGACCGCACGGCATATGATAAGCATGAGCATGGTCTATATCGTTGTCGGTATAATTATTGGTACTTTAGCTTTCTTTTGTCATATGGTCTTTCCCTACCTTCGATACGCCGCACAAGACCGAGCCTAGCAAAAACACGATGATGCCAACCACCAACACGTACTTGCGACCAAAGATGTCGGAGAATTTCGAAAACAACGGCTCTACAGGAGCGAGAGAGATTAAGTTGACAGATCATGGAATAAACTTGTTATCGAGATCGTCGCGTATACGTACGAAATGAATCCAACGTTAGGATATAACTAAAATGGTGTATAGAATGATAAGCATTGACATGCGCTTCAACAAGAATGGTGCACCAAGGAACCCCATAATAAAAGTGCCCTGACTCACCTATTGACTACCCAAGCTGATATAGCCATTTGTTGAAATTCGGATCCGATTCTTGGTAACGAGGTTGCAACGATCGTGCTTTAAAGTAATGTGAGCAATTGTATGGATATCAAGACATCAAGGCGCTTACTTGTCTAATGCTGCCAAGAAAAGCGAAAGCTGAAGGGAGAAGAACACGATAATGCGATTCCAACGACGACGTTTTTCGGATACTGGTTTCTCAGTTGAATGACCAGCTTCATTTTCCGGGGTCGACCTATCGCTGACAATGGTTTTCTCGTCGACTTCCATGCTAATTTACGAGTGGGGTAGATAAAACAGCAGAGGAGAGTGGGAAGAAGTGCAAAAGAAAGAGGGCTACATAAATAACAAATCGGGTCAACTTTACGATTTTTTTGATCCGCCGTAACCCAGTCAAGACTTCCGCCAAGGCTTGAGTGGCACAAGATTGATTCATGCGCTACTTGCGAATCGCAAATCAACTCCTTTGGCCGAGGATTTTGATAACAAGCATATAGCAGTCGTAGAATTATGGCCTTGTATAAAGAATCCTATATACGTGCATTATCTTATGAGGTATACCCGCCAAGTATCAATTCAATTGATGGATGAAATGCGTCGAGTGGGAGATTGCTGCGATCTATCACCTTCGGGCAAATTATTGCCGAAGGCCCGGACTGAGACATTCAAGATTTTAGCTCTTGACGTTAAAGTGGCTTTTGCTATCTTTGTCTAACACACATAGATGATAGGGGTTGCATATCGCAAAAGGATTTTGGTGCGATATAGGTAGTAAACATGATCGTTGTTGATCTGTGTTCAACATAGATGGAGACGCTGGATATGGGTTTTAACATCGAGGCCGATGACGCGGGGATAGGATGATGGGACAAAAATTATACAAATGCGGATTGTTACACCATTTTGTTTACACGCTCGACAATGCATAAATCCTTAGATTGGCTAAAGAGATGACTAGTTTTCCTCTCATGGATGTGTTGCCATAACATAACAACCAAGGTATAGCCACTAAAAACGTGCATACAAATGGAAGGGTGTATCGGCTGCAATAAAGGTGATCAAAGTTGATGGATTGGAGTGGCGTCAGGAACAGCTTCTCTGACGTGCTTGGTGTATTGCTTTTTGCACGATTTCTTATTACACATATAAATGCTATATCGAGCTTAGTGCACTCTTGAGTTTTTCCAATCCATGCTTGTACAGAACGTTGTAGGTGTACAAGTGCTGATCATACATTGAGAAATGGATGTATAAAACACGTAGGGTGAGGAGAAGATAGAAGAGAAGTTTGGATGCTGGTATGAATGCGTCATTATGATACATGCCGTACTACAATTGAACGATTCAGCACACTTGCTCCAGTCCAAATCATAAAAATGTAGGTGAATTGACACAAGTGAAATGCGCATCAAGAGCTGGACAAAAAGATGATTGGAGGACGTTGTTTTTATAACGGCTATCGGTGGATGATGAGCTTGCCAGGTCTTGGAATGAAGAACAAGTGCATCATGATGCTGCTTTTCGTAAGTAAAGGGAAAGACGATTGATCCCAGTAGCGTTATGATTAATGTGATCCACTCCACCACCTCCCTCACCACTACTTCTACCGGTCTTCCTTTTTCGGGCATCTTCCAACATAGGTGCGTTGCACAAGCGCTCACGCATGGATTTCACCAAATACATATCACTCTTTCGTACGATAAAGAGATTGTTTGTCATAAAAAAGGCTGGTAGATGCACATGTGATAGTAAGATGAATAGCTATAAAGCATCATAGGGAATGGGATATAGAAACGTTTATTGAATGCAATATTGGTGATCCAAAAGCCAACTCCCAGTGCCTTTTTTTGGATGAAGCAAATCCATGGCTACATTGTACCCAGTTCCTTCCATCCCCCATATCCATATCCATATCCATATCCATATCCATATCCATATCCATATCCATATCCATATCCATAGGCATAGGCATAGGCATCCGTGTGTATTGAAACAAGTTACACAAGCGCAACAAAGCTGCTTCTATACAATGGCTATCTGCTGTCCACGTAAAGGAAGGCTGTAAGCCAAGTTGCTGCAAGTAAAGAACGCTGCTAGAGACAATGAAGTAAAGACGTAGCTGATAGCAACTGCTGGAATGAATGCTGTTACACTTGGTCATGGTAGAGGAGTGTGCAAGAGCGTGTGTTGAAGTAGAATGGGATGGCTGTGTCCACGCCATGGACTTGCCATTCAGTCAATGACTTTCGGATCAAGAGAGTTGTAGGATAACATGGGTTGAAGCAGGACAATCGTTTGCAGGTGGTAATTGTACTTGGATGGGGCAATAGTTGAGAATGGGAGGAAGAGACAAGAAGTTGTGAGAGTGGAAGGAGTGGAAATCAAATGCAGGTTGAATCGACATTTCTTTGTTTGAGCGTTTTTCAGTCAAATCCCATCGGATCAAGAAAGTTGAAGGATGGACATGATGGGCTGGAACAGGACAATCGTTCACATGCATTGGATTGGGCAACAATGGAGAATGGGTTGAATGGGTTATCAAGTAGCAGTTTACATATTACTTTCCAAAGTGATTTTGTACTTTTGGATGATGTTTCTGTGCTTGAGCGTAACTCGGTCAAAACCTCTCGGATCAAGGAAGTTCAAAGATGGGAATGATGGACAATCGGTGAAAGGCCAATCCTATTGGCGAAGGGTGCATGACTGATCCTCCACTCTATTATAGCAAGGTCCGCCTATTATGATAGCCGTGTGGAATAGTTCGTCTTATGTAAGGTTGTGTAAGATAGCGTTACCTGAAGATTGTCATAGGCACATATGGTATGTTGTTCATGTGCTCGCTCCACATTGTATCACATCTCATTCTTCCTTGAACATAATGAATTAAGCTTACAATGAGCCATGCTTCTGTAACAATCATCAAACACACGTTTGGCATCATCACTTTCGAATACACTGTAACATCTTTTGCAATCCAAACGTTCAAGAATTGCCACTGTTTTTGCCTGTCAGCATGTGAACCAGGACGCTTTAGCGAATGTAGCAATGTTATGACGAAGGAACAAAAGCATCACAATAGGATGATCCAATCCCGCTTTCCGACATTCAAACTTCTATTTCCCCTTCCAATCCAGAAACCAATCAAGTGATCCACACCTCGTACATACCATGAGCTGATAATATGACAAGCTTCTAAATGTTATGTTGAATACAGTTTTCATGCAATGATAAAGTCGAAGAATAGCACATCACGGTAATGAAGATGTTTATGAAAGAAGTACGATAAAGGGGCAGCATTGCAAATTGGATAATGTACGGGTGAATCTCATAAAACAACAGGGATAATTGTGTCATCGTATCCTTAGTTGCTGCCGTCATAAAAGTCTTCATCCATGATGGAAAATAGTTGCTGCGTGAGTTGACTTGAATATTCCAATGTCATATCCATAGCGGTAAACCATCCTTCGTCAAAGCCATGACCCTCTCGTTAATACCATCATAATCCATCATCATCCTCAGCCGCATCCACATGATATGTTTTCATCGTTCTTGCTCACTACGCGAAAGTAACCAAAGCAACATCCCTAGATAGCTCGTCACTGCACTTGATTGCATCCCTCCATTGCAAATCCAATAAGTTCATTGAAAATAGCCATGCGATCACAGCTGAATGCTTCGTTTTCCATCCGGCTGTTGGTCAATCTCGTTTTTGATCATTCCCTATCGCAGCCCAACCAGCTGAAGATTGCTTGCATTGTGGTGTACTTGATATCTGATATGGCATCATCCACACTGAACATGACGTCGTACACTTCATTGAATGATAATCACTGTTAATCACCACCTCTTATTCAATATCCCCATCCATTCTCTTTCATATACCTTGGTAAGTGGGTGGAACGCAATACAAAGTATCTTGTAGTAGTGTGCTGGTGGGCAAGGACGCGTGCAATGGTGCATGAAAAGGTGATGATGACGGCGAAAATAGTATTCCATATACTGCCAGAGGTACCCACATCCAACAACATGTTCAATCTACCATAAACGCATTGTAAGATGACTAGCACAGCATTTGCTTTTCTTGTCAACATACCCAAAGAAGTAGCTTAAAGATGCGTCGAATCCTCTCCTTGTGTGACAGCCATAGAACGAATACACACGACTCCCCTTTGGATCTTGTATAAACGAGAGAACAGAAACTACAAGTACACTTTTAGTATCACAACATCCAACTTGAATAATAAAGTAATGCAGCGATTAACGTACGCGTTGTGTTGGAATGGAAGTTCAAGTCAAAGGTAGATCGCGCGTGTGCTTGTTGCAACTGGAAAGTGTCGCCATCAACCACGGATCGTGTGGCCTGCTCACCCAAAGAAGCTGTGCATTGAAGGCAACAATGACAGCAGTTAGTGCTTTGTACTTTGTCAATGGAGGTAGCCTTACCATACTTTTTGTGAAGCGGGAAAAGATGGATTCTTTGTTGTGCCTCTCATTGTTCTCAATTCATGCAATCTACATCACCCCGCCTGCTGTGAACGTGTACCTCCACATTACCATACACTTGGATTAATAAGAATAGCCATTACTAGGTATTTCATTGATGCATAGTCCTCATAATTGTGCTATTCATGATTTCACTTTGGCCGGGTCGATGGATCTTTATGCAGCTCATCCCCTACTCCCAGCATGATTTGCACAATAAACCATTACTTTCATACATCTCTATTATTGGATGCTTACATACCTTCATAAAGGAATCATCATCCCATTTATGCAACAACCTGTTAAGGACGTGTGTGTGTGTATGTAATTATCACATGCAATTTCACCTCTCCACCTTGCTTATAGTGCTGTGGTCATAGTACGTGTGTTCAGCAGCCGTAACATGGTGGTGAAGGTTGTGCGGGATATGAAACAAGAGCCGGTACTCCGGCACCTTTGGGTGATGAAATCATGGAATTCCACGTGATGAAGGCAGCTGTTTGCCTTAAATCTGAAGCGATTGACCCACGTTCACATTTTTCACCAGAGAAAGTTGCATTTATATAATTGTAGCAATTTTTACGGTCAAAATGATATAAAAAACATTGGAATCGGGTGTAGCTTCATGTACAACGGTGGGGAAAAGTGTGAAAATGAAGAGACCCACAAGTTGACAAAAGGGGTCCCTAAAACCATTATATAAGTAGATCGAATCCTATAGTAAATGAGACCTTGGTAATCCGCCGAGTGTTTAGGGCCTCGGCGGGCTTAAAAATCCAATCAAAAAAGCGAAAGCAGCTTCGGGCCCTAACCTGAAGCTCCCTCTAGTATGCGGCCCCGGTCCAACCCGCAGAGGTGGGGATGGTGAGACAAACCTTCGCGTTGGTCATCCCTGTGAGTACATGACGGAAGTCATCGAAACCAATTGTCTCTTCCTTTTTTGGCTTTTTTTCTTTTGATCATGTTACCATAATCGCGGGTTCGATTCCCACTCCCTACACATATTCCACACACTCTTTCTTTACTTTTGCACCACTTTCGTTACTTCTTTGATTCCCACACCCATTTCTTTTTCTCTTCTTAACATGCACAATCCTCCCAACGCTTACTTCAAATGAATTATTTATCAACAACACCTATCATTGTATTATAACTAGTAAAGTACTTCCAGAGAATAAAAATCCAGAAACAACAGAGTGTATTTGAAGCACATTCTTCCATCTTAAGCTATACTACTGCTCTTCTTTTCTTTCAACAACTTATCATCCGGATCATTCATTGTATCGCATGTGTCACTGTTTTCACGCACGTCCTTAATAGGCCGGACCAACGCCAAAGTGTCGTCATTGCCTTTCCTCTTTCCACTTTCTCTTATCCAGCAAAAGTATCAGCAGCACACGAGGCTTACCATGTACAGGCGCTTGAGCCATGCACAAGTTCCGCTATTTTATTCTTCCCCTTTCTTTCGGCAACAGTCGCCATGACAACGGGGGTTGGGATCCGATCAGGGTTAAACGACCAATGCTACCTGGAGACTGTGGCATGGGCATATTAAAACGACAGGGTGGGTCAACTATAGAAGAACGTTGCAAAGAGACGTGATGCTCATATAGGTTACTGTATTTGCAGTGGATGGATTGGATGCAAGCCAACAAGGTTGACTATTTCACTGTATGATGCGTATGAACAAGAGGATCACCATTACAGCGATTATGACCACGACTATTTGAGATCATGATATAATACGATGCATTACTCTCAAGCTATTGAACGAGGAATAGAAGATTGGGCAACCTGGGTCCTGCTGGTAATGTATTCCCAAGGTGTCAAAGCACCGCCGCACTCGTTTCATTTTCTTTTCCACACACACACTCACACTCACAATCACGCTCGGCGATTTCTTTTCCGTCCACCCATTCACTTTTATCGATTGAGCAACACCTTCATGTGGCGACGCATTGCACCTACATTACAAACACAATGTCGCTCTTCACCTCGTCGCTATGCATCGCTGCAGCGAACTAGTACAGCTCCACCATTATGTTACACGAGCCATCAAATCATGCAGACACGCGCCATGGCATCACTCTCTGGTCGACCCCAAATACCCAAAGGATTTGAAAAGTTCTTTGATCGAGATCCCAAGAAACCAGAAAACAACAATGACAACAAGCGACCGGATGATAAAGATCAACTACCTGGAGGTGGTGGAGGCAACAAGATTCCATGGTTACCTATTGCATTGGGTACGACTCTTCTTTGGTGGATGACCATGCCTTCAGAAGCAGCACATGAAATGACTTGGCAGGAGTTCAAGACAAAGTTGTTAGGTATGTATGGATGGTATAAAATGGATGGGTGGAAGTTTGGTGGCTCATTGTACAATTATATATAGAAAAGGGATTGGTCGATCGCTTGGTTGTGGTGAATGGCACTGCTGTGCGTATTTATTTACGACCTGAAGCTGCACACACTGTTGGACCCCATCCAGGTGCATTGTATTTCAGCATTGGATCAGTGGATTCGTTTGAAAGGAAGATGGAAAAGGAGCAAGAGGCATTAGGCATCCCATCTGATGAATACATCCCTATCGCTTATCATCGTGAAGTACCATTATTCGATGCACTCTTGCAGCTTGCACCATCCTTGATTATCATTGGTTTTCTCGCATACATTGGAAGGAATGCAGCACGATCGGCAGGTTCTGGTGGTGGTCCAGGGGGCATCTTTGGTATGGGCAAGAGTCGTGCACGCAAGTTCAATCAAGAAACAGCTGTCAAGGTCACATTCAAGGATGTAGCAGGTGCTGATGAAGCGAAGCAAGAAGTGATGGAATTTGTCAAATTCTTAAAGAATCCATCCGTGTATGAACGTCTCGGTGCTACGATTCCCAAAGGTGCTATTCTCTCGGGTCCTCCAGGCACTGGCAAGACGCTTTTAGCAAAGGCTACTGCAGGCGAAGCTGGTGTGCCATTTTTCAGTGTATCAGGATCCGAATTCCTGGAAATGTTTGTGGGTGTGGGTCCATCACGTGTACGCGACTTGTTTGCCACAGCCAAGAAGAATGCCCCTTGTATGATATTTATTGACGAGATTGATGCCATTGGTAAAGCACGTGGACGTGGAGGACAATTTGGTGGAAACGATGAACGAGAAAGTACATTGAATCAGCTCTTGGTGGAAATGGATGGATTTGAGACACATGAACATGTGGTGGTACTTGCAGGCACCAATCGACCTGATGTATTGGATCCAGCACTTATGCGACCAGGAAGATTTGATCGCCATATCACCATTGATCCACCCGATTTACAAGGACGTATTCAGATTTTCAAAGTACACATGCGTGGGCTCAAGATCCATTCAGATGATATCGACAAATTACGGGAACGACTAGCAGCATTGACACCTGGGTTTTCGGGTGCAGACATATCAAACACATGCAATGAAGCAGCATTGGGTGCAGCACGTGATAGAAAGGATGCAGTGACGGATATCGATTTTGAACGAGCCATTGAACGAGTTATTGCAGGCATTGAGAAGAAATCACGTGTCATTTCACCAGAGGAAAAGAAGACCATTGCTTATCACGAAGCGGTAAGAAAGCTATACCAGTCATTATCCAATATCATGCTGACAACATGTTATTAGGGTCATGCTATTGCGGGTTGGATGTTGGAGTATGCCGATCCCCTTCTCAAAGTATCAATCATTCCACGTGGGTCATCAGCCCTTGGTTATGCACAATACGTGCCTGGCGATCAGTACTTGTATTCGACAAAGCAGTTGATGGATCGTATGTGTATGACACTTGGTGGCCGTGTATCAGAGGAGATCTTTTTCAATGATATTACGACTGGTGCACAAAATGATTTACTCAAAGTGACAAAGATGGCATATGCACAAGTGGGGACGTATGGTATGAATAGCAAAGTTGGCCCATTATCCTATGTCGATCCAAATGAGCAAGAACGACTCCAAAAGCCTTACTCTGAAGCCACCGGCGAGATCATTGATGATCAAGTTCGTCAGCTTGTGAGCGAAGCACATCGACGCACCACACAATTATTGAAGGAGAACAAGGATTCGATTGTCAAGGTGGCAGAGCTTTTGCTTTCCAAGGAAGTGATTACACGTGATGACATGGAGAGGTTACTTGGCAAGCGGCCTTATCCCGATAGGCTTCCTGTTATCCCACCTCAAGACGTTGAGCAGGCAAGTGGATTGGTTACATGTTTGATGTCATACATCAACCTAACACGTGATGATGATGTATTATTTAGGAAAAGGGTGATGAATTAAAACAAAGAAGCGACTTGGATAAAGAGGAGGGGAACAGCAACAATGATTCATCCGAAGATGATAATGAACCACGTACACCACCCTCTCACCTATAGCATAGTATGCAAGATACATTGAATTACATTTATTTCATTGTTGTGGGTAATTTGGCTTTTAATGGGAAACATGATGGATATGGAGTGGATGTTATACAAAGCTGAGCTGTGGTGATTGTTCTCGAATCATCAGCATTGCGTGAATTTGTGGCGCGTGCGTGTGTGTGTGATTGTGCCTTCCTTTCTCCTTCTCCACCATGAATAGTAATACCGAGGAGACCTTCAAAAAGGGTGTCGATTACCGCCTTGCTGGCAATGAGGCATTCAAAAAGGCTGACTATCCTGAAGGTGAGCACTGGAATGCAAGAACACGAAAAGTTAATCTATAACAACCCCTTTCCAGCACTGAAGAATTACCATCACGCCTTGCTTCATTTACGTACATTGGGTGGTACCAATCCTCCTGCCGAGCTCAAGAAGAATACCGATGAGGAATTAGTCAAGATTTACAACAACATGACTGGTACTATTGATATGCCACGCCCATACGACTTCCCGACGCATGTGTCTCAACTCGCATTTTTCTTTATTCAGCTGTTCTCGCAAAGCAGGATAAATGGGAACGTGTCCTTAAGAATGCTACCGAGGTATATAATGGATGGAGTGGATAGGGTATGCAGTATACTCATCGTATCCAATGTAGGCCAACAAGATTGATGAGAGCAATATCAAAGCCAAATTTCGTATGGGACAAGCATATGGTCGACTTGGCGACACTGAAAAAGCTATCGAGCTTTTGACTGAAGTGAAAAAAAAGAATCCTACAGGTATTGTATTCTTGTATTGGGAGGGAAAGGGGATACAGAGACTAATAAGGTGGTGGTATAGATGAATTGGTGAAGCAAGAGTTAGCGAAGATCAAACAAGAAGATAAGAAGGGTCAGGATCAAGTCAAGTCTACCTATTGGGGAATGTTTGATCGGAAGCCGTCAGGATCATCTTCCAAGCAGGCCAACGCTTAGGAGAGAGCAGCAGCCATAACAAAGAGCACAAACAGGACAACGAAGCCTGTCATGGTATATCCAGCCCATCCATGTCCCACCACCAGCTTACGATGTAGAATCTGATGCATGTTTTTAAAATAAACACCAATTGCCACACAAATGCTGATAAGTCCAAGACTGATAAAGATGTACGCCACCACTTGAATTCGTAAAGGTTGTTGAGTATCACCTGCCCATGGTAGGGATTGAGCAGGTGCAAAGACTTGTGTCCTTAAATCCAATAATGTCATGAACCCTTGTAAAAGAATTAGTATCTTGGGTGGTCATCGTATATGCATAGCAACGTCCCAACTTACCAATGAGGCACATCACCATGCCCACTCGTACCCATGTTAGCAAATTGCGCTCATTGGCGAAATGGTCTCGGGGATCAGGGCCGTCAACCACTGTATGTACAGTAGCAAAATCAATAAACTTGAATTTCTTGCTGCAGTGTTGATTGTTGCAGGCTATAAAGCGTGCAGGTGCATTGCTTTCCATGGCAATGGGAATATAAATACAAGAGTGTTTACCCCGCACAGACAGGTTTGTCAAACACAAGCTTATAATCGGAATTGCAGCGCAGGACCAATGACAGGTGACACGCATGATCTTGCATCCGGGCATTACCCACATGACTCGTTGTGATGATGTTTTGTGTATCTCGAATGCTAGACATCATAGGTGATCCTTTCATTTCAAATAAATGGCAAGCCAATATCGTGCTTGCTATCAATAAGCAACATTTTACTATATAGTCAATGATCCAATACGTAACGACGTCATGTAGTACATCGGCTCACAAAGGTGTCATAGGATAACATGCATATGCATTGTACCCAATCTCATCATTATAGACGGCATGTTGTCATCTCATCTGTATTGACGAAGGAACAAAAAGATGAAAATAGAAACAAAAGAAGGAGGAGGAGGCAACTACAAATTAAACGCTTTGGGTGATGGTGGTATAGATGGTGGTAATAGATAGAAGAACATTAGTGAGGGTATTTTCAAAAGATAATGTGGAAGAAGGATAATAATAGAAGGAGTCGTAAAAGAGGAGAAAAAGTAATGCGGAAGTATTCGTGTATCAGGGAGAATCAAAGCATAATGATGTAGTAGTAGTAATGGTTGAAAACATGTCATCTTGCGCGTCGTCGTCGTCGTCCTATTGGGCAAGACCTTCAGACCATGCTCGAATAGCATCCAACATTTCCTTGATTTTGGGCTCGTTACCCCCAAACACATCTAATAATAAATCCAGCATGAGTAAAAAGCTATTCTTGTATTTGTGTGGGTGGTGTGACATACCTTTGATGCTATAGCGGCCATCCACTTGCACGCCTTCACGGCCCATAAACTTGAATGCAGCCACAATGTTATCAAGCATTTGCATATTGACGGAGCCATTGGTCATGGAAGGTGGTCGACGAACACTTTTTTTGCTGAGATTTTCCAAAAGATCAATCAAGATCTCGCCTGATCGCATTTCATCCAAGCTAGAGATTTTGCGTTTGATGTGTTGTTGGATCCATTCGATGTAGTCAGCCGTTGATCCCATGGCTTCTTGGGCACTGATGTAGCTTTCATCGGTGATTTCCTCTGATAGACCATGTGTTCGTGCATCTCCATACAACTCATCGTCGTCGTCGTCGTCATCATCATCTTCACAGTCGCCGTTAAAGTAAATAGGAGGACGTTGGTGATGATGGTGAGGAGGTGCCACAACAGGAGATAAATGACCACCACCACGCGTACTATCAAAGCCCGAATCCTGAAGCTCGTGTCCCGTTTCTATACTGCAATCCTTGATGGTAGTGGTAGTGGTGGTGGTGGTATTGTTGGCGTAATCGAAACTTGCAGAGTCCAGACTCTCAGGCGTAAGCAATTCACTTGGTTCATCATCCGCTGACATCATTCCATTGCTATAGCTTTCAGCATACTCCTCATCATCAATTGATTCTAGACTTGGTGTCTTGGGTCGACGATGCTCCTTTTTGTAAAGAATCATGGAGGGTGGGCGTGGTTTCATGCGACGAGCAATATCCAATGACACCGTTGGGATCGTGCTAGATGACATGACAGGGGCTTTATATCATTTGTGAGTATCCATGATACGTCGTAAAGGTCATTGATGATCACTCACTTGTATAATCTCGAGAAATAGTGGCCTTCATTAATGCCTTGATCCAAGCTTTCATGCCAAATTCGGAGTCGGTGTAAAAGAAAAAGGTACGTTCACGATCATGCTGAGCCTTGAAACACCATTTACCAGCATAAATGGTCTCATCACACACAATACGATATCCACGTAGATTGATAATTCCTTTCATGCGTACATCCTATATATATAACGGGTCAATCTAAAGTAAGGATAGCGTGTAAAAGATAACTTACGCTTGGGCTCTTGAAATAAAAGAGGTTGGGACCTTTGAGTACAAACCAACGTCGATTCCAAGTCTTGTATTTGTCTCCTTGTTTGCTGAGCCATCCTTCCATGTCAGGCTGAACGTCCACAGCTGATTGATGTGCAATGCTGTCCAATGACGTACGGCTTGCAACGGGTAAAATGGTTTGAGGCTTGGATGTAGGTGAGAATGAGCTGCGAGTGACCTCACGTCTATACATGCCCATGGTAAGGTTAGCAACTCCTTGTATTGACGTTTTAGGTAACTTACGATTTGACAGGTTTGATCCGCATTGCTGTATCGGCTGGGATATGCTTACGACCAATATTCATTTTGCTACCACCCATTTCATCCGATAGTGTTGCATGATGATGGTGATGGCGACGGCTGCTCAAGGAGCCTCCTGTTGTGGTCGAATAGCCTGAACGACTTTGGCGATCTTCAGAAGCCATGGTCATGGAATCGTATTCGTTACCAGGTGTTGCAGGTTGAGATGCGCTATAGATCGATCCATTGTCTCTTGAGGGTCGACCAAAATAAGAGTCGTCCTAATGGATATCTCGTTGGTGAGCAAAATATTATCATTGGATCAATCAAAATAGGACTTACATCAATGTTGCAATAGGCACGCAAAGCTGTGATTGCGCTATGGATTCTGAAACGCTTTCCAAAGGTGTTGACATCCAATTCCTTGAGAGAATTGAGCGTAAGCTCGATCAAAATATCACCCGTGATTTCTTGTGCTTCAATAGGAGAAAACAAGGGGAAATGGGAGAGACAATAGACAAGTTTGAGTACAATGGCCGGTTCTACCCAATCCCTTTGTCATCCCTTGATCCGAACAAATACCTTTAAAGTTTTCTGCAACATTGCTAAAACCCATTGCATGCATCCATACAGTAACTTGGTCCATATCCCATTCCTCGGGTGAACTATCTTTAAGCTCAGGTAACTCCAGCGCTGCTGAAAGTGCCTTTTGCGTATTCTTGAATGCAGCCGTAGGGGATCGAGACACAGCATGTTGCGTAGAACGGCGTACCATCATAGCTGGTGATATTGATGATTGAGTTGTATCCATGGATGAAGTTGTCATGGTGGAATTAACACGACTTGGTATGGGTCGACGAATGGAACGTGATGTTTGGATATCATGTGATGATGATGTTGATGCCGTTGCTGCATGTTGTTGTTGTTGCTGTTGCTGTTGTTCACGTAGTTGTCTTTCAGTGGATGACGTGGATGTGGATGGTGTTGGTAGTTGTGAGGAGAGCACATTGCTATGCGACGAGGGGGAAACTTGGATCTTGGAAATAGCTTCTTCAAGTGAATGGATTTTCTTTTCAAGTGCCGTGGTGGTCGGTGCGCCGTTTGGTTCAAACGAGGTGTAGTTCATTGGGAACAAGCCAACATCGCCACGTACATTACGACCCTAGAATGCAATGAGCATGCTGCGTGCATTGGAATGTAGGTGCTATGTATGCTTACCTGCCACCAACCGTCATTGTAACCTTCGTCCTTTTCAACCACGACAATCGGTTCACCTGCCGAAAAGCCGATTTCATCCTGGTTCTCGGCTTCAAAGCTGTGGATGGCGTAAACAGTCTCAAGGCCAGCCATGAAACTCAAACAAATTAAAGAAAAAGAAGTAAGATAGAAGGAGAGTAATAAAGAGAGAGAGAGATGAGAGATGAAAGAAAGAATAAAATGAAAAAGAGAAGCGGAATCTAGCTGTCAAGGGGATTTTCTTGATTTGCCCGGAGTACAAGAAACAAAAGAGGAGGGAAGCAAAAAGGAAGGAAGGGGCGAGTGCGTGCGTATGTCTCACCTAAAGTGAAAAAGATCGTGCGTAAAACCCAATTCTGTTGGTCACCTTCATTTTACTTTGTCATTGTCAACCCAATACACACATATATAAAAACACGTAGTACATCACCCAACATCATTGCCCCTTCATTAAACACTGATAAGGCCGTGTACCTATTTCATTCTCGACGACCTTCTTTTGTTATTTCTTCTTGACAAGGAGAGACGACGACGACAAAGAGGAGCATGATGGCGGATATTCATGTGTGTATTGTCTTGTCCTCTTTCTCTCTCCCGCCTATGTGTATATAAGCTCCTTGGATATAAGGTGGTGCATTATTGTTCAACACGTTCTCTTCCCGCAAGTGGAAACGAGTCGTCGAGGTTACTCCTATCATCCTCTTTCTTTATAACTAGTTTCCCCGGCCAATTCAATGGTATTTCATTATCCGTCGCTCTCATTTCCACTAGTCCAGGTACCTTATCATCATCATGGAGGGAAGTAATGTTAGCGACATCTTCCATTACCGCTGATAACTAAAGGTACGATCGGGATGTGTGTATGTACATGTACGACATCATGGATCGGCTGTCAAATGTACAATGCAATCATTGTCCTCTATGCATTATTATACATCATCCACGACCCTTACGAAAATGTGCGTGTGAACTTGCAGTAGCCCTAGTACTACTACGCAACACCCTGCATCACTCGATGAAAGCTCCCTGCTCTCTTTGGTAACCCACCGCTGCAATGTTCCGAAACCTACTGCAAATCATTACATGAAGCTCATCAATAGAGTAACACATTCAATCAATGACATGTCTATATTGGAATAGGTCTTCTTGAATACACGTGACGCTACACATACGATCATGTAAGGTTGTTATTGCCCGGATAATACATGGCAAGTAACTCATAAAGCGAGAGTTAAAGGAGATCTTGGGAAGAACTTGTTGGGTTGTTATTTTGGGAACATGGCTATTCTTTAGAATGTCTTCTGGATAGGCTGCAAAAAACCACCCCATAATCCAGTATCGACCCTTGTTGTGCTATGTTCTTATGATAAAAAAGAGACTCCTCGGGCTGTCTTTCTCATTGGATTGTAATGAGTACAATTACATGTACCTCTGAGATGAAGATTGGATTGGATGTTCATGTACATGCATGACCATGATGATATAATTTGGATGATCCTTGTCTCCCGATATTAATCTTTTCCACACCCACATAATAGGAGTATAATATGCAGGCACCGTGCGCTTCTGAGTAAATAGCAATGTAGCTTGTTGATCAGAAGAAGCACACGTGCATGTCATTGCCCTTCACACCTAAGAGTACACTGTATGAGATTCGCCAAGTCTCCTTGCAAAATAGCGCAACTTTGGATTGTGGGGCTATTGTAACATACCCCAGGGCTACAGGATTACGTGGCAAGGGCATCATCATGCACGTTGAAACTCAAGGAATAATAGGATGTTGTTCTTCTTGGACTTGGACTTTTGGCACATGGCCTACTATTCATCATGCATTGAATACCCACATCCTATCCCTATCTTGGATCATACTCATTGTGGGGCACAGCAGCATAGATGCGTGCTTGTTCATAGTCCCTTCCATGATGCTACTACTACTACATACAGCTTCAACGTCATGATGGAGGATCAACAACCCCATCATCCATGCAAACGGCTTATGATAAGAAAGAACATGGCTATGTTTATTCGATCAATGAATGATAAAACAGTGATGATATACAAAGGTTTGACTCGTGATGCATGCATCAAATGATGGACGTGCATGCTCCGCTAATTCAACTTGGGGAATCAGAACTAGCTTGTATCGTAAAGCACCGCTGGATTTTCGTGGTTTCTCTTCGTTGTTTCTCCCTCCATCTTGTGCACCAGATCCAACATTATGAGCGTCAAGTTGATCAGTTCCGATAACGAAGACTTCACCGTCGACAAAGCCGTTGCAGAACGTTCTGTTCTGATCAAGAACATGTTGGAAGGTAAATGTCACGGGACAACTCGGAAGGAAATGCTTGGTGGTGGTGTGTGTGTGTGCTCTTGGCAAGACTCTAATCGTAGCCCATTGACTAGATGTGGGTGACAGTGATGCTCCTATTCCTCTTCCCAACGTCAATGCAAAGATCCTTCGCAAGGTGAGTGACCATACTTCCTTTGGACGCGTGAAAGTATCATTTAACTGACGTGTTTCGTATAACCAACCAGGTCATTGAATGGTGCGACCATCACCGCAACGATCCTATGGTATCTCAACAGGATGAGCAAGATCGCCGTAACACCGATATCGATGAATGGGATCAAAAGTATATGGAGGTCGATCAAGAGACTTTGTTTGATGTTATCCTTGCTGCCAATTATCTTGATATCAAGCCATTGTTGGATGTCGGTTGTAAGACTGTGGCCAACATGATCAAGGGCAAGAGTGCTGAAGAGATCCGTCGCACCTTCAACATCACCAATGACTTCACTCCCGAAGAAGAAGCCCAGATCCGCAAGGAAAATGTAAGTTTGTGGGATGGGTGTAATGCGTGTGTATATATGTGTCTCTTAACGATGGCATTACTTATTCCTAGGAATGGGCCGAGGATCGATAAATACACACCTTTTTTTTTCTCTTTTCCCCAATCCTTGATTGTAGCAAATCCTATGCTGGCTTTACTCACATTCATATCCACAAGCATCCACACACAAAATCATTGCTCTCTCCCCCCCTCTCTCTTTCTCTTCCTCTTGAACAAGGCATTCTACCTTACTGCACATAAAACAGGAATATAGTTGCTATGGATAAGGATGGTTGGTTGTCATGGATACGATTTCGTGGGTTGACTGCGGGTTTTATTGCATGCATCAATGTGTTTTTTACGTTTCACTCTAAGCATGCACGCAATTCTTTGTTGTACAACAGTTATCATGATTTCCTAAATGATGTGCAGGGATGAATACATATGATGGGCGTGTAATGTCGATCTTCGGATGCTATGTGACGCAAAGTATATGCAGTCGAGCGAAAAAGGGGGGATTGGATGAATGGGATATGTGCAGCGAGAACTTTTTTTATTTGGAAGGTGATGCTGCGTTATATTACGGTATGAGCCAAATGGCGCAGGGTCCAGCCCATTGTTTCCCTCATTCTCCTACCAAGGAGGAAGCAAGACACGTTGTATAAACGCGGTTATTGTGCCACATGGTCACCATTAACAAGCACTAATACATACTTACCGTTGTTGTCTCATTCTTCTTCAAGTGGTTCATTGTCTTTTATATAATGAATGACGCTTGATGGTATCAAGATTATCATGTGAAGCGTCATTGTGTGAATGGGGATGACTACCACTACCACTACTACAGCAATCAATGCTCGTATCAATGAGACACTTTTTCATGATGAAAAGTGAGTAGCCATGGCAATGGTGATGTTACACAAAGAGAGATTACACTGCAAGTTGGTGCTAAAAAACAAATCCCCCCACGGATAGAGTAGCTCCCCCTTCTTGAACCGATTCCTTTCCCTTCTTCCGTCGTTGTGTGTGTGTGTGTGTGCTTTTAGCCTCTCTCTTTCTCCTTACTTGCTCCTTATTCCCCACTCAAATCCTCAATTTGCTTCTTTTATTATACGCACACATACAAAAATATACTCTCACTCTCTTTCTCCTTCTCTCTCTCTCATTTACTTTTGGCTTTCTTGAATGGCACTCAAGGTACCTCTCTCATCACTACTTTTAGACACAGTTATTGACCCCCATTCCATAGCTTGAATTAGAGCAATGGCAGCATGCTTGCGAGGCATTCGACAATCGAGACTACTATGGTGCTCTACAAGCCTTCTACGTAACTATCTCCCCACGCGTTGATACATGATCTTGTTACTGCAATACTAACAACCGATGGATAGAATATGGCGGATAACGCAAAAATGTACTTTAACATTGGTCTCATCTTTGCTACAATTGAGGAACATGAACGCGCGGTAAGTGAAGGATTGGGCATCCGAGAATGTGATTGTCGAACGGATTCGGATATGCGTTGTGGCACCTGTAATATAAAGACCCGCGTACGCTAATATGCTTTTAGATCGCTGCTTATCGCAAATCCATTGAGATGGATCCCTACTTTGCCGTGGCCTACTTTCAAATGGGTGTTTCATACTTTGTGGTGAATGATATGGAAGCTGCAAGGCAGGCCTTTGACTATGCTTACCAGGTACTTTACATTATTTCTTTTACTACTGATGCAGCTGGATTAATCATCATGTACATATATAATCAATAGAAATTGCGTGGCAATCCAATTATAAACTATCAGCAGTTGGGGCTGGCCTTTCGACTGTATTCATGTGAGGTGCTATTCGACCGCGGCATTTGTCAGTTATATCTAGGCAAGATTGATGCTGGTTTGACCGATCTTTATCATGCACAAAAGTCGAAAATGACAGAGGAACACGAGGTGATTGATCAAGCGGTGCGTGATCGTGGCAAAGGTTACTCTGTGTATTCGATTCCACCAGGCGTTCTTTATCGCCCACCAGAAAATCGATTAAGACAAATGCAAGGTGTCGACATGTTCGCCAATGTTCAAAAGATCCAAGCTCCTACGGCAGCTAAATTCAGTCGACAAAATTCGGTTTTACGTCCACGACGTACAGCTCCAGCAGCAGCAGCAGCAGCTCCATCACCCGTACCAGCAGCACCCTCGCCTATTCCCCCTCCACCTTCCGTATCACCCATGCCAACAGCAACCACCTCTTCTTTTACACCTCAATCATCACCAAGACCTCGTAAAGATTCCACTGCTTATAGTATCAATACTATGGACGACTTTTCATCATCGACATCCTCATTCAGCTCATCACGATATCGATACGATGGTCGTCGTATTGATAGCGGCTTTGATGAAGATAGGTATTCTTCAGCATCTTCTTCAACAGGACGCAACTCGACACGTAGCCACAAGACGCTTGGACGCTATTCACCACCACCCGTACCACCCATTCCACGAAGCCAACAATACGATACCGATTTCGATCCAATCACTAGCTACGGTCGCCATGACTCCTCACCACAACCACCGCCTATGCCGCAACATGAATTGGATGACATGTACAATTCCATGAAACACATGACCGTATCTCCACAACCCTCCACATCCACATCATCTTCCGTGGCAGGCAACAAGATCAAAATCAAGGTGCATTATTCAGATACTCGAGTGCTGTTGATGCCAACTCATATCACATTTGACGAGCTGTTGGCACGCATTCGTTCCAAATTCAATGCGCCACCCACTTTGCGTCTTCAATACAAGGACGAAGATGATGAAATGGTTATCATGATTGACGATGATGATCTAAGCATGGCAAGGCAGATTTGTAAAATGAGGAATGGCGACAGTGGGGTGGAAAGAATGGAAATCTGGTGTACCACGTAAAAAAAAGACATCCTTCACAACACACACTCTCTCTGCTCTCTCTTCCCTCATCCTTGTATCGCTCTCATTCGTTCTTTTACATATATTTCTCTTTTTGCATTGTGTTCTTTTGTTCGTTTTCTTCCCTCTTCCTCTCTTTCCCTCCCCCAAACCTTCCTCACCGCAACTCTTTTTGCCCAACAAGTGTATAGTGTGATATAAAATTCCTTCCTCCCTTAAAACATGTCATAAAGAAAAAAGATGACAAAGACCAAAAAAGTGTTACAGCTTTTATTGTATTCTTAAATCTACGTATCACAACGTGCATTTATGTCAAGAAGGCGTGTGTGTGTGTGTGCCTGGGTATAGAAATGTGAATCGCAATCGAGATTGGGGGAGGAAAGAAGAGAGAGGGCCAGTGCGCTTAATTAAGGTTTTGTGCTTTGTCAGGCCAAATCTATACACACACGCGACATATAGCTACATACAGATACTGTGGCACACTCGACTACTCTTTTTGGGATATCGGTTCATCTGAAAAACTCGATTTTGACATACCTTTTTAAAGATTCTCTATCACATCATCGCCGGTAGTAGACCGACAGGGTGTGTTTGTGCGCTAAATTCATCATCCCATGTATGCTAGTGGATCAAACTAAGCTTATAGGAGTGAACACAATCCACGCCATCAGCGAACAATGAAATCCCAAACCAAGAAACCAAATCAATACATGCACAAACAATCAATCACTTGGCCACGAAAACGGGATGAAATTGTTGACCACGGCTTGCTTTGTGGTGATATTGTTGTAGCAGTATAGGCATCCATGAGCGTAGTTATGGAGACGAAGCGGAAAGATGTGACCAAAGATGATCCCATTTCTTCAAACCTATCAAGCCAAGGCCTTGTTGATTACGAGGTGCTCTATTTGACTTGCATGCTGTTGACGGTTTTCGACTGGTCATATTTCCCGAATAAGGAAAAGTGGTTGTATATGGCTCAACAGATATCAGATTGCAGGTGAGATCAGCTTTTAGAAATGAAAGGCAATCTACAACCCACATGAAACATGCCACAGGCACGATCACCGTCCCCTATCATAGAATAGATGACTACGTAGTTGCATCATCATGTAGAATGCATCATCATGCCGATAAGCGGTACAAATGCTAGAGAGTCATGTCACGTTGTTGCTCTATAAGACTCATGATAATTGAGGATTGGCGGTAGTGGTAATGGTTTGCCTCTGTAATAAGCAAGCATGTTCATTTCAATCCAGCTTTATTACTATTGCCATTATTGAAACAAGGGGAACTCTCCAAGACACATGTTCCTTTTGCGGTCTGCGTGCATGACATCACAGTGACAATTGGTTACACAGCAGCAGCTTTATTCATCACATCCCTTTTCTACCTGTTTTGCTTAATTTGCACCATCATCTGCAGCGTTGATATGATCCGCATATGAATGCGGAATGAGATAACGACTTAAGAAATAGGACAGATGCCAAAGGAGGAAGGTGAAAATGATACATTCATCATCACCAGCAGCCATGTTTTGAAGAATTTGATACACGCACAACCACATCATCAATGACAACAAGCCGATTTGGTTATGAAAGGTTAAAAGAGATGTACATCTTTTATATGGAGTAAAATGACAAACTAGGTCACACGGGTATGTGTGTATGTGTGTATGTGTATGGTGATGATGGTGGTAGATGTCGTGTGCTTTTAGGTTGTGCGACACGGAGGAGGTGGGGAGGCGGGATGTGCTGTATGACCATCGGAAAAGAAAGTTAAAAAACTCTAATGGCAACAAATGCAATGTCCTAAACTTGCATCTCTATCACATCTACTCTACCGCAACTATCTTTGATCTTTCTTTCTCTCTCTTCCTTCTCCTTTTCTTTTTCCTTTTCCCAAGTTTGTTTGACATTCACCCGCCAGCAACAATAGCAACGGCAGTGGTAGCACTAGCAACAGCAACGACAACATCGAATACCCCACGTACCTTGTTTAGCGCGGATACCCCCCTTCTTTGGTTATATACCTGACACATTTCACATTGCATTGCCATCTTGAACATGTCGTCGTCCAATGTACACCCATATTTGAATCGCAACAATGTGGGCTTTGATATACAACACCATGACAGCAGCGACACACCACTCGCCAATATACCCGAATTTGTAAAAAAGTTATTCTGGTAGGTGAAATGCATGTACACGCGCGCGTGAATGTGGAGGCGTGTTCTGTTCGATATGAGGGATCGCTTATATGGGGGATATGGTACTAGCATGCTTGAACAAGACACAAGGGCCGACATCTTGACGTGGGGTGCACATGGCAAATCCTTTGTTGTCGTCGATCCAAACGAGTTTGCACGTTTGATATTACCGAAGCATTTCAAGCATTGCAACTTTGCCAGCTTCGTTCGTCAACTTAACAAGTATGACTTTCACAAGGTGCGAAACCCTGAAGATGGATCCCGTCCCTATGGTGAACAGGTAAATGATGATGGATGTTGTTATACAACAATAGAGGGGCAGAGGAGGAGATGATCTCTCGTTTTCTTTTTCTGCATGAATAAGTTCATTAACAAACACCCCTTTTTTTCACTCCTTTCTTTATAGGCTTGGGAGTTTCAACATCCTCACTTTCAATATGATCGTCAAGATTTGTTGGATGGGATCAAGGTATAAGGATCTCTATATTTATTCACATGATAGCAAACTTTTTTAACTTGGAATGTTTATGTAGAGGAAGGCCAGCACCAAAACAGGTGCTTCAGCTGCACGTCCATCAGAGTATTCAAGCATGAATGACCACGGCAAGCCATCTGTAAAACAACAACAGAGCAAGAACCAATCAACAAAAGGCAAGAGTCATCATGGTGCGTGGGAGGATGAGATGAAGAGCATCATGTTTCAGCTTCAATCCCAAGTCAAGCAGTTGCAGGAGCAACACACGACATCCACCACGCATATGCAAGGACTCGGTTACAATTACAACAAAATTTCAGACACCTTGTTTGGATTGAAGGACACCTTGGCATTACAAGATCAGCTTATGAAGCAATTGGTGCAAGTGGCAACAACAACAACAAGAACAACTCAAGGTTTGAAAAAAAAGAGAGCGTGTTTTGTGTGTATGCGGAATAATAGAAAATTCATTCATAACAACATCAGATGCAAGGACAAACACAAATGTACAGCAACAGCAGTGGGCGCATTCCTACAATCAACTTGCGCATCAAACGAATCAACATGTGGAGCAAATCACCCAACACGTCGGATCACTACAATATGAATTAAGCCTTTCCGATCTACTGCCATCATATGACAACCATTCTACGCCAGCACAGGCTGGTGTGACAATGACAACTATGCTGCCACCATCATCATCATCACCATCCACCTCCTCATCATCGTCTTTATCACCCTCCACACAAAGCAGCCCCAATACAGAGTTGGCTGTTGCCGAATTGCGCGTGACCGATCCTACCTTTAAGAGCTGTGATGGTGCTCCTATTACCAGTAGTCCTCCCACGATCACACATGATAAGAGTCATACAACATCAACATCACGGCAAATGATGCTGACATTGAATCCGACGACAACACGCAAACGATCCCGTTCATTTGTGCCACCGGGGTGGTCTGTGCCACCACGCGTATTGCTAGTGGATGACGATTCTATCTTTAGGCGACTTTCAACACGATTATTGGAAATGGCGGGATGTACCATTGAAGTTGCTGTGGATGGTGTGGAAGCTATTGATAAGCTTGGTACCGATCATTATGATATTGTACTCATGGTAAATGCAATGTTGGGATTGTTTATGGTGGTGTGGTGGTAGAAATTGAGCTATCCATTCACATGACTTTTTTTTTTACACCAGGATATCATGATGCCCAATTTGGATGGTATCTCGGCAACGCGCAACATTCGACAATATGATACGTGGACACCCATTATATCAATGACAGCTAATACGACCGATCGTGATGTCCGGGAATACATCATGAGTGGCATGACCGATGTATTACCAAAACCATTGGATCAAAGCACCCTTTGCAAGCTGCTCGAGCGATACTGCGCCCACTTGAAATTGATGCAACGTCGGCAGATCCCTCGCACAATCGAACAAAGTAGTAGTGATAATAGCACCACAGCCTCATTGTTGGTGGCTGCACGCTCATCCTCGGGTGACAACAATGATCCTCTTGAACGAGAAAACAACAACAACAATGAACAACAAAGTGTGACGACATGGGTTGAAATGAATCCTGAAGATTTCGCATCCATATTGCCCCAACAGCAGCAGCAGCAGCAGCAGATAAGCAGTAGCAGTTGTAGCACTCGACGTAGTACTACCACCATGGATCACCATCATTATCATACCAGCAGCAGTGTTGCATCATCATCTACTTCATCTACATCATCTTCATCCTCATCTTCATTATCAGTCGCCGATCTACACCCGATATGGGGCAACACGTTCGCATACAATATTCCAACATGCACGTTTATGCTGAACCAGGAGATATCCAATGCTACTACTACGACTAGTCCTTCGACTACTACTACGATCAAGCAGGAGCTGGAGGAGGAGGAGACGGACAAAAATGTGGATATTAATCAGGCACCAGCATGTAAAAAGTTGAAAAGCTCCTCATGGCAATAAACGGGGCAGTTGTGGACAACAGCATTACTGTTGCTGATATTTGTGTCACATTGTCGGTTGGGCGTTGATATGAGAGAGAAGAGAACCCCTTCACTTGAATTTGCCGGGTGATTTGATTGTGGGATGGATATCGTAACATGTCATTGTATACGCAACTCCTTGTCGTATGACGATCATTATCGAGTAGTGTTCGCTTGCCCGATCTTGGGCTTGGTTATGCGTAAGAATAGTGTGTGAGGATTCATTGCAAATAAAGCTCCTTGTTGCTATGCGACGCGTTCCAAAAGAATGACCTTTTGTTTTCAAGTATTGTATGCTATGTCCAATAAGTCGAGTTGAACAAGTGTTGTCCACATGGGCGTAATGTAGCAATCAGGAATGAAGAAAGGGTGGAAAAGAGCACTGTCCATTTCTAAGCAAAAGCGTGTATAATACATTGTGCTACCAAACATCCCACATGAGAAACAACTCGGTACCCGTTGTATGTGTATGCGTGTGTGTTGGGCGAGTAACAATCTATGTGTGTGCGTGTATGTGCGTGGGATCTCCCTTTATGGTTTATAGGTTCATGCTCCTTGTTTCTTTTCCTCTTTTTCTCTCTTCCCTCTTTCTTTTTTTCTTTCTTTCTCTCACTCTCCTCGCGTGAATTTCCAAACCCCCCTTTACTTCTCCCCTTTATCATCTTACTCCTATCTTGGTTGATTGTTCTATCCGGTCGTCATATAACAACATCCCAAAACGAGAAGCGGTCATCCTCTTTTAGTCTATCTTTCCATTTTCTTTTTTCTCTCTTTGTATTATCCTGCGCATAGGCCAACTTTTATACCTACACAGAAACAACAGCCGACATTTGCTTACATTATGCAACAACCATCCAATTATTATCAACACCAACAAGCTTTGCTACTTGCACAACAACAACAGCAACAGCAACAACAGCAACAGCAACAGCAGCAACATCAACAACTACAAGAGGCTGCAGTCGCTGCCGCCGCTGCAGCTGCAGCTGCTGCCGATGCTGATACTGCACGTAGTAACAACAGCGGTGGTGGTAGCAGTAGCAATAATACCAACATTTCCTCAGCAGCAACCCAACACAGTCTTGATGATGCAGATGACTCGGATGATGACCAAGGAAGCAAACCTGGCAACAAACGTAGTGGACGACGTAAAATCAAGATTGAATACATTGAAGACAAATCTCGACGCCATATTACTTTTTCCAAGCGTAAAGCTGGCATCATGAAAAAGGTAAATACATCATCATCATCATGCGTGACAACTTTAAGAGAACGCACGTTTAATCCTCTATCCGTTTATCCCCTCTCCCCTTTTAAACAGGCATATGAATTAAGCACGTTGACAGGAACCCAAGTTTTGTTACTCGTGGTATCAGAAACAGGCCTTGTGTATACCTTTACAACACCAAAGTTACAACCCCTTGTCACCAAACCTGAAGGAAAGAATCTTATTCAATCATGTTTGAATGCACCGGATATCACCACTCCAGAAGCAAACACTGGTTCAGAGTCCCGGTTGGGTAACAAGATGCCAACTACAACAGCTGGAGGAGGAGCAGACACTCGAGTAAGTGTTGTGTGTGTGTGAAAAGAGAGAATGGGTGGGACATTTATAAACAAGAACTTGTTACACGCGTGGGTTGGGTACTTTATTTCACCTTGATTACGTGGGAAATCTCATCTTCTCTTTATTTATAGGCTTATGGAGGATTAGCAGCAGCAGCAGCAAGCAGCACAGCAGCATCATCAGCAACAGCATCTTCATCGTTTGGTAATCTACCTTACCCTGCATACTTGCAACAACAACAACAGCAACAGCAACCTCCTCCATCCGCAGATTCGGGTGGTCTTCCAAGATGAAAACATCCAATAACCTCCCTTTGCTTATATATAGTGCGCTTTATCTCTATCTCTTTTTTTGTCTTCTTACATCCTCATATCATATACATTCATCGCTTAGTATCCATATTCATGCATGAAAAACCATATTGTGTATATCTGAGGGCTTGCTGTTTCATGGGATGATCTATAATTTATGCAGCCTTGGTGCAACCAGTTGGCGCAATGGGACGAACGCTGTTTATTAGAGTTGACAAGAATGATACTTATCTTATACAAGGGAATGTAACAGAAGCAAGAGGAAACATTCTAGACATGTACCCTGTTTGGCCAGCGGGAAAGATCCAAAGCATCTCCTTTTTGAGGTTGCGAATTGACTGAGACTTTTATTATGCGTGCGGTGGTGGGATGACACCGGCAATTCCTAATGGGATTATCACACACACACCTCTTCCCGCTCGTTACAATTATGGATAAGGTAAACCTATGCACACTCTTATATACATATACGCTCATGCTTATTCCTCTATCTATAGCGAACTCTTCCACCACCACCTCGAATATCATCAGCTCCAAGCTTGAATGCACCTCCTGTGCCGACATTTTCTAGTGCGCCCGATCTTTCAGGTGCGTCATTATCAACCCAAACCCCTCCATCGACTCGATCGTGCTTGCTCATGCTTGAATTACTGCAGAATTGACGAGTGCATCCAGTGAACAACACAAACGCAAAAAGGATAAACGGGACCGATCACCACGACGCCATTCACGTAGTCCTAAACGACGACGGCATCGATCGCGTAGTCCAAGACGACGATCACGTAGTCCACGCCATAGACGACGTTCACGCGAGGTATTTCTTCATGCACCGAAAATGAAATCAATGGTATGCTTATCAATTGGCTTGGATAGCGATATCATCATCGACGTCGTCGATCGCCAACACCACCACCTGTGCACTCGTAAGCTTATACATGGTCTCATTCATTATGCATCAGTCGACTGATAACGATTTTTTAGAGGACAGCTGGAAACCGGATGCACTTTTGTGATTGATAAACGTGGCGATATGGATAATATCAAATACGGTGAACTTGAGCGATCTACAGTACCTGAATATCATCGATCCGGTGGTAAGTGCAATCATCAAATGACACGCAAAAAGGGGGTGGGATTGTCAAGTTGACATGACATTATCTAGGCGGTTTGATTATTGGACTACCTACATCACAAAAGATCGACATTGCTAGTGCAAGATCGGGAAAAGTCCTCAAGATCGTGTCTGCTTTATCACGCAAGGTAACTATAGCATGCATGAATAAGAAAAGAGGATGTAAAAAGCTCATGTCGTTGACTATTGTAGAAACCAACACGATATATGGATGCTGGATTTACATGGCAGGAATCAGGCAAACGGTATGTCTTGTGTAGATGGGAGTTTAGAGATATCTAATGATGGCGTGTGTTGTCAGGATTCGAATCAAGCCATCACGTGATGAAGACAAGGATGCCTTTAGCGAGGTTCATGGTTTTGTGGGATTGGAGTCGAATCGCAAAAAGCCAAAGAATGAGAATGAACAAGCGATCTCAAGTGGAGTGGATTATCGCAGTATCGAAGGACCCAAGACAACGCATGAATTATCATCGGATGAGGAGGAAAGTGATCAAGAAGAAGGTGAAACGTTTGATGAATACATACGTCGTCGTACCATTGAACAAAATCGACACTTGGATGAGGTAAAAAGAAAAAGGATCTGTGTCACCTACCCTATTGTCGTATTGACCATTGGAGTATAGAACCCAAATGATGTGGATGCATGGTTGGCATTTATTGAGTTCCAAGACGAGGCGAGTCAAGGTGTCAACACAGTGGGAACAAAGGCCAATAAGACCAGCTTGAACGAGGTCAAGATGAGCATCTTTGAAAAGGCCATGCAAAACAACCCTATGGATGAAAAGCTATTATTGTCCTACTTGACATGTGGTGAACAGATCTGGGAGTAAGTATAGGTATCGACTTTTAAAAGAGTGACAACGATTGACAAAGTCATTTATGTAGTACATTGACGCTTTTGAGGGAATGGGATAAGGCACTCAAGAAACGACCAGAATCCATCCGGCTATGGGCTGATTATATCAATCTACGACAAACCAACTTTTCCAGCTTCTCTTTCACTGAATGTGTCAAGGTCTTTGAAGATTGCATTCTCACGTTGAACAAGGTGGCACGTCGACTACAGCGTCAACGAAAACATGAAGATAATTATGATGGTAAATGGCATGGCAAGCAACAAAGGATGTTTGGGACCTAACATGTTGGCTATATAGAGCGCGAAAATATCGAATCAGTCATGGTGTATGTTTTCCTTCGAGGATGTCTCTTTATGAAACAAGCTGGTAAGTACTTTTTCCCTAAGGTTTGTGGACAACGGCACTTACATATCCTTGTAGGGTATCATGAACGTGCATTTGGCTGCTTACAAGCAATCGTCGAGTTTACCTTATTCCAACCACGGGCATTGCGATCTTCTGAGGATACATCGTTTGGTGATCTCATTGAGGAATTCTGCGAGTTTTGGGATACCGAAGTTGCTCGATTTGGCGAAGAGGTATTATTTGATTGTTTTATCGGAAGCATGGTTGCTAAGAATGGATCATCATAGGGAGCTAAAGGGTGGCACCATTATTACAACACAAAGAATGGCAAGTGACAAAGAATACAAAGACGCATGTGCATGTAGTTAACATTTTGAGTCCAATAGATCAAGGAGAACCTGATGTTCCAGGGGCACCAGAGGATGAGAATAAGGAAGACATTGATGGTGAGAGGAATTCTACAATCAAAACGCAGCTGATGGAACCTAATATCAATATGTATGTATAGTATTCAGCCTGCAAGATTGGGTACGATTGGAAGAGTCCAAAGAACTTCAAAGCCGATTACCATTAAGGATAGCAAGTACGCTCAAAGAGGAAGGATATGGATTCATGATTGCTTTATCTCTAACATGATTGATGATAGCTATTGACCCACACATTGTTGATGAGGATCCCTACGTGGTTACATTATCCGATGACATCCGCGATTTCTTATTCGATCTTACGACGCATGAGGCTTGTCAAGCGTTGATTTACAGCATCTTTGTGTTTCTCGGATTACCATTCCCGCCACCTGGTGTCGGCACCAATACCCACTTTTGTACAGACACGTTTACGCACAATGAAATGAAGTTTGAGCGATTTTGGCCACCACTATGGGAGAAGCGTCCACTGCTAATCACCTATGTCGATGGGATACCGATGGAGCCTGAGCATGCTACCGTGGATCGTCATCCATTCGATTATCCTGTATCATATCCTGTTGGAGTATCCGAGCTATTTGCACGACATGGACATTGGTTTGCTTGCTTGGAGAGCTTTCATCTGGATTGTGAAGTGGATATCGACTTTGCAAGGTATGTTGGCATCAGCAAATCCACCTATGAAAATGTTGTCACTAAAGCATATTACTAGGAATGCGTTTGGTCAACTCAATGCCTTACAATGGAACGATCACCTGGCTATTTGCCATCTTGCACTTGAATCAAGTATATCCAACAAAAGGTAAAGCAACAATGATAAAGGTATGGATGGATGGGCCACACGTGCAGTATATTAACTTGCCATTACTAGTGCCAAAAAGCTTGCCAAAGAGATGCTCAAAGATCGTAGCAACAATTTGATCCTGTGGAACGTATATGCGCAAATGGAAAAGAGTCATGGACGTTTAAAGGAGGTACGAGAAAAATTATTATTGGGGTGGTTCGTGTAGCACAGACCAAATGGCTGACTTTGTGTGTTTTTGACAGGCACGCCGAGTATACCAAACAGCGTTAGCAAGTTATCGCCAATTTCCAGAACCAGATCAACAATCGGCTCCGCTACTATACAGCGCTTTTGCACAGCTTGAATGGGAGGAACAGCGACCTGAAGAAGCTCTCAAGATCTTGGTATCCATGGCAACTGAAGAACCCTATGGTGAGTGTGATTGTTTCATGGTGGATCAAAGGAACGGGTGTTGACTAAACATGGTAATGTAGCTGAGACGAACCCCGCACCGACCAATGCGCAGATCCTAAAAGCACACAATGTGAGTTGGACTTTTGGCATCGCATACAAAGGGTGTGCCTAACACACACATGTGTCATAGTACTACATGCAAAAGACAGCCCAAGCCAATATCCTTGTTGGATCTGAAAACGAGACGACCATCGCACATCATTGCAATGTATGCTATGCCTTGTTGCAGTACATTACGCGTGGTATTGAGGCTGCATCCGAAGTGTACGAGCGGGGACTAGAATATATCAAGGAGCGGCAAGCTGAGCGAGGATTCGAAAGCGAAGTGCTGTGGGTTGCCTATGCTCGACTTTTATACCAACATGCAGTGGCAGGTGGTGTCGGCTACAAGCCATCTCAAATGCGTGCATTACTGGAAAAGGCATTGGCGCTATTTCCCAACAACACCATCTTCATCAGCTTGCATGTGTGGAACGAGACGAGGACCAAGATTTACAATCGTGTTCGCAAATTCTTTACACAAGCACTCGATGGGTAAGTTTCCTCACCCCCTATTTGAAGTATAGCTGACTTGTAAGATCAAAGATGAACTAATGATCATTTTGTCTCTCAAAAGTGAACCCAATATCATCTTATGGCTCTCGGCTATTCGAAGTGAATTGCATCGACACCATCCCTATGATGTAAACCTGGTACGATCCTTGTTTGAATCTGCCGTGGATAATGCAGGGTATGTTTGTTTGTGGTCTGTGCTGGTGCTGGTGCTGTGACGCTCACCTATGTTTTGATGGTAGGACACGGCCATCCATATTGGTATGGAAACTTTACATTGAACATGAAATCCGGTGCAAGAACATGGATCGAGCAAAGTCATTGTATTACCGTGCCATCAGGGCATGTCCATGGTCAAAGGGTGAGTACATGATTTAGAATCGATACAAAATCGAGACACTCTTTGCTGACGATGGGATGGATACATTACACAGAACTCTATTTGTTGGGCATTCGTGTATTGTCACGACAATTGTCTGAGAAGGAGCTACATGAAATGGTTAGCCTGATGATGGAAAAAGAAATCCGTATGCGATGCCCTATCGACAACACGCTACTTGGTGATGGTGACGAGGAAGATATTGATGATTATCAGAAAAGAATGATTGAGGATGAATAAATTGACTTGAGATGGCTATTGTGAGCCTTTCATATGGGATATGTGTGGATGTGTGTGAACAAAAGATGTTCTTTGTGTGACCTTGTTAGACTCAGCGCCATTTAGGCTTGTGCGGTGGTCGTGCCTGATTAAATTAAGTGTTGGACAAGCACCAAAAAACCTGGAGAAAATCACACTCTTTTCCCTCTTTTTCCCCTCTCGTTTTTTTACGTACTCGATAACTTCCTCCTCACCCTCTCCTTTCCTTTCGTTCATCCATAATCAACATGGCTCCCAGAGGTGAATACGCAGCCACCTTCCTTACCTTTATTGCATTGCTACTCGAAATTTTCGTGCTTGTCAGTGGCTCGGGCGACTTGCCAGTATTGCGCGATTTGTACTTTGCTCAAGTGAACCTCAACGGCAAATTCACTCGTCTCGGTTTATGGTACGAGAACAATAACAACAACATTTGAAATCAACGTTACTCAACGCGTATGATCATTACTACTACAACAGGGGCAGCTGCTATGGCTCAAACGGCGTTGTTAGCGAATGCAGCACACCATCGGTCCCCTTCAACTGGTGTGAGTAACCTAGCAACAACAACGCTTCTTGGATACCCGTTTTATTAAACACGAGATATATAGATGAAGCTGAGGGTCTTGGTGTGACTCTTGAAGTCGATCTCCCCAAGAGTATCTACCTTGCCATCTTTATTCTCTACTGGATCGCCTTTTTGGCCACTGCTTTGGCTATGCAGGCCACTGTTTTCACCTTTTTCAAGCGTCTTCCCGGTTTCCTTTTGGCCATCATCTCCTTGATGGCTACCGGTGCCTTATTTATTATCTTCGTCATTGTTGTTGTGGCTGCATCCAAGTTCAAGAACCTGTCCGGCGATATAGGACCTAGCACTTGGATGGTGCTGGGTGCCATGATTGCAAATGCTTTGGCAACAGGCTATTATATCTTTTCATGCATCTGTGGTCCACGCAACAAGAGTGCACGTGATACCTTCAATTACTAGTTTCTATATCACCTCTTTTATTTGTCCGTAATGCTTAACTTTCCATTTCTGTATACTAAAACAAAAAAGAATCTAATGGGATGTTGGTTTCCTTTGTGTCCTGGTATTTTTGGCACACAGCATACTTATCAAGTGGTACAACCATGGTCCTACACATGCGCACATCATCCCGTTTTAGATGATGGCGCGAAGTATGAAAAATCTTTGCATGTAGGGATCATCAAACTCATCATTCTTGAACATGGACACTGTAGCATGTGCGTTAAAGAAGGGGGCTTTATTATCCTATGATTTGTTGCAGCTTGGTGGTGGTGGTGGTGATGTAACATGGCAGGTAGGGGATGATCCACTAAAATGACACGAAAGAGGCCGCCTTTGTTGTCTTTCTGGATTTGAAATGGACCAAGCGCGTCTCTGTCAAAATGGAGGCGCAATGGTTACCCAGCGCTTGCTTGACCCAACCGATCGTGTTTACCATTCAATCTCGATCGTGTCCTCTTCTTCAACATGCCCGATCCCATCGAGTCTAGACAACAATGTGCTCCTCTCATTGAGTATCTTGATGGCAGCCGTCCCTACGATGCCAATACGCCAACATTGGATATGCGCCGATTGAAAGAACGTAAGGGTGATCGCCGTTTCTACTCGTTCTTCTTAGTTTACCATGTACGAGACAGCCTTTTTATGCAATATCTGTGTTGATTTCTTTGATACACCTTACATGCTCGAGTGCGGTAAGCAATGTTGATATGTATTGTATGAAGGGAGGGATGTGACTAACAATGAAACGCTAGGCCACACATTTTGCGCAGCATGTATATTGAGCTGGTTAGAACGACACAAGACGTGCCCCCAATGTCGTATTGATATTGGCAATCGCCCTGTACCAGCATATGCCGTACAGCACCAAGGTAAGAACGCATAAATAATTTCGGGGTTATGGATGCATGACATTTACCTTCTCCTTCTCCTTCTCTTTCTCAGTTACGGTGGTGCGTACAATGATCTTTGGGCATCAAGCTCCAGCACACACTGAAGTGGAACGTGAAGCACAAAGAGGTTTTCAACGCTTATACCCTGTTGCTCGTCGAGCCCAATTTATTCAAGACCGCGAAGATCAAGTGTAAGTAGTAAATCAACGCATTGGATGATAAATAATAACCCATTTACTAGTAATCGATGTGGTGTATGTGGATGGGAGTTGGACGAAGAAGGCTTCTGCGATGGCTGTGGCGAACATTATCGAGGTGCTGCGCAACAAGGCGAAACGTTACGTGCTTCGTGGCCCAATGAGTTCTCTGAACTTACAGACGATGAAGAAGAAGAACAAGATGAAGAAGATCCAGATCTGGAAGGATTTGTTGTGGATTCAGATGAGCCTATGTAAGTGCTTGAAGGTCTCACTTTCTTCAAAAGGATACTAATCTTTGTATTTAGTGAATGGGAGTATGTCAATCATGACCAAGGATAACGTTTCAGTCATCATGTCTCATACTTTGATTTAGGGAAATGAGCCAAGGTGATTTGGATGATGAGAGCGACGCATCTGTACGACAACGTTACGATCCAACACCAGTATTTATATCTGAAGACGATGATTCATCCAATGAAAGCGGCAGTGACGATAGCGACAGTGTGGTTTATCTTGGTCCATCTCGTGCCATTCGTATACCGGATACTGAAGATGAAGATTCTGACAATGGGGATGAGACTTTGGTGACAAGCAGCTTCAATACCGATACAAGCAATACATTTGATCATGTCAATAACAGCGGATCCGATGGTGGTATGCGTACTGCGGAAAGCGGCAGTGAAAGTGACAGCAGCGAAAGTGACACAACAAGCGAAAGTGAAAGTGACAGTAGTGAAAGTGACAGCAGCGAAAGTGATAGCGATGAAGATGACAGCGACAACATTGCGGATGGTCTTCGAGCACTTGCTACAAGCACCAGCACCAGCAGTAGCAGCAACAGCAATCATTACAGCTACGACAGCGTTGATGGTAGTGATACAACCAACAATGGGATCGATTCTATCAATACCAGCATGAAGAGTAATACACATGGTGCAAGTGATACAAGTAACAACGATGATGATGATGACGACGACGACGACGATAGCACTTCCAGTGATAATGATGAGGATGAGGATGAGGATGATAACGACACCACCACGACCAGTGATAGTGACAATGACGAGGAAGCTGGTGCCGCACCACCATCAAAGAAACGAAGCCTAGACACTATAAACAACGATGATGATGCTACTGAAACCAACAGCAAGCGACGACCATCACATCCAACACCTTCTAAAACAAAAAGACAACGCAAAGGCAAAGGCAAATTTCGAGGACGAGGACGAGGACGAGGACGTGGTGGCCGTGGCCGTGGCTGGTCCAGGTCATAGAAAAAAGATAAATTATACAAGTTCTTTATTATAGTTCATGATTATTCAATGATTGTTGCTGTATATTTCTAGTAAAGAGATCTCATTTAAAGTGGCGGACAGTAGTAGCCTTTTGTCTCCAAGTTGGGTGGTGGTGGTGGTGGTGGTGGTGGAACTCCGTTAAAATTTAGCTGACAAGTTAATCATTGATCCTCCTCTTCTGCCAAGCGAACCGCAATGGTAAGCACATCGACAAACGACCAACACGATTCGATCCATCCATCCTTCCCTCTACTCTCCATATAATTCATTTTGATGATGATGATGGCATACGATGAACGATATCAGCAATGGATGAATGGATGAATGAAATGGATGGATGAATCCCTATCTCTATATCCACCAAAGCACCCAATTGACGAATTCGCTTCTCTTTCTTTTCCACACAGCCTCAACAAATCAAAGACATTAAGCAGTTCCTCGAGATTGCCCGCCGCAAAGACGCCAAGTGTGAGTTACATGTTATATACATACACACCACCACCGCTATCCATGTGCTGACATTTGCCCATTAGCCGCCGTTGTCAAGAAGAACACCGGCTCCGTCAAGTTCAAGGTGAGATGCTCCCGCTATCTCTACACTCTTGTTGTCAACGATAAGTCCAAGGCCAACAAGCTCAAGCAGTCGCTTCCTCCCAGTATGTATCTTTTTGGTTGCCATGGCAACATGATGATGATGATGATGATGTTATTAACAACTTTGTCTTTGTAGCTCTCTCTGTCAAGGAGATCCAATAAGGGCATTTTCGACTAGCAGAGTTTCATTGCAAGGAAAAAACAAAGCATTGGCATGTTTTATTGCTTGTATATTTTCGTTTGATGGAATTATGGATTGGAGTCATGCGGATGGATACGACGAGGATGTGGGGTTTGGAATAGGATAAGTGATTCTTGTGTGTGTGTTCCTGCATACGGTGGGGGATAAACAAACGTGTGCAATGATTATCACAGGTTGTCTTGATACCAAATCAAAAGACAACATATGTCATGATCAGCGATTTCTGTATTCTGCATATCATGTTGGACTAGTTGTTGGAGGACCATATGAGAAAAGTGGACTAGGCTTTATATGGTAAAGTGTAGGCCCCCTACTTGACCACCCGTGGGTCAATTCTCCATGAACTGCGGCGTTAAAAAAGTGGTAGCTGCATTTCTTTTCGTTTCTCTCTTTTTCTTTCAAAGCACCTATATTCATATCACCATGACAGAAAAGATCTCAGCATCCAAGGCTAAACGTCTCGCTGCAAGAGCTGCCAAGGCAGAAGCCAAAGGAGGAAAAGCGGGCAATAGCACTGCTGTTCGACGTGCCGCAGCCAAAAAAGCAGCCAGTGATGGTGACAACGGATCAGTCAACGATCTGGACATGAACAAGGCCAACATTAACGTTGATCGCACTGCCACGGGTGTCTATACATCTCAGGAGCGTAGTCGTGATATCAAGATTGAGTCGTATTCTCTCAACTATCATGGACGTGTCCTCATTGATAATGCAACGATCGAACTCAACTTTGGGCGGCGATATGGTCTTATTGGTGCCAATGGGTCTGGCAAATCCACTTTTCTACAATCCCTCGCTGATCGTGATATTGAAATCCCAAAGCACATTGATGTAAGTGCCTCATAATGATGATACATACTAGCCCTTGATCCAATCAAACTAAATCATGCTTTGATTAGACATATCTATTGAATCAAGAAGCTGAACCTTCCGATATGAATGCTGTGGAAGCCGTGATTCATCATGCCAAGAATGAAGTGGCTCGTTTGGAGAAGCAAGTTGAGGACATCTTGAGTGAAGAAGAGGGAGCCGACAATCCGTTATTGGATGATTTGTATGAACGTATCGAGCAAATGGATCCTGCAACATTTGAACCTCGTGCATGCACCTTACTTTCTGGTCTCGGTTTCACTACAAGTCAAATGGCCAAGAAAACAAGAGACATGTCTGGTGGTTGGCGTATGCGTGTGGCATTAGCACGTGCGTTGTTCGTTCGTCCCACGCTGCTACTATTGGATGAACCTACAAATCATTTGGATCTTGAGGCATGCGTATGGCTGGAAGAATATCTCAAGACCTACGATCGTATCTTGGTCGTCAATTCGCATTCCCAGGATTTCCTCAATGGTGTATGCACCAACATTATGCACTTGAATCACAAGCGGAAGCTCGTTTATTATGGTGGCAATTATGACATGTTTATCAAGACCAAGGAAGAGAATGAGATCAACCAAGCCAAGGCTTATGAGAAACAACAGGAGGAGATTGCTCATATCAAAAAGTTCATTGCATCGGCTGGTACTTATGCCAATTTGGTGCGACAAGCCAAGTCAAAGCAAAAGATCATTGACAAGATGGAAGCTGCTGGATTGGTGGAGAAGGTGGAGAAGCCACATGCCTTCAAGTTTTCTTTCACGGATGTTGCAAAGCTACCACCGCCTGTGCTTGCTTTCCAAGATGTCAGCTTTGCCTATGATGGGAATTTGGAACGACCCCTGTACAAGGATATTGAATTGGGTGTGGATATGGATTCTCGAGTGGCACTCGTAGGACCCAATGGTGCTGGAAAATCCACTCTCCTCAAGTTGATGAGTGGTGAATTGCTTCCCAATGGCGGTCGTGTTCAGCGTCACACATCACTCAAGCTTGGCAAATACTCGCAACATTCAGCAGACCAATTGGATATGGATCTTTCGCCTATCGATTACATGCGCAACAAGTTTCCAGAAGTCAGCACAGAGGTCAGCTTTTGGCGTCAGCAAATTGGACGTTATGGATTATCAGGCTCCCATCAAACCTCTCCTATTGCTCACTTGTCGGATGGTTTGAAATCTCGTTTGGTATTTTGCGAATTGGCTGTAGCTCATCCACAAATCATCTTGCTTGACGAACCTACCAATCATCTCGATATGGATTCAATCGACTCACTTGCTGAAGCCATCAACAACTTTACTGGCGGTGTCGTTCTTGTGAGTCACGACTTTCGATTGATTTCTCAAGTGGCCAAGGAGATTTGGCGTTGTGAAGGAGGAAAGGTGATGCCATTCGAGGGTAGTATCGAGGAATACAAGGAGTCTTTGAGAAAGAAAGTCAAGTTGTAAATCATGCACAATCATCCACTCTACCACGTGCCATCGCATATCATGTATACAAGAACATTGCCCAGTTTGTGCATCTTTCTCTCTTATAGACACAATGAGCTCCCTGGTTGCAGAATATACCTGGATCAGATTTCTTATCTTCCCCTCCCACATACAAGATCTCATGTCCATTACCTTTCCATTCCAATAAATAAAGCATGTTTAGGCAGGAGAAAATCATAACGAATGAGTTTGTGAAGCTGTGATTACCCCCTATTTGTTCAAGTGGCGTACATGCATAAGTCTTCAACAACGAAGTACAACATTCCAAGTGTTTCTAGACGTTTAAAAGTTTGCATGTCTTGGAAGGCCAGGTTTAAGGTGTTGAACCTACCATTGCGGCAAGCATGGTTTTCATTTTCAATGCTTTGTAAGTGGTAGCAAAGCCTTGGGGATGTGTTGACAACTTTACAAGGGATTCCAAACACCACCTTGTAATTCCATCACACGTAAAGGGCTTCTCCAATGGTTACCACCATCGAAAGAAACAGCAACCATAACTTGCGGCAAACATGCCTTCATGTATGCCATTCAATAAAAGTTGATGTATTCGTGACAATAGAGCTTTATCGCCGTAGGATACAGCAATACGATACATGCACCTACTACGTAGCCATATGTTTATACACAACGCCGGCATCTTTGGTCGCGCATAAAAGCTGCTTTCAGCCCCACATTTCTCTTCTTTCCTCCCTCTCTTATAATACAAGTTGCATACGATTGTACAGTGGCTATCATGATCCAAGATATGGCGACAAAACAATCGAAACCACATCCACCAATCGGTGACGCTTTGAGAGACAACGCAAGCAGTGTTGCCGTTACCATGGATAGTGATCGAATAGCTGCTGATGAAGATGTGGCAAAAGTTGCTACTGCTACGAATACAAATCCACGATGGAAATGGTACCTGATCTTTTTTGGTTTGCAGCTGTCAGTATTTTCTACAATATTAGAGTTGTGAGTATACGCGTATGGATCCGCTTGAAGGCGCTAGACAAGCATACAATACAAACTCATCATTTTTGTTTGCATCCCAGCACTATTGTATCCACAGCTCTGCCTAAAATTGGATCAGAATTGGACGCCATATCCATCTGATCTTGGGTGGTCACAAGGTAAGGATCGAATGGATAACATAAAACACAACGAGAGACACCCATGCCATCCATTACTAAAATGCGCATGTTGCATAGCTATATAGTCACTCAAAACGCCTTCCGTAACGTATACATCCTTTTTCTGTGCCGGCAAAGATCTTGAAAACTAAGGAATGGTTGTGCTGTTGGCTGCTGTGTGTGGCTCATGTAGAGCCAATATGGGCCAAACTATCGGATATCTTCGGTCGCAAATGTGTCTTTCTTGGTACACTTTCTTTCTTTCTAATATGTTCGGCATTGTGTGGCGTGGCACAGGTTGCGTACAATCGCAAGCATTATTGACATTTATTATTGAGCTGACAGCTGTTGCACATCTTTAGTCTATGACATGGTTGATTACGGCACGTGCCTTTCAAGGCATCGGTGTTGCAGCGGTAGGTGCACCACCACACGTTGTTATAGCGCGACCATCATGACTCAACATGTCCTATTAGACATATCCCTTGGTATGTGATATGGGGTTAATTAGATGCAAACGAATGATAAGCTCAATACAGCAATCATGCAAGACCTACGTTATTGTAGCTGATATCGTGCCACTGGATAAACGTGCCAGCTATGAAGGGTAAAAGTGATGTACCAATTGCACCTAAAAGTTCATGCATTAAAATGTGTTGCATAGGCTCATCCAAACTTGCTTTACCTTTGCTACCATCTGTGGCCCTCTTATTGGCGTATGTCTTGCTGATACTATTGTTGTTGGTGCAAAAGTAGAATGGACAAAGACTGAAATGATTACGTGGTTCATTGTAGGGCACATTGACCGACCACGTGAGCTGGCGAGGGATCTTCTTTGTCATGTAAGTAGAAGAAGGGTTAAGCCTTACATGCGTTGGGGAAACCATTCACGTAGCAATCAGCATCCCTCCCGGTGTCATAGGAATGATAATTATTGCGCTTTTCCTTCATCTGCCCATCGAAAAGGAAGATCTCAGCACCAAGCTTAAACGCATTGATTATGCAGGTACGTACGACAAATTCACTATACGTCATCATCTTAATTACAATATGGCTTTTTCTATGTATATAGGTATTCTCCTTGTTATGGTTGCTACGGTTCTTTTCATGCTGGCCATGAGCTTTATCACTCAAGGGTATCCATGGCAGTCTCCGCTCATTATTGTAAGTGAAACTAGGATGTCATTCATTGTGATAGAGATGTTTGACGTTGGCGACATGCTAGGCTCCGCTGGTATCTGTCACCCTACTAGTTGCTTTGTTGATCTTTGTCGAGAACAAAGTTGCCATAGAGCCATTGCTGCCTCCCCGATTATTCATCAAGCTCCCTGTTGTATGTCTGAGCATTTGCAACTTATCATCCGGCTTAATGGATATGGCATTTATGTATCACGCACCCACGTATTTTCAAATCGTACTTGCGGATTCTTCTATGCTTTCAGGCGTACGAATAATACCGCTCGATGTAAGCGCTATGATAGCAACTTTTGTGGTGGGATGGTTCATCACGTTAAGAGGATACTATCGGCCGCCGCTCTCTGGGGGATGCGTATTGTATGGCGTTTTCTTTGGCTTGTTCATCTTATTTGATGCCAACACAAGCTGGGCAGGTAGGATTTAACTTTATGGATGCATCACTGTATTTGATACTAATGTCCTACCGGATGTATGGTTAGAGGTTGTGGGCGTGATGGTGATTGGAGGTATTGGTATAGCTGGCGTTGCCGGATCCAGTGCTATTGCTCTTCAAGCTTCCGTTGAAGAAAGAGATATCGGTAAGGACGACGTTCATCGTTTCTATTACTACGTACTTGCTTCTCACAGCCAATACTGTATTAGCTGTGGTATCAGGGTTACTTAGTTACACATTAATGTTGGGTGGAGGGATTGGCGTTGCGTTAGCATTTGCTCTCATCAACTTGTATCTTCAAAACAACCTTCCACGAATGATACCATCAGAGTACGCAAAACGCATTTTCGATAATCCCAGATTTATCCGTGATGGCCTTCCTACACAGTACTTTGATGCAGCCATAATGGTATACAATGACGCCTACAAAAGGCTCTGGTATTTGTTGGTGGTATTTTCAGGTATAGGTACGTTGTAAATGGGAGGAGATGAGAGTATCACACCTTGAATGGCGTTGCTCACCTTACATATAGCATTTGTGAGCTCGCTTTTTGTCAAGCAGTACTCGTTGAAAAAGGGTTGATACCAATCATAATATACACGGAGAAACTGGAGCCAGGGATATCAAGATTCTAATGACCCACAGGAACAGCAATAATGGTGATGATAGTAGCACATGATTATAGGCAACTTTACTATACTTGATGATGATTTGATATATTCACATGAATTATCTATCATAATGATGATGATGGGTGAGGATGGTGTTTGGGTGGATGGTGTGTGTGGGGTCATTGAGTGGCCTCAGTGTAATAGCAGTAGGGGAATTTAAACTTGGGGGACAGCAGCTCCACGACTCGAGACAACGCTTGTCTTCTCTTTCTCCCTCGGCTGCTTTTATCCAATGCACGTCATCCCAATCAAGGTAATGTATTATAGAAGAGTGCTCTTGTTGGCTGTGAGGTATTAATGTAGTTCTGAACTTGCATTGTCAGGGAGTTAGCTGAAGATGAGCGTGGTTGGTGGTTGGTGGTTGCCATGGCGATATTGTTGCTTCCTTTTGTTCGTTGCTATTCCCCTCTACGCTTGGTGTCAACAGGTACATTGAGAGTCCAATGTTGCAGCCGAACTGGTTCCATTGACGTGTTAGCTTGTATAGACGGCAAGTTTGGTCTCAAGACGCTGACTCATTTGGCTTTTTGTTTCGGCTCAACAGCACTACACCATGGTTTTCGGTTTCCAGTAACCAACAACAACGGGTCTTTGTGTATATGGAAAAGGCAAGTGCAATGAAACAAACAATGAAAAGGGTGTTTATTATATGTGTGTGCTAATAATGAATTGAATAGGTTTCTTTGGTCAGGCAATGCAACTTGGGGGCACCATCATCATCATCTCTTTGGTTTCAAGTCCCAGCCTGTATCAAGTGGTCGCTGCGTCGCTCTGCACTAGCCAAGTGTGCTGGAAAGCTTCTTGCAACGCGTCCGGGGCTCTATAGGCCTGCGTTTGAGTTGATGAGTCGATGACGATGGATTTTTGGAAGAGCATGGTCACCGTGTTGAGGTAAAAGGGGATTTGCAACAGCTTGTGAATGTGTTTAACCAACACGCTCTTCTCGTGATAGGCTCGTTCTTTCCCTTGAGGATTCTTTTCATGAGGTGGGAAATGATTGGAAGGATTGAGGATCATTCTTTCTTTGGAGACGATGAATGAGGACAACTATGAGCCTGGACTCTACGTAAGTGATGTCCTTCCTTGCCATGGATCGAACTGGCCTTGCGTGATTCGTGCAGTGCTTTCTCAAGAACAAGGGATCGCCCGACGTTGCTCGTATGGTGGTGATTTGATTTGTGAATTCCTTCTGATTTGCTTTCTTCCTTGGAGAGGATCGCCTAACGGTATACCAAATCATCATCATTCCCCGTATCAGACGATCTAACTTGGTTGGTTTTTATTTGTAGAGTTGACGATTACGATGATTACCACATTCACAACAATGACGATTACGATGATCACCCCATCTACAACAATGACAACGATGACGACAACGAGATTAAAAGGAAGCCTCCAAGGTCCCATTCTTTTCAACTCGTGTGTTTTTGGATGTTGGTGTGACGGATGAGATTGACGACTGGTGACGAGTACGAGTAGGAATGATGGCAGAGGACGACTACGCCGATGGTGGTGGCAATGTACAGTAGCAAGATAGCTAGATGAAATAAAGCATTGTTTATTTATTACACGCTTGTTGGAGGTTGCTAGCTTGTGGATTACATACTATTGCTTCGAAGATGGAATAATAAAGGTGGGCCGGTTATCGGTCATGCAAGAATTACATGGCTTTTGTAATACAATAAGGAGGAGTGGGAAGTGGGATGAGCTTGAGATGAGAAAAAATGAAGAGATCCCTCCATTGAGTTTCAGGATGAGTGACTTATTCAATATGTATATGTATCTTTTTACATATACAAATTGGTTTATGCAGCTCGACTTTCTTCCACATGCAAATGTGATGCATACCTTGACACACCTTCATTATTGGATGCTGTTTACTTACGTACCTTCACAAAAGGCAATCATCATCATCATCCATTTGTGTAGCAACCTGTCAAGGACGTGTCTGTGTAACCACCACGTGCGGTTTCACTCAGCTCTTCATCTTTCCGTTAATGCAGCCGACACCATCCACTAGGAAAAAGCAACTCCATCACGCTTACAGCATAGGTAAAACATAAACGTGCCTGTATCTCCAAACTTTACAATGAAACGTGGGGTTTTGAATAGAGCAATGTGCTCGGCTTGGCCAACTGCACCTTGTGTGAAAGTTTCGCGTTCAATGTCGCAAACAGCACAAAAAATATTTTTTTGGTCGTCGTCGAAAAAAATTCAAGAGGTCGACCCTCAGATCCAGTTTGGCTGGTAGCGACATTGCGAAATCTGGGATTGGCAAGCTTGATCGTGTAACTTGCACCCAAGGTGCTGTTGGCCAAGCCGAGCACATTGCTCTATTCAAAACCCCACGTTTGATTGTAAAGTCTAGAGATACAGGCACCTTTATGTTTGTAAGCATGATGCTATATGAGAAGTGGTCTTTGTTTAATGTAAAGTAGTATTTTTTTTTTTTGTATTCAAATGTTCTTTATTTGGGTTTGGATTCCCAGATAAATCTAAACTAGAGGTAAGCCCGAAGGCACAAACAAGAGGACAGCACGAAGGCGATAACAGAGGACAGCCCGAAGGCATAACAGCCCGAAGGCTAAAGGAAAGCCCGAAGGCGTAACAGAGGACAGCTCAAGGCATAATCAGGACGGCACCAAGTGCTCACAAGCGGGATCGAACTCGAGTTGGCGGGAAGGTCGGCGGGATCTTGACCACTTCGCTACGGGGACTGGCCCCTTAATGTAAAGTAGTATGACTATAATAGAGCAAAAGATGCAGAAGGACCTCTTTGGGTAACTCAGCTAAAAAGTCAGGACTTCAGGGACAATGAATGAACGGTACGCAACCCTCACTTTTATGTCATACATTGGCAGCTAATAGCCACTTTTGTGCATTCCCAACTCTTGTGCATTCTATTGTAGGTGGACGATGCTCCTGCTCTAGACATTCATTTCCATGATTAAAGTAGGTTGATCCGAGCTGATTTGACCGAGATACAGCCAAAGAGGGATTACATCAATCCACACATCTAACCATGCTCTATGTTGCTCAACTGAAGTAACCTTGTATGAGCGTAGCTCAGCCAAATCAACTCGGATCAACATAATCCAATCATGGAAATGAATGTCTGAAGCAGGAGCATCGTTCCACTGTCATAGAATGGGCAACATTGCCGATTGTGAGGAAATGGCTGTTAGCTCGCAATGTATGGGATATTGTCAATAGTATATAGTATCATCCTTCCATCCTTCTAGTCATGC